ATCGACCCTCCCTGGCTGCTGTGCGTCGTGAGTGCGCATCACAAAGGCTTCATTGTTTACTTTAGTCATCTCCGTGCCATGAGGGCGGCTAACGACTCCTCCCTATAGTTGCGCAAAGTTTTCATGCCATGAGTATTACTACCGCTACGTACTTCGCACGCAGTATAAACGGATATGTCGAGATTTATATATAGAATACGACTAGTAGCATGACCGCTGGACTGTCATTCCCCATACAGCAAAACTAGCGCACTCAAGCATCTGTTGTCGGCTGGAGGTCAGTTCTCGCATCGCGGCGATGATACACCAACGGCGGATGCATCAGGCTGGCTGTACCACCTCGACAGAGATAAAACAGTGCCTGCCGCGCGTGGGTATCAACAAGTGCATCAGCCACCGCCATTCTGGGCAATTGGCAAACGTGGAGGTGGGATGTGGGAACACTGCCCAGTCCAAACCCCGAGTTTGTATAACACACCAACCCGGGTTCGATATATCACATTAACAAGCACAAGGTGTGTGGCTTGTGTGCTTTGCGGACGTACGGCAATCGGCCCAAAGACGGATTTGCTTTGAAAACGCTATCCGCCCCGTTGCCAGCAGCTCTCATCTGTTTCGTCCTTTCTGCGCCATGTTACCAGTCCAGGGCTCGGTTGAGACTCTCTTCGGATTGCTTTGCTTTTGCTCCGTCCAAACAAGCATAGCTCATACCCCAAAGTTCCCCATGGCTCTGCTGCGGAGCTGACGGCGGTGACAGATCAGCAACATGCCGTCCTTTCAGCCACCCAAAGTTACCCTTGTCCACACGGCTCTTGCATTAACAAAGGCGGGCCTGCAGCAGGCCAGCCCGACTCAATGGGGAGGCCGTTGAAGCGATTGAGTTGGAGCATCATCACGATGGACCGAGTCGTGGCCCCCGTTCAACCACATCCATGGCCGATTTGTTGGCAACTGCCGCCAATCTCTTCCAGCCAGACTACTACTCCTGCCACAAGCATCATACTATATTTGATGCCTCACACTCACAACAGCACTGTCCTGTTCCATCTGGGCGGCGGCAGCGTACGGAGCACAGGCCGGAGCTTTCGCATGGAGGGGTGTAAGGCGAGTTAGTACTAGCAAGCCACAAGTCCCTAGTAGTAGGTTAACAAGGTCCAGATCTCCATCGAGTCAGTCCACTTGTCTGTCCGCATGTCCGTCCCTGTCTGCTACAAGGTCCAGGAGCCCAGCTTGCTGAATCGGATCGGCCTTTTTCTTCATGCCTGGCGGCGGCCGATATTGCCTTGTTCCCCCTCTTGCATCTCCCCGGCTGACAGGCGCCTGTTGTCGGTTCCCCTCCAAGGCAAGCCTGCAGTAAAGTGCACGTCGAATCCCTGAACGACCTACCAACCTACATTCCTAGGTACAGTATGTATCTACGGCAGTGCCTCGTAAGTCGTCGACGGAATTTGACCGTTGGACACGTTCCCCCGTTGCGAATTTTGTGGACGACAGTCGACAGGATGCGGCGCTAGAGGCCGTTGCTGGGGAGCTTGTGTTCCTCTCACGATAAGCTCCGTTTCTGGGGCTGAGCCGCCGTTTTTGCCAGACCGGGAGGGAGAGAGGAAGTGAGTGAGTGAGTTCAAGATCGTGACCTAGGTAATACCTAAGGTGCCTAGTAAGAGAGGTGGTTTGAAGGTAACCCGGACAAGTGGATAGAGGAGTCGAGGCAGGATGTGTCCAATACCAGGCCGCTGCTCGGTTGACCGCGTTTCGTGCAGAGGGCCGTATCTCCAGGTACCCCGTCTGCGGGAGTGGAGGGAGCAGTACATGCAGATATATGCACTCACGGTCAAACATGCTCAATCGGTGGAGGTAGTACAACGTGCTACCTCTGCTTGTCTTGGTACATTAGATCTCGCATCCAGGATGCGTTTCCGTCAAGCGTCCAGGAATCTCGAGTTTCATATACACAACGGGAAAACACGTGGAATGATCAAGCAAATCCTCATCAAGTGCTGATTGTCGACTCTTGACTTCCGCTTGGTCGTATGTTTATTCATCGTGGATCAGGGAGGTGTAAAAGGTGAAGAGGACTGATGACGCATATCGATAACGAGGCGAGATGCCACCCACCTGCTGTAATGGAAAGTTGTAAAAACGGCAAGAACAAACGTGACAGATGCAGACGACATCAACACCACAACATCTCCCGAAAACAACGCAAGAAGAAACAGACACAACAGTCAGCAAGACAACGAGATGCATCACGCCGCACGCTGTCGGCACGCGTGCTCATGCATTCAGACACTCCACGAACACACACACACACATACACATGGAAACGTACAGTAGGTACACCGCATGGCCCCGGACTATCGAGTATTACCTGCCCGCGCACGGAGCACTCGCCCACGCAGCATTGGATGTGTGCACTATGCAGCACCTGGCCGGACCACACAGCCATTCAAGCATGCATGCAGCGAGGTATTACTACGAGTACTTGTATGCACGCGTGTTATTATGGCGCAGCCATCTCGTCCGGCGGACTTGAGACGAGAGCCGGCTCTGAAACGATCTGGTCCTAGTCGAGACACGGCAAGGCCACAACGACGAATAGGTGAGCCATTCAGCCTAAGCAACCGACAATTGAAAGTCTCCGTATCTCCTACGCCCGCTCAGCTAATGCTAAATCGAACAGAGGGAAGAGGCCAAGCACAAGCAACGAGCCATGCCCGCCACCGACCCCTCTCCTCCTCCACTCTTGGAGTCCTGTGGCTCTCGACCAGACGGCGCCCTCCTCCAGCCGTAGCAGATGCCTCAGCCAGAGAGGGCAGCTCCGAGCCGACGGGCTACATACTACAGCACGACCAGCGCCTGGGACGGGGCAGGGAGATCTGTTGCTAGAGGCTGATGCGTCCACAAGGGCTCCGTCCGAGGTACATACATGGCGCACCCCCAGCTTGGCGAATCTCGCAACTGCAGTTGCCCCATGCTCGTGGCAGCCACAGCCAGAGGCCAGACCCGCGCGAGATGTCGCCCAATTGCCCTCTGATCCAGCAGCGCGCAGCTCCTTTGCATACAGTACGGAGCACTTCCGGGACCCAGTACGACGCAGCCGCAATGCGGGAAGTACCAGAGCGTTCTTGTACCGCGGAAGCGCAGAGCAAGCAGCCGCTCCATTGGATGAACCCCCCTCCATTGTGTCCTATTTTCTGCACCTCTCCCCAGAACGTGCAGCAGCCGCACACAAGCACACAAGCACACAAGATGCCCTCCTGCCTGGGTGCTGCACGCGTATTACATGCTCGTGGCGGATGTGCGAGTGCGTTTCTCTTTTCATTCTAGCCTTATCGAGGGTTATCGTGTCGACAAAGCGACTTGTCTGCCCGCTTGTCGGCCAAGCTTCATGCTTCTCCTGCGAATGCTTGATAGCGGCCGATTCATCCCGCCTTGACAGCTCAGGAGTTATGCTTCTGGCAGGCCTCTTGATGGTATTATAATCGACCCCCGCAATCGCCAGGAGCCGGCTGCGCTTCCCTCCTTTGCAAGAGTGTCTCTACGAGGTGCGTTCTTCACGTTGCCCGATCTTGCCTAGGTAGACAGCTTGAGCAAGATTAGGTATGCGAGGCAAGTTGGTGTCTCCATTACCCTCTTCCACTCCCACCATGGTTGGCTGTTCTTAGCATTGTCCGGATGCCGTTGCCGTCTGCTGTCCTCTTCACATCAACAGCTGAGATGCCCCTTGCACCCGGCGTGAGCTTTTCAATACCCCAGACCTAGAGTGCAAGACACACGACGTCGCAGTCTAGGTCACGGTATTACTATACGCTTTCCCTGCAGTTTGATCCCTTGTTCCTCCTCCTCCTGCTGTTGCTCCTCCTTCTCCCCTCCCCTCCCCTCCCCTCTCATCCCCTCCCTCTGTCTCGACTTTTTCTTCCTTTTTGTCGGGCTCGGCTCTGTTTCGAGCCTGTCCACAAGTGTTGGCCGAGAGAATTTATCTTGAGAGGTTTACTTTCTTTTTCCAACCACCAAGCACTAGGTACCGTACTTCGATTCCTCCCCTCCTCATACACTCCCTATCTGAAACGCACACGCCCTCCACCCACTTCCCTGTTAGCTGCTGTCCCATCGATTCCCAAATCAGATCACTTGCTCTGATACGTGCACGCTCCTGTGGAATAGACCAGGCACACTACTCGTCTTCTCCACAGTGGCACGGTGCCCGCTCCGGCCCTTGTCTGCTGTTCACCCTCCTTCTAGCCCAGCCGATGCTCTCAGGTCCGGTTTCTGACTGTCCTGTCTCGCCTCTGTCTGTGTGGCTTTGGCTCTGGACTCTGAACTCTGGCTCTGCTCTGCTCTACCCCTTCCCCTCCTGGGACAAGCTCCTCGTTGGTTGGCCGCCTCCGTCCCGCGGCGTTCTGTCTCCATTCTAGGAAACACTGCGTGTACCTACATACGAAGCAGCGGACGAGCCACATTCTCTGATATTGGATAGTAGCCTGCATGTGCCCGACAGGGTTGCTTCAGCCCTCTCTCCATCTGCTCCCTCTCCCGTACCAAACGCCGTCTCTTGACACCAAGACTACTCCCAATGAGGGTGGCTAGCTTATTCCCAAGCGTCACCCGTCCTTGCCCCAGTCACGGCCATTGTTGTTGTTGAGCTCTCCGTCACCTCCAGCTAGGCCGACCTCGATTTCTTATACAAGGACGTTATATCCACCGCGTACGCCTCCGCAACTTCCCTTCTGCTGTCCCCTTCTTCTTCCCTTCTCCTCCCGTGTCTGATGGTACTTGGCCTGATCCCCCTTCCCTCCCATCGTCGTATTTCCTGTCCCTTTCGATGACTTACGGTTGATAAAATACTCTCCCTCCCTCTCTCTCTCTCTCTCTCTCTCTCTCTCTTCCTCCCTCTCTTTCTTGCATGCCCCCGCAGCCTGCACTCTCTCCTTTGCGCCATCTGCAGCTGCCTACTGCTAAAGCACATGCATACACTCCGGTAACTCGTGGCATATGTGATGATGCTCACCATCAAGCAGCAATCGACGACGTACGGCTACAAGTCGGTCCATGATTTGCCAACTCCGCCCTCCACCTCGCGGCCCTCCCCCCCCTTGAACTACCAAGATCCGTCCTACAAACCATACCTCGCCTCTCAGTCCCAGAGCAGTCCAGTCCAGCCCATGTCTGCTTCTCATCGTGGCCTGCCTCCGCCGGCAGCCATGACTCTACCTCCACAGCAGCCTCCTTCGATTGGCCCTCCGCCACCGCCTTCACATCACGCCCAGCAGCAGCCGCCGCCGCCGCCTCTGCCGCTGGCCCAGCCCTCTCACCAGGCGCAGCCGTGGCCTTCACCTTCGGCTGGCCTGCCTCCCCCGCCGCAGCAATGGCAAGGGGCCGAGGAATCCATGAGGACCTGGCTGCAGGCCAAGACGGAGGAGGAGAGGACGAGGCAAGAAGAGGAAAAGACGAGGCAGGAGACTCTGCGTCTGGAGCAGAGGAAGATTGAGATGGACATCTTGCGAGCTTCTCTTGGCGGTGGCATCCCACCGCCCATGATTCCTCTGGTCTTTGCCGGCATGGGAAGCGGGGGCACGCTCCCCCAAGCCGCCCTCGAATGGGCCCAGCAGTTCATGGCTCCGGCCCAGGGTCACCATCCCCAGCTTCTTCCGCCGCAGCGACCGCACTCGCCGGATCATTCGAGAGAACCTGTTGGCCACGGAGTGATGTACACCACCTCTCCAGCGCAGGTGACCTCAGCACAGGGCCCCGGCGGATACGCGCAGTATCCAGCGTCGCCCTCGAGGCCAAGAGGCCAGACAATCTCCGGCGTACTGGGCCGGCCGATGGCAGTGGGATCCAACATGGTGGGCGTTGCAAACGCTCCTCAGCCCCAGGGGCAGGCACCTCCGTCGGCCATGCCGCCGTATCATCAGGGGCACGCGCATACGCAGTCGCAGTCGTCGTCCCAGCACGATACGAGCCCGTCGATCTATTTCCACCACTGGCAGCCGCCGGCAACGCAGAGCGGCAGCAGCTCGAACCGACCCGGAACACCGTCTGGTTCGTCCAAATCCAAGAGAAAGCGAGAGTCGGTTTGAGCTAACTTGGGCTTGTGCGGCGCTGTGATAACAGGGGAGAGCCAGAAGAAGCGAAAGACGACCGGGGGATCGTCCCAGCAGGCCACCAGAGCGCCGAGCGAAGACCGATTTCGATCCCCGCCGCCATTCGCGCAGCCTGGCTCGTCGAACCCGGCGTCGCCCAGTCGCAAATCGCACAAGCGTCAGCGCAGCGACGTGTCGTGGTATAGGCCTCCAGGACAGATGTACGGCGAAGATGCAGACCGACCTCGAGCGAGGACGCCACCGCAAGCTCACTCCTGGGGCCCCTCGCAGCGCGAGAGGGATGATTTGAGGAGCTCAAAGCAGACGGTATCCTCTCTGCTGTCCCGCGAACCCGAGGATTCGGGCCAGCCGCCACGACAGGGTGCACAGCCTCCGCGCCTTGAGCCTCCGCCACCCATACCGCGAGGCAGGGGGGCGGGAGACCAAAGAGCAGGCGAGCCACCCCTTTCGGCAGGAGAAGTTGACTCAAGGTCCCGAATGGGAGCTGGGATGCATGAGAGAGAGGCCTGATTCAATTCTCGCTATGGGTGTTGACAGCACAGGATGCTCTTGCGTGCCTGGAGGCCCTATGTTTCTGTTGTACCATTTCGTCAACCCAGCCTCGGTTCAACTCTTTGCTTCGCCGTTGTTTCTCTACTCTCATTTGCACATTGTCTTTTTCATCGAGATACTTTTCGCTGCCCGTCGCTTCAGTTTTCATCCGCTTCACTTGCTGCTGGTCTTGGTCGACAGGCTTCGCCTTGACCGCTTCCCCCCCACCCCTTTGTACAATTGACTCAGCATACGTTAAGCACCATCTGCGCAAGTTTCGTTTCATCTTCCAAGGCTACCATTAGGGCAGGAGAGACCAGACTGGTCATGGGCATTTCTCAGACTAGAATGGCGGCCGGATTGCATAGTTTGTTTAGGCGATTTGCACATACATGGCGTTGTTCCTTTTCGGAAGGGAGAGGGAGATTCCGGGCTGTTTGTACTTGGCATTGCATGTGGCCATGAGTGTATAGATAGGATGGCATGGAGATGCGGGAGTTGTCGGGGCTTGTGCCACGGGCGGGCATATCTACTGAAAGAGGAAGATGAGACGAAGAGATGAAGACGAATTCAAGGCAAATTTCCACAGGCCCGAGAGATCAATTTCACGTGCAGATCATGACCAGCAGGAGCAAATCCGGGCAGACGCAGCGGAGGGCAACCGAAATCAAAGTGCTGCTGAGCTGCTGCTCTCTCCCGAGCTTGGGCTGATATCCGAGGGCCAGCAAAGCACGCGCCGGGGTCCCTTTTTGGGGGGTTGCCAATGGCGAAGGACGGCAGGTCTGTAGATGAAACAGGCGACCCATGGGGACGGTATGTATGCGCAGGGTTGCAAGAGAAACCCAGGAGGCTTGCGCTAGGATAGAATTGGATATTGCAGAGTGAGCGGGTTGTTGAGAAGAGGACAAGTGAAGACAAGGAGGCGGCGCAGGACGGGCAAGGGGTCGGGGGTCGGGACCGAAGCAGGAGGCGCTTGAGCGATCGGTCATATGATATCGCGCGGCTCCTTCGCGTAAGGCGCATCCGGATTCCGAGCAGGGCTGACGTCTTTCCAAGCAGCAGAAGAGCGTGTGCATTGGATGAGGAGGTTATTAGTAGTAGTACTGACAGGGCCGGGTTGGTTGCGGGTACGGGTAAAAGGGCGACGGGACGGTGTGGACGAGCAGGTGTCGAGGGTTGTACTCGTACGTTGGGTGCAGTAGTACGGGCTGTGATGCTACGTTGATGGTGTATAAGTGAGGTGAGTTGGGGGGTGCTGGAGGTTTTGGTGAGCATGCAGATGGAGATGGAGATGGAGAGGAAGATGAGAGAGGAAGATGAGAGAGCAAGATGAGAGAGGTGAGTGCCCCGACGGTGTATGGCCAGGTTCGTGAGAGTGAGGGTGAGGGTGAGATTGACAAGTGAGATTGACAGCGAGCAGTGAGGATGAGAAGGGACTCTCGTTGTTGTTTCGGGGCAAGATGACAGGTCCTGTAATGTTTTTGGGCGAAGGCGATTTGCATCCCGAGATTAACAGGGGCTCTGAAGGTAAGGCAGGTACCTTTTGAACAAGGTCTATTGTGAGGTGGTACCAGCTAATACGGAATACCCTGGGTAAGCTGGCTTGAAGTTGAGGGCTGTATGTTGGCACCTACCTACTTACTACCTAGGTAATCTAGCGTTGCATGGGATTATAATGCCCTACTACTCCCTAGTAGTATTCAGAAAAGAAGTAAAAGAGGGCATGGGTACGGACGTATTTGTGTTTTTGTCAGATGCATTAGTCTGCATGCATGAAGGACTTGGGCCTGCATGGTCATGATGCCCTTTTTTTTACGGTTTACCGGAATTGGACAGACCGCTGTTACTACTACCACTTTCGAAACCAGGTACGCATGGCGTTATCCAAAGTACCTAGGTAGTTGCTTCTCAAGCTCTCCATGGCCAGGGAGTACCTGGGGTCGGTAGGTAGGTAGGTAAGTTGTGAAAGGTGTTGAGAGTTCACTAGGTACCTAGGAAATGCCGAGGCAAAACTGTATTAGTACTCGTATCTTCGTATCGACCTGGCGGGGGGAGGGGAGGGATTTACGAGAGGTTATGTACAGTATGATCAGATCGGAGAATTGGTGGAGCAAGCGTTTTTCTCTTTCACGTATAATAGGACAAGGGGAATACAGAGGTTTTTGTGTAGGACGGAAGAGGAAAGGATTACTGTATATGGCGTTTTTGATGATGAGCCAGGGAGGGGTGCATCATTGTTGTTGTTAACTCTCTTTTTTCGTATACTACTACTATCTTAGTATGGGCATTGCCGGGATCGGGATTGCGGGCGTAGAAACGGGTACCTGTCTCCGGCTTTTTTGGTTTTTTTTCTGTTATTACTACCTTATTTAGGACGGGACGGGATAGTGGGTGATACTAGATGCTTTTGTTCGTTTCCATGATCCCTAGCTAGGTAGGTATTATTATTACCTTTGGTAGAAAGTTCTCAAAGTGTGGCTGTTTTTGCAAGGGACAAGGTAAGGGACTACCTATCGAGAAAGCTTGTTTCGTGTCATTGGAGCGAGTGTAGTATCCTTGGATATCGGCCAACTTACCTATGTAGACGCGGACCATTTTCTCCGAGCATATGTATGTATGTATGTATGTACATGGAGCAAAGTGAGCAAAGTCCCGAATTCAAAACACGAGGATGATTGACATGCATTCTATTACCGTATCGACTGACTATTGTTGTAGCTCTGTTGCTCTTGTTACACGGCATTGGATGTTTTGTGTCGGCGTGCGAGGGAATTCAAAGAGAAGACGAGAGTGAAAGAATGGCTGGACAGAAAGCTAGTCTATGTATGTATAGTAGACGAAGAAGCTGTTTGTTCAGAGTTGAAGACAGTAATAAGGTAATTCTCCATCGAACAAGATACTTACCCCCCCCCCCCCCCCCCCCCCCCCTAGTTCAGAGGTTGGCCGGGTATCGCTAGCCAGTACATGGAGAGAATGCCGGAGCATCGCCGAGAGAATGTGTTGCCGAGTTCGGGAATTGTTCCCCTTATTTGATGGAGCCGTACACATGCTAAAACCAGGGAGGGAGGAATACTAGTCGGGAAAAATGGAGAGAGAGAGAGAGAGAGAGAGGGCCATGGCGGTGGATTTGGCTGGTACGATGAACTTTTGCTTGATGGATTTGTAACTACCTAGGAACTTTTCAAGGAGATTTGAGGTGTTTTTGTTGTGTCAATGTCGGTCAGTGTCCGGCGCACTGTATTGTCCAGGAACAGCTTGGGCCGATCCTTTCAGGTACGACGAATATGAAGATGAAGACGAAGAAGAGGGACTTGATGGTTTCTAGCGTTTTGCCGGGGAAGTTGCTATTGGGGGGGCACACTAGGTAGGTATGTAATGATCTCTTCTATGGAGTACCTTATGTATGAAAGTGGCATTGAGAATGGGGGTTCTAGCTGGGTAGGTATGGATATATGGATGTATGTACCTTGGTAGGGGGGGGTAGGTGTGATTGTAGATGCGAGAGACCTGATGAACATTGGTATACGAAAGGAATCATTGACGTGACAAGTCATGTAAGAGCTGGACAGCTGTATCTCAGCGATAAAGTCCTTGTTGCTCGTGCGTATGCTTTTGCCGTGCCGTCTCGGCTTGACTGACATACGATGCTGGAATACGAAATACGAGTTGCACATAGCTTCGGGTAGCATGCTCAGCGCATCCCATGAAAACTCACAGCCTCAAGAGAGGAGGAGAAGGAGAAGAAGAAGAAGAAGAAGAAGAAGAAGGGAGACAGACTCGGAACGATGCAACCTGTGTCCTACCTAGGCTCGGCAGTCGGCTAGTAGCATCTCTTTTTTTCGGCATCAATTTGCACTTCACACAAGCCATGGAACCCAACGAGATGTAACACTTTGTTTTCCTTTTCCTTTTCCTTTATACCTGCATCTACAAGGTCCGTAGCTATGCGTCGTCCATGCCTTACCTACATAGGTATTATACTCAAAAGTACATGTAGGTAGATTAACCGCGCCCCTGCATCAAGTTCAAGTGTATCCCATACCGACACGTGTAAATCATCCATTCAACAAAAACCAACCACGAGGTTTCCGAGTCCCTACCTACCTAGTATGCTCAAGGCGGGCTCTTCACATGCCATACACAATCACCTAAATTGGCACTTCGTCTCTCGGCCAAAGACACACACGCACACATACACATACACATTCCGCTAAGCTGCAAGAATACAACTTGATATTTTCCAGTCTTCCTCTTCTTCTCTAAAGGAAAAAATCAAGCATCAAACACCCAGTTTCAACGCTTTCACCCCCCTCCTCTGACAAGGTCCACACCGCAAGAGCTCGCTACATCATACACACGCAAGAAAAAAGAGTTGAATACCTACCAAGGTATGATGGCACCACACACACCTCTTGAGTACCTCTACCCTTCTCTTGTATACTTAATAGTACATGGCCCGTATTGCAAGGGGCATATATATATATATATATACCTTATGTGTATAGAGATATAAATACATCAAGGGCTTCGTATTTGCCAAAGTAAAAGTTTCCTATACGAACGAGGCCCCCTACAAAAGATGATAGATCTACATTGTCGCAATCCATTGTGCCTTTTCCTCTCTCTCTCTTCTGTCCTTTCCAATATATAAGCTTTGGTGATAAATGATGTAAGTATACAGCCACGTCGTGGCTTTCTGCCATCACTATTATACTTTACGTACCTTGTAACATAAACAAGATGATATGTTAGCTATGAATCTGCAGCATACTCCTTCATGTCGTCAGCCCTTCTCCCTGCCTCCCTCCAGCTCAACTTCATTGTACGACCCCCTTCACTAGCATAGAGCTCATTGAAAGGGAGGTGAGAGGGCCAAGTACAGTCCAAGGCCAGTGCTGCACTCAGGTGACAAGCATTCAGGAAACGACGAGCCAAAGGACATGGAATCCCAAAACATGACCCCCGAAACCATGATCTATTTCTTTCATGTGTGACAGACTCTGTATCCCCCTTTGCAGAGCCTGCTCAGGAACCCAGCTCAGCCACGCGTACATGAAGCTCACTGCCAAAGCTTCAGCAAGTGCTTACGGGGTGCAACGCGCAAACTCAATGCCACAACACAAACAGTCAACAAACCTCCGCCTGCATTAGTGATACTAGATAGTGTTGCTTTTGTTTCCCTACCAAATCGCCGCCGTCTAGTTACATCTGCACCGTCTCCTCCGCACCGTTGGCACATCAACTCCGGGCCATTCTGGCCGGGTAAAGATGATGGCCGACCAAATCTCCAACCCACCCACTCACTGCTCAAAAAGACAAAACGCCTCCGTGACGGAAGGGTATCCATAACTCAGGGCCGACCGTACGCCCGCTTCGCGCCACCCTGTCCCAAATCCTGGTATATGAAGCAAACCGAAAAAGAAAACGCGAGAAAACAGACTGAGAGTGCGAACAAAGTGGCCGAAGCAAGTGGATGAGCCACGTCAAAAAGACAAAGGAAATTAGGTGTCGAGAGGTGTCGAGGTTATCGAGTAGACCATCTGATCATGCATAGAGGGTATCGGGAGGCTGACCAAAGATGAGGGGTATCGGAGGTGCGAAGCTGAAAATGATAGTGGCAAGGACAGTGCTGTGTGAAGCCCAGGGGGGCCGTTCCCTGCCCTCCCATATTCCGAAAGAGACAAAAGAAACAAAGTAGTAGTAGGGAAGAAAAAAAATACAGTCGAAGAGAAGGTGAAAAAAAAAAAAAAAAAATCAGCCCGTCAAGGCCATGATCGAGAGGCAAGCGTGCTAAGTCTTCTTCTTGCCTTGGTGAGACTTCCATTCAGCTTTGGTCACCTTCATCAACAGATCCTCGTCCTTGATGGGGATCCATGACGTCAAGGCCTTCATCGCGTTTTCAAAGTCAGAGTCCAGCAGCACCTCGCGAAGGGCCTGGATCAAGGCGGCGCTCGTGGCGTGCAGGATGTCGAGCCCGGTGGCCGGGCTTGCGTCGGGGTCGGCGGCGCTGAGAGGCCTGTTTGGTTCCGCGGCGCTGTCCCCTAGCAAGAGGAACACGTCCCAGACTCGCAGCTGAGCCGGGAAGGGGATGGAGAGGTTGAAGAGGGTGAGGTACCACCGAGTGCCGTATGCTGTGATGTCTACGCTGAGCTCGGTCTACACAAGGAGAAAAAAACGACACGGTTAGAATAGCATTCGAAAAGACGAAGAAGAAGCCCCATGGGGCATTTGCTACGTGTTTGCCATGTTCAAAACTCACCAGCCTCTTGGCCACGTCCTTGTTCAGCCAAGTCTCGTTAAACTCCTGCAGCGCCTTCATCAGACCCTCAAAGCCTGGGCGATACAGCCGATCGAGTCCCCGTAGCTGCCACAGGCGCACCAGCATGACGAAGCATTTCTCCTCGTCAAAGTAGCAGAGCAGCGTCGCCGCCAAGGACGCCATGCCCTGGACGTAGCCCGTCGCCGGGAAGTAAATGGACAGGCAGTGCAGGACGCGAAACAGCAGCCGCTGGCCGCCACGATACCGTTTGCGAAACATAATGTGGCGGCTGATGGTCCGCGGCACGTCGAGATCAATCTGCACGTCGTCCGGCGAGCTCTGCTCCAGCAGCCGGTGAAACGAGGCGACAATCTGCTCCTCCGTTGGGTAGCCCCCGTGGTCCGCGGCCGAGCTGGCCAAGAAGGACCACCAGGCGGCGGCGCGCCAGCGATCGGGAATGCCCTTCCACGTTCGCTCAATGAGCTTAGGGTTCTTCCTGTCAAACTCAAACTCCATGCCTTCGCCCTGGCCGCCCTTGCGGACGACCTTTGCCATCTTGCGCCACTTCTCGGACCGCTCCCATTCCTTGCGCTTCAGCGCCTCCGATATCCTCTCAATCTGCGCTTCCTCGGCGGCGTCTTGGAGGCTGGTCGGAAGCGTGAGCATGTCGCCGGCTTCGTCCAGCCATCGCCGGTCGCGGTTATGAGGCAGCAGATTGCTAGCCTGTCGGATGACGGATCGCGACGAGCGCTTCGAAGCTGTGGAGAGTTCCGAGGCTTGGGTGTTGAGCGACCTTGCCGACATTTTCCTGCTGGGACCTAGAGGCGACAGGCCGGCCGTCTCTCTCTTCTGCAGCCTCCGCCGAGGCGAGAACTGGGCCGACTTCATCTCGGTCGGGGTGCCGAGTCGTGATCGGGGCGCGGTGATGAAGCCATATCGATCCACGTTGGCGCCGTCGACGTCTTCCCAGTCCTCCAGGCCGCCCGCAAGCTCCGTCTCCCGTCTGTAGTCAAGGTGCACCGAAGAGCTCGTCGACCGGACAGATCGCGGAGTCCCCCAGGTAGGGACAGGCGGTGGGAGGATGCTACAAGGCGACGAGAAGGCGCGGAAAAAGCCGTTAGCTACAAGATGCACAGAACAAAGAAGCACTGAGGCCCGACACACACGCGCGCGCGCGACGCCGGGAATCGTCAAGGGAATCCATACGAGTCGTTCCCATCGTCCTCTGCCGGGACCTCTGGGGTAGGCTCCAAGGGTTCGCAGTACGAGCGCCTTGCGCCATCCTCCCAATTGATGGCATCGCCAACCCCGTAGAGCGATCTCACCTTTTGAGATTCCTTGTCGACGTCGGATGCTAAAAGGCGGATGTCGGGCGGCGGTTGAGCGCGGGGCGCGAGGCTGGGGTTGGAGGGAGAGGCGGATGCAGAGGGAGAGGGAGAGGCCGCGGCAGCGGCCAAGGACTCGATGCGGTCGACGCTGGTGCTGCTGGATCGTGCATGGCTGTGGGTGGGCGTGGAAGGGGCAGAGACATTGGCTCTGCCGACGTCGTTGGTCCCGTCGAGGCCCAGCGCTCCGGCGCGTCGCCCCCCGAACATGATGCTGCCGCGGTTCGAGAAGGACAGCGTGGCCATAAAATCATCCTCGAGCAGGCTGTGGCTCGGGATGCAGATGCCCAGGGGCGCAAAGCCGTCTTCGTCGTCGTCGTCTTCGCGGTCGTCGAGCTTGGCGTCGTCGTCGGCCGGAGAAACTGGGTCGCGAGAGGCTGAAGAGGCCTGTGACGACGGGAGAGACGACGTTTGTGCAATCAACGACCGCAGTGGCTGCTTTTGAGTGGAGGCTGGCTGCGAGCCCCGCATCAGGGGCTGCATTGGCGCGTTGGCGGCAGTCGATCCCTCGTCAAGTGCCAGGGCTTGCAGGGCTAATTTCCCCTTTGCCGATGCAGAGGAGCAGACGCTAAGGCGCTTGAAGATGCTGTGTCTCTTGGGCGAGACTGGCGACGACGACGGGGGCGGCGACTGCGACTGCGACTGCGGCTGCGGCAGAGGAGGAGGAGGAGGAGGACGAGGTGAAGGAGGTGAAGGAGATTGCGAGGGCGGCGGCGGCGGGGGTTGGCAGGGTCGAAGAGCTTGAGGGCGACTCGGTGCGACGGCGGCAGGATAGAGTTTGGCGAGGGAAGGAAATGACGCTGAGCCCGACGCGGCTGGCTGGCCGACGGCTGTCTCACTCGTTGGCGAGCTCTGCCCGCCAGCCGGCACTTGGCCGACAGCTGCTTCGTGCAGAGGTTGAGCCTGTGGGACGCGATGCCGTGCAACGACGTCGACCTTGCTGGGCCTAGGGGCCGAGCGCTTGCTGCTGCCGGCAGAGGAGTCGCTGTCGTCTGCCAGGTGCTTGCCGGCTGACTTGCCGCCTTGCCTGCCCTCGTCCTCCTCCTCGCAGTCCTCTTCGTAAATGGTGGCTGCCGAAGTCGGCGTCGGGGCGTGGCCAGAGTCTCTCTTCCAGCTCTCGCGAACGAGCTTTGCCTGCCGGACGGGCGTGGGCGCCCTCAGGGCCGGGTGCTGCTCTGTGGGCGGTGGGATGGACGGCAGGGAGAGCTGCGGCGGCGCAACCACCACCAGGTTCGGCGAGTACAGGGAGAGGGCGTACAGAGACGGCGACGGGGAAGGGCACGGAGAGGATGCCGACGAGCGGATGGACAGCGTGCGGATGGTGTTGCGGGAGGCGCTTCTGGGCGGCAGCGGGATGGGCGGCTCTGCCTGGACCGTCTTTTCGTAACGGAGGCTGATGATGCTGCTGTCGCCGGACCGTCGCGATCGGGAGCTGGACGGGCGGAGGGACGTGATGGCCATGGCTCTGTCGGGGCGTGAGGGAGGCGCTGCCTGGCTGTGAGGGCCTTGGTCCTGTCCCCGAGCCTGAGCCTGAGCCTGAACCTGAGCCTGAGCCTGAGACCGAGACTGGGGCTGCGGGCAAGACTGAGGGCGAGACGGTGGACGGCTTGCTGGATATGGACTTGAGCTGCTGCTGCCGCCGATGGCGGTGCCGTGCAGGGCGGTGCTGCTGAGGATGGCAATGGCGTTGATGCTGAGGCCGGTGCTCTCGGTGCTGTGCGAGCGGAGGCCCCGAGTCCAGCGTCTGAGCAGCTTGGCGAGGCGTGAGGCAGCCAGCTTGACCGACTGACCGACTGACTGATGGCCAAATCAAACCGATGGTGAGCTGCAGGTGCAGAAGCGAGGATCGGAGGATTGGTAATCGAGGGGGGCGCCTCGAGTCACCGCCGGCCGGTGCAGGAAGGCGAGGGCAAAAGGCGAGGCAGAGGCGAGCGTTCGGCAAGTCGGCTCTTGCGCTGGTCTTTCCCTCGGGGGAGTCGAGATTGCGTGGCAGCCCAAGATCAGGTCAGGTCAGGTCAGGTCAGGTAAGGTAAGGTAAGGTAGAGGTAGTAGTGGGTTGTATCTCGACACTTTTTGCCGCCTTGGGGATGCGGGTAAGAATCGAGGGAAGCGAGAGTGCGGTGACAAGCGAATATATCGCTGGATGCAGACGAGGAGAATGGGCTTGGAGTGTTCTGTTCCTGGGTGGCTGGTAACGATGCCTGAGGAGGAAAAGGAGGGCGAAGAGGGGGTTGTGTGTGAGTGAGTGAGTGAGTGAGAGTATGTAGTGAAGTGACCAAGGGAGGGAAGACGTCAAGGTAAGGTAGGAGGAAGAAGCTGGGAACGAGGGCGGAAGCGCGTATCGGCGTTGAGTCGTGGCTCTCGTCAAGTCGTAACGTCGTAACTGCTGTGAAGGAAGGGATCGGGCAGTCTGCAGCCCTGGCGATGCGCTGTCACGGCAGGTAGGCGGGATGCAGACAGGAGATGTGTTGACGTCTTGGTTAGGTATCGTGATGAAGTCGCATGAGGAGAAGTCGGTGGAGGAGCCCCTCGGGGTTTTATGCCAGTCCCAACTGTCCAACCCCGGCACTGGCACGCAAACAATGAGCTTCAAATAGGAAGACGGCCGAGAGAGAGTGCCCGAGGGAGATGCTGAGGGTGATATCTATAGGAGCAGAGGCCAACAAACTTGAGTAGGTACCCAGGTAGGCAAACAGTGGTGCAGCCAGAAATCCGGGGAAGGCGTAGCGAATGCCTGGGGCTGCGGGCCGTCGTTTGTCTACTACCTACATGTACTTTCTAATAGTACTACTAGTAGTACTCGGGAGCTGATCTGGAGATGATGCCCCTTGCATAGGTAGGTGGATAGATACTTATATCCATATAAGCCTCCTAGGACGTGGGTACATGTAGCCAGCTAGTAGTAGTAGCAGTAGTAGCAGAAGAGGTCATGAACCCAGGCAAAAGCAAGATAGAGCTGAGACATGAGTTGCCGCTCCAGCGAATCAAGGCTCGAGAGTCGGACTGAGCTGAAAACCATGAGGCGGGATGAGGAAAAAAGAAACGAGGGAAAAAAGAAAGGGAAACCTGAGAGAGAAATGGGCTCCTCTTTGTACTGATAGGCAAGCTCTTTTTCTCTCTGTGTGTGTGTACGAGTACGCTACGAGTATTATCGATTACTATGGTGATGGTCTCATGCAGGGCAGCAGCTCGATGGACGGCGGATGGACGGGTGCGACTGTAATGGTGCTTGTGTGCCAGCCGGGCTGCTGTGCCTCGACGGCCATGATACGATGTGCGACTGGGCAGTTGCTTGGTTTCTCTCTTGTCTCTCTCTCCTCTGGGTTCCTCTCCAATAGATGGTAAGCCATCACAGACTCCCATCCTCTCATCCACCACATGTAAAGTGAAGCTCAGTCTAAACTGCCGAGCCCAGATGCACGGATAGCTTCAATGCATACATCCTGACCCAATCGGAGATGCACGATAATACAGAGGCACCAACGCTAGCACGCCGCCTCCTCCTCCTCCAACAAGCTCACCAGCTGGAGCGTTCCAATTAGTAGGTTCATCACGATGCTGCCCTGGCTAGTGCCGGGACAGGGATCAATCCCCGATGGATCATGATGGATCATGGAGGGCCAACCGATGGGACCTGAAGCTAGTAAGTACTACTACATACATACTACTACTACTACTAGGTAGGTAGGTTAGTAGGTAGTGATACTACAGCACAGACTCACAGCTACAGCCCCCCCGGCTTGCAGCGTCTTTTAGGGTCCTCCAGCGGCCATCCAGGCGGTCGGTAGGTCACCTCACCATCATCACCACCAGCAGCACGCCGCGCCGGCCCCCCCTCCGTTAGCGTCCAGCGCCTCGGTCAAGAGCTGGAGGGAGCTGGAGCCCAACCTAAGGTATGTACTAGTACTAGGTACCTTAGTCTTCATGTTGTGAGGGTGTCGAACTTTGGGCCTCAAGATGCCGCCACCCTCCTTGCCAGTCGCTGACTTGTAAAGCTGCGAATAACATGCAGCATCGCAGAGTGCATAATGACGCAGCTTGAATGAACATCTCGGCGGTGCCTCCTTTTGTTCGCACACGTTCGCTGCCAGTGCAATCAAACCCATCATCCACTGTACATGTACCCAAATCTCCCACCGCTTTCCTTCGGCTGCCTGCTGTTTCAAAAGGGTCGTTTGGCGAAATGTGCGCGGCTGTCCATCTGTCTGTCTGTCTGTCTATCCGCCTGTCCACATGCTGCAAAAAAAGCAAACGAGCAAATGAGGACCCCCTCCTCCCAGCGCCTGACCGGGGGGTGGGTTAGGAGAAGGCACAGGGGAGCATCATGGATGTCAAATGGCAGGACGCACAAGCGGAATTTCGCCAACATCACACACATTAGGTAACCTGGAACAGGTTCCAACGAATGCTACGACGGCTGTGGTGTGGTCAGCCAGTCAGTCAGTCAGTCAGTCAGTCAGTCACTGGTAGGTATTGGCAGACGTTGTCGCCTTGGACAAGCATGAGCAGCAGCCTCTAACAGGTTGGAACCTGGAGAGAGCCAGCAAGAAGAGAAACGGGACATGGATTGCTGACCACCGACCGGAATATGTACCTATGCATCTCGTATATGCACCCTTGCGTCCGCAAAGCAAACGAATGAGTGCATATGCAAACCGCAAACCGCAAACTACTAGTAATACCTTGCTGTAGTCGACGTTCTTGGCAGAAACAAAGACGCCACAAGTAGAAACTCTCTCTTCTCTCATACCTACCTAGGTTTGTATGTATGCTCATGCAATCTTCTGAGCGAGGAAACAAGGCCAGTCCTGCCTCGGTAGGAGAACGACATGCATACATACATACCTTAGGTTATCTATTGTTTGTCCATGCCGGGTGCCTTGCGAAAAGCCTTGCTGCTCTACATACCTTACCTTACCTACCTGGTACTGACTGGCCCGCGGATGCAGACACTTGAAGTGCTAGTTGCATGATGCTACTGCTCTTGAGCCCGGCAATATCACAACCGGCCTTGCAGTTTGCATCTGCATCTGCATCCGCATCTGCATCGCAGGACGTTGGACAGAGGCAAAGGCAGAGAGACTACATGTAGTATCAAGAGGCCGCCTCATGCAAGGGCCGTCACTTTTCACAACGAGCTCTCCCATCCATCCATCCATCCATCCATCCATCCATCCATCCATCCATCCATTACTGTAGAGCTTCATATTACATACTGCATACTTTACCTTGACTTGCCGTACTTTACTTGACGAGTCCATCTGCAAGGTACCCGACGCCAGCGAGACGCGGCCCAATCAACCACTCCCGCGCCACACGCTCGACGCCTCCATCACACACACATACGCACATACAACACAAACACGCATCCTCTCGCCAAAGAGAAGTTTGGGCACAAATACTAGACTCATACGCACACACACACACACAGGCACACACATGCAGCCCAGGCCTCCCCTCCCGGAGCAAAATTCCCCCACCCCGTCCCTCCCGATTCGCTCGCCGTCTCTCCCTCTCTCCCCTTTCCCCTCTCTCACCACCACCACCACCACCACCACCTTCATCTGCTTCCTCGCTCAGGACCCTTTGCTATTACTAGTAGTAGTACTTATCCTCTGACGCCTCCTCGCCTCCGCGCCCGGCATCATGCAGTCCCCCGAAGACGCCAACGCAGGAACAAGGATTGAAAACGAAGAATTCACGGCCAATCATCTCATGGCCGTGGATATACATACATGCAAGGGGCGAAAGAGAAAAAAAAAAGTGAAAGGAGAGAGATGCTCAGCTCGGCAATCTCTCTCTCTCTCACAGTCGCCGTCTCTCACTTCTCACATTTGTTGAATTGGGGGGTTTTTTTTTTCCCTTCTTTCCTCTATCGTCCTTGGGCAGACTATTTTGGAGAGAGAGAGAGAGAGAGAGAGAGAGAGAGAGCTAATTGTCGAGCTTTTCGTCTCTCTCTTGTCAAGTTCTGTTCCGCAGCATTCCCGTCTTCGTCTGCTCGGAACTTCGGCGGTACTCCGTATCACCCGTTCTCTTTGACGGCTTCTGTGGCCCCCTCCCTTTGACTTTTTCATCTTTTTACCATTCTCTCTGTTTTCACTCAGATACATCATGGTGTACGTGTGTATGTGTATGTGTTCCCGCCATCAGCTCACTGCCCGTCAGAACGAAAGAGTGACATCCATCTCCCCAAGCTATGTAGGTATTGCTGCCCCTCTCTGCTACCTGTTCGTATAGCCTCAACTGTCATCTGGTGTAGGTCTACGCCTTGTGATACCTTTGGCGCACCGTCATGCATTTCCGACGGTGTATGACATACATACACAAGTCCATTCTCTCTACCTATTCTGGCACAAGCAGCATTGATTCTCAGCAAAGTTGACTCATGCCCATTCAAGTAACACCGCTTGTCGTCGTGACTGTGTCAAATTCAGCAGCCAGCCAGCCAGCCAACTTCTCTCTCCCGCACATCCTCTCTCTCCCCCATACATACCTTATATCCTCCGTACCATTTTCCCCTAATAATAATAGAAAATGCCCTCAAAATGAAAAAATCCATCCATGCAACCGGCCTTCCCCTCTCCACCAATCACCGCCATCCCTCTCGCCAAAACAACAAACCATACGCAAACACCCGCTGCCTCATGAATCCCCCCTCCTCCTCCTCCATCATCCCGCCCCTTACTCATACATACATACCTTGACCAGGTCTTACGACGCACCTAATACCCCCCTCTCTCTCAACTCATCTCTTTTTCCGACTCTCACTGCACAAGAGGACACGGTAAAAAAAGAATAATAATAAACAATAAACTCCCATCTGCAGCCTACCTATTCTAACTCAACACCGACCAGCCCGTTTCATCTCCAAAACTGGGGAGCAGTGCAGCCCGTTGCCAGCTCACAAGCAAGCAAGCAAGCAAGCAAGCATCATCCCGGCAACGAATCGGCTCAGCAGCACCCCGGACGGAATCACACCGGTCTTTTTGGCCTGCCTTTCCTTCTCTCCTCTTGACAAATCAAGGCCATTTTTCTTCTTCTTCTTCTTCTTAGCCCCCTCCATGCCCAACCATCTAAAGAAGCAAATGAAAAGAAAAAGAGAAGAGTTCAAATAGATTAAGTGACCACCCAGCTCGAATAGGTTGTATTAGTAAAAGGCGTCCATCCCGCCAGCGCATCGCCTTTCGTTTAGCATTATGGAGGGCCCAAAATGCCGGCCGCCGAATTTCCTAGTGGTTCTTGATAGGTATCCAGACTTGCACTGAAGAGCGGGAGTGTTTTGGTTGCTCCATCAGGTTCTCAATGGATCAGGAGTCCTTTCTCCGCGAGCTTATTCGACTTGTTTCTTTTGAGGTAGATCTCAACGACAACTTCCGGTACCTTCTCGAGGGATGGTATGTAGAGTTGACTTCAATCTTTCTGTGCCTATTCACTTCCAAAGTGTTTCCTGAAAAGATAGTAAAACCAGGAACTATGTGCCCATGTGGTGAAACAGTTTGTCTTCACACATCTCATGGTCGTGTATAAGCAAGCTCTCCCGATTGGAGTACCTAGCCATTATGAATATGGAAGAAAAAAAGAGAAAAGGGAATTAATAAGAGTAATGAGGTTTCCCTGTCAGCCACTATCCGTTATACCAGCGGCGTCTTCATCCCATCAAGTCATCGATAAGCAACCGGCTCATCTGGCCCATATCAATATCGTCATATACTTCGTTTCACCGTGCAATAAGCCCTAGATGTTACTCTATAGATTTGTCTTCCTCCCTTTCCACCCCCCATTCCCCCCTATCCCCACCCACAGTCCACCTCCTTTGGCCCTCCCAGGAAGAATAGGTAGATAATGAAAACAAACGCTCACCGTTGACAAGGCTTTTCGTGTGTGTCCTCATGATGCCAACCACAGTGTTTTTACCTACTCTCTCCCCTTCAAGACGCCCGTCAGTCTTTCTGCTGGAGATGCAGCATCTGCAGCTCCATTCAAACCTCCTCATTTTCCCAATCCTTCTCCTGGAACATGGGCGGGTTCCGCGTCCCATTCACCTCCAGCTTTTCCAAAAACTCGGGCGGCACAGTCGGAATGTACTTGCGCTCCCGCTCCCTGTTGACGCCTCCAAAGCCCGCCCCGTACGAGACAAGCATGTCCGTGACCGACGGCAGCGCAAAGGGCAGCATGTAAGCCGGGTTCAGCAGCAGACCCTTTGGCGTGCTGTCCTCGTCGTCTGAATCGGCGCCCCTGATGCTGGGCGATTTCATGTTGACGCTCCTCGGGGTCGACAGCCCGTTTCCATTGAAGCTGCCCGTTACTGGCGTGCTCGGAAGGCTCTCTGTCGTGCTTTGACGCCGATCCTTCTTGAGCGCAGTCTCTTTCTGGATCGCGAGCAAATACTTCATCGCGCTAGCCGGCAGCCCCTTTTCGCCCACTTCGGGTCGGTAATGCGTGGCGGAATGAATCAGCTGCTGCGGCGTCAACCTCTTCAACTGCTGAAGAGTGTCGACGAGGGCCTCCAGGTCATCGGCATTCAGCGACGAGAAGCATTGCAGCCATTGCAGCAGCTGAATCACCGGGGCGAGGTGTCGCTTGGCCGCGTCCATTGTTGTCTCGCCCGATGAGTCCATCTCGCCGCCTTCGTAGTGTTCCGCCTGTCTATTGTTTGTTCGTGCCCAGTCCTCCACCATGGACACGTTCATGCGGATCTGCATGGCCTTTGTCCTGGCGAGGTACTTGCGGTTGGACATGACCCTGTTGAACAGCTCGCACCCAAGCCAGTAGAGAAGCTGAGAGATGATTTGTGCCGTGATGACTGAGTGGACATCGTACAGGTCTAGCACGAAGAGCGTCGATGACAGCAGGGAAGTGACATTTCGGGGAGCCGGCTTTGCTCTCTGCTTGGGAGACGGTGGCCGGTAGCGCTTCTCGAGAGGCTGCTCCTTGACCGTAGACTTTCTCTTGAAGATCTTCCACTCATTCTGGAAGGCGATATCCTCGAATCCGGGGATAGTCTCGTGCTCTAGCATGGCAGGATCGAGGACCTTGTCCAGTCGTCTCTCGGCATCCCGGACAATCAGCACAAAAATCTCATTGATCAGCTCAGCCAGCTGTGCCTGGAATGTGGTCGTCGCCTCCACCAATCCAGCATCTTTCTTGAGGTAGTGTAGGAGGAGCGTGGCATTGGACATCCAAAACGCCAAAATGGTCATATCCCACTGGGACTTTTCGACAACGGCATTGATGCGCTGCATTGCAGACACGAGCAGTCGTCTCAGCAGATCGGGACTGGCGTGGTAATGTGCGTATCTCGCACTGAGAAAGATCATGTTTGCCGGTACCGGCTTCTGCGACGGCGACCGCTGGGGCGTCATTTTGGTGACGACGATATCCAGTATCCGATCGAGTTCGTGCTCCTGGAAGACAAACATCTGGTCGTGGAGGCAGCGACTCCAGTCAAACTCTTGCTGTTCTTCTTCGAAGTCGTCCATCGTCTGGTCATTGATGATGGAGTTAGCTAACAAGAAAGGAGTCCGAAGGGGGGGAAAGAGGAGAGAGGAAGAAGCTTGGGTGCTCTGCGGCAACAGTTTTTGACTTACCTCTGGCTGATCGTCCATGCCAACGTTTCCCAAATCAACCTCCAAATCGCGGGCACTCTCCATCATCAGTCGTCTCCGCATCTCGTTCTCCGCCATCTCCTCCTCAAAGCGGTCCTGTGAGAAGCCGGGATTGTAAAAGTCGCCGCCCATGCCCGCGTTCCCGATAGTGTAGCCATTGTCATGCAAGTAAAACGACATGTCGCTGTCTGGAGGAACAAAGTCGAACGCGGTCCGCCCGGACGACGTCTTTTGCTCCGAAGATGCGCCCTTGTCCAGCAGCAGCTTCGCGATGCCCTTGTGGCGGTTCGTCATTGCCCACATGAAAGGCGTCCATTGATTGCGATCCTGCTGGTTGACGTTGGCACCGGCAGCAATGAGAGCCTCGACGACCTTTTCGTGACCCTACGGGTACCCGATTAGCAAATGAGTCGCTACAAACCCGCATCCTCCTTTGACAACAATTGGGGCGCGACGAACAAAGCAGCTGGCGTAGATCAACGCGGGGGTGCCGTCGTCGTCGGCAAGATTGACGTCCACAAAGGGCTTCGCCTCGCCCTCGAGCAGCTTCTTGACCCTTTCAGTGTCGCCATTGCTGGCAGCCATGGTGAGTGCTCTCTGTAGAATGTCCTTCTTCTCGGACTCGGTCATCTTGTCGTTGTTGATGATGGCGTCCTCGTCTTCCAGCGCCGCCTCGTTGCGGTGCGCGGCCTGGGCGGCCAGCATCTCCATCAGCCTGGCGTCGCTGTCCTTGGGGCCGCTGTCGATGAAGTCGTTTTCGTTCGAATCGTTGAGGGAGAGGTCACCAAAGTTGAGGGGCTTTGCGAGCACGGGCGATGTGAGGAATTGGGACTGGCCTGGCAGGAGTTAGCGAGTCCAGCACCTTCAAAGCCTGGGAATCAAGTGCGTTTGGTATGGCCCTAGGCCGTATGCCATCATGTGAAAGTCGGTTATAAAAGGGGGGAGGGCCAAGGGGAAGCAGGTGCTCGCCACTGGAACAAGCCGCAAACGCAGCACAACGCCAAACGCACCTTGCCAGCCATCGTACATCTCCGTCTCCGGCACCGTAAACTCTCCCGCCGCGTGTCTGCGATCGTCCAGAGACGTGGGCAAGTCAGCCGGAATGGTCCGTCGCTGGGCCTCGCCGCCAGAGTCCCCGAGATCCATGGTGGGAGGAGGGGCAGAGCCAGAGTGCCTGGCTCATGAGACGCCGCAAGCCTGCAGGTGGTCGGTCGAGCGATGCGTCGTCGTTCGGGGGGGGTTCCGGTCGTGTCCGCAATCGGTCCAGACGCCGTTGCTTCTGCTTCTGCGTCTGCTCGTGTGGAATCGCGGTTGCTCAACGGGTTTGCAGTCGCGTGGGAGGACTGTCCAGGCGGTCCAAGACAAGAGAGCGGTCTACTAAGGCCATCTGCTAGGTACCCTAACCCACTTTCAAGCTGTTCTTAGCCCACTCGCAGGTTCGTCATCGGGTACGCTATCGATAATGGTCCGTGCGCATCCTCCTGGAACTCGCATTAACAAAGACGAGATGCTCCTACTAGCAATTACTTCAACCGCAATTGTATGTGGATGTGACGGTTGTGTGCAATGATTTAGTGATTCCTGGTATCTTCATCATCGAGTACATTGCCTTGTAATTGTTTATTCCCCATTTCTGTGTGTGTGTGACAGGCCAAAGTAGAATTTACGCCAACGCAACATGTCGACAAACCGCCTGAGCACATGCATCTGATTCTAGACTGCCCGCTTCCCAAATGCGCGGAATCGCTTCACTCCTCCATCAGGTATCATAATCAGCTTGACATGCGTCAGAGGCACATCCGTAATGGCAGACGCAAACTTGTGCTCCTGATCAGGCCCCGTCTTGCTTGGCGGCACAGCCTCGATCCATCCCTCCGAGTCCGCCTCGGGCTGGCCCTCTCCCTTCCACGACAGACCTTGGACGGCCACTTTCTGCGGGAAATTCCCTCTAAAGTGTGCCGTGTCCACAAGAAACTCTTGAATGTAGCCCGGAGCTCCCAGCTTGACAATTGTCCAGTCGATGTGGCCTTTGCCCCGCGAGCGCTTCGTCTCCCAGCCGTCGCCCATGTCCTTGCCGCGGCCCGGCAGCAGCAGGTTGTCCTTGGAGCCAAAGTGCTGATCGCTGCACGAGATGGCAATGCCGCCGTTTTGCGCCGCCGCGAGGTCAAAGACTGCATCCTTGTCTTGGGGGAACACGGGGACTGCGTGTCCGTACAGGCGGAACCTGGCGATGCCTCCATCCGGGTACATGTTGAGTCTCACGTGCGTGTATTGCTTCGTCGTCGGTACGTCGAGCTTCCAGCCGTGTCTCTGTGACGGGCCGCACTCTCGAATGTTGAGGATGGTCTCCCACTTGCCTCGGCCACCTTTCCACGAGACGACCTCGTCATCGTTGTCGCTGAAGCAGCCCTCGACGGATATGGCGGGGGCGTTGTTGCCGTTGAAGAAGGCCGTGTCGATTTCGACGCCCTTGACGATGCCCGAGGCGACACCGAGACGGACCACCACCCAATCGAACTCTTCGGGGTTGTGTCGTCTCGTCTCCCAGCCGTCGTACCAAGCTCCGGTGTAGACCATCTTGCCCGGCTGGCTGATGGGCGCCGTTGGAGTTAGGAGGTTGCTGGCCTCGGCGAACCATTCGTCTGAGAAGCCAAGGACCTTGCCGCCGAGTCCCGCCGAGACGAGATCTGATGCATTGAAGCTCGTCGTCAGCAAATTCGAAAGTGGAAGACTTGAAACAAGACGAGATTGATGTGTCGGAGGCACGAACCTATGCATGCTGGGCGAAATGCCTTGTCGATTTCGTTGGCGGCCAGCTGCGTTGCCTCAACGGCATCGAGCTTGTACTCGACCTCATCAGCAAAGGAAGACATTGCGTGCGATACTTGCGGACGATGAGTGACTCTTGGTATGATGCTGGAGGGTGAATTGGCGAGGAATTGGCACAATCAAGAGGCAGGGCTTGGCGGATGTTGCTTCAGCGTGGTGTTTCGTGCGCCGACCGCCTGATAAGAGCTGTGGATGGCTACTAAGGTTGTCGACATCGGCCACCTCCGAAGCCGGCCGGCGCTGAGACCCGGCGTCAACCGGTCAGATAAGCGGGGAGGCGCATCGCCAACAAGGGGTGCAGCGCTTGATGTGGAGTTTCAAGCCAACGAATCTCTCCAGAGTGTTGGAATTAGGCTTCGAACGTGCTTGATCTTCGATACCTATTCAAAGAAGAAAGACCGCAGAAGCTGAGTTCGGTCGTGGGTTGACTGGAAATGGATCAGTGCACCCCATTGTGTGCACAGAGTCTAGCCACCCTGAATTCGATCCAATTGGGCCGTTGCCAAGGCACACAACAACCTACAAGGATGCTATCACTCCACCAATTTCAAACGTCGGTACCTACCAGCCCATCAAGATGCCTACAAGGCGATTTAGGCAGGTTCTGTGAGGTGAAAGCAAGCGCTAGTCTTTCACAGCGTCCAAAGACTAAGGGCAGAGGAAGCGTTGAAGCTGAGCTCTCGAGTGTGACAAGCCATTTCCGCTGAACATGAACACGTCTGTGCATGGTTGTCAGACTTGAAGTGCTGCACATCAACTGCGTGAGCCAATATACGAGATGCATCACTGCTCGAATATGAGGTTGTGTTACCGGTCTTAATACGTCCATCTCAACTCGTACTCGTTTGTCCTCTTATCTCGCGTCCACTCGACCGCTAGAATAATCCCTGGCAGCTTCAGCAGCTTCAGCACCTCCAGCGCAATGTTTCAGAAGCTTCCCCGCGCTACGGCCCCCATATTTGGCCGCCGGCGCTCCGTCCTGGTTGCTAAGCGGCGTCGCTGATTGGCCCAGAGGCCCGATTGCTGCTGTCCATCGTGTTCCCCACAGCGGGAATCCTCAGTCGGCGCGCCTATGACGTGCTTCGCTGGAAATCTACATCAACCACTCGTCACTTTTCTTCTTGTCCGAAGCGTTGCTTCACTTTCCGTCCTGCAGTTCTTTCTCTTTCTCCCACTCTCTTGATTCACCGCCTCCTTGCCAGAATATTTGCGATCGTGGCTCACACTCTCGGGAGCTAACGACTTAAGATATACGAATCGATCTCCATTCCTCTGCCAGCGCTAACCACCAGCCAACTTCAATCTTCCTGAAGCCTAGCAATAGAAGCTGTAATCAGAAGTTCGCGTACCAGCCTCTCGAAGCTTTTCTCCTCCCCTCAGCATCCAATCGTCAACTCTCATCTCCAGTTGGACGCCATGGCAAGCTCTACTGGCATACCGGCAAGACTGCCCAACGGCTCCGAGACGGGCCTTACAAGCCGCGAGACAGAGCCTCTCCTTGGCCGCCCCGGCGCTGTTGCGCAAGAAGAGGACAAGTCAGCCCTCAACAACCTTGTCCTAGGTATGTCGTCTTGCTCCGGAACTATACCCTACCTCTAGCCCGTAGCGGATCGGACCACTTCATGTTACCCTCGCTGACACGACATTAACGACAACAACAGGCACTGGCATCATCGCACAGATAGGCATCTGGCTTCTCGCCGTCATCATCTGGGCTAGCGTCTTGACAAAGCCTCTCATCCTCTTCTCCGGACACCCTCTCGCCCAATCCTTGGCCGTGCTGGTGCTGGTGCAGTCCGTGCTGTTCCTCCAGCCCACCCACACGAGCGAGCAGAAGCGCCTCGGGCAGCGCGTCCACGGCCTGCTCAACCTGGTGGCCTTTCTCGCCCTCGTTGCCGGCGTGACCATCATCGAGTACAACAAGGAGAAGAGCCACAATGCGCACTTCCACTCGGTGCACGGCTACCTCGGCGTCATCACCTCCATTGTGCTTCTACTGCAGTACCTCGTCGGCTTCACCATGTGGGCCACGCCGAAGCTGTACGGGGGCGAGAACAATGCCAAGGCCGTCTGGAAGTATCACCGATACAGTGGCTACCTTGTCTTGGCCCTCTTGCTGGCCACCGTCAACAGCGCGACCCAGACGGACTATAACAAGAATGTGTTGAAGATTAAGCTGTGGGCCACGCTTGTGCTGTCGGCTCTTATTGTCATTGGAGTCTATCCCCGGATTCAGAAGCAGAAGCTGGGTTTTGCCCGGCCGAGTGTTGCGCTTTGAGTGGCTGATGGACCAAAATTGATGGCCCGGTTGTTAGATTGAGCACCGCTTTGATGTTGCCTACCTTTGTTTTACTGAGATGATTGCGCTTTCTTGATGCTTTTCATACCTGCAGATTGCATAATGCAAATACTTTTACAGTTGTGCGATGAGACCACGTCAATATACGAACGCGATCAGTCAGGTAGCGATGTAAAATCAAGGTCTAGAGCCTATTTCCTTCGAGCTACAATCTGATCCTCTGCTGGTGCATGCTATCAATACGAAATAGTATCTCTATGCTCGACATTGCTCGTTGAGAGTTACAGCAACTAGCCTATCCTGCCTCGTCCATATGTTCATCTATGACTCGCTGGACAATCCAGCAAGAGAATTTGAGAGAGAGAGAGAGAGAGAGAGAGAGAGAGAGAGAGGGGGGGGGGGGGGGGGGGGGGGGGGGGGGAGAGAGAGAGAGAGAGAGAGAGAGAGAGAGAGAGAGAGAGAGGACCAAGTCACGTTATCCTGCTTGAGCCTGAAAATTGGAAAACTGGGCATGTTCCTGTCCATCACGGTGATCCAACTACCTAGTAGTGAGTAAGGTACATGTAGTAGCTGATCGGGTCCAATGCAATGCTAGGTATTGTTGATCCCAACTACCGAGAGACGGCGTCGAAGCCACTTTACACGTCAAAGCCACGAAACAAGGGCTGTTAAACTGACGAATGCAATAAACACATCACTGAACACGTGCAGTTGTAGATCAGCAGTACTAGTAATCTCCGAATGATTGTCGCTTTTGCTCTATCATTTCGGGGGTTTCCCACTTCTGTGAAGTTCTATTAATAGAGTGAGATAGAGTCTTTGACAGATTAAGATCGTCCCGTTCAATGCTTTGATCCGCTTCTATGTACTTAGTCACCCGGCATAAAAAGCAACGACTCGTGAGGTTGGCGAGCAGAGAGATAACGAATTCGGCAAATCAGGATATACGAGTAAGAGGCATTCTAAATCAATGTTTTTTTTTTTTTCCCTTGAAGGTCCAAGCTCTGTCATTCGTAATACTAGTGCTTTGCGTTGCAAGAGACGGCAATCACATGCTCGCGGCGACATTTGACGTGTCTCGGTTACCGATGGGGAGAATTGCAAGGTCGAAAACCCTCCGATTCTCCCTTTTTTTCGATTTCATGTAAGAATGGATGGCTTTAGGATGATTAATCACTGGCAACTCGGCGCTTTAACGGATCACACCGGTCTGTTGACTTGCAGCGCTTGCTGAAATTAGTAGCACCTTAGGGACTTAGTACCTAGGTAATAGTGGTAATAGCAACTGTCAGTGCTGGATCAACCGGGACGCTTTTCCATTGCCCCAAACTCCTTCCAAATCATCTCACACACCTTACGCGCCTACCTAAGGTAAGGTAGTAAGATACAAAGTTCGCCTCACTTCCACTACGTTCTTTGGCTCCTTCCTCATACTGTACTTTAACTATATCACTACTGTATTATATTGATATTAATGCGCAACGAAATTCATCAGGCAAGTGCCTCTCCCATCCCACTTCCCCAATGCGGACTCGGCCAGGATCTCCAATGGTACGCCACCGACGCAATTGCGGGCCAGCAGAGTCCCTCCCAACCGACGACGTCACCCACCAGCTTCTCCCTTTTGACCAAACAGGCGCGCCTTTGGTGGTTACCCTGTACGAGTATCACTGTACTCGTATTATACTGGCTTGACTGGGCAATAACGTCTTAGTAGGTACCTAGTCATCGTCAAAGCTTTTTCTACTGCTTCATCTCGCAACTTTGTTGGGCTTTTGGCGGCTTGTTCTTTGCCGAGGAATGGCGCATGCCTTTGTTTCGTCCTTCAAGCAATCGCAAGAAACGGTCCCGTGTCTCCTGTACCGTGTGATCAAGATTTGCGTACAAAACAAAGAACATATACCCGACCATGAGACCATTTGCCGCGAGTGAGATGACCAGCAATTAGTCTTCGACATTCGATACTATAAAGCAAATAGGAAAAAACAAAAGACTTAGACAGCCGACAGGCTAAGAAATCGGGCGGTTATGGCGCAAAGCTCGCACAAGCCCTCTCTCCCCTTCCCGAGAGCCGAACGGAGAACATCCACAGCCTACTACCTACCCGTCTGCTCTTGTTTGCATTCTCACCTCCGTCCCTTTCTCCCACCTGACAATATCCCATCTGCCTACCTACCGATCCTCCGAGAGGGCATCAGAATGCATCCTGGGACTTGTCGTGAGTAAGGCTCTACACTGAGGACAACACCACCACCCCATCAACTGCGTAGAAAACCTCCTCCGTCAGCAGAGCGCGGCTGAGCTACTGTACTCTTTCTTCTTCACTTCTCCCCCATTCCTTTCCATGCCACTACCTACCTTACTACTAATACTGCCTATGTACCTACCACAACAGACGGGACTCCGGGAGCGAGCTAATACTACGTCATTTCCGCTTTCCCCCATCCTTCACCGTTGCGCGCTGCTCCTGTTCACCCCACACACCCCAAAAAAAAAAAAAAAAAAAAAAAAAAAAAAAAAAAAAAGAAAAAAGCATCGTGACATTCAGGAAGCGCAATGAACAAATAAAGGTAGATGCACCAACACTAAGCCAACGCTTTCTCTCGGGTAGCGGCATTTGGTGGCTTCCCGCAGGAAACAACCACCAGCGGTATTGAACCGCTCCATGTCTCAGTTGAAGGGGGGAGTTTGGTCTCGTCTGCCCTGCCTGTTTTTCTCTTTTGCGGGCGGTGCGATGCGTGAAGATTAAAGGAGCCCCCCAAAAAAAAGAAGCAAATCCCATAAGCCGCGAAATGCTTCACATCCATCATCGTCATCATCATCCATCAGCCATTCATCAGGTGCTCTATCACTCTCCCAGCTGAGCCATGTAATGAGCAGGTGTTCTTGTAACTGAGGTGATAATGTTAGTCTAGCAACAACCTCAGGTATGTATGCCTCCCCTCCCCCCCAACGAGCGGAGCGAATTCCGAAGCAACAGGGAAAAGTTTTCAACCTTATTATACCGACCTGTTGGTTCTGAGGCGGGCGGGTCAGTATTTTTCCTTGCTTCCTAAGGGTTAGGTAGACATGGACGAGATGAGTCTGAGCTGTTGTGGGTACTATAGTACGATACAACGATCCCGGAGGACCGGACAAGATGCTCCCGCGCCTCTTGTGGGAGTTGCCATCGGCGAACTGCGTGTCCTGCTTTTTTTCTTCTTGCATCTTTGCCTGACGGAGGCTGCCTTTCCCGTGGAGGAGGAGCTAGTATTCCGTACGGTGATGCTTGCACCGAGCTATTGGTCTCTGATGGGGGGGGCCCTTGTTTGGCTGTCGGTGGGAACGGGCTGTCATACATGACTACAGTACATAGTACTACTAGTAATACCTACAGGTCGACGGTGACGATACGAGGTTGGGCTACCACAGAGCCTAGAGTCCTTGTGCGCACGAGTCAGCTTGTAGATAGCTCGTGGTAGTTGCTGTATGGTCAAGTGTCTACTGTAACTGTACCCGGATGACACAGTTGGAAACGGGAGCATTGTTGACGGCGTTGAAGCAGATGTGAAGTTCTCGCGGCTTGCAATTGCTGCTGCTCCCGTCTACTGTACTCTCTCTCCGGCTGACTCGCACTAATCGCCTCCCGCCAGGTCGTCTTGACGATAAGATGATTAATTCGAGAAGAAACTCGTTGGTATCGGCAGAGTTGGAATTTATTGGATCCTTGCCCGTCAATAGATCCATATATCGGTGGCCGATTCCTCTAGCGGGATGGGCCATCGTCATCCAATCTACCACAGGATCGGTACCTACAGAGCAGGGGGGGGCCAATCAGCTGAGAATGGAGATTGGGAATTTCAGGAGGAGACCTAGCAGGTCTTGCCGGCCAATTCCAGTGGGTATGAGGGACGCGCACGCAGGTGAAGGAGCCGGGATTTGATGCTTGGTTGTGATAGCATGCTGAATCGTGAATTGTTGTAGAATGCCATACCTGGTAAACCACCTCACGGAGGTTGAGAATATCGTGGCGGGAGCATTGTTAATTAGAAGCACCCTAAAAATAACCTCGCTCCGGCGAAGATCATGCGTTCTGAGAAAAAGGGTAGGGGGGGGGGGGGGGGGAATGCCCAAGGACAAGGCAAGGTGATGTCCGCGTATGTACGTCGTTACCCCCCTGTCCTCGTCCGTCCGATTCGTCTCGTTTACACGGGAGCGTAGGTAGTTCCCTTCGGTTGCGGCCAAGCTAGAATGTACACACGCCAGGTTCATGTGACCCTCGAGGGGGGGAGGAAGAGACGGGAGATGAAATGACGGAAAACGGGAGCAGCGACAGGTATGTACATGTATGTAGGTAGGCAAAGAGACGATGAGGTTGTCAAGAAGCACAAACCTTTTACTCCCTATCTCTCTCTCTCTCTCTCTCTCTCTCTCTCTTCCCTCCCCCGCTTGTCTTTGAGAAAAGGAGATGAAATACGAGGTGTGCAGATTAGATGGCTGCGGGCTGCACCGGGGGTGTGTGTGGAAGCACACAAAGCCTGGCCCTTGTTTCTTTGCTGTGCCTTGCTTCACAGATGACGTTGATGCCGCAGGCCCCGTGGGGGATAACATTTGATGTCACGTCTGTGTTCGCATGTAGTACTGTAGTACTTCGTACAGAAGCCTGAAGTGATTACTTGCGCCGTTGCATAAAGTACCGACTGGGGGAATGTTATAATATCCATGCTTCATTTGCTCTGCTGGTTGATGCTCGAGGTACCTATTTTCGAGAGACAACTGCCCGCATGTACCCGAACGGTACGGCGGTGATGCGCCGTCAAGATGGGCTCTCAAGCCATCTCCGAGCGACGGAGATCAGCGGTCGATCGTGTCGGTCCATTCCCCGGCGGGCATGGCATTCTGCTCACGTTGGCCAGAGGGGGGAGGGACGGAGGAGGGTTGGGGGAGGGAAAAAAAAGGTGATCTGGATGCCTGGGTTCTGCATGAGTTACATGTACGTCACGACATGGCCCGGCAAAGCCCTCTTGTTGCCGTGATTCGTCCCTCGTACCCGGTGTTGGCCTGTCCGCCTGCGGGCGGTAGCACTGCGTCGGCCTCAGAAGGGCCTCGTGTCCAGGCCAGGATTGATGCATGATTGAGTTTGGGAGGGGATTATGCAGGTGTGCTGTTTGTTGTGCAGGACTTCATGTTGTTACTCGTGCGGGCCTGAGTCTTTATGGCATTACTGCAAGAATAGACGGGCAGGGAGCGGATGGGCAGGAGAGCATATGAAGTGGCAGTCGGCAATGGCTTCCAGCGGCAGTTGAGCGCAACGGGAGGTATGGAGAAGAACGATGCTTGATAAGGTACACACATGTACAGTACATTGCATGGCGCTCCAAGGCTTGGTTAGACACGTCGGTAGGTACATGTAGGTAAGGTAAACAGGCAGGGCTGCTCGTGGCCGTTTGATGGATGTGGATGCTGATTCGATCGTTTCTTGCAGGGCCCCCAACAATCTCCGAGGGAAAGGGCTGAAGGGCCGCCTCGTGGCTTGGCCACCGGCGCTCCATGGATGGGAGGGATGGAAAAGCCTCCTGTTTGACGCCCTGTCTGAATCGTGGTGTGGGCCCGGAGGGAGCCTCTCTCATCATCAAACACACCTTTGCTATGGTCCCTCAAGCACAAGGGAAACGTCTTCCAGTTCAATGTCGCTGGCCCTTGGCTGATTGTCCGGGAGGATCGAGACGACGATGCTCGACCCACTGACTGGTAGTATTCTGTACGCGCATTGACTTGGCGAATCCTAGCTGACTCCTTGGCCACTGTCAGAATATGAAGCGAACTTGACGGGGTCATCATGGCTGGTTTTGGCCGGGAGCCCAAGGGCTGGTCCGAAGCTGCACGTAAAGCATCAATCAGCATCGGGCCGCACCATTGCATCGCTACGGCGGTCAGCCTCCTAGCCCGAGCAGATGGATGGATGGATGGATGGATGACCGTCGACCCCACGCACATGTCCTACGCTATTACCGTGCTTTTCACGGCCAGTGATACTGTCCAGTACGTCGGTATAGCATCGCCAGGTACATGTATCGGTCTGTCGGGGTTGAGGCCTCGTGAGCGGTATCTGAATTCGTTTGTCTTGCTCAGGTGAAGGAATAGGTTAGGTGCCTAGCCTTCATCTTCTTGTCTTGCTCCTCCCCGTAGTCGTGTGCTCGTCCACCGCTCAAGTCTGCTGAGCGAGTGGTTGAAACAGGCACCACGCAGCCATTCAGCTGGGCTGGCTATTGGTCCATGTGGTGTTGATTGAATTGCATGTTCTATCGCGTTGTTGTCAGCGGTGAGCGGTCAGCAAGCAGCTGAGGCTGGGCATGGCGTGAGCTTCGACTGCCAGTGCTTGGATACGCGTTTGTGCGCAAGGCAAGGTGACGTGCATGTATGGCGCCTGCGAGGTGGTGAGTTGCTGGACGAGCTGCTGGAAGACACGTCTTGTATCCATTAGGCAGTGATAACAGCAGCAACAGACACGTCGACAACTGCTGGTGTGCTCCATACATGTATCCAGACAAGCGCCGTAGAGCGCGGGCAATGGATGGCCTTGGAGGAGGAGATACTGTATGTGATACTATCTACCTACATGTACACGGCAGTAGCAGCGTTTACAGGACTAGTCGCCGTTTGCATTTAGCCTGGCAGCCAAGCCGGAGGAGCTGAGATGCGATGCCTGGGAGATGCTCCGCGTGGCCGCAATTTAGAGTTGGCGAAACGGCACGCGAGCTTTGATGAGGGCAAGGATCCAGGGAGTGAGAGAGGCACGAGCAAAGTATGTATTATCAATGTATCACTTCCGCACCAGCGGTCAGAGTTGCGGACTGCCAACTGAATCAGCAGCAGGTGATGCGTACCTATCAGGTACCGTAGGTAAGGTACATGTAGGTACTGTATCGTCTGTACGTTGTGCTTGGTCCCAGACCTGGTGAGCGCTCAGGTTCAGGATCATGTTTGCGTCGAGATGATTGGGGACAGGTCCGGGTGAGCAGCCCTGCCCTGGCTTTTTTTTCGGCGGGCTGGGCGTTTCCACCGCACTGGGAATGCATCCGGCGAAGAGTGGAGTTTGTTACTGGTCTTCTGTGTGGTGCAATGGATGCCAGCAGAAGCATCCATGAATGAATCCAGCACGACACCATAAGCTGCTGGAAGTATGTACCTTAGGTATCTAGGAGTAAATAGAGGTACGTTATTGTCGTGATGCTATTACTTCATGTTCTCAATCCTGTCGAGGCAATGCAAAGCACCACCTTGTTGCACACAGCCAGTCGCACAGACAAGGAAGAGAAAAGCAGGCCTGAGCAAAGAAAAACGACAAAAACACCTCAAAGGGCTTTTTCTCTCTCTTCTTCACACCCCTGACGTGGGGCTGCTCACTAGGGCCGTTGTCCAGCCTCCAGTTCCTGTCACCTACGTCATAATCATTTTTTTCGGGAGCGGTTATCCAGCACCCCAAACCTGTTATCCAGCACCCGAGAATCTAGTGGAAGGTACTTTCGTATACATATGTCCAAGCATAACACTCATCATTCCGCAATCTGAATAAGCTAATTGATAAACAAAAATTACATCCATAAAAGCGCAAGCGCTAAGAAAGCCATTATTGCTCTTTTTCTCTCCAGATTGCATGCATAAATGAGGTTGCTTTGGGGGGCGTAATCTTAGACCAAAGGGTATAGATACTCTAGAGGCAAGTGCTGACTCAGCGTCAATTGCGGTACTTCGAGTTGTGTGTGGCTGCCATATTTTAATAAGGTACCTCGGGGTGCTGGATAACAGGTTTGGGGTGCTGGATAACCGCTCCCTTTTTTTCGCTCCCTAATAAGCGGTTCCGGGGGGCGACGGCTTGGGACATGGGGGGCGCATTTCGGGTGCATTTTGGGTGGCCTGGCCAGCACGCAGCCCAGACCTTGAAGCCACCTCATGGCTGCCCCAGAAGCGACCGCTTGGAACCTCGTTGCCCGCCCAGGCGGCGTCCAATCCAGCCAGAGAGTTGCTGCGCGCCACCCCCAGCCGCGAACTTGGTTCTGCAGCGCTTGCGGATAGTCCTTCCAGGTTTCTTCCAGGGCGCACCCACTGAGAGACGGACTAGGTGATCAATACCTAGGTACCTTAGCCTGTGCTGTGTCGAGCCCTGGAAGGGCGAACGAGGAACAGTGAAGACAGTGACTGCAGCGGGTTGCTACAGCGCTCTCTCCTCTGTGCCGCCCGCTGGACCTCAACTGTGCGGGCAGACTTTGCAACTCACTCAACCGATTGATCCCTGGACCAGTGCTGGAAAACCACCTGCACCCCCCGGCTGTGGCCTGTCCGCTCCATCTCCCCACCCCTGCCGCCCACCGCCTGCGATAGACTGCGAGGTGCACCCATCAGTTGCTGCTGTTGCTCGCTGTGACGTGTGAGCAGAGGCCCTACCTTACCTTAGCAGTACCTTACCTGCACTACATGTACTGTACAGCCAGCCCGCCGACAGCCTACTACTAGTAGCAGGTGCCGTACGTTGGATTACTTGTACAGTAGGTCCCGTCCCAGACAGGGAACCGGAACCTGGAAAGCACAACCACCACCACCACCACCACCACCTCCACGCTTTTCCCGCACACATGCACTCGACCTCCAAATTCCAACCCTCTCCACACACAGCCAGCTCGCCTTGCCCGCCATAGCCGCCAGCCGCACAACAAAGAGCGGAACAGACCAGAGGCTGAGGACAAAGAGGGGATCGACAGGGAACACACGAGATCGGGAGATACCACGCACGAACCCCGAGAAGGAGACGAGACAGACAGACGAGACTCGGGAACAGAGGCCGACACGGACGCAGAACCGAACCACAAACCCAGAACCAGAAAACGCACCCCAGGCGGACGCACGCACAGACGGCCTGGAGGAAGCCCGTAAGTGAAAAAAAAAAAAAGAGAAAGAGAGAAAGAGATAATAAGAGGGGAAAATAATTAAGCAGCAAAAAGGCTGGGAAAAGAGAAGATCCAGGAAAACAAAGAGACGAGACGCGGCACACAGAAGCAAGCATAGCTGGCCGGCCAGCCAAAAAAAGACAGCCAGACGAACGGCCACAGAGAGCCAACGAGAGACTGCAGACAAGACAACGCTGTCGAGGCCGAGATACCGTTCAACGCACCCGGCTTGCCCCTCCTCTCTCCTCCGCCTCTGCTGCCCTCTCGCCAGCCAGCCAGCCAGCCAGCCGCTGTCGTCCTTCTCCGAGCCCTTCCCGTGCTTTGGATGCTGCCGCCCTGTCCTGCGTATGCGGCATCCCACTTGCCGACCTGACCTGACGAGATCCACCGCCATCCCTCTTCGCTCAGAAGAGGGCATGAGGCATGCCACGCCAGAGCTTCTCGGCCGAAAAGAGAGCCCTGTTCTCGCCCTCTCTGCCCGTTCCGACCTCGTCTTCCTCCAGCACGACGACAACCACCACCGCCACCGCCACGCCCTCGACTGAGACGCCCACCTCGCCCACCTCGACCGCCTCCTGGACGCGTCGCCTGGAGCTGCCCACTGGACCATTTGCCCACTGGACCGTCGATGCTGCCGCTGCCGCTGCCGCTGCCGCTGCCGCTGCGACTCCCTCCCCCGACCCGGCCGCCGCGAGAAATGGACGAGTGACGGCCAGCACTCCGCAAGATCGACATGCCAATGCCAAAGGCTCAATGGCGGCTCGTCGCTCCAGCTATCCGCTCGCTTCCTCGAGCCCTTCAGCAGACTCAGTCTCTCACTCCAGGCCCTCGGTTTCGCGGCGTATAACTGATGTGAACGGCCGGGATCCCGATGATGACTACCAGGACGAGCACCGAGACTACGACGATGTCTATGCCGATATCGATGGTGAGGCCGCTTGCAATGCTGATGCCCGTTCCGGGGTCGGCGCCCAGCCCGACGGCATCCTCGACGACGACGACGATGTTGATGAAGGCTCTCATGCTTCCCACACTGCCCCGTCCGCATCCGTGATGAATGGTTCCACGCAAGGTGAGACGCCAACGGCTGAGGGACCAAACCTATCGCAACAGCAGCTTGTTGAGTATCGCGAGAGGCTGATTCGCAATCTGGAACTGCGAGATCTCTCCGCTCAAGAGCTCCACTTGGGGATCCCCGACAAGACCCGCGTGGCGCCCGTCCTCGAGGATTCCGTCTTGAACTCCCCTTATCCAACTTCGGCCTTTACAAGCACGTCGACCGAGTCTGGAAACACAATCCGTGGCGGCATGACCCCGGCACCCATCGCCAGCACCCCCTCATATCCCTTCCCGCGAATGACGATCCCACCTGGAAGCTTTGGTCCATCTGGCTTCTCCCTCCCACATGCCCAGGCTTCCGCTGCGTCGGGGTTTCCCCGCTCGCCCCATCCAATGAACCTTGACCATCGTGGTGTCCTCGACAGAGTTCTATCAGAGACGTCGACCCCGGCCTCGGCCATGACCTTCCAGCCGGGCGCCGCTCCGCAACCCGATGGCTTTGATTTTCCCACCCCCAGTCTATATGACCTCTCGCTGATGCTTTCCGCCGAGCCCGGTCTCGATGCCTGGTGGGGCACCGTCGTCCAGATCATGCGAGAAGTGTACCAGGCCGAGCGTGTCACGTTGGCGGTTCCCGCCGACACCACGGACATTGAAAACGTGCCGTGGGGACAAAAGGCTACCTATAACGAGCACGAGCAGGATGACCTCAGCATGAACTACCTGGCCAGGGGCACCAGCGCGGTGCCAAGCGCTGTGCCAAGCGCGGAGAATGACGCCGTTGATGATGTGCTTGCCAGCCCTACCGCGGGCACGCCCCTGGAAGGGCCAAGGCGGCCTACGTTTGCGAGCCGTCACTCGTTCACCACCTTTGAGGAGAACAAGGACAAGTCACCGGAAGGCATCACGATGGCGGCGCCCCGTCGACCCACCTACTTGACCAGAAGTCAGACACATTCTCCGTCCATCATGTCCGCAGCGGAACGGCAGGGAGACGATCGCGCCAAACTAAACAAGAGCACCCTCCAGCAGCATGACTTTATCGAGGAAGAGCAACAGCAGCAACGGCCCATTCCCAGCTGGGAGGCGCCCTTCGTGAGCAAGAGCAACGGCCAGGGCAGAGTTCTGCCCGTTCTCCAGGCTCTTGATTACGAAGCCGACCCCTTGATTGACAACACGGGCGTCATGAGAGTCTTGGAGCGCGGACGGCCAGTGGCCTTGACAAGAAATTACCCATACTTGGCGCCAGCAGCTCCGGCCGCACCACCGTTGACCGGACGGCCGGAGCTGGCGAGGAAGCCCAAGAACAAGAGATCAGACTCCGCAACCAAGCTGTCGTCCATCTTTTCGGGCCCTACTGGCGCCCGTGCCTCTATCAGATCCAAGGTGCACTTTGGCGACACCATCCTGGACGACGACAGCCCGAGGCCGCCCACGCCAAAGTATGAAGAGTATGAGCAGACCCCTCCGTCGCCGTGGTCGCAGTCCCCGGCTCCGTCACCCGCGGTCAGGCCCGATCCGAAGGAGAACCCCTTCTTCACTGATGCCACCGTCGACGAAGACTCTTTCAACCCGGATCCCACACCCACGGACTACGCCTCCATGCGGCCCCCGGAAGCTATCGGCGTCGATCACTCCTGGACGGTTTTGCATATTCCCCTTTCGACCGCCCTGCCCTCCAAGCTGCAGCCCCACTCCTTTAAGCTTGATGCCACGACGATGCACCAGAAGTCACATTCGAGGAGCAGCCAGTCGCCAGAGAGCATCCACCGCATCTCCATGGAGCCTGATATCCCAAAGAGAGACAAACCGGCTCCGATTGCCATCTTGTCCGTCCTCAGCCCCGTCATCCCGTACCCATCCAACTTGCGACACTCCCTGGAGTACCTGGCGCCGCATCTCGCGGCCACTTTCTCTCTGTGTCGACACTACACCAATCTCGAGACGGAACTTGCCGGTCTCAAGCGGAGAAGGCCATCTACGGCTGGGTTTGGTGCCGTCACCGCATTCGGCCGGCCAATGGAAAACGCCCCCTTTCTCGCCGCGGACGAGTCGGCTGTCCTACAGCAGTCGTTGGCCGGGAGCATCACGAGTCCAAGCGACTATTCGGGCATATCCAAAAGCACGACTGGCTCGCCGACCGGCACCCCCGGATGGGACTCGGGGGCTCTCGTCTACCTTGCGGAAAGACGGCAGCCCGCGGCGAGCCCAGCGGGCATCTCCCAGTCCTCGGGTGGCTATTTCGGCAGCAAGCTTGCGAGACAGAGCTCGCAGCGGTCTCGGGCTGGTTCTAAGGAGGACCCTTCTGGAGACGTGCGGCCATCTCGCCTAGGTGGCAACAAAACCGCCGCTGCCGCTGCCGCCGCCGCCGCGGCGCCCCCAACACCGCAACCTGCCGTGACAGCGGTCGAGGACATGGCGGATAGACATGCAGGGAGCTCGGACGACTCCACTAACGCAAAGGACACTCAGTCTCGAAACAGTCTCGATGGAAGCATCGACCTTGACGCCATATCGGCCGATAGATTCCCCGAGCCTCCAAAGGTCGAGCAGGGTCCATCGAAGAAGGGCCACACTCTCCTGCATAGCTACGGCGCCGACTTTGCCTCCACGTTCCAATCACTGCCTCCTGGCGCCAGCCTGCCCAGCCGGCCGCTGTCATCCAATGCAAACGTGCTGCAGAGGAGCAACTCGTTCATCGCCTCCGCCGCTGACATGCCACCGCCGTCCGATAAGCTGAAAGGCCTCATACTCGACTCTCTACCCGCCCAGGTTTTCGTTGCCTTGCCGCAGACGGGCGAGATCGTCTGGGTCAATAGCCGCTATCTGTCCTACCGGGGACAGACAGTGGCAGACCTGTCCGCGGATCCATGGGGCAGCATCCACCCAGACGAGCGCGAGGACTATCTCAAAGCCTGGAGTCATTCGTTGAGAACGGGAGAGCAATTCTCCAGCACTGTAAGAATCAAGAGATTTGATGGCGCCTACAGGTGGTTCTACGCCCGCGCCGTTGCTTCCAGGGATAAGCGGGGGACAGTCGTCCAGTTTCTAGGCTCGTACCTGGACATACACGAGCAGCGCATAGCCGAAATTAAAGCCGCGCGCCAACAGGAGGTTGAGGCCTCGGAAGCAAAGCACCGTCTGCTAGCCAACCTGATCCCGCAGATTATCTTTACTGCCACGGAGGAGGACGGCGTGACGTTTGCAAACGAGCAATGGCTGTCCTACACCGGCCAGAGCTTCGAGGACTCGCTGCGCCTGGGCTTCTTGGACTTTGTCCACCCGGAAGATTTGGCGAGATGCCGCATTCCTTCCTCGCAGTCTACTTCACAACCTACAGCTTCGGATCCAAAGGGCAACGGGAGCTCCGGCCACGGCGACACCACAAGCACGCCCACGGACGCAGCAAAGGAGCGGCCGCCGGCAGAGACTCCAGGCCGAGGGCGCCCATCAAACAAGCAAGGCGCTGGCGGTGAAACGGGCTACCACCTTGCGAACCCCGACATTGCAGAACTCGCCAAGAAGGGCGTCATCAAGGTCGGCACCGACTCCAACGGCAGACTGTCTTACACGACAGAGGTCCGGCTGCGCTCAAAGACGGGAGAGTACCGGTGGCATCTCGTTCGCTGCGTCGAGATTGACACCATAGACTTTGGCAGCGGCGCGAGCTCCTACTTTGGCTCTGCCACCGACATCAACGACCACAAGCTTCTCGAGGCCAAGTTGAAGGAAGCCATGGAGTCAAAGGGCCGGTTCTTGAGCAACATGTCTCACGAGATCCGTACTCCTCTGATTGGAATATCGGGTATGGTGAGCTTTTTGCAGGATACGCCGCTCAACGAAGAGCAGCGAGACTACACCAACACCATCCAGACGAGTGCCAACAGTCTCATCATGATCATCAACGACATCTTGGATCTCTCCAAGGTGGACGCGGGAATGATGAAGCTGAGATTCGAATGGTTCCACACCCGCTCGCTCATTGAGGATGTCAACGAGCTTGTGTCTACAATGGCCATCTCTAAAAGACTCGAGCTCAACTACCTCGTGGATGCAGATGTCCCCGCGTGGGTAAAGGGCGACAGGGTTCGGATTCGCCAGGTCCTGTTGAACGTCATCGGAAACGCCATCAAATTCACGTCGGAAGGCGAGGTGTTTAGTCAGTGCAAGGTGTACAGGGGAGATGACGCGGTGGTAGGGGAACACGAGATTATGCTCGAGTTCATCATCACCGATACCGGCCGTGGCTTCTCCGAGGAAGAAAAGGCTCTCATCTTCAAGCCCTTTAGCCAGATTGACGAGAGCAGCACGAGACAGCATGGCGGCAGCGGGCTCGGCCTGGTCATTTCAAGGCAACTCGTCGAGCTCCACGGCGGCAAGATGGAAGGGACAGCGGTCATGGGCAAGGGCTCAACCTTTACCTTTACGGCTCGCTGCTCGCTACCGACGGTCGAAGATCGGCCTCCGATGCCCAACAGTCCGGGGTCGACAGCGACTGTGGTGTCTCCGTCATCTGCCGCGTCCGACGAGCGTGGCCACCATACGAGGCTTCCCGCGCTGCCGCCCGCGGCGCCCTCGGTCCAGAAAACGCACAATGCGGACGAGTCAAGTTTCGTGGGTCAAGAATTCATCCCGCTGGGTGCCGAATCGACAGGCAGCTCAAGCCAGTCTCCTCACTCTGGCCAGTCGCTCGCTACGGACAGGTCTTCTATAACATCGATGAACACGGGCTTAGCTCGCTTCAGCGAGGCGGCTAAAGCTAGCGGTCAAGACCTTTCGCAAATGAAGCTTGAGATGCCACCCGACCGAGGCTCGACAACACGCAGCGCAACGCCGGAGAAGAAGCTGCCGTCCGAAACGTTCCGCCCGCCGATGTATCTGATACTCATCATTTGCCCTCAAACGCACAGCCGCGAGGCCACTACGCAGCACATTGAGATGACGCTGCCGAAAGACGTGCCTCATCAGATCACCGCCGTTGCCAGCGTTGAAGAGGCTGAAGCTTTCATTGGAGGCGAAGATCCTATTCGGTTCACCCACATCGTCATCAATCTCGGCGAGGCTGAAGCAGTCATTAGCATTATGGACAAGATCACCAAGTCTCAGAAGATGGACAGCACCATGATTTTGATTCTCTCGGACTCGGTCCAGCGGCAGGAGGTGATGAAGTACTCGTCCGGCACCAAATACGAAAAGCTCTTTTCGGACAAGATGGTCAACTTCATCTACAAGCCGGTCAAGCCATCACGGTTTGCCGTCATCTTTGACCCGGATCGACGACGGGATCTGAGCACCGACTGGAACAGGTCTACCGCGCAGCAAATGCTGGAGAGTCAGAAGGCTAGCTCCCTGGAGCTTCAGAAGCGCATGGGCAACAAGGGCTTCAGAGTCCTGCTGGTGGAAGACAACACGGTCAACCAGAAAGTGATGACCAAGTTCCTTATGAAGGTTGCAGTCGACGTGGACATTGCCGTTGACGGAGCAGAGTGCGTCGAGAGAGTGTTTTCGAAGCCGCACAACTACTACTCTCTCATTCTGGTGAGCTGATATCTATCCCCTGTGGCGATTGTTATGATTCGCCATGTCTGGAGGGCGCTTGTCTTGCTAACATAGGACGCAGTGCGACCTCCATATGCCTCGCAAGGATGGCTACCAAGCCTGTCGCGAGATTCGGGAATGGGAGATGCATTACAATTACCCGCAACTGCCCATCATTGCGCTTTCTGCCAACGTCATGTCAGACGTACAAGAGAAGTGTGCTGCAGCCGGATTTAGCGACTATGTGACAAAACCTGTGGACTTTATTGACCTCAGCAGAGCCATGTCACGGTTTTTCTGAAGCGGCCTTGCTGCCTTTTTTATTCTTGGCTGAGAAAGGGGGTAGATGGGCGAGCTTCCTCCATAACGCAATGGCGGACTATTCCAACGACCTCACTCTATCTCCAATCTTTACTCATCTCGTCTCATCAGGTTGATATCTTCTCCGACGACCCACAGCCTGTGCTGAGGGATTAATCCTGCGAGCTGGCGACTCTGGGGCGTGGCATCGGTACTACCTTTTTGTTACTTTACTTTGATAACTTCACCAGCTTCATCTTTCTTCTTTCTGTTCTTTTCTTTCACTCGCTCTTCCATAATCGAGCCGGATAGCCTAGGAGAGCCGGGCAGAGTTGTGGTAGCACGTTCTACAGCGGGCGGAATCGAGCCTTGGGAGTCTTGACCACCTGGGTCATTAATGCTATGGTTACTTTGGTTGTGTGCGAGAAGGGGAGGTGGAGGGTTTGTGCTGCGTGCTTCTTCTTCTTCTATTGCATTCTTCCTCTTTATTCTTCTTTTTCCGGTTTTGTGGACGCTCTCGTTTGTCCATGCTGCTCTTTTCAGGCATCAGATTGGCACATCAAGACGAGGGAAAAAGTGTCTACCTAGGTATCAGGCAGGCAAGGGGAAGGGTCACAATTATTACTTCAGGGCTACGGCTGGGATTAAAGACTTGGGCAAATGGGTTTACATAAAGGAAACTGGAATTGGCACGGAGCTCGCTGTTTTTTTTTTCTTCTTGTTGCTTTTTCTTTTCCCTTCTTGCTGCTTTTCTGCATTGCGAATTTTGGGGGGAAGGGGGGGGGGGCAACATTGCGGTTGTTGAGCAGGACCTTTGTAATGCACAATGTGTATGTATCGGTTATCTTGTGGTTTGTTGTTTGAGGTCTTCTTTCTGAGTGTGATTATACTAGAGGATTATTATACCTACTTTTGAAACTCATCCGTTGTCGTTTGGGGTGAAGATGTGGCCCGGTTGAAGAGGGATGCTAATCATCACTCATCCAGGTGTCAAAAAGGTAATTCGCGAATCATGGTGACAACGGTACATGAAACATGCGCCAAACGTCTCTCTTTCTTTTTTTCCATTTGGACTTGACCAGATAATCCATTCTATATAGCTAGCTTGGCTCACCCAGGTATCCATCACCAAACAAAAAAAGACAGGAATTCATGCTGAGAACCGAAAAGCCACGCTTTGTTGGTGTGCCAAACGCTGATCCAAACCCAATGCAACCAAGCAATTCCTCTCTCCTTTTTATTGCCCCCTTTTGTGTTTTTCTTGCCTCTTAATAGATGCTCCCCCTGACGCTCCTGTCCTCCCTCTCCACCTCGTCCAGATCCTCCTCGTCTTCCTCGTCGCCGTCGTGCTCCGGGGCGCTGCAGTCCGTGCCCGGCTCGTCCCCGAGGCGGTTCGCCTGCGCGGTGCCGGACTTGATGCGCGAGTCGAGCGACGAGGCGATGCGCTGGCGGCGGGCGGCCTCGCCTTCTTCTTCTTCTTCTTCGGAGGCCTCGGTGTCGCTGCCGGCGAGGGAGGCGTGGCCCGAGTAGGTGCCGCCGGCGTCGCGGCCGACGTGCATGTGGGTGGCCTTTATGTGGCGGATGCGGTCCTCGGCGGTGATGAAGGACGGGGTGCCGTCGGGGGAGGAGACGATGTCGTCAAAGGCGCGGGCGGCTTCGACGTTGACCCTCTTGTTGTTGTTGATGTTGATGCTCTTGGGCTTGGAAGGGTCCGTGCTGCTGTTGTTATTTTCGTTGTCGCCGTCATCGCCGTCGGAGCTCGACACGTGGCGCTGCTGTCTCCTAGCGGCGAGATTCGTGGCCGAGGTGCTGTTGTTGTTGTTGTTGTTGTTGTTGTTGCTGGTGCTGCTGCTGGCGCCGTTGGCGTTGACGTTGGCGATCTTATCGTCCTCCTGCTGCTGCTGCCGCTGCCGCGCGTGGTCCAGGTCCTGACGGGGCTTGTAGGTGGCGGTGTGGTTGCAGCCGTTGGGGCAGCCTCCCCACCTGCGGACGGCGACGAAGCTCTGCGTGTGCTGCAGCTTGAAGTCGTCCTTGTTGTTGTTGTTGTTGGAGCCGGAGCCGGAGCCGTCGGCGTTCTTGTTATTGTCGTCGCCGGCGTCCTTGTCCTTGTCCTTGAGGGCCTGGGCCTGGGCGCGCTCCCGCCGCAGCTCGGACCAGGTGCGCAGCTTGTTCTCGAGGTGGTACTTGCCGTTGACCTGCTTGCGCATGATGAGGAACTCGCAGTGGTTGATGTTTCGGAGGTCCTCAAAGTACTCGACGGAGAAGTGGTACCACTTCATGAGGAAGACGCGGGACATGAGGCCGTGGGTGACTAGTCATGCATAGATACGATAGTTAGACGCTGGCGGAGTTGTTGGGACCATGGAGAAGTGTATAGAGAGGAAGGAAGACGAAGCTCACCCAAGACGCAGACGCTGGGAAAGTCGTCTTCGCCAAACTGGCGCCACAGGCTCTCGTTGAAGCCGCTGATGCGGTCGTAGGCGTCGGCGGCGCTCTCGCCGTCGGGGATGCGGTAGAAGAAGTGGCCGTAGTCGGCCCTCTCCTGCCACATGCGCTCCATCTCGGTGCTGCAGGGCTGGAAGTTGCCAAAGTCCTGCTCGCGCAGGCGCGGCTCCTCGTAGACCTTGATGCTGGAGCGGCGGTAGGGCGAGGGCTCGGGGTCGTCGGACGTCAGGGTGGCGAGGATGCCCTCGGTGGTCTCGCGCGTGCGGCGGTAGGGCGAGGTGAAGAACTGGAGGGTGTCGTCGGGGCGGAGCAGCTTGCGCAGGCGGCGGCCGGCCTCGTGGGCCTGGGTCCAGCCTTCGGGGGTGAGCTTGACGCGGTGGTCGGGGATGGTCTGATGTATCTCGCGGTTCTCTGTGGGGAGAAGGGTTAGCTGGAGTGAAGAAGAAGAAGAAGAAGAAGAAGAAGAGAGATTGTCATCGTGGGAGGGGGGACTGACTATTGCCCTCGGATTGGGCATGGCGAATGAGGATAATCAGCCGGGGCTTGGCCATGGCTGCGGGACGACGGGAGGTTGATGGCGAGGCTGACTGACGATGGTGGGGGAAAAGAGGCTGGATAATGGATTGATGAAGCTGTCGAGATGTTGGATAGTTTGGTAAGGTATGTAGTAGAGAGTAGAGCTGATGGAGGACGAGCGGCAGTTGAAGGAGGAGGACGAGGAGGAGGAGGAGGGGTTGTAAGAGTGAGGCTGTACCAGGCAAGGGAATGTGAGTAGGGAAGTGCTAGGGATGGTGGTGTGTTTTGTAATGGTGGTGGGATGACAATTTTGACGCCCAGGTGTTTCGGGGTCACTGGCGTCAAACGCCAACCATCAGCTGCCCCTGTCCTGTTTCACGGGAAAGGAGCTTGAGATGGTATTTGGTAAGCAAAGAAAAGGGACAGGATTGGAACTACCTTAGGTAGTTTGACTGATAGGAACTTAAAGAGGCTGCATTCGATGCGTCTGTTTGATGTTCAAGAGGCGGTGCTTTATGGCATATAGCTGGCACGGGATTGGGCTGTGCTTGTCTTGTCTGGTGCTGGTCTCTTATCACTGGCAAGTACTGTTCCTTGCACCGCCGGTGAGAGGCGGGCAGTGTCTGGAGGTACTGGGACTTGGAACGTGTTATGGGCGCCAATTGGCCGAATACTTGTCCCATGGAATCTGGGATTTATACAGGCAAGCATGAATTTTACATGCTGGAATCAACTCAACTTGCAACTATATCATGTTAAGTGGATGATGATATAGTCCTGGTCGTGACATTGACCAGATCTGTATCTATCTGTTGATTCAGCGCTAATAGAAAATAGGTGAAGCTGAAAATTCAGGGTCTCTTCTACTACTACCTAGGTACTAATAGCGGTATCAGGACTTGCAAGGATGACCCTCGAGCGAACCACTTTGTCAAATTACCGCGACTCAACTCCAGGGATATGCATATATAAGACAAAACAGACGATCTTGATCCAACAGAATCAACAGGTTATGGCCCTGCTAGCGCAATGGTTTAAACTTGATGATTTCCAACATGTCGGAGCCTACAAAGAAGCCGCGAGTTCAATCCGCGGTGGAAGTGCAGGTTCCATGTTGGCGAAACACCGCGAGGCAGAACATGAACGAGCTGTGTTTTTATATGACATGGTTGACATTTCCCCCCGAGAGACAGAGTAGTAAGAGCCACTGAGCCAGCTCTGAGAGAAGGGGGGGAAGCGCCATGGGGCCGTTATCAGATGTTGTAAGACTCCATTACAGATGCGTAAGAGCCACTGAGCCAGCCAGAGGAGCGTCATTGGGCTGTTTTATTTCTTTGAGATGTACCACATTGAGCGTAACAGCCGGTGGGAGTGATTTGAGCCGTCATCAAACCCGCAAGTTTCAATTTTTTGGTCTTTGTGAAACTTGATATCGAATGGGGTGATTCTGTAAAGATATATGGAGAGAACAGAAGGTCTATCGTGATGTGGTGTTACGGACACTGCATGGCAATCAATGCATAAGGCATCACAAAAAGCTTGTCATCGGTACGGAGCACCTGCACCACGGCGGAACCCATCCGATTCCCTCATCCAGCCATGGCGATGCCCTCACTTTTGCTCCCCCCTCCTTTCCCCCCCTTTGTTCATCTTTCCATTCTTCAACAACAACCAACACCCCCTGGTATTTCACCTCTCACATGATCCTCCCAATGCACGCAAATCCTCGCCCCCCTCTCAAAGAAACGATCGGGATCTCGGCCAGCCTAGCGGCCCATCTGGGAAGCCAGAACGGCAATCCGGCAACGGCAAGGCATTTCAGCTATAGCAGCAAGCCACTCAGACGGCGCAAGAATTCCGTCAGATGCCCCCTCTCCAGGCCTCTACAAAAGCAGGGCGAGGCTGTAACCCAGACTGGTGCTGACAAGGGAAAAACCAAAAAAGCCAGAAAGCCAGGTTTTTTTTTGGGGGGGGGAGGGGAGGATGCGCCACGACCGGGCTTTTTTGCATGACGTTTCATGACCCCACACGCATTCTTGATGCTGGAGGGGAGAGCGAAGATTTGTGATGCTATTGAGCTTTGACTCCTTGACTTACATGCTTTTCGGCTCGACGTTGCCGTGAAGCTGCTTCATCTTGATGGGCGACGATGCCGTCAATCCGTTTCCATCTGCCTTGTTGCCCCCTGCTTGATTTTCTAATATGGACGAATCTGTATACATGAGCTTTCTTGACAGTATTACTCTGTAAATACCTTATACTTTATACTCCATACCTACTTAATACTTTATACTTCATACTGATACTGATACTGATACTCATATTCATACCTACTATTCATCTTCATATTCATCCTCATTTGCTCGCTCGCCAGCTTACAAGATCACATCACATCACCCAACATGGTCTCCGACCACGTCCTCCGCCTCTGCCACTCGCCCAACACAGTCAGCTCCCTGCTCGCCAAGAACCCGTCCCAGAGCCCCGGCCAGATTGCAAAGGATCTCTACGGCATCTACGAAAAGGACCTCCGCCGCACTCCTCCTCCTCCCTCCTCCTCCGCCTCCGCCTCCGCCTCTACGTCTTCCTCTTCCTCCCCTTCTTCCCGCTGCTCCTCCTCCTCCTCCGGCAACAGCAACAGCAACAACACCAACAACAACACCAACATAAACACCAACAACAACACCAACAACAACAACAACACCAACAACAACACCAACGTAAACACCAACAATGGCCAAGCTTCTTCTTCTTCTTCTTCCTCAAAATCCCGCCAGACGCTGGACCTCGCCCTCCAGTGCGGCCGCTGGGGTCCCACGACGCCGAGCCCGCTCTTCCTCAAGGCCTTTGCCGACGCCCTGCGGTGCCTCGACGCGGATCCCCTGGCCGGCGTCGTTTCGCCGCCGCTCATGGGCTCCCACGGGACGGTCCCCCTGACCGTGATTGCGCCGCTGGCGGACGTCATCCGGCACGTCTCGAACGTCATTGCCCGGGCCGAGCGGGAAGTCTTCTTCATCACCTGCAACTGGTCGCCTTCCGTCGCGCAGCGGCTGGTGCGCAACGCCCTGGTCGAGCTGTCGCGGCGCGCGGGCGAGAGGCGGCAGAGGGTCGTCGTCAAGATCATGTACGACAAGGCGACGGCCGCGAGCGCCATCGACCCCCATCAGCGCGTCAGCCCGGCCGCGTACTCGGGCAAGGCGATCCAGCTGCCCGCGCCCGACGAGGTGCCGCATCTCGACATGGAGGTCGTCAGCCTGCACAAGCTGGTCCTCGGGACGCTGCACGCCAAGTTCTGCGTCGTGGACCGCAAGATTGCGCTCGTCATGAGCAACAACATGGAGGACAACTGCAACATGGAGATGCTGACGCACCTCGAGGGCCCCATTGTCGACAGCATCTACGACACGGCGCTCATCACCTGGAAGCGGCCCCTTGACCCTCCTCTGCCGTCGTATGAGTTCCCGGCCGCGCTGGGCGGGCTGCCGCCGCCGTCGTCGTCGTCGTCGACCGCCCAGCACGAGCAGCAGCCGCTGTATCTCGACAGGGGCGGCGCGGGCGCAGACCAGCAGCGCATCGCGGCAAGCGGCGAGCAGCAGTCGCACGGGACGGCGGAGGAGCTCAAGGAGCACACGCCCGAGGATCCGCACTACGACGCCGACCTCGCGGGGGAGATTGTGCGGATGCAGGCGTGCTACTCGACCAAGCCCGACGAGACGCGGCTGCAGGCTGCGAACCGCCTGCTCAACTACGCCGTCAAGAACCCGGTCGCGCCGACGGGGCCCGAGATCCCAGACGGCCACGAGATGACGCCGTACATTGACACGTCGACGCCGTACCCGGTGCCGATGGCGCTCGTCTCGCGGCCGCCGTACGGCAGCGTCGACTCCAAGAACGCCTTTGTGCCGCAGAACGAGGCCTGGCTGTCCCTCATCCGCAACGCGACGCGCGACATCTTCATCCAGACGCCCGACCTCAACGCCGCGCCGCTGATGCCCGCGCTGGCGGAGGCGTTGAAGCGCGGCGTCGAGGTCACCTACTACGTGTGCTTCGGCTACAACGACGCCGGCGAGGTGATCCCCGGCCAGGGCGGCACCAACGAGCAGGCCGCGCGCAGCCTGCTGTCCCTGCTGCCCGAGGACGGGCCGGAGCGGAAGCTGCTGCGCATATACGACTACGTGGGCAAGGATCAGGACAGGCCGATTCACCAGTGCTTCCGGGCGCGGTGCTGCCACGTCAAGCTGCTGATTGTCGACGGCTGCGTGGGCGTCCAGGGGAGCGGCAACCAGGACACGCAGAGCTGGTTCCACAGCCAGGAGATGAACATCATGGTGGACAGCGCCGAGATTTGCGCAAAGTGGAGGGAGGGCATTGAGAGGAATCAGAATACCAGGCTCTATGGGCGGGTTGCGGCCGATGGCGTCTGGAGGGATGAAAAGGGGCAGCCGGGCGAGGGGTATATGGGGGATCCGGGGTCGGTGGAGGGCTTGATTAAGGGCGTTTGGGGCATGTACAAGAAGATGGAGAGGGCGTAGACGAGAGTGTGATGATGGTGTATATAGGTCGATGTGTTGTGGTTGTGAAGTCGTGTAGATGAGAGTTGCTGGATATAATCAGCTGTGTATATGGGGTAGGTAATTCTCACTCTAGTGTATGAGACTCTTACTGAGAATGAGCGACTATGAGCATGATTGTCGAATAGGATGAAAAGGTACAGACACTCTAGATGGACCTTTCGTAGTACATACTATCAAAAGCAACAGCAGCTTCAATCAAGCTTACATCCATCTAGGTACCTGGATAGATCATACCCAAAAAGACTCACATGCCATCAACACCACGAACCTTGTATCAATGCAGCAGCTTCTCATCACATCTAGCTCCTTCTAGCACGCACAATAGCTCCCCTCGAGCTACACTAAAACGCTTTGTCTTCAAATACCACCCTGATACAATAACAGCAAGGAGCTACTCACTAGCCTGGCATCGAAACTGAATACATACTAGATTAGAAGTAACCCTTCTCAGACCACACTCCTCGGTTACATCATCAACTTATCAATCTCATGCTTCGGGTCATCTTCACCAAGTCGCCCAATGAGTCACATGTACCCTTCTCTATCAACGCCAACAGTTCGTACCCCATGGGGACTAAACCGACAGCATCTAGCACTTCCCCTAATCTACAGATCTAAATAAAGAACTCTCACCACTGCAGTCCTCAGTCCATCAAGCCATGACTCTCAAACAAGCAACCAAGTCAGCTTACAAATAAGCCCATACATACATACAAAAACCACGTTATTAATCAAGCTCAGTCCTGCGTCCAAGCCCATCTACACTTAAACGCCCAGCCCACAGACACAAAACGCCACACAAACCACCAACCACGCCCTACACTCGTCAAAATCCCCCCCATCATCCCGCCCCGTGGGGAATCACCTTTGATAGTGATACTACTCGCAAGGCAAGTTCTTGGCACTCATACCGCCAAGTGTGTGTGTGACTGCTCAGCTGCTCTGTACTTCCTACATACAATCAACTCGAGAGCTATGCTATCCATCCATCCGTCAAGACATGCCGGCCCGGCTAAATGCCCCCCCCTCCCCTTCTCCGCGCGCCCTAGTTTTGGCGGCGCTGTCCATGGGCTTCCATTATTACTACACGTATTGATTTCTTGAATCGTCGTCTGATGGTCGGCCGATATCGCAATTTTGAGTCGTTCTTGTGTGTGCGGCAACTCACGACGATGATGGCTTGTCCACATGAATGGTCCCATGTTCACATACCTTGCCTTAACCTGCACTTTGCATCTCACATAGTATGTCCATAGGTTCCTATCAGGTAATTGTTGCTCAGTTGTGGATCAATCAATTCCAATACATCACATGCAACAGACAACTCTAGACACACGATGAGTTGGATCAAGTAGTCATGTTCATTATTGTATCCTCTGCCGAGAGCTCTATATCGCACCATCCATATTGAATGTCCGATCAGGGTACCCGTCTATGCAGTCCATCCGCCCACCCATCCATTCACAGACCAAAAAAAAAAAAAAAAAAAAACACCAAGCCAAAAAGTCTCTATTGGACCGTTCCAACATATTTGATATATAGAAACTCAAAAGCAGTATTCACAAATAAAAAGCCGTTTGTCCTTGCTATAGGGGTATAAATATCCGCTCATCAAACACAAAAAAAAGGGTATGCAGCAAATATCAAATGCAGCCCACATCCGCTTTGCTCGCACGTCCAGGCCAAGCTGTATCCTGAATTGATGCGCCCAGTGTCCCAAGTCGTAAAAGAAGAAGATTGAAAAGAGAAATTAAACAAAAGGAATTAAAATGTGTATAGAGTGTCATCGTGGGCCTCATGATAATTCTTGGCTGCCCCTTCGGCTGTTGGGCGCTGTTGCTCTCGCGGCAACCAACTCCTCGAGATCGTAGTACTCAATGGGCGGCGTCGGCGACATCTCGTCCTCTGCGTATTCCGGAGGGCTGGGAGGCACGTCCTGGTAGACGGGAGGCGCCTCGTTGTCCCAGCTGACGCTCAGGCCGCCATTGTCCGTCAGGACAACGGCAAAGTGCATGCGCAGGATGCGGCCGGTGCCCGTCTGGTGCGAGACGTTTGTGCGGCCCTCCTGCGCATACTCCTTGGACACGACCAGCTCGAGCAGCAGCGAGTGCGTCACCTCGGTGCCGTCGGGCGTCTTCATGTCGCAGGCGTACTTGAGCGCGTTGGAGTGCGGCTTGAGCTGGTTGACGCAAAACTCAAACTCCATGTCGACGATGCCGTCGGTGCCCGAGTAGTCCGACTTCCAGCCCTGGTTGAGCGTCTGCTCGCCCACGACACGCGTCTCGCTGCGCGGCAGGCCCTTGGTGGCGGACTCGGCGAGCCCCGGGTTGTGCCGCTCGCAGGCGGGCGCGACCGTCTTGATCGTCTCCTCGAGCTTCCACGTCAGCTTCTTGAGCTTCCACAGGTCGACCGTCTTGACGCGCTCGTTGTGCGTCATGAGCCCGTCGAGCTTGAGCGTCATCTTGTTGTTGCCCGTCGGGTGGACGACGGAAACATAGCTGGCGGCGGCCTTGATGTTGGTCGGGGGGAAGACGCGGACCGAGTTGTGCGGGTACAGCGGCTCGGGCAGCGTCCGCTTGACGTCGATGATGCGCTCGAACTTGGCCGACGAGATGGTGCTGAAGCCCTCGGGGGCGGTGGGCGCCGTCAGGAACTGGGCCTCGGCGCTGAGGACGTAGGCAATGGAGACGACGGGCGTGTCCATGGAGGCCGGCAGGTGGCCCGGCAGCAAGATGGAGAAGGGGAACTGGTGCTTGCCCTTGCGCAGGGGCACGGGGTGCGCCAGCAGCTTGAGCTTCTCGACCTCGGTCGACTGCGTCTGGCACTCGCTGCAGTTGTTCTGGAAGGGCCGCTTGTGGGTGACGATGAGGTTGAGGCTGGCCTCGAAGCTCTCGACGTCGACCAGGTCCTCCTTGATGTCGAGGTACAGCTGCCCCGAGACGAGGGCGCCGGTGCTGTCCTCGGCGTTGCCGTGGAAGACGACGGGCGGGCTCTCGACGCTCCAGTCAATCACGACAGGGGAGTAGGGGACGTGCTGGTGGCGCTCCTTGGAGGCGGAGCGGCCAAAGTGCAGCGACAGGCGGTGGTGCTTGCGGATGGCTTCGGCGAGGTCGGGCATCTTGACGGCATGGCGGTCGTCGCTGTCCGAGGCGTGCGGGCTGGTGTTGCGGGAGGCGCTGCGCGAGGTGCTGCGTGAGGTGTTGCGGGAGCGCGAGACGGCCTTGATGTGGGGGATGGAGTTTGTCGACGAGCGCAGGAAGCTGGAGACGAGGTGCGGCATGATGGCGGGGTGTGAAGGGGAGGTGGTGATGTGAGGAGTCGATGGTATAAGTTGGTGGTGGTGGTGGTGACGAAAACGTCACTAACTCGCAGAACGACGGACAAAACAGCACAATTGGTTCTGTAACCCTTTTTCCGTCACGTTGTTTTTTCTGCTCCGTTTGAAACAACTTCTCCTTTCTTCTCCTTTCTTTTCTTCTCTTTCTTCGCTCCTCTCCGTCTCGATGTCGAGTCAATGGCCTTTGGAAACTGGTCAAGGCAAGGTGTGCTCCGCCGCGTTAGACTGGCGAATGATGATGGCCAAGGGGCCGCTCTGCTCGTCAAGGAGGGGCTGCGTCTGGGGTATTTGAACGGAAATCCGATTGGAGTTTCCCAGGGACGCTCTTTGGTCGGGAACTCTGGCGATTGCAAGCAAAAGAGGCGCCGATGGTGGGAAGCCACGGTGAAGGAGGTATAAGCCAGAGAGAAATTAGAGCCCGTGTGATATGATGGTGTCTGCCGTAAGCGTGGCTGTTGGGCGTTGAGGAGATGGGATTGCGGAGTGATTAGTTGCTCCTTTGTCCCCTTTGTCCGTCTAGGTAGGGATGTATCCTTTGCTTTTGTTTCTTTGTTCTTGTCGTGTCTTGACTCGACTCTTTATGTATGATATCGGGTGGTCAAACAAGTTTGTGGCGTCTTGCTGACTGTGCGTCCAAGGAAGGTTTCGATAGCTCTGCACGTGTGAGTGTAAGCTGATGGCGACGATGATGGCGATGATGAGGATGATGATGGTGATGAAGCTCTAGAGCTGTCAAGAGCAGTAATGCAGATGCAATTGCTGGCAAACTGTGAAGCAAAGCAGGTGATGTGATAAACAGATTTCCAAAACAGGCAACCAGCAACGAGCAGCTGGAGGGCATCGTCAACTTATATGTCCTCTGCGCCTTCCAACCTGCTTCGGCATGCAGCGGTTTGTCCATCGGCCTGGAGCTGCTTGGGTAAGGTACCGAGTACTTGCACCATCTGTGTGTCATGGGCCGTTTGCGAAAAAATCCAAGGTACTTGCACACCCACACACACTCCTTCACACTTCTGCACACACGCACCTGGGCAGGTGCTACCAAGGGGGAAAAAAATCCCTGCTTGTAAGGTACCTTGACTCAAAAACTCTCTTTTTTTCCCTAGTATGTATTTTTTTCTTTTTTCTTTTTTTTTTTCTTCGGCCGCCAAACCGATGGCCGATGGATCTCTGGTGGGGCCTCAATCGACGCAGCGGCAACGCCTTTCGATTGATTCTGTGGGGCCCTCGTCTTTTTTTCAATTTTTTCCCCTTCTTTTTTCTTCTCTTCGCCCAATTTTGCCATTTCTCGAGTCTTCTCTGCTTTTCCCCATTAGGCACTTGAATGGCAGACTGGACAAAGTAATACTCGTACATACATACAACCACTACTATGTAGGTACTTCTCAAGGTTCCGTTTGGGAACACGAGCTGGGCATTGGACGGCTTTAGGTTTCCGGTGCTGCTGCAGATGAGCTCCTGCGGCCGCATTGAGAACCTTGAAGGCATCAGCAGTTGCAATGCATCAGGTAATACCTCGTAATACTCGTAGCTGTATAGCAGCAGCTTCAAGCTGTTTACCGAAGCTCCCCCCTTGGTTTGCTCTCCTTATATGCGCTGTTTCATTCGAGATTCATACAATCAAGGACCCAAGTGTCATTTCTTCAAAACGAACAAAGCGTTTTACTGGGTCTTGTTCCAGGCCTACGGAGCACTCACGGCGTTGACCGATGAGCCTACAACCACTGCAGTTCAGGCACATGTACAGTATGTATGTACCTTACTCTCTCTCTCCTCATCCTGGTACCTGTAATATCATCCATTCGTCACATCACGAATCCTGCACCAGCTCGCCCAGCCCAATGCCTCACCATCATCACGCAAACAGCCTCATTGCTGTTGTCAACCGCCCATCTCTCTGACTAATACCAAGTGAACAAACCCAAAATAAACTCGTCACTGTCCAGCGCCGACACCGGGCTCACATTGACATCCGTCTTTCTGACATTGACAGACGGAGGGCGCGGACGATGACTTACATGGCCTGCATGCAAGTACTTGGCCTCGCACTCTGCTTCGCCCTGCATGACAAGTACCTACCTACCTATCGACGGGCTGCAAGCCACTGCCAGTCTGCTGACCCCAAGGTGCATCCACAGAAAGGCACGCGAAGCGGCAGTCCGTCTCCGTGCCTTTCAGTTGACCACTGCAATAAGGTAGTTGTAGTCGCAGACTGAGGTACTTTGCAGTGCCACTGCAGCTGCACCCAACGACAAGTCATTCGTTCACTGACCAGAACCCCCTTACAGTACGAGTTCCAAAACCACAGGGGAGGGAGGGGCCACCAGATCACGGATCAATTGATGCAAGCCGCCCTGGAAATAGAGCCGGCAGAAACATACATACATAGGGCGCCGAGACGAGATCCACGCCCTGCCTGAATGTCAGTGGCGTGATGCCCTGTGACGTTCTACCCGAGGCCACTGGGACGCCCTTGTCGTTAGTGAGCCGAAGCGCCAGCGCATTGGATTGCCATTGCCAGGCTGGGCTTTGCGGGCTTTGTCTTGCATCCAATTCTTTCGTGTCAGATGCCCCTTGTTCCAGGAGCTGATGACTGCTGCCATTGGACGTCTGTTGCTGACGCTCTGGAATGCCGAGTAGTAGACATTTGCTTGACAGATGGCGTATGTTGAAAGGCGTGCTTAGTACATCCCATGATGCATCAGGTCAAGAGAAACAAGCAGAAACTGATTACTAACTCGTATACTCTTCGTGTTACAGCTCATCTCGTCAACATCTCAGGACTACTCGTACGCCCAACATCAAATCACATGCAGCATCAACAACACCCTGATCTCATACTGACCTCGCATCCAAATCTTCATCCCCACGCAAAATCTCATTCAACCCACAAACACACACAGCCACCAACAAGCACAGGCGGTTCCAGCTGGCCTCGATTCGTGCAATACCCGCCTTTTTCCCCTTAAAATCAGGTCACCCGTCGACTCTAAATTTTCCTTACTTCTCCCTCTCTCCTCGTCTCTCCTCTCCTTCCAGCTCGTCCCCTCCACAGTGCCTTGGCTGCTCCCCTTGTTCGCCTTGCCATTCGTGAGTCTTCATGTCTCCACGGAGATGCTACCAAGAAAAATTTTACGTGTAAAGGAAAAAAAAAAAAAGAGTTGTCCCCCTTTGCCTCATTTTCACGATACTACCTCAATTCGGACTAGATCCACCGATGGGAATTCGGCACGCCGGCCGGGTTCCTTTTTATACTGTATTTTCCCGGTTTTGTACTTGTCCAAGTTTGCTCCGTTTTTGCCTTGTGGGACCTTGTTCGTGAGAAGAGGAATCCATAATTTTCTTCTTTCTGGGCTTCTTTTGAGATTTGAGTGAGGCCCGCGGTGGAGGACGATGGATCCTCGCTCAGAGAAAAAAACTCGAAATTACTGCCTTTTACGGCTGTATGAATGCAAAATTTCTGGAGGAACTCGTTCGGTGCCTTTACGGAGGTCTCGATCGGTTCCCCGTCTGACGACGCGGAAGCAATCTGGAGTAAGATGGAGCATCCTCCCGTGTCTATTACAGTAGTACTATATGCTTCGTGACGTTTGAAACCGTTCTGTCCTGTTGTGTCTGCCCGGTCAGTGCAAGCGTCCAGTTGGTTCAGAAAATCTTCAGCCACCGACTTCCAGAAACGGTCCCTGGAGAAAGAGAGAAAAAATTTTTCATCTTCGAGTTCCGTTTCTTGTCTAACTTGATGCTACTACTATGTATCCGTGCTCGATGGTGGCTGTCCCATCGTCGATCATGGCAGCAACCACGTGTGATGCTAAACCAGGTCCCGAAAGCCTCAGCCATGCCGCTAAAAACAGAAACGCAGGCCCCTTGACTTTTTTTTTTGCCTTGAGCCTCCTCGCCGCTTCAGGTACATACATACATGCATGTTTCCACGATCCCCCTGTGAGTGGCTACCTTATTACGTACCGGATATTGCTTTTTGTCGTGCAGAATGTTACAAGAGAAAAAAAAAAAAAAAGGGTCCAGCGTCCAGGCTCTCAAGGTGCTGCCACGAGTAGGACTGTGAAAGGAGGCCTGCTTGGCGAGGGAAATAGTACCCTTTTGGGCAGTTGTCGTGACAAGTACATCAGGATGTTGCGGCCCGTGATCCCGCTCCCGCAGCAAGCCCTCCCTCTCCCTCTCACTCACTTTTTTTTGGTCGCAGCTCGGCAGAGGAGTGAGTAGTGCCGCTCGAATGCAACATCTCGGCATTCGATTGATGTGCCAGGCTGCTCAGCCGTTGAGGCTCCTGTTGATCACTTGCCGAGAGACTCACCGGCCGGTCTGTCTGTCGTCTTTCTCTCTCACACGCACACAGACACGGACACAAAGACACACACACAGACACACACACTCATACATTCATACACACAAGACAGACAGATAGACAGACAGACAGACAGACAGCCAGACAGACAGACAGACAGACAGACAGACAGACAGCCTTGCTTCATGCTTCATGCAGCACCCTCCAGATACTGTAGTACTATAGTAACACTTCAGCTGATGCATGCCCCTCAGCGTAAACTCAATCGCCGAGTCATTTGCTTCGCCATCGTCACACGGCTCTCAAGGTTCTCATCTCAGCAAAAAGTGACAAGCCAGCCTCCGTCGCTCGCTTCTCCCATTGGGCATCACCCCCCCTTTCCCACTTACATGTACGTATGTACAAGAACGGAGTCAAGAACAGCCCCAATCGTGTCAGACAGGCCTCTGAGCACGAATGACACTGGCCCAGCTCCCCTCGTGTCCTCTACCTACCTTACCCAATAATACCTACAGTACACCTGCTCCGTACTCAATACTTTGTTACAGTCGGTAACCGCCGGCTAGTTATTAGAGAGTCTGGGCGGCAACACCATGTCTCCCCAGGAACCGCAACGACCCATTTCACACGGAGTAAGAAAGACGGAGTGATCTGGAGAGGGAAAGCTTCATTTGCCCCAGTGCCCGCGGCCGCAACGGAGCACCGCCCTCGGATGTAGCATTTCTCTGCAATTTTTCCTTAAGCCGAAATGGGGGACCCATTTTGAGCCGAAGGCATCACCAGGGCGAGGAGAGAACAGAAAAAAGGGGAATCACGTCAGAACTGGTCAATTGTGCGATTCTGACGATGCTGCTGCCTGTTGTTCTCGAAATGGATGTTATTGGGCGTGAATTCCATGCTAGTATGCTCTCCTTTTGCTTTCTACCTCTCTTTCCCCCCCCATGGCGTGCTTGTGTTGCTGTCGTATTCATGGTGCGATTATATGTCAAGGTTTCCACTTTGCGTCAGGCGACGGGGCGCGGCTTACACGGTATTATGTGTGTATCATCCAACTGCTGAGGGCAGCCCGGCGATGGCCTCCTGGTAAATAATATGTAGACCGACTCTTCAATGTTAATGCCACTTGGATGTGAACCGATGATCATCTCATGCTACTCGGTCATGCTTGGAAGGGATCGCCAGGTCCGCGTTCCGGGAGCTGTTTCGCAGACCTTGGCCCGGCCCGACTTGCGGTTTTTGCGCTCGTTTCAACGACATTGCAACATGACATCAACCTTGCGCGTTCGTACAAATACATTATGCATGTCCTGGTCCCCTTTCATATGTAGAAGCTTCTACGAATAGCAACTCGCTTGCCTCGTACGAGTAGTAGTATTATTGGCTTGGAAGTTCTTGGGAGACTAGACCACCCGGGATCCCCAACCCCCGTCGCCGCCGTAGCTGCCGGGCGCGGAACGGATGCTGGGGACCGGGAGTGGCCGGATGCAAAAGGCGATTCCGGCCATCCGATTGCCGAGCTGAAGGATTCCGGACTGCCGAAGATGTTCCCTCTTGCTCCTCGTGGAAAGACTGACGAAGAAGTCTTTGCGTGAATACGAATGGCCATGATGTAAGATGCGATGAATCCGGTAACAGTTTTAGAGGCTATGCGTTAGTAGGTATTTCTATTTATTTTATCCTGACGTGGATGATGTGTTTCGTGCATCGTGCTGAGGTAGAAGCGTCTTGATACGATGTCTCCCCATGTACGAAAGAGCTGCAGGTGATGTGTGGCCCATGGCGCCAAGGTGCTTGTCCATGGAGCTCGCTAGGTCAATGAACGTTGCTTTCTCTTAGATAGTATGAACATGGAACGGACAGGTTTTGAATGCGCAATCGAACGAAGCTACAGTTTGGGCACAGGTTCGCATGGCCTCTGCGACGAATGTGCTTTACATATCCCTGCCCGAGCATACCTAGGACGGCGTTTCAGTTGCGCAGCCGCTTCTACAAAACAAAAGCAGCATAATATGATTAGCTTTCCAGCATGAATGAGCTATAACGTATGCTCTCTTATATGAAAGATATACTTTCTTGATCGATCCAAAACGGAACAGCAGCCAAAGGATGCATCACAACCTCATGTTTTGGCTCGACGTTGCGGTGCAAGTGTAGATGTACCCAAGTACCTTATCGCAGCTTATCACGGCGAATCATATCTCCGCCCCGACACTTTTGCAGACACTCGCTCTCAACACCAGCCGAGCTTCTCGACAAGGTAAGCTCATCACGGCAACATCGCGATATCCTACGACTCGTCCATCACATCGCCTTCGTTTCCCTCTACCGTCTTACTCCGACGATTTTTCTCTCCGGCAAACACGCGTAACCATGACTGGCCGAGGTGGAGGCGGCGGTCGCCGCGTTTTGCTGCCGCCCATGTATGCAATTCTTCCGCCTGGGGGACATGCGCTTCTGCCATGGAATTGAAGGCTGACTCTGTATAGCAACATGATTTTCAAGCTTCTCCAGAACGTGAGTACATGCTGAAATGCGATTTGATTACTATCGACTGCCCCGCGCGAACCGCACGATGTGATTTAGGATGGCCATGGCTTGGCGCAACCGCACGGGTTGAAACTGCGATGGGAAGACGGTTTCTAGATTGTTGGCAGCATGCGAGGAAGCAACTGCAGGATCTCGGTCTTTTCTATCAGGCAGACGCCTGACATCCCGAGTTCGATCGCCCCTATCACGAAGCTACATCGAGCCAACGACCCTGAGACGAGCCGGGCCTATTCACACATATCCTGGATGCCGTTCTGACTTTGCGTTTCTAGAATGCCACAGTTAGCGTTTGGCTGTACGAGCAGCTGTCAATTCGCATCGAGGGCAAGATTCGAGTCAGTAAAACAAGCCCTGCCGTTGACAACCCTCAAACTAATGCGCGACGTAGGGGTTCGACGAGTTCATGAACCTGGTCATTGACGACGCCGTGGAGGTGAAGCAAATCACAAAGACAAACGACAAGGAGACGAGGAAACCGCTGGGTAAGGATTAACGAAAGATTCATCTCCATACACTTGTCCAGCACGACTGACGCAGAATAGGCCAAATCCTGCTCAAGGGCGACAATGTGTCTTTGATCCAGAATCTGTCAAGTTAAAGAAACACACTGCTTTTGAATCAACTCTCTGATATGAACCGCGGAGGTGCATATACCTCCTCCAGATACCCCCGTCGAATGGCACGCAATGGGATATTCTCCTCATGAACCACGTCTCACATCTGGGTAGTAGCAAAACGATTGAACAATGGGCTCGGCATAATGGAAAATTCACTGGCCAGATAGAGGCACAGCTTGATAATGAAAGACATATATCACGGCATACGATTGATTGCTTTGCATCCAGTATTTGGGCCCCTTCTCTGTTGCTGTAGATTCAAGATCTTGCCGATGTTGTGCCGGCTTGGTGGCATTACTAACGCCAAAACTCCCAGCTGGAGAGGTGATGGTTCTTTCACACTTGCATCCTTCGTAGAGACCAGGTCAGACCCTTTGGACAGGCATGAGCAACGCGCGCTGAGATGCGCGAGTTTATGGACTATGTCCACAGTGCTTTCTACGAGGCCACGGGGTGGAGGCGCGACAATTCGTACGCAGCGCTGAACTCGACGACGGACGGTGAGCTCTCCCCAATCCCAAGCCTGCCATGCTGGCACAGCTTTGCTCTATACGAGGCTGTCCTTGATACGAGGCTCTTCAGGAACTCACTTTGCTAATTTCATGCCCAGCGCTGCTCAACTTTCGCACTCCTAGAGGCCTCCGCCTCACCCTCTCGGCCCTCGCAAGTCCCAACTTCGCCACGTCCTACCAGCTGGGCTCCGTCGGCGTGGTCGATGGCTCCATCTCCTACCTCTTCTCCTCCGTTCCGCTGCGACTCCTCCTGACTCCCCAGTCCGAAAATGTCCCGCTCCCCGATCTCCTGCGGTCCTACCGGCCATTGACGCCGGTCGCTCGGCGAGACGACCCATCACTACGACGGCCCGACGACGAGGACAAGACCAACGAGTCGCTTCTATACGGCAGACTATATCTGCCCCGGTCGCAGCTGGAGGCGCTGCTGGTGAGGCGACTGTCCCCCGCTCTGCAGGCACAGTTCAGCGCCGTGTCGGGCCAGCACCTCCGAGACGGCGGCACGGCGCTGGGACTGCTCCAGTACGATGTGGGACGGTATGCGCTCGAGGGATTGGCGTCCACGGACGGCGGCCTGCTGGGCTTCAGGGGAGTGTACAACTTCGGGGGCGACCTGAGCAGCAAAAAGCACGCTCAGCACTCGGCTGCGTCCCCTGCGGAGAATGGCATCGGCGGCGGCGGCAACGGCGATAAAGAGAGGATCTACGGCCGCTTCAGCACTGGTGGAGAAATCTACTACGGCACGCTGAACAAATCGGGGGGCATCAGCATCGGCGCGAGATTTGCTACGCTGCCGGACCACAAGGGGACGCCGCTGTCTGCCACGCTTACGCTGAATCCCCTGATGGGCAACATTGCGGCTAGCTATGCGGTCATGGCCGGCAAGGACTGCAGTCTTGCGACGCGCATGGAGTTTAACATTTTCAGCTACGAAAGCTCCTGGGCCGTGGGCATGGAGCTGTGGAGGAAGCCGTTTGCTCGGCTGGCGGTAGACGGAGAAGTCTCTGATACGGATGTTCCTGCGAAGACGTCGGTTACGAAATCAGGTCCCTCCGCCATAAAGGCACCTATCAATCGGACAGAAGGAACAGCACCTGCAACGAAGACCACCAGTGCAGTACCAGTCCTGGCTTCAGTAGCAACGCCGGCCGAACGAAGTTTCAACGCCAAGCTGGAGTGGAGGCTCGACGAGCCGGAAAAGGTCACGGAAAAGAAGCCTGGACCCAAGATGAACGGAAGCAACGCCGCAAAGTCAAAGAGTGGTAAGAAGGGATCCATCAAGGGGCAACCCGTCCACAAGGTAGAAAAGGCAGAGACGGAGGCAGCGGTAGAGGCAGAAAAGGACAAGGAGCAGGAATACGCCGGCGTCGTCAAGGCGAGGCTGGACCAGAATCTCCGGCTCGGGGTGCTGTGGGAAGGGCGAGTCAAGTCGCTGCTGTTTAGCCTCGGCAGCGGGATCGACCTGAAGATGATGAACAAGCCGTTTCGAACGTTGGGTCTCGAGGTTCAGTTCTCGTCATGATGGCAGGATGACCTGAGTGCCTCTTTTCAGGTCAGCTCATATGAATATAGGTTTGAGCACCGATTTATGAGGTTTAATCCAAGCAAATTTTCAAAGAGAGTGTGTATATGCACGGAGTATCGTCCCAGGTATTGCCGAGGTGAATCCTACTGACTGCCTGATGCGCTTTTGTCCGATCATCTCCCCACCTTGGTCAACTTGTCGACTCAACAACTGCATGTCATGCCATCGGACATGACCGCTTAAAGCCGAATTTGTCCGCGGGTTTCTGAAGGTCGAATTTCGAGCAAGTATCCGCCACCATTCTCACACACACTCTCTCTGTCTAATACTAGCATAGCACAACAGCTACCATTGTCATGGACGGACGGACATAGGGCGCAGGACAGCAGAGCAGAAGCCGAAGCTCCCTTTTCAACTTCACGCACAAGCTGAACGCCCCCTCCTAACTAAACAGGACACACAAAGGAACCAGGATGGGTCGCCAATCGCGGCGGCGGCCGCCCGCCTGCACGCTTTGCCGGATCCGCAAGCTGCGCTGCAACCGCGGCTCGCCGTGCTCCAACTGCTCGATCCGCGGGGTCCCTTGCAACCTCGATGGACCGTCTCCCGGGGCGGCCGCCGGGTCCGGGTCCGGGTCCGGGTCCGGAGCTGCTCCGATGCTTCAGGGGGGCCACGGGGTTCACTATGCCGGCGGCGGCGGCGGTGGGTCGCAGGAGGCCTTGAACAGGAACCACTTGGCGCCGTCGTTGCTGGCGTCTTCGCAGCTGCAGCTGGTGACGGCGGACGTGCTGGGGCTTGAGAAGAACTGCTCGAGCCAGAAGGTGTTGGTGAGTTATTATCTCGTGATTGCTGTCACTTTTTGATGAAGGGGGGATGCTGTGTGTTAAAGGTATAAAGAATGCCGCGGATATTCATATGATGATGACTCTCTCGGGGTTTTTTTTTTCGCAGGACTCACTGGCACCTCCTCCGCTCACCTTTCGCACTCGCTCCATCCGCACCATCACCAGCCCTTCCTTCTTCGTGCTGCATCCCAGCAGCAGCAGCTCGCCCGCATTGACGGAACAGGTCCGGGTCATCAAGTGCATATGCCTGCCCCTGAGGGCAGACGCCCACGTCCTGCTGAACAAGTTCATCGAGGACGTCCTCCACTTCCACCACATCTTCCACACCCCGTCCCTGCCCCGTGCCATCGACCGGTTCTACGACGCCGTGGAGCAGCAACAGCAACAGCAGGGGGGCGAGAAGCCGGTGGTGGTGGTGGTGGACACGGGCCAGCTGATGGTGATGCTGGCCATCTGCTGCAGCAGCACGCACACGTGGACCCGGTTCGACGACAGCAGGGGGCTCTTCAAGCGCTCCGAGGACGCAAACGCGCAGACGGCCGGCTGGCTCACCACGGCCCTCGATGTCATTCATCATGCGCACCTGGCGGCGCACGCGTCCCTGGCGTGCATCCAGGGCATCGTGGTCGTCTTCTTCATGATTTGCAGCCTCGAGGGCATCTCGGCGCGGGCGCGGCTGCTGCATGCGCAGGCGGTGGCCATGGCGCAGGAGATTGGGCTGCATTGTCTTGATGCGCCGCCCAACGCAGGCGGCGGCGGCGGCCAGGCAGGGCTGCTGAAGAAGTCTACCGTTGAGGCCGAGGTTGGGCGCAGGACGTGGTGGTATCTCACTGATACGGACTGGTGAGTTTTGTGTTGTTGTCGGCCCCGTTTGTTGTTGTTGGTGACAGGACTAAGAGGTTTTTTGCAACAGGATGCTGTCCAGGTTGTCAGTCCCTCAACAAGGGGCGTACACGATCCTGCCCAGCCAGATGGCAGTGCGAAAGCCCAGCAACGCAAACGACGTGGACATTGTCGACGGACAAGAGGTCGTCGACCGGCCCCTGGACGAGGCCACGTCCGTGTCGTATCTCCTGCAGCGAACGCGCCTAGCAGAGCTCTTTTACAGTCTCGGCAGCCACGACAAGTCGCTCAACTGGAACTCGGAAGAGGCCGACTACGGCAAAGTCATGGAGGCGGACATGAAGCTGCGGCAGTTCATGCGAGAGCTGCCCGCCTTCTTCCGCCTCGAGAACAGCGGCGCGCTTTCGAAGCTGCCGCCGTCGGACATGCGGCGCTCGTCGGACATTACCATCCAGCGATACATGCTCAACATGATCTTTTACGGGCAAATCTGCAAGCTGCACCTGCCGTACCTCGCCCGGGGCACGGTGAACCCGGGCTTTGCGTACTCGCACGACTCGTGCCTCAAGGCGGCGCAGCGCATCATCTACATTGAGCACCGCATGAGGGCCGAGAACTCGACGTTTGTGCTGTTCCGGCAGCGCATGAATGTCAAGTTTCGGAGCATCTTCATTGCCTGCGTCGTCTTTGTGCTGGACGGGTGCTTGGCTACAAACGAGGGCGGCGGTGGGAGCAGCACATCTGCAGCGGCGGCGGCGGCGGCAGGAGGAGGAGGAGGAGGAGGAGGAAGGGATGATGCGACGATGACGGACGCGTGGAGGATCTTGCACGAGGCGAGGGGACAATCGCCGTTGGCGTCGGAGCTGCTGCACATGTCGATTCAGATTCTACGCAAGTATAGGGCGTCGCATCCGGCGCTGCAGGCGTTGCAGATGGAGAAGCACAGTCAGGAGGCGGCGACTTTTGGTCAAAAGGATACGGGAGATGAAGTTGTCACGGACAAGGGTGGGTCAGGGATGATCCATCCAGAGGCAAAGAGGACTGCGGACACGATTGAAGTGGACAATGTCGACCTGGACAAGCTGTGGGAGACGCTTCAGGGGCGTGGAAGGGACTGGAACAATCTGTTTTGGAGCCTGGGCCCTCCACTGATGTGATTGGTGATATAGGCTGGGATAACGACTAGATCTTTTGGTTGTCTCTTTTTTTTTTTTTCTTCTGTAAACTACCTATAGTATCATGGGACTTACAGCTCAGTCAGGAGTGCGGCCACGAAGCATAGCCATGCCGGCACGTCGGTTGTCAGCGTCCTGACGGTGTGCAGCTGGATCCAGGCCGCCATTTGGCCCTGCGCCAGTTCCGGTGCAGAGAGGATCTTGTCCATGATGGCGAGGACCTGTTTTATCCTCGCTTATAAGCCAAGTTTCTCGATTGGTAAAAAAACAGCCTTGGAAGAGAAAAAAGAAACGAAAGAAATTATGTCACGATAGATGGATCAGTTTCTACAACTCACCGAACTGCCAAAGCCAAAGTGAACGAGGGTAAAGACCAGGCCAGCAATCGCCCACCGCGAAGCCTTGTTCGCCTTGGCCTCCTGCTGGCCCTGGTCGGCAGACGAAGACGCGGACCCGGACGGAGGAAGAGCAGAAGAAGAAGACTGTCGGAGCCAGGCGGCGCGGATGCCGGAGGCGATGGTGACGGCGCTGAGGGAGGTGATGCCGATGAAGCCGGGCTTGAAAAAGTCCCTGAACCAGATGGCGACGGCGGGGCCCGGGTAGGCCGGGTTGGCGAAGGGCAGGACGGTGATCCAGGCGCCGAGGGCCATGCCGACGTTGAGGGAGGTGGAGAGGGCTGGGATGAGGGATTTGGGGGTGGTTGATTTGGAGGACATGGTTGGCGTTTTGAAAGGAGAGGATGAGGCTTGTTGGGTGTAGAGTTGTATGATATGATTCTTGTTGGTGTTAATGTTGATGTTGATTCTTGGAGTTGGGTTGATTTGGTAGAGTTGATGATGTATTGAGATACTAGTTCTATAGAGGAACGAGAGGGGATATCATTATAGTACCTGTGAGTGGTGCTTTTACTAGGTAATCAGGGGAAAGAGGAGGTTGAAGTGGAACAGTGAGTGTAAGCTGTGGGATTGGCCAATCGCTAGGGCTGATGGATATGACAAAGGCGTTTCCTGAATGGGAGGCAAGGCTCGACGGGGGGGGGGGGGGGGGGGGGGGGGGGTGATGAGCTTGGATGAATAAGCATGGCTGTAAATAGACGCTTTAGACGATGGTTGATTCATGGAGGAGAGGCAGCTGGTTGATACATGAATGAGTAAGTATTACCTATTGCTACTTAGGGTAGATGAGAGAGATGTTGAGGCTAGATAGATAACGGCATTTGACAAGGGATTGGTGCAATTGCTAACGCTAGAATAGAGAGAGAGGCGTGATGTGGCTTGTGACATCGCCTGACCTTTTTGACACCTTCTCCTCACAGCTTGTGCTAGCTGTGAGCTGTTTTACCCATACAGCTGGAGAGATGGTGCTTTGATGCTGTTCATTGAAGCGGGATTGGCTGATGATGCCGCAAGTGGTGACATCCAAACGGCTGATCGACCCAGTCGGAGAATAACCTCCATAAACGACAGCTCCACGCCACAACTGCAGTAACTGAATGAATCATCCATTCTGGCTAAGCGAAGACAAGAAGAAACATGCAAACACACACACAAACATACCTAGTAAAATGTCACCATCCTGGCCATGCATCGCCTCAGCTCGCGCGCTAAACGTTGCATCCGCACCTCCACACTCCAGGGTAGCTCCGGGTAATACACAAAGCTCCCCCCAGCTTTTCCCCACGCCAATCAGCGCACCCACAGTGGCAACACAGTGCCCGAACGCTCTAGAAACTTCGACCCTTTCCCCCCCTCTAGAAGAGTCGTGATCCTGCCATGAACACATTGTGCAGCATTTCCACACTCTCTCCCCGTCACTTCTCACAGTACGGACAAGATGCTCCTCGAACATTGTGTCTACACGTCATCATCAGTCGACTTTTTTGAGTTTCGCTCACTGGAATCGACGTAAGTGGCGATGCTTCTCGAACTCAGGAGAGGAATCTCCGGGCGAGGACTCATCATGAAGGGTAGCGTATGGGGAGGGGATGCTCAAGTATAAAGAAGTCGGGCAGATGCCTCTGGCTTGAAGCTTGAAAGAAACCAGATCATCAGAGAAAAACAGAAGAACAAAGCAACAACAACACCAACAAACAACAACCACCACCAATCTCAACGCGCTCTTTCGAGCCACCAACAAGCTCTTTTTATGCTCAAGCGATCTCTTCTTCGCAGCAACAACAACAAGAACCGCATCATCAAGCACCTCTCTTCCTCTTCTCCAAAGACTTCCACCTCCGTCTCCGCCACACGACTCTTCTCAACCGCACCCAAAATGGCCTTCTTCCAGCGCAACTTCTACCCCGAGACCTCCTTCACCCCCCTGTTCCGCCTGCTGCAGGACTTTGACGACTACTCGCGGCAGACAAACGGCGGCTCCGCGTCGGGCCGCCGCACCGGCATCACGCCATGGCAGCCCAAGTTCGACGTGCGCGAGACGGACGCCGCGTACGAGCTGCACGGCGAGCTGCCCGGCATGAACAAGGAGAACGTCAACATTGAGTTCACCGACTCCCAGACGCTCGTCGTCCACGGCCGCGTCGAGCGCACCTACACCGCCGGCACGCCGCCCTCGGGCGCCCTCGAGGGCTCCAAGTCGGGCGGCGCCATCACCGAGGGCGGCGAGAAGGACAAGAAGCCGCCCAAGCCCACCGTCGAGGACGAGGACGCCGCCGCCGGCAAGTCGGGCGAGGTGTCCAAGAAGGGCGACGACAAGGACAGCAACAAGCCTACCGACAACGCAAAGTACTGGCTGAGCGAGCGCAGCGTCGGCGAGTTCTCGCGGACGTTTAGCTTCCCCACGCGCGTTGACCAGGACAAGGTGTCGGCCAACTTCAAGGACGGCATCCTCAACATTACGATTCCCAAGGCCGCCAAGCATGAGCCCAAGAAGATTGCCGTCAACTAAAGGGGATTTTGGTCGACGATGGGGGAATGGATGGATGGGAATTGTGATGATTTTTGCATGAGTCATGATGGTTGTTGGGAATTTGTTCACGCTCCTTTTTCTTTCTCTTGATGCATCGGTTATGGGTGTTTTTGGCATGTATGCATGGGAGTCATGATACGAGTTACAGCCTTTTTGTTGTCTCTTAACGCCATCGATAACCTCACCCGACTGCTTGTGAACGCAGTCACTAGGGATGAAAAGTTTACGTATTCACGATCCTTAATACATAAGTTTTTATTCTAATTCAACGATGAAATGACCCAATGGCTTGTGAATGTGCACTAATACATAGTAGTAATTGCCTAGAGCCAAGCTGTGATAGATCACATCTTCGCGACTCGTTTGTGACTTGAGCCGTGTAAGTGGAGATTGGTTGGTAATGCTGGATGCCTTGAATGTCATCGTTGAGCTTACAATTGCCTACCTTAGGCCATGATACCACTCTTCCCCGCTCCAGGTAGCCATTCTTACCTACCTAGGTATGAAAGGCTGCATGTAAGTGGTGTCACTGTACTTGTCATGAACTCGACATCCACAACATCTATACAACGTACAAACAACTTACACCCGCCTGAATAGTAGCATCAAAGAACATTGAAGACATCTCAGCCATCATCTACTACCAGCCATGACCCAAATCACCCTCACAGACCAAGACCTCAACCTCACCTTCCACGCAACATACACCACAACCACCATAACCCCTTTCCTCATCTCCGTCAAGCAGCCCTTCCTCGACGAAACCAAGCTCAAGGCCTCCCTCACACGCTTCGTCACCACAGAACTCAAGCCACCCTCCAACACTCAACCCACCGCCTCCTTCACCGACGGCCCTCCCGCCGACGCCGCAAGAACCATTGCCGCCCACTGGACAAACGAGTACAGCTGGCGCGCCGTCGAAGCCGCCATCAACGCCCGCCTCACACAATTCACAACCATCGTGACGACGACGACCCCCGAAACGGCCGCCTACAAGGAGCCCATCCCGCTGCACTTTGTCCACCACCGCTCCCCCCGCGACGACGCCATCCCTTTGCTCTTCGTCCACGGCTGGCCCGGCTCGTTCCTGGAAGTCGACCGCATCATCCGCCTCCTGACTCATCCCCCCAAGAGTGAGAAGGGGGAGGAGGGATCATCTTCCTGTCCGGCCTTTCATGTCGTCGCCCCGTCTATCCCGGGATACGGCTTCTCGCCCTCGCCTCTCGCCCGGGGCTTCGGATACCGCCAGGCTGGCGCCGCGTTCAACGCGCTGATGCACAAGCTTGGATACCCGCGGTACGTCGTCCAGGGCGGCGACGCAGGCGACTTCATCGTTCGGTACGCCGCGCTGGACTATCCCGAGGCGGTCGTCTCCTTGCACTCCAACTTCTGGGTCGTCCCGCCGTCGGAGGACGACCGCGCGAGGCTCGCACAGGGCAAGGCCACGCAGGAAGAAGCGGACATTATACGCCGACTCGACGGCTTCTCGAGTCAGAGATGGGCGTACGGACATCTTCATCAGACGAGGCCCCTAAGGCTCGCCCATGCCATGACGGATTCGCCTGTTGGACTGGCCATGTGGATCTACGACGTACTGGTGTCTTGCGTTGAGGAGGAAAACGTCGGTAGGATCTGGACCCCTGAGACGGTCATCACATGGACAATGATGCACTGGATTCCCGGCCCGTACGCCGCCTTTTCGTTGTACAAGCACGGCGCGGCCGACGGCGCGATATCCGTCCGTGGGATCGAGGCGTTGCCGTACGTCAAGCAGCCGGTGGCCGTCAGCCAGTTCCCGCACGATATCTGGTATGGGACGCCGTTGGAGTGGGCGAGGAGGATGGGCAATGTTAAATGGAGTGCGGTGCATGAAAAGGGGGGGCATTTCCCTGCGGTGGAGACGCCCGAGGTGCTGGTGGAGGATATGAGGCGCTTCTTTGGAAATGAAGAGGAGAGCGGGACGGCAGTGTTCAGACAGTAGAGTATCTTGAGGAAGAAGGCATGGCAAAATATGATATATCAAGAGAACCAGTTTGAATATGAAAGTATAGTCATGTAACGATGGGGGGGAATATAAGTGTGTGTTTGACTGCGTTGGCATGAATTTGATAATCATCTTTTCATGAAGTGATGATGAGCAAGTCAAAGGTATGGTTGAAGAAGGTTCTTGGTATGCTCCCAAATCTTGCCCTGATCCTTTTCTCTCAGCGTCGACATGACCTTGGCATTCAGCCTGCAATCGCACTTGTAGTCGACAAGAAACAGCCCGTTTTCTGCTTTGCCCAACGAATTCACCCCCGGCTTGCCTCCCCACGGGATCCCGCGACCACCAAAGGCAGCGCTGGTACTTTCAAACAAGTGCCTCTGCCCAGACTCCTCGTGGCTGAAGCCAAAAAAGTAAATCAGCGTCTCGACGACAAAGGCAAAGACCCGGGCGAGGATGGAGCCCTCATCCCAGCCTCTCCTCGCGTTGCCCGTGTCGACCCACCCGGGCCACGAGTGGATAAAGGTCACGTCGGGGTTCTCGCTCGCCAGCTTCTCCAGGAAAATGGTGTTCATGGCAATGTACTGCATCTGGCCTTTCATGGCGCCAAAGTTCCCAGGCTGCTTGAGGTCCGGGTCGTCAATGTTGATCCTGGAGTTCTCCATTCCGCCTCCCAGGACACTGATGACCCTGGGGGCTTCCGACTGGCGCAAGAGCGGAAGAAGATGCAGGATGAAGAGCATCCGCGAGTAGTACTCCAAGCTCTGACACAGTTCCAAGCCCTCGCTCGTCTCCTTTCGCGTCCCAAACGGTGCATAGCCCGCCGAGAGAAACAGCAAGTCGACGCGTGATTCCTTTTCCTTTATGCCTTCACATACTCTCTTGACGTCGGCGAGGAGCGAGACCTCGCCCTCGGTCCAGATGATGTGCGCCTTGGGGTTGATCGTGTTGAGCTCTTGGATGAAGGCGCGTGTAGGCTCTTCGGAGCTCTTGCGCCCGACGAGGTAGATCTTGACGCTCGCGCCTGTGGAAGCGAGGGCCCTGATGGTGAACTTTCCGACGCCAGAGGTGCCGCCGACGAAGACGGAGACGCGGGGGGCGGTTGCGTCGTTGATGAGCGCGTTGGAGGCTTGGATTTCCTTGTAGGAGACCATGATGGGCGGTGAACTATTGACGTATCCACTGATGAGATTGACTGTTCTGCGAGATTTGATATAGAAAACAGTCTGAAGAAAGGAGGAAGCTCGCGATATCAGCTCCGACAAAGGATTGGCTGCCTAGACAAATCCTCCGCACCAGCGGGATTCGGGGTTCCGGATTCGCTGCGGACATCACTAGCATGTAGTTGTATGTAAGTAAGTACCGATTGGCAGCTCGTCTAGCCTTTGCTACCGGTTATGCTTTTGTGCTTCGTAGCACGACAGAATCACCACCATGTCACACATTGTCCTGCTGGCAGGGCTGAAGCGAGACAGTGTAGGCGGATACTCGATGTCTCAGCCACGGTATCCTGCATCTTGGTTGACGCAGCGGAGTCAATGCCAGGGGTTGCCGCTTGTGGAAGGTTGCGGCGCCTGTGTCTGTGCTTGTGCTTGCATGATTGGCCGTTGACCGACCCGGAGTCGGTTTGATTCACCGGCAGTTTCGTGACAAGGTCGAGCGGTGTAGAGTCGAGTGAAGATGTGTAGATGTCCAAGATGTGTTGACGCGATAACAACAGTCTGCAGTTATTTAATCATCTGCTGCAGAAAGAAGCTTTGTCATCTGTGAGAACCCTGATGGTCCAGCGCTGCCCAAGTTCGCCAGCAGCCGGTGAAAGTGGCCCTCCGCAACTCCGCTCAGCCAATCACAGCCTGCGCAATTTCCCACGATGATGGATCTTCCCGTCATCCAGCGCCTTGCCATTTGCAGTTGCTTCCGTGGACCGTGTACGAGTATTACCTCATCAGCCCACGTTCTCTGCATGTGGTGGAAGCTCCTCGCATGTGCGGCCATTGTTACATGCTGTGCCGCGTGACTGACTGCAGATGCCATGCCTTGTGACGTTTACCAGAGCATTTCCAGCCGGTTCTATATACCCGTGATGTGTATGGCGGCTTTTGGTGGTGATGATGCGCGAATAGAAAAGGGGACAGCGACCACATTGACTGCGAGACTCGACGAGGATGGACGATGCTGGAGAGGGCAGAGCATCACCCTCGCCCTCTGATGCAGCACCTCGTGATGCTGCTCCTGCGTGCCTTGGCCTCAACAAGGTAGAGAGATGGACTCGGCATCAACCATGATAATGGTGTGTTTAAAGCGTCTTATCGCGCTCAGATTCATAGTGTTCAGTAAAAGCGCAAGGCTGGGCGCTGCAGAGAATCGGTGGAGCTTTTTTGCTGGACTCCAGATAGAGGCCATCAAGGTTCTCATCACACCTTTTGCACCTGCGGGGCTAAAAATAAGACGCTGAGTCCCTCCCTCGACAAGCCTCAGCCTCAGGACCCCGTTTTCTCTTCACTTCTCCCTCTTCACCAAGCCTGCGAATAGACACTCGTTGGGAGCTGTCCGTGCCTTTTTTCTTCAGCGGCTGCGCAACATTCCTTACCTACGCTCGGAAAGCCTTTGACTTTGAGGCTTGCCGGATTCGACTGGCCTCTGCTCCACAGCCTCCTTTTCCTCAGTTGCAGTTAGCCGACTCTCTCGGCGCTGCTCTCAAGCCTTCTGACGACTTGTTTGCCTCACTTCTAGACCATCCATTGCGTCGTTCACCACTTTTTGCATTCTAGAGAAGCTCTATAGCGACCATCTTTCTACTACTCTTCTTCAGCCCTTGAAGCGCGTCTCTCCTCAAGTGGAGCATCTTCGTTCTTGCCTGCTGCCGAGGTCAGACTGGCGGAACTTGCCGATTCTGCGCAACGTTTTGGGCGCCTCGACACCCTCAAAGCACCTACAGAGGAGGTTTCGTCAACTGTTTCCATTTTCTAACCTCTACCGCAAATATCATCAACCCTGCTCCCGTCAAAGAGCGAGTTCCCGTCACCATTTTTGGCGACATTGCATATCCTATTCACTTCGACGCGTCCGTCCTCGTTGGACACGGACTCTGAGTTACCGACTATCTTGCAAGACGCAACACCACCTTGAACCTGTCTCTCGACTATTTATGCTGCGATAGGGCATAGATCTAGGTGAGCAAATTGGGCTCACTCGGGGCCTGACCTGCAAGCTCGCCATAGCAACGACTACTGGACATTGCTTTCACGGCAAACCATCAACAAGTTCACAAAACATGGCGGACGTCGAAGATGCCTGCAACGGGGACGTCGTTGACCTCAGCAACCGCGGGCTGCGCATCGGCTCCATCTTCATCATCATGGCGGCCGCAACCTTTGGCGCCTTTGCTCCAATTCTCTTGGCTCGACAACAGAAGATGCATGTGCCCAAGTTCACATTCTTCATCTGCAAATACGTCGGAACGGGAGTCATCATTGCAACCGCCTGGATGCACTTGCTAGACCCGGCCATCGACAACTTGTCCGATCCCTGCCTTGCTCCGCGACTCGGCGACTATCCATGGGCCTTGTGCATCAGTTTGATGACGGTCATGCTCATGTTCTTTGTCGAGCTGCTTGCCGCACGAATTGGAGGGGAGGACGATGGACACAGTCACTCGCTGGGCTCTGATAACGATTCCGACCCTTCTCTTGGCTCAATATCTCGAAAGAAGCCGCAGGAGAAGGGAGCCATCTCAGTGGACTGCCCCCATGACGTGGAAAGAGGCGGTGTCCTGCGTGGACCGGATCCGAAAACCATCCCAGGCCTCCCCGACGACGTCAGCTACCCGCCTGGTGGTGAGGCTCACCTCGCACACGGCCACGAGCACGATGACGGCGACTCTCACGGTGGCCTAGCGGGCCAGCTCACCGCCATCTTCATCCTTGAGTTTGGTGTCGTCTTCCACAGCGTTTTCATTGGCCTGACCCTCGGTACTACGGATGACTTGGTTGTTCTGCTCGTTGTCCTAGTGTTCCACCAAATGTTTGAAGGCCTCGGTCTGGGCTCCCGCTTGGCGACAGCCCCTTGGCCCAAGAAGAAGCAGTGGGTGCCGTACGTGCTCGGCCTCATATTTGCCGCGTCGACTCCCATCGGCACGGCCGCCGGCATAGGAGCGCGGCCCAGCAACGCAAACACCCAGAAGCTGGTCAATGGCATCTTCGATTCGATCAGTGCTGGTATCCTCATGTACACAGGCCTGGTCGAGCTGCTCGCACACGAGTTCATGTTCAACCCGCACATGCGCAAGGCGCCTCTGAAGATTCAACTATTTGCATTTGGATGCGTGGCCTTTGGCGTCGCAATCATGTCTCTGTTGGCAAAATGGGCGTAACGGCAAAAGTTTGGAGTTCTTGGAATCTGTTTTTTTGCTCTCATTTACGGGCTGTATGATATGGAGGACATAGGGAAGCATAGGAAACGGTTTGCTTGGATGCTTTGGTCATGTACTAGAAGAGCGTTGGTCACTGCAATTTGGGCTTGGTGAACAGGAAATAGACGCATATCTATTCCATAGACTTTTCCATAATGATTTGCATCTCAGTCACTTGACTTTGGTTTGAATGCATCGCTCAACGTTGTGACGGGTCTTGTGCAACTTGATGAGGAGCGGCAGAATGTTTGGCCGATTTTGGAAGAGCCGCCACTACTTTCCTGATTAGGTAACGGCGAGCGGCACCACGGATCCCCAGCCTTAGTCATCACCCCGCTAACCAAAAACTCTGCTGGTGCGCGCTAGGGTCACAAGCCCTAGAGCAATCCAAAGTCCACCTCCGCGCTCAGTCTTGCCAAAACTTTCTGGATCCTCAAGCCCAGTCAATCTCATCCAGCTTCACCATCCCCTCCCAAATCCAACCCCCAACACCGACAAAATGGCCGGCGGAATCACTGTTCGCGACGTCGATGTAGGTCCACCTTGACAAAAGCAAAATCTCTAGATTTTCCCCCTTAATCTCGACGACCACCTCTCGACGATCTCGCAACTTGAACCCGAAGAAGAAAGAAAGACCAAATATCCCGAAACCTCCGACACTGCGATGCTGTGGTCTGGCCTCGACGAGCCGCAGCGGCTTCGAGGACTCTGAGAATGATTCTCTTGAAATAAGCCCAGCTGTCTGAGCCGCGGGCCTTACTGCATGCATAGTCGTCTACGAGCGTGGAATATATACATGACATATATATGGGAAAAAAGAAGTTCTTTGAGGGATCTGGGAGCAGGCGCGAGGGAGTCGCAAGACTTCTGACGACGGAATTTTTGCTAATGGGTATTGTGTGATCAGGCGCAGAAGTTCATCACTGCCTATGCTGCTTTTCTGAAGCGTCAGGGCAAGCTGCCCATCCCCGGTGAGTTCTTCCATCTTATTAACTCGACGAAGATCTATAATTACTGACATACCATCAGGTTGGGTTGACACCGTCAAGACTGGTCCCGCCAAGGAGCTGCCTCCCCAGGACATTGACTGGTTCTACGTCCGCGCCGCCTCCGTCGCCCGCCACGTCTACCTCCGCAAGACCGTCGGTGTTGGCCGTCTCCGCAAGGTCCACGGCACCGCCAAGAACCGCGGCAACCGCCCCTCCCACCACGTTGACGCCTCCGGCTCCGTCGACCGCAAGGCCATGCAGGCTCTCGAGAAGATTGGTGTCCTTGAGCAGGACGAGGAGAAGGGTGGCCGCCGCATCACCCAGTCCGGCCAGCGTGACTTGGACCGAATTGCCCAGACCACCGCTGAGGCCGAGGAGGAGGAGGATGACGAGTAAATCAAAATAAACTAAAAGGAGTTTGCTTTATTTTTCTTGTCTTTCTCTTCACAATGTCATGGGATGGCGGCATCGGAATGGGCGTACGGTCTTAGATTTTGAGATGTATGAACAAGATTCCCTCTGGTTTTGGGCTTTCGGTCACCAAACTGGACGTGCCACAGCCGTTCCTTGATCAATTTCGTCCCATTTCGCTTGTGATGTTTATTGTTGACAGCCGTATGTGACATTTCGGTGAACTGATTTGCTCCATGCTTGCTCTCAGGTTGTAGAAGGGTTGAACGACATACTAAAGAGTCTGCATGGCAGTGAATTGTGATAGTGGCATCTGAAATCTTCAGTGGCCTCATCAAATCTCTTTGTAGGCTTCGGTTAACACGGGCTGGTAGCTGATACAAGTAGCGAGCCTCACAGATGGAGAGATATAAAGATTCACAAATCATTGGATACAAATCATTGGATCTTCAATGACTTATGAAAAGTCTTCATTGACTTCTATATTTGCCTGACGCCAGTTGCTTGAGTCGTTCCAGAGTCTGTTCTGTGAAGTCGTCCAAACCAGCAATTGTTCTGCTTACATAAGCCATACGGTATACTTGAAACCAAAATACCTACCTACCTACCCAAGCTCCACCACTTTCAACGTCACGATACTCTCTCCTTCTCCGACTTTATCACTTATACGCACTGGCTGTCATCGTTTACTCAACCTCTATACTCTAATTGCTTTTATATCACCAATCATGGCACTTGTTCTTGTTCCAACCACGCCCTGTCATCCTTTATACTCCTTTTACCGATATTCCATCCTCGACATGTCCCATCCGCCTTTCGTGGCACACAGAATCACAGCCGTTGTCCCGGCAAAGTGAAGACCACACTGCTCGAACCGGCAACTTATGTGCTCAATAAGCTCGTTCATCATGCAATTGCCCAAGCAGGGCTCGCTGCAAGCTCCCTTATGCACGGATTCGAGCAGACGCATGCTGCTCTCCTCGAGGCAGAGAGGCAGGATTACATGCATTTGACCGCCTGCAGCGCCTTGCCCGTGATATAGACTTTTTCACAAGAAAAAGATTCTACTTTTCTTGAGAGGTTTGCATTAGCACATGCTCGCAGAGGAAGAATATCCTCTTGAGTAATCTTGAGTCCCCTTGAGTGAGTTTCACACTTTCCCATCACACAGCAGCCATCTGACGATAGCAGCTCTACATGAGAGACAGCACCAAAACCTCAACCTCACAACCCACGGCATCTACCGGCTTGATGCCAAGATGGAGGTCATCATCGATGAGCAGCCGACTCAACGACGCCTGCCTGAGTTCGACGCCGCCTTTCACGATGCGCTATCACCTTGCTACTTCCACCACGTCATCGATCCCACCGCTGCCACCCTCCGAGTTGAAGTTCTCGGCCCAAACCTCGCATACACGTTCCGTCACGGTCGTGCAAAAGAGCTGCGCCTCGCGTCATCCAACATCACCGCGCGTCTCGAGGCGAAAGTGACGGGCTTCCTCGCCCTCAAGACCGGCAACGGCCAGCAGCGGGTCGTCCTGGCTTGGGCGCAGAGCGGGCACGGCGTCGGCAGCAAAGGCGACCTGCTGGATGCCGACCCGAATGTGCTCCCCAACGATGTCTGGACCAAGAGGGCCATTTCCATAGGCCGCGCCCTCGCTCTGCGGATGCGCCGTCCGTATGATGGGAGACTTTTGCAGACGACGGGCATCAGGTTGGAGGGCGTCTACTTAGGCAGCCACGTCGAAGTGAAGCTCGCTTCCTATGCCATCTCAATCCTCTTGACCAGATTTGGGATCACGCAGGACTTGGACAATATCTCGCTCAGGGACCTCACGGCGCTACGCAAGGCGTCGTGGAAGGACGGCTCGAAGCCCTCGTTTGAGATTTACTTTTCGCGCAAGAACTGCAATTTTTGCGGGAAATTCGTACAGCAGCTGCAAAACGCGACGGGAATTTCACTAAAGCTGGTCTGGAGGGAACGCTTAGTGAAGAAGGTGTATGAGAAGAAAGAGTTGCCCAAGAGAGACCGCCCGCATCCGCCGCAGGTGATTCAGATTGACATTGCGGAGGCCGAGGCCATGGTTACGGACGAAGTGTGTATTATCGACACCATCGATCTTTCAGACGACCTGCCTACTCTCGCCGAACTCATCAACCTCACCCACGAGCCGCATGATATCACCAACATCGACACCCACAGCAGCACCATTGACATTTCCACTTCCGAACAACAAGACCCTCAGCAGGGGCGCGCCGTGACGGACACATTCGTCGAGGGCCTGGCATATTGTGTCGGCCAAATCGACGAGTGTCCGTCCGGCGCGCGCGACGCCATCGTGACCTTCGCCGCCAACAGACGCCGCCGCGCAGAAGAAGACCGGGCGAACATCAACAAGCCCCTCCCTGCGACGCCCCAGATGGCACCCCCTGGGTACTCCTCCTCCTCCGCCGCTTCACCTTCGCCTTCGCCTTCGCCAACACCCGAGGACGTTGCACAGGCCATGCCGTCGAGTGAAGCTGCGGTTATGAACGCGGGCAACTTGCTCACTCCACCGTCGAGCGGCAGAAGGGCACGCGTTACGGCATCGCCGCCAGAGAACAACAACACCACCACTACCACCACCACCACCCGGTCGTATAACCTCCGCTCGCAGACTCTGCAAACCGAACAAGCCACCACAACCACCACCATCACTCCGAGCAAGCCGCCGAGAGACCGTCGCCCCGTGCTGCTGCTGCGCAAGGACACGGTAAAGCAGGAGGTGCGGGAGGAGAGGCTGGCGAGTCTGCGGCCTGGCGCTGGGTATCGGCGGACGAGGCGGGTTTCGTTTTGCGTGGCGATTCCTGCTGCTCGGCCGCGTTCCGAGTCTCCTGATCCTTTTTAAAAAAGCTGGGCGGTTGTTTTAGGGGAGGGGAAAAGGCACTCTCTGAGTGAATTGTGAGAGAATTTGTGTGTCTTTCTTTGCTCGGCGTGAGCAGTGTTTTGTCTTTTTACGCTTCTTCATTTATCATTAGATGGCTTTTTATCACGCATATCTTACCTATCCTACACTACCTTAGCATATATATAGCCATTGCAGTCATTCCAGCTTCTATTCCCAAACCCAACTTTTCCAAAACAAGAATCATAGTCCGTATACAAACCACCCAAAGGAAATGTAGACAAAACTCCAGAATATCAAGGCCTGACTGAATCAATCTCCCTCCCCCTCTGTCGTATCACATCCCTAAACGCCTCCCCCAGAGCATCCACCACAACACTCACATCCGGCGCCTTGATCCCGTCCTCCTCTTCAATCTTACTTCGTCCTTGTCGTCGTCGTTTCGAGTTCCCGCCCCCCAGACCCAACTTGCCCATTGTGGAGATATACTTGACGTCTTCTCCGCGACGAGGCGGCCCTTGCTTCGAAGCAGGCGTTATCTTGGTCGAGTCGAGCAAAGACTGCCACTGCGAGAGATAGATGCCCGGCTCCGAGTCCCTCGTTCGAACCGACATTGATGAATCCGTGGAAAGACGAGCAGCGGCATCAATGACCGCTTGTAAACGCCTCTGCGAAAGCTCCGTGACAGAGGCCAGATACTCGGCATGCCTGTCAACAGCCCGCAACACATGCTCCTTCGCCGACCCATCAAGAGACCCAACCAGCTCGTTCAACTGGTCCTCCATGCAAGCCTTTGCCTCATCGTCATGATCTTCCTGTTCAGCATCGGGTTTTCGGAATCTCGTGGCAATGGCCTGTCCCCACGCAGGAAACTCCCTCCACACCTCGGGACAGTTCCTCGCAAAGTCGTGCACCCACTTGTACAGCATCCCGCGGTGCTTCCTCAGCAACACGACGTAATCCTCCACGCTCGCCCCGGCATTGTCATCTTCACCTTCATCGTCTTCCTCCTTCGAGCTGGCAGTCCCCTCGCCATCATCTCTTTTCTTAGTGATGTTGTTGTTGTTGTAAGACTTGCCCTTTCTGAGCCTGCTCACGCGAAGCAAGTCTGACAGGAAACTCTGCACTGCTTCGAGATAAAACCGTAAATCGATCCGCGAATGCACAATCCGAATCATTGGCTCATATGCACTGACAACATCCTTGATAGCCTGCGTAAACAGGTCCGGCGGCTGCCGGCACAAGACGCTCGTAATCGCCTCCCGATCATGAATCGAGAGCAGCGCAGCATAATACTCCAAGCAAAGCGCGTGCTGCGCCTCCGTCAGCTCCTCCACGAGGTTCTCGTCGCATCCCTCGAGGATCGCCACGACAATCGACTTGTTGTCCCTTAAACTGGCCTCTCGCGCAGCAAGATGCTCGCCCCTCGGCAAGCTGACGTGCCGCCTCACCGCCTCGAGCACGTCCTCGGCCAGCGCGCCGTCCCCCTTCATCTTCTCGATCCTGTCCACTGTCTTGCGGAACTCGGACGCGTCCCATGAGAGCGCGAGAGAGATGATGCGCTGCAGGAGGTTCATCCCGTCGTCGGCGTTGGCGGTCAGGCCGACCCAGTTGGTCAGGCTGGTGACGCTGAGCTTGGCGAGCATGAGGCGCATCATGCCGCTGATCATGGTGGCGGCGTTGCCGATGCGCAGCGTCTGCTTGATCATCTTGTAGGGGATCAGGGTGTTGATGTTTTCAATGAGCTTGAGGAGGTCTTGGCCCTCGGGGGAGACGGTGAAGATGTGGTGCGCAAAGGTGGCGATGCTGCGCAAGAATGTCAGCTGTACTTGGATTTTAGTCGAAAGTCGTGCTTCAAGACTTGACTTACTTGATGATGGCATAGTTCAATGCTGCCTTCATGGCGGGGGAGAAGCTCTCGAGGTCCTCCGTCTCGGTGACATGCTGCGACACCCGCTCCATCAAATCGCCATACGCCCATTCCTCGAGCAAATCTCCAAACGCTCTCAGCAAGTCTTCCGCCTTTGCCTCATCATAGTCCCTCTCTTCCGTCGCCTTCTTCTTCTTCGTCTGCTTCTTCTTCTTCTTCTGCTCCCCCTCCTCCTCCCCATCACCGCCAGCCCTCTCCACGCCGCCCAGGATCCCCCTCCCCACCATCTCCAACACGCTGCTCGCCCCCGTCGCCAGCGTCTTCCTCGTCCCCAAAGCCCCCTTATCAAAGCTCTCCGAGAGCTCCGCCTCCGCAAAGCGAGCCAGCAGCCCCTGCGCCCTGACGTTCCAGAACTCGGGCGGCAGGTCCCGCACGCCCGGCAGCGGCAGCACCAGCCTCGTCAGCATGAGCTGCAGCAGCGGCGACGTCGAACAAGTTTCGTCTTCCTCGTTCTGCTCCTCGTCTTTGGTCTTGTCATCATCTTCATCAGTTTCAGCCTTGTTCTCCATGTTTCGAAGGCCCCTCATCCTCCAAAACGACGCCGGCGTCCTCGCTCGCGGCGTCACCTGGCCGCTCCCACTGCCGCCACCGCCGCTCCCATTGCTGCTGGCCACAGCCGTCGTCGTCGTCGTTGTCCGCGCAAAGGGAAATCCATATCCTGTGACCGCATCGGGCGCCTTGAAGCCTTCAATTTCCGAATATGTCTCGTGGTGCGTGAGGATATCGAACAGCGCGTGCGTTTGCTGCCTTGTCAGCGTAGGTGCCGCTGCCGCTGCCGCTGTCGCTGTTGTTGTTGTTGTTGCTGCTGCTGCTGCTGATGATGATGATGCCGGTTCAGGACCAGTTTCTGATGCAGATGAAGACTCCATGGCTGCAGGCTGCACCAAAAGGTATTATGAATGACGTCTTGCCCGCTTGTCGACTCGTCATTCACAAAGCAGCCCCTCGATGGCAGTGCAAACAGGACGTCTGTTCTTATCGCATCCCTCCAGCCATGTTCCGAATAACAAACACAATACAAATCAAATTTCTCATCAGACAATTTCTTCTTCTTCCAAGGTCAGGTCTACCATGTGGAAGCGCATGAAATCCCAAGGCATGCCAGAAGCGCTTCTCAATGGCGGTCAAATCCATGCAGCACATGACAAAGTTCGCCTCAGGAACCGCGCGCCCAGAGTTAAGTAAGCGTACCTCCTAATGATCATAGCGTCGTCGCCTTGGAATCAATCAATCAAAAAGCCCTTCCATTCCCTGTTCGATCGGCACTTGGAGCTCAATTTTCCCTTGCAGCAAAGCGTCCCCTTTCCTGTCGATACTTTGCTGCTAACAGCGCCGCATCTGCCGAGCACCAAAACTCTCGCTATGACCGACATCTGTCGTGTTAGGCATCCGGGTAAGCTGCTAAACATGGTGGTAAGAAATCATGTTTGAGGTACAGAGCAACCACGTATATGCAGTACAGGTACCTCCTACTCCTCAAGACAGCCAGCCAAACTTTGTCAAACGTCGCCAATCCACTGCCGTAAAGCCAATTGGGTATAACCTCAAGCCGCCGAGATCATACATGCACCATCCAGCGAGGCTTTTGGGGTAACTCTTGCGTATCCTTGCTTGCTAAACGACCAGCATCATCACAGCTAGCAACTACGTCATAGGCACGACTACTAGATACTTACTACTACTACTACCAGCCGAAGGGTGGTTTTTGGTGACCGTCACATTTCTCCTGACGAAAGGGCTTACAGACGCTGTATCGGTCACCAAAAAGCACCTTTGGCTGCTAGTAGTGGTCCTACAACTACACTTGCTACAGCACACATTGCCGTGGAACTCGTGTAAACTCGTAAACTCGTCAATTAATAGCTACAACTATTACTACTGTGATATGGGAAAGGCAAGTGCCCAAAAGGAGCGTAACGGATGTGACAGGAAAACTCGAGACAATGTTGCGTCGAATCAGCCTCACAATAGGGTATTAATCCTAGCCTTGTATCCCTTAGAGAGAAAAAGTGTAGAAAGCATTCAACAAGGGACAAGAGAAAGGAAACAGCAGAATGACAAAGGAAAATCTGTTGGTAGGAACACTTCACGCCTGTCCCAACGGGTATAGAATTTGTACTCCATCAGCACTGAGTGAATGCTGACTGCTCTTCTTCCACACTCTCGAAATGAGCCCGTCGCTGCATCCCTAGTAGGCAGTCAGACCCTGTCCGCCCAGTTGGTGGCCGCTTGTGCCTTCGCCAGCGTTCAGGCCCCCATAGTTGGCCGACCCATCAATGTTGCCGTTGGCGCGCCCGCCACTGACGGCATGCGCCTTTCTCTCGATGCGCGGCACGGGGGGAATGTCGGTGCTCCGCTTGGCGCTGCCAATGGAGAAGACGGGGCTCTCCCATCGCTCGCCCTTGGCTGCAAGTTCCTTGTATTCCGTCGCCTTGGAGCTTATGCCGCCGGGCAGATGGATGTTGGGGAAGATGCTGTCCTGCTTGGTCACGGCCACGTTGACCTTCTTGTCCTGAGCGATGGCCTTCGCCTTCTCCTTGCCCTGGAGGAATCTCTTCTGCGCGGCCTGGTAGTATCGGTTGTAGAGGTTGGGGGCGTTCTCAGGATCACGCTTGGCCTCCTCAAGGGCGCGGTCCGCCTCCTGCTTGACCTGGAAGAGGAACTCGTCGGCCTTGTTGCACTGATCCTTGATGGCCTGCTCAATGGCCTTTTGCAGCGCCGGGCGAATAGCCTTGAGTGCAATAGGCTTGAAGAGCATGAACAGAAGCTTGTGCTGGGACTTCTTGATCTTAAACTTGAGGCCCTTGACGTCGACATCCACCTTTTCCACCTTGAAGATGTGCTGCGCGTCCTTCTTGTCGGGGGTGGACACCTTCAACCTAAACGAAAGGCCGTCGCCGGGGAGCAAGAGGTCGAGCACGCCAGTGTCGGTGAGGGAGGGGAATCCAGTCTTCCGCTTGATGTGATAGCTCACATCTCGAAGATCCATTTGAACACCCGTCACCTTGATGTCCACTGAGTTCTTGCGCTTGTTGGCAATCTTCTTGCGGCCCCATCGGAAGTAGTTGTCGCTGGCGACTTCGAGAACATTTGGCATGAAGTTGTCGCTCTCGAGCACCAGATTCTCGATGACGGCGTCGAAGTTGGGATCAGTGTATTCGATGCGTGGGATCGGCACGTATGCCACGTTCTCAAAGATGGCGGGCAAGATGACGTCGGTCACATCCTTGATAAGGTGAGGCTTGAACGCCGGCTTCCCGTTGTTATCAGTGCCCAAATCATTGAAGAGCTTCTGAACCGCCTGGCCAAAGGCCTTGTTCTGCGGATCTTGGTCAAACTGATCCGTAATGAACTTGACCTCGTCAATAACGCGGTCGGTGTGGCCGCGGTACTTCTCACGCAGCAGGTATCGGCCATGATCGTAGAGCCGGTTCCACTCGTCGGTAGACTGATCCTCGAGGACGTAGCCCTGCTCCAAGAGACACCTGCGGATATACGTGTCGACCTGCTTGAACCAGTCTCTGAGCTCCTGGTCCCTGTCGGCATCCCTGTAGATCTGGGAGATGGACTGCCAAAGATCCTCGGTCGAGGTGCCGTTGGCGAAGCGCTCAATCAGGGTGCGCAGATCCTCCTCGGCCGCAGAAAGTCCAGTTCGGACATCCTTGGCAGAGTCAGCGGAGCCCTTTCCAAGGTTGCGCCCATGTCGGCCGTATTCCTCAGCCAGCCGAAGAAGGGTCTGCACCGCTTGGGAGTAGTCGGGATGTTGCTGGCATTCAAGAATGATCTTCTTGAGACGGAAGATAACCTGCTCTCTGCGCTCTTGGGGCATCTTCTTCTTCAGGTATTCTCTGGTCTTCTGGCGGTACTCCTCGTTGCGCCTCTTGACCTTTTCTTGCGTCTCATCATCGAGATTCTCGTCCAGCTTCCGGTTCACGACGTTCTGGGCCGCGTTGAGACCAGAGTTCGGGTCGACCTGGTTCGTGTTGAGACCAGAGCCCAGGTTGACCTGGTTGGTGTTGAGTCCGGTGCTCGGGTTGATCTGAGTGCCCTCTGTGGTAACGCCCTGGGGATGCACCGACTGAGGAATGGCACCGGCCTGAGGTGCCATTCCATATTGTGGCGCGGCTCCAGTTCCGGGTGCGGCTCCAAACTGGGGAATACCACCGTTCTGAGGCGCCGCTCCCGCTTGAGAAGTCGCGCCCCCTTGAGGCAGAGCGTTTCCAGCGGCAGCCGAGGCGACGTCTTTGGCATCCTTCTTCGGATCGCCCTTGTAGATTTCTCGGGCTTGGTTCTTGAGGGTCTCCTTGGACAGCTCGGGCTTGTCGTGCCAAGTGTTGTCAGGGGCTGGCTCGTCCATGCGGCGGAGCTCTTCATCCGAAGGGCGAACCCGTTCGGCGACGTTAGTAGCGCCATCTCCAATCATGTCGCGGACGAGGACGGAGGCATCCTTGACTGTACCAAGAGGTTAGCCGCTGTCAGGGTTCATTTATGATAAGCAGCTTCTACTTACGAAGTTTCCGGAACTGCCCGTTGGTGATGAGCAAAGTGCCCAAAGTCCTCAACCCTTCGAGGGCTTCATCCTTGTGTCGAGCAGCGGTATCCTTGGTCACTGGGGTGTTGGGAGCCTGGAGGTTCTGCGTATCGTACTGGGTAGTCTGCCAGATGAAGTCCTGGAGGAGATTGCCGTCGTTCTTGGACAGCAGGAGCTGTTTCGCAAGCTTCACCACTTCCTTTGCATCCTCCACCAGCAGCTTGCCCTCGTCGGACAGCTTGTCGGAGGGGCGGCTGAGCGCTTTGGATTGCAGGAAGCTGTTCAAGGCCACATCGATTTGCTCATTCTGGACACGGGAGTTAGTGGTTGTTCGATGAATGAGTAGGTATGATAGGTGATTGAGGAGAGCGTACCGATGGGGTCTTGCCATTCTTGAATGCATTGATGATGCCGTAGATCTGCAGCTTGCGGTTGATGTCCTCCTCCTTCTTCTTGATGTTGACCGGCTTGTTGACGTTTGCCATGGTGGAAGACGAGGAACTTCTATTCTTAGGACCGTATGACTAGTATCGCAGATTTCGAAAGAGATATCGAGATAGTAAGAGGCTGCCCCAATGGCGTATTGTAAGATGGTCTTGTGTGAGAGTAAAAGGCAAATGGATTAAACCAAGATAGCGGGAAACAAAAACAGAAAAAACCGAATCGGTAGGGTATCTTGTCAGGCGTGGGGGAGAGCAGGAGTTACTCTCGGGGTATCACAAGATTAGGTGAGAGTGAAGACAGTAGAAAGTTGCACGTGTTGGTCGATATGACGAGTTGAGGGGAGGAAAGAGGAGGGAGAAGTCAAGAGCAAGAGCTGCAAGCGGAAGGAGGGAGTTTATAGCTGCTGCCGTACAATAGAGATGACGAAGTACTTGTCATTGTAGTGTCGAACTGCAACACCAACGGAAACAAGCCGCCCTCGCTGCTTCCCTCCATGGCCGGCTGCAATCAGGAGCGCAGCTGCCACGGCAATCCAGTCCCGGCGCCTTGCTCGCTCTTTCCTGCTGCTGCAACTGCCAATTTTCCTTGGCTGGTGCAAGTTTGGCTCTTCATCTCACAGGGGAGTGACGTTGGACTCGGGTAACAAGTACGTCATAGCTGCCTCTTTTTTGCGTTGCATCAATTGCAGCCAGGCCACCAGAAAAGGGGGTGTACAATTGACGAGGTGTGAGTGAGCTCTCGCGAGCTTATTACAGTAATACAGAGGTACATGTGGTGTCACCTACCTGCTACACAGTTGCTCGTACCGACAAGTACGAGTTCCTAAATTTGGTATGAAGCCACGGCACGAATCAATGCTCATTGGGACGTTGCTGCTTGGTGATAGGGACGGTTCTGGCCTGGTGGCGTCTGGCCAGGAAACGAGGCGTACGCGGATCGAGACATCGCGACCACCTCTGTTCGGCCAATGAGGGCGGGATCTGCGGCGCTGTAACCAATGGCGGCGTAGCACAAGGGCGTGGATTGCGGCACGTTGATGTTGATGCAAGAATCCAGGAAAATTGGCAACAACGGCGGCGCGATGGAACAAGCTGGAAAACCAAGCTGTTTTGTCTGTTCTGGCACTCGGGCCTCACCTACCAAGCTACAGCTCACCGTACTAAGCTTTTTCGTTCAGCGACAAAAGCTTAGGTACTCACCGATTAGAGGTACCTTACCTAGTGCTATTTCGCGACTTCAGCATCACCACCACCTCACCTCTCTCTCTCTCTCTCTCTTTTTCGTCATTTCTCACTTCATAATGGAGCCGTGAATCTCGTCAATCTCTCATTCTGGGTCCATGAAAAGACGATACGATACAGATAAAAAACCACCGGCACCCAAAAACTTGAACTTCAACCCCCCCGCTTCTTGCCCGCCCTGCAATCTGACTTGACAATCGCTTGACCCGCTGTGGCAACGCCGTTAAAAGCGACTACGCGTGTAAGCGTCATCGACCAGCTAGATCTTTCTCTCCTTGTGCGTCCACCACATCGCAGCTGGTGCCGGTGACGGAGATATTCTTGATCGATTGGCACAGGCTTGGGCACTGACTGGCTGCATGATGCATGATGCAACACCGAAAGAAAAAAAAATTGTTCGTGCTACCAAATCGTGATTCTCGTCTTCCTTCTCCCTGGCACTCATTTTTCAGCTGCCACGACATCGTCCAAGTGCCGAGCTTTAACTATCTTTTGTTTCATGTGCTTGAACTGGATCGAACAGAGATCGGCTGGAATGTGACGTTCTCTACCAGCCTCCGCATCTAGCTGTCGACGACGTCATCCCGTTAGTCGAGACACTGAATCACACAAGATCCTTTGTTCCTGAATTGGAGGTGCGCTGAACCAGCTGAACCTAGAATTGCTAGACTAGCCCCGAGATTGGACAATGATGCAGTGCTGCCGTGACCCATCCAACAAGAGCAATATAGCACGTGGTTTTCAGCAGACAAGGTGACCATGTCAGCGCGATCCTTTCCTTGAATTATTACTAGGTAGATAAGAACAGCAGGGATGAAGAAAAAAAAGAAAGCAAGACAAAAAAAAAAAAAAAGGAATTGGTCCATTGTATTCATCAGCTCATAAAACGCCTTCTAAAGACTGCCCATTTACCGTAAAATTGATGCAGCTACCAAGCCCTAGGCAGTTGTTGGGTCGGTCGGTGCCGTCTTGGCTCCCAAGTCATTAAACACTCTAGCCTTGATCTGTGTGGCCATCAATCCAGACATCTCCTTGGTAGCAATCAAATTCGCATCTTGCCCAAGCTTCTCTATAGCCGAGTTGACTTTACCCCCCATCATTGCAGTCTGGGCGACCCGGGACCGCACAAGGCCCGAAGTGGCCTCCTTGATCTTGGAGCTCAGGTCCAGCATCTGCTTGTTGCCGAACTCGCGGTTCGTCAGCAGCGGGCTCTGGCTCAGCGTCTGCACCCAGTATTTATGCCACAGGAGCTCCAGGAGGTGGGAGTCGAGCGTGCTCTTGAAATGCGAGACCTCGAGGCTGTAGTATCGGCTTGAGTGGGCGCCGAATTCGGCGGCCTTGTCGAGGGGAACTGCTTGGAAGCCATCGGACGCATACGGGTCGGCCCTGTGATTGGCGGGATATGTGCGAAATGCTCCAATCTCGACCTTGCCGGCGCTGATGGTGCGATCCGGGTCGATCACCACCGCCAAGAAGGGGTCCTGGAACTGCTGCTGCAGTGCCTCGGTCTCGACGTCGATGCCGCTCAGCCAGCATCCATATCCCGGGTGGCTGTGGTACCATCCCACCACGTTCTCTTGCCTGCCCTGCTCTCGACAAAGGTCCAAGTATTCAATAAGGTATTCGTTCGCTTCGTTCTGTGCGTTGACTCGCGTCTCGGTTCCTTCGACGGGCAGTCGGAAAGCGTCCGTCACCACAAACGTTTCGGCATCAATGTAGCCTTGCATCAGGCCCATGACCTCGAGGTTGCCTCCAGACCGCGCATGCATCGTCATCTTGATCAGGGCAACGGCGCTGATCCTCACAGACTTGAAGTAGCCTGGGTCCTTGGCCCACGGGCGGGCATCTGCTATGGTCTTTTGGGCATCGGCATCGTAGTTGTACAGCGCATCCCGCTTGGCGTCAACCAGCTGGACGTTGTTGTCCAGCTCTAACACGAGAAGACACAAGTCAGCTTATGGGACAGGGCCGCAGAAGAATTAGTAGATGAGTTCCATCACGTACCCCATGATCGAAGAGCTGTGGCCTCCATCTTTGGCTGGCGGTTGAAGGACGAAGATTGGCTGATTGGTAGCAGAGGGAGGGAAGCTCGTCACGCTTGCTCATGCCCCGCCTGGAGACACCTCACATGCTTTATCGATAAGCGATAAGCTCAGAGTGGGGCATGTACTGTACCTCGATAGATCTCCGCCTCTCTGGGTCTTGGAATCACAACCACAAACAATCATCCTGTCGAATTTTGACGGCATTATCACGAGATCCGAGGCATACGAGTGAATGGTGGAATGTACCTCTTTCTTCCGCAATTATATTGGTAAGAAGTGATGTCAAAGGTTTTATAAGCAAATATATTCACAGTCCTGCTGGAACATCACCACAAGATACCCTGAATGATGGCCAAGCGCTTCATATCGTCACCTCGCAACTCACAATGGCCGCGGTTTTTGGGTCCGTCTTAAGACGATGACACTCCACCTTTCAAGTTATCATATGAAGCCCTGAATAACACAATAGATAAGAATAACTTTTGAGAACACTCACACATGATACTTTTGTCGCCTACAGAGAAAAGCTCGTAGACCCCAACATACCAAGCCTTAAGATGCGAAAGGAGGCCCTGCAATCACCAAGCATGATCACTCCAAAAGGAATTATGGTCTCGTATGACCCTAGAATTAGAGAATGGGCTTAAGCGGCCGTATGTCTTGACCTGAGTACATGGACTTCTTCTGCGCGTGATGGGCCTATGTATGAACCCGTATATCGTCCCTCTGGATCTCACTGTTTTTGAACTTGAAATGCTAGTTCTATGACAACTGTGCCCAGCTGAGGCTGGGTTGATGACAACTCAAGCGTCCAGTTGATATCAATTTTGCGAATAGCCAATGGCCTAATAGTTCTCCATAGGCAAGCTGAGAACGTATATGCAATGGTAGCTGATCCATCATAGACTTCCTGATTGCGGTAACTCCTTGGGCAACCGCCGTGTCAAGGAAGACGACTTCTCTCATCGACCACTATATCATGTAGCCACTCCTTGAGACTTTGAGCTCCGCGGTTGAGTCGGCCCACTACATGTACCCCATATTGCCTCAACGGCTCCATGGATCTCAAAACGGAGTAACGACATTAGTGGCTCCATGATCTTCAGAATGGAGACGGAGCGGTTGTGGCTCATACCAAGAAAATCGGAGAGCCTGAAATGAAGTATATAAACACAAGAAACAGGTATGACATGGTATAAAATATATAGTACAATGCAAATAACTTGGAGATTTTGTCTAATCTTCGCAAGTAAGGTAGGCTTTCCGTCAATTGGATTCAACGCCGTGTTCATCAGACAGAAAAGCCCCAAACATTCTCCATCCTATCAGTGTCTTCTCGTCAGATAAGCCACCGAATCATCTCCTCTCTATGGCGGAAGACAAAAAGAAAAACCCCTTGGCAAAGATGGCTAGTTCAGAAACCTTCTGAAACTACTTGAGAAGGAGAGCAGCGTGACACTCAGTTCCGATATTAGGATTCGTCAAGTTGGCCTTTGTCTGAGGCCCCGGCTTGAGGTAGCAGTCTCCGGGAGCGCCGCCAGCCACAGCCACGGCCACGTTGCTCCACGAGGGAATGAACGAAACAGCAACGCAAGAGCCCTTTGTTGTCTTGTTGTACGAGTTCCACGCGGCACAGGCGTCCATGCAGCCGTTGAAGTCGGGGGCAAACACGGAGAACATGGATGGGTTGATGGTGTCTTTGTTGCAGTACATTGTGAAATAAGGCGTGCCAAAGACTACACATTAGTCGTGTCAGCACCATGTTCCTCTCATCAACAACATGGCAAGAGTGCTTCAGCATTAGAAGAGACTCACATTTGGACCTGTAGGTGTTTCCGGTAACACCATCGGGGTTGTCGGAGCAGCCGTTGGTAATGTTGCTGAAGTCGGGCGTGCCAGAGGGGAGAGGAGTGCTCGCGGTAGGCGTAGCAGTGGCCTCGGCCTGAGCAGCGGCCAGCGAAGAGCTGAGGACCTCGAGCTGGGAGTGAGCATCGTTGTAGTTCTTGGTGGCGACGCCAGTCCCGGCTGCCAGTCCGATGACCGCCGCAGACAGAATGGCGATGATGATGGAGAGGAGGAGAACCAGCGAGATGCCACACACAGTGGTAGCCGCCTTCTTCCCTGGGGCGGTCGACTCGGGAGATGCCGTGTATGCTGCGTCTCCTCCGGCCTCTGCTCCAGCCACGGGCCCCGTCACGCCACCCACTGCCGCACTTTTCCCAGCGTCCGAGTACGTGCCCGTGGTGCTGTATGCGCCGCCGGCGTTGGGATATGTCTCGTTGTTGCCGTAAGCAACAGTTGAAGGCTGGGAGATGTATGTCGGCGCAATGGACGGCTGGGGTGACCAGACTTGCTCCGAATGGGGATGACTGACATAGGCCTCGGGCAGGTCGTGGCCCTCGGCGAGCTGAGGAGCGTCGTCGTACTGGGAGGCCATTGTTAGTTAACCAGCTTCTTTCCCCTTTGTCTCCTCAGCTTCACTTGACGAGTATGGACTGGGAAGTTTACAGTCGTACTGTAGGAGCCATCTTATTATATGCGTATGGATACGCCTTGTACATTCGAGCAAGTCCCGAGGGAACAGGAGCTCTGCAGGGGAACGGGGCGGCCCAGCTGGGGGCGGGCCAAAGAGTTTATGAACGAATCCGGGGATTCGTACAAAACACAGCCGTCTATGTTACCACGCGACGGACACATCCATCAGGAGATGGGCAGGCAAGGGTCACGGAGCCTCCACCTGAAAGCCCGCTCTCCCCATGCCCGCTCTCACGGATCGGGTTGACCAGCTGGACAGCGGAGACTCTCGCTCAGCCCTACCAAATGTGACGCTGTGTATGAGCATAACTCGAGTCAGGTTTCCCTGCAGGAGCGAGGCTGAAGAAGCAAGTTTTTAAGTCAGCTGCAGAGGGTCTCCCAGGTTGTGAGTTGAGACTTCGACGACGAGGTCTACACCATCCATCTTCCAACGACCTCCCTGATAGAGAAAACGGTTGCAGCCGCGACAAAAGAATCTTACACGAGCTCAACCGGTCAAAAACCGCAAGGCCTTGCTCGCTAGCGCTGACATTGACAACGTACGTACGAGGGTCTGTAAGCTGCACGTCGACAAGGCGCTGCCGGTTCTCTCAACCGCCCCCCCTGGGCATCCTGCTTAGCGCAGTCCGTACTCCAGGCCCAGTCAGAGCCCTTCTCACTGGGCACCGTTTGGCACAAGACAGGACCGCGCCGCCGGTTACCCGTCTCTAGCTGGGCTGTATTGTGCCTGATTGGGGGATTGTGCCTGTTTGTGGCAATTGATTAGTTGGGACCCCTGCCGCACCACGTCGCTAAGTATAGAAAGCCGGCCCACGACACCTCCTCTGCGGTTGACCACTCACATGCCCTAGGATCATTGGTGACACTTATCTAGGGACGGCACGGCGGCTGTGTTTGATTTCTGGGGGCGTGAGAGTCGGAGAAGAACTAGTTGGTCCAGAATAGTAGGTGGGCGAGACACACACATATTGCATCTTGGACAATCCAGGAACAACACAAACATGATAGGATTCCACCTTGATTCTCGAGCAACCGGATCAAGTCTCAGTTTAAAAGAATGAAAGAAAAAACGCCTCGTTGCCGTATCTCACTAGCACCATCGACATGCCATGATAGGGGGGCGGGACTGCAGCAACCCTTCAATCACCGATCACAGGGGGAAACAAACGAGGGGGGCTTTCAGCCTCTTCTTCCCAGTCACGATGAAAGGGAAATGCTCTGCCGAAAGCTATCGAGCGGAAAGACCTTGGAAGATGGCAGTTCTTTCAGATAGTGCAAGCAGGCGTGCTATAATACTCCAATCATCTCATTGCATGGTGGTATCACCAGCCACTGGGGAAATGAGATGGTCACGTTTTCGGGAGGATTGGTAGGAGTTTGCTGGATTAACTAATGGCATGCATGGGATTGTATTTTTACAGACTCTTTGAGCTCACTCCTTGCTTGCTTACCGACCTGCGCGAGGTGATGGTAGACGTTTAGCCACGGCTCGGCTTACAGCAGCCAACAAATACGTGTGAATGCGCATGCCGGGCCCGGAGTTTGAGACGGGGTCTTTGACAATTGGCAATGAGGGCTAAATGGATCAAATTGTAGGTAGCCGAGTAAAGGCCCCCTTGGTCTAAAGCTTCGCACGACAGCTGATTTATATTCTATCAAGCGAGAGACTGCAAACTTGGTGCCATCTTGCGAGGCCCCTCCATCTACCTCGTTGCTTCAGGGATACCAAAGTCTCCCTCATCCATGTCTCGCAAGGGACGGACGACACCGTGGGTTTCCCAGTCTCCTCTCAATCAGCCAGACACATGCATAAGAGACCGGAAGGTATACGCCAGACAAGTCCGCATCCACGATGGAAACCCACCGGGCAGTTCAGGTCCTCGACACAGTCTTCATCCTTGAGGCATTCCGCCGTCGAAGGTGTTTGGCCGTCACTTACCTCTCCCGCCGGCCTGTTGATCCATTCTCTGGGTATCTGAGTGATGAAATCGTACCAGTAGTCGCCAAACTTCTTGTACCCTTCGTTGGTAGGATGGATACAGTCACGCAGCAGACTGGTGGGGAAGCTGGTAAAGTCGACGGCGAGGATGCGCTGGCCACGATCACGGCGCTGCTGCACCATGTCCGGTATCATGGCCTGGTACTGCTCGGTGCGGCCTGACTGACCGAGGCTGCATGTGTTGGTGATGACGGGTGACGAGGAGTACAGCGTCAGGGCACGATGTTGGTCTTCTCTACCCATATAAATTTTGCGATAACCCGACAGTCCTGTTACCAACGGTCAACTAGCCCAGATGCTTGTCGACGCATGGTACGAATTGGGGAACAGGTGAGCAGCAACATGATCATGACCTTCCTCGCATTCGGCAACAAAGTCATCTTGTCGTCTTCTCAAAATGGACCCTCATTCACGTACGAGTACGCGAATTCCCCGGTCAAAGAGAGTCTTTCCCTGTGCATGGCCGTCTGGAAAGAACAGACTGGGGAGAAGAAACGGCATGGTCGACGGGCTTCTTGCGGTGAGATGATGTGCGCTCATCAATATTATCAGCTGCACAACACGCCGCTGAAGGACGCCAAAGTACGTTGCGCTCACGGGGACCTACTCAAAGAAGGAGAAACTCGTCAAATTCATGGATGAATGTGGAACGGGCCAGCAAGTAAGCATCTTCTCCCTTTCTGAGCACCAGGTCTACCCAGCTAACACATTGGGAACGACAGGCTGATTGGGGCTGTAATTTGTTTGTCGCTCAGAACAACATTGACTATCTCGACACCAACACAGAGATGGAGCCCTACGATATTAATACTGTGGCAGGTGGAGTTCGGAAGATAGACCAGATTCGGAGTTGTTGAATTCCTTACCAGTATATTTCGGTTCAGCTCGTACTAATAGTCTCTATGGTTCTTGAAGATCTCAAGCTGGATTCCAAGACGAGCACCGAGGTCTGAAAGCTCTTGTCTAATGCCAGCGCACCATTGTTCATCTGAGTATTGCAGTGATAGTTTGAAACTGGTAAACCAAGGGGTTTGGTGCATATTTCCCTCCCACCATCGCTGAAGTTTGTTAAAGAGGTCGCGATCCTGCCAGGCGATTCCTTCTAGCCATATGCTGTCGTCATTAATAGTCAGGTGATGCATGTTTTTGGGCATCAGGTCCTCGAGGCAGTCCACATTGTCCACCAAGGAGAATCCCATCAAGAAGAGCTCCGGTATCTCGAGTCTTTGCAGCCTTTCAAAGTTCCTCAGGCCTTTGAGGGAACCAGTAGCGCTTAAAGTGTCTTCCCAATAATCATTATCGAACATTACTGACAGATGCAGACTCTCCAACGTCTCCTGGACAAAGGTCAGGTCTGCAGCAATCTGGTCGAGATTGATGATATCACTGTTGAACTCGTTTCTCAATAGTTGCTCATATAGCCACCTCCATTTGAGCACCTTTAGATTCTTTGTCGTGGCAAGAATCCGGCCTAGGTGGCCCTCTCGTATAACCTCGAGATCTAGCGTCGTGATATGGGAGGCATTGGGCGTATACGTTGGCCACGCAAATATGGCAGGGTTGTCGATTTCAGCTGCGATTGACCGGACTGAAGGAAGATAGAACATTGGAAGAATATCGGCCGTATTCTTAGGATCATTGTATCGGGAGCAGCTCAACTCAGGTTCGGTAACCACATTCTGTAGGAACTGCAACTGTGGGAGCCTGCAATGCAAATCTTGACAAAGGGCAGCCCTCAGCATCATGCCAAGTAGGTGATTTGCTCGAGCGAAAACCCCAGTGATTCTCAGATGGGTTATGTTCTGGACGTATAAGAGCAGCAGCATAACAAACGCATCCATTGTGCCATTCTGCAACTCTTGAATCCATCGGTCACGAAATGGTGGATCAATGTCTCGAATTGTTGCAATGAAGCCGGCCAAATCAGTGCCATCGGTAGGGATGCTGTGAGGCAGTTGGGTGTAATGGAAACCACCCGGTTCGATTTCACCTCCCCCCTCATCTGGACGTGCGATGCGCCTGAAGGGCGCACGCAGGGTGAGCCGTTCGACATGGCTAGCCAACCGCGGCTGATCCTGAATGGTGCGTAGAAGCGGGATGATAGGAGGAGGCCGACGTGCCATCCATATCAACTCGATCTCAGTGTACAGGAGAGGCTCGGCGATTTGGTGCAAACGTTTGTTGACGAGGCAAAGAGCGTGTAGGGAGGATGTGGGCAGATGTTCGAAGATGGCGTGCAGAATCTCTGCTGGGCAATCCAGGAGGGCCGTCATTTTCGCTCATGCTCTGCTTGCTAGGCAACGAAAGAAGAAGAAGAAGAAGAAGAAGAAGAAGAAGAAGCAGAAGCAGAAGAAGAAGAAGAAAAAGAAGAGGAAGAGCAAGGGTAAGGGGAAGAGAGAAAAGCTCTGGTTTGGTGAGGTCACAGAACCAACGAGATGTGGACGGACCACAGAGTCACCTGACCCCGCGTCTTGTGCGACGATATCTTGAAGCTTCCTAGATACCTACCTACCAAGGTAAAAGGTAGAAGGGTGAGAACAGTGCCTCACTTAGAATGGCGGTATGGAGGGCGGAGTGTCATGACTAGAGGCTCCCCTCCTCATGCCCAGTACCAAACTGCATCTGTACCAAGACATGAAGATCTGATGATGCATAAGAGACTGGTCCCAGTAGAGTTCGCCCACATCTTCACTTACCCGTGGTATGAATGTAACGCACAAGGCAACTGACTGTGTGCATGCAGCGTGTCTTCAGCTTTCATGCCTTTTTGTACGCGCAAGTCAAATGTTGGTCGGCCTCGTCAAGATTGTTGTTAGAGCAGAGTCAATCAGTTTGGTCTTCGAGCCAGCCGAATACTGAACGAGTGTCGAACTTTGAGTTGACCATCTCGAGGAGCTCCTTCGCAGACCGGCATTCTCATGGTCGAGTAGAGGTAGTATTCAGCCGTGTTGAGAATAACCGAGCTCCCCTTTCTCCCGCGTGAAAAAGAGTGGCTGGTTCATCCTGGAATCACACATCGGGCAACGGAAGAGCCTCGTGCATCACACTGTAGGTAAGTCTTGCAATGCAGACTCAGTGACTCGCTCAGGGAAGAGTTCTCAGTCGATCCTCAAGTGATATATTGTACGTAGTGGAACTCTCATCAAGCACTCCCATCCCCCCGATATGGGAACAATGCCCGGGTACAGCAACCGGAGACAGGACGGTGATCTATTGCAGTTTGAAAACAAAAGTGCCCAAATCTGGCTGCGTGACGCACCGGTCGTGAGATTTGATTAATCGATAGGTATGGAGACGATAAGCCGGCGGATACAGAGAGGTTGCGCATCAAGTCTTCAGTATACCTAGCATGGAGTCATGACCAAGACGGCTGGAACCATTTGGAAGGGGGGAGAGCGATTTAATATACAACAGGAGGGCTGAGACGAGGGAATTGGTGGTGTGCCTTACATTGTGATGAAGGTACTCGGAAGTACCACCTCAGACTGACTACTACTCCCCCCATATACGGCACCTACTGCTTCACACAGCTCGCAAGCAGCGCACCTGCAGATACGAATGGCACTACGAGAAAGATCGAGGAAGAAGAGAAGAATAATGAAACGTGCAGGCCGGTCCATATAATAATCAAAGACTCTCCAGCAAGAGATAGAGAAAGGCACGGCCAATGATGGAAAGATGCGTGGTCGCCTGGGAAAGACAGAAAGGTTACAACGCCCCAGATTGTACGAACAAAAGCCCCCCGTCTTCGTGAAATTCAAAGGAAGCGGAGCATCGTGGAGAAGGCTGGTAGCCTCCCCGCATTCAATGATACGTACCATCAGCTCGGACCTATCACGAGCGAAGACTCAGCCGTTAAGAGCAGGCGAGAGGTCAGATAACAGAGGGACAAAAGGAAGATGGTGGAGAGACGAACCGGCCGGGGAGGAGACAATGCTTGACTTTAGTAGTACGACGATGACGGCATGGCCATTGAAGGTAGAGGTCGATTCGCAGCGAATGAGACATTGTGGATAAGACCGCTTGGGTTGGGAATAAGGTGAGACAAAACGAGGGACCTGGCCTTGATCACGGCGCAATCAACACCAGATCTGCTGTAGGTCATCAAGAAGGCGGTTCGCCGCCCGTCAGTATAGCTACCTACCTAGCTATCCGGCAGCTCGGCGTCCGTGAAGCATCGGAAAATGTTGCTAGGTAAACTCTGTCAGAACCGGGGATTGACGGATTTGACGCTTCGCTTCGGGCGGGCGACCTGGCAATGCTGTGCCCGCAAGAACTCTTTTCGTCCCCGGCTGCATGAGCGTGAGGATTGGAAGAGTGCCTTCTCCCCTACCCCTCGTCTATCTTCCTCGATAAAGAGGGTGTGAAGTGTGGTACGGCGCATGGTCGTCTCACACACTGGAGGGGCAGGTGTCGAGGGAGGTAGGGTAGAACAGAGCAACACCCCGCCGGTGAAGATGCCCGTCAGACAGCAAAGCATGGCCAGAGCACGCGGGCTTGCACATGTGTGGTTGCCTGACCCTCTGGCTGTCAGTGTGTCTGCCTGCTATTGGACATCGGGCGTCTTGGGCTGTCGTCGTGTCCCTAGCCGTGTGATGCGGTATCCAGCCGTGACTGTACGATGAACAAGTGTTACCAATATGACTCAGTCCGAGGTCCAAGGCTGACTTGTCGCACAAGAAGCAAATTCGACGACGGGCCTTGTGAATGCCTGACATGCTACCGGAGGATGCAGGCAGTCAACTGAAAGCTATCGCCTTTGCAATGGTTAGAGATACATGCGATACTGGGCCGATACGTGACCAGGCCCGGAAACGGCACAAATTGAAACTTCTTACCGGGGACATCTGCTTGGGCTGATCAGGCACGGTACCAACTCCGACCTTGTCCGAGAGCGTGGTACCAAGCAACCTGCTGGGCCAGCCAGCCTCAACTCGTTCCATGGCTGATAGCCAGCACACCCAATTCCGACGCAAGCGAGAACTGTCAGCCAGCCAGCCAATTCATGACACTGCATCAGCCATCTGATGATGACCGCCGCTCCGAACACACAGTATCATCTCATTAGCCCATCCGCATCGCGTCCTCCACTCGGGAAATCACACTGGGTTCCCAAGCACTGCTTCGCTGCCTGACGGGCACCGTGCAGGCGAGCGGAGGAATCGTCCATCATGCGCGTGCTGGCGCGGATCTGTCTCTGTCTGTATCCTGGGGCCATCCGGACGCCTTCGCACAACGGGCAGTAGAATCAACTCGTAGGACTACTACCAGCACATATGTGCATCGCTAGTAGCGCTGCTTCGGCTGCGACATGCCCACGTCGATGTGCAAATGGGGTCCGGGGGAAGGCTTCGGGATGGGGGGACTTTTTGGGGGTCCATGGAACTTTGTTGATCGATGATCCAGTACGAGCTGTATGCATGCGTGTGTGAAGCATCAATGCCTCATTTGCGGCTCTAGCGTTTGCGTCGTGCGTCCGGACCCCTGCCCGCTTGGAACTTCATGCCCAGCCCTTGTAGATGGATGTGCATACAAAGCAGGCCCTTCGCCGTCCTCGCCCTGTGTCTTCCGTCTCTTCCCTTCAGCTGCCTCGTCGTCTCCTCGTCCTTGTGCCTCGATCCATCTGACGTGCATCACCTGGCCCTCTCTCGTCTTGGTGATAAGAAGTCGCTGGTCTGGTCTGGTCTGGTCTTGTCTGGCGCAGATTGGCAGATAGCCCGGGTTTGGCCTAACGCACGCCGTCTCGACGCGCATCGTCATCGATACCCCGTTACCCCATACTTTGGTTCTTTTCTTTTCCAGCCAAAAGCCATTGGAAAGGAGATTATTCGTCGCCCCGATTTGCCACCTCGAAGACGATCGAAATCCAGTCATCCAAGTTTCTGTTACTCGTACAGTACCTTTTCACACAGACGCTCGTGCTATCCGATTACCAGACCGGTCGTCTATCCTGGGCTCCTTCCCTCCCTCGAAGCAACGAATGACACGCCGTCGATAACGACAGGTCGAGTTTCAGAGGCAATCGCACACGACCGGTCGTTCCGTCCCTCGGAGAAGGTGCTACCGCAGGAAGGCCCGGCACTGTGTGTGACCCTTATCGCTCACAATCCACCCGAGTCTTGGCTACCGGCCCCCGCCGTCTGGACCCTCGGCCTTGACGTGTACCAGTAACACTGCAAGGCACCACCGCCGCAACCGACACCCCCATCGCCGCCTGACAACTGCACCTGCCCAAGCCCGCCCCAGCCGCTAGTAGCCCTAATCGCGCGCCTGTCATTGGCCAACCGGTCTGCCTGGCTCTTCCCTCTTGTTCCCCTTCCAGGATCGAGCCTTTTGCGTCCACGCTTGCCGCGGTACCGCCACGGCGCACCCGCCCTGGTACCGAGTACCGCCTGTCGTTGGCACTGCGCGCCGCACACGCGCGACCCGAGCACCCGCTCCGAGTAGGCAGTACAAGCGCCCGTCGTACAGCCTTCAGTCGTGTTCCAGAAGCCCTCGCCCTGGAACACAGCGCTGGCCCCCCTGTGGCTTAGGCTCTGGGAACTGGCATGTCTCCACAGTCGCGGCCTGCCTGCATCGTCCCCCGGCTGCTCGTGCCTACAGGTACTACGCCATCATGTTACAAGTCTCTCCTCCTCGTCTTCATCTTGCTCCCCTTCCTACCACCATCTCGACAGCCTCTCGTCCTTCCGCTCGCTCTGCCGCCTCGAACCACTCGCTCTCTTCGAACCCTACCGTAGCCGATACGAACCTCGCCATCTCTACTATTTCAGCCATCTCAACAGCCGTTTCTGCCAAGTCCGTCGTCACCATTCTCCCACCGCACACGACCAGTCCGAAGCATGCACAGGGGCGGAAGAGTCCACCATCGATTGCTACCACCACGCCCATTCGACCTCACTCGCCATCTTCACTCAAAATCGACGAGGAGATGGCGAAGCCTGGAGTCTCTTCACCGGTGTCGGTCGTCTCAGATACTTTGACGGCCCGGCCAACAACACCAAGCAGCCCTGTCCAGATCCCGAGGACGACCAGCCGGGAATCTTATTTCGATACCGCCCACCCTGTGCGACGCCATCACAACCTTCGCCGCAAGGCCCCGAGCCATGTCCGCTCACCAGAATCTCTCTCACCATCGGTGGCTGCGCTGCTGGCCGTCACTGACATTCCCCGGCCCCGACGAACGCAGCGGAAATCCCGTGGGACTGACAAGTTGCTGACCGCCGATGTCATTATCGCCGATGAGAGGTCACTTTCCGAGAAGGAGTTTAGCTGGTCGCTGAGTCGCGGCAGCCCCATGGAGGTGTTGATGTCGCCTCCTGACAGCTTGGACGAGGAGTTCCTGGGTAGTGACTGCGGCAGCGTCTCCATGGCCCGGACGCTCTCTGTCGATTCCATGCCATCTCTCGGCGACTCGTTTGGCACTGAGTGCATTTCTTCCATCGACACCCCTCGAAGTTCGAGCCCCCAACCCCTTCATCGGCGAAAGGCCAGCCCCATCCGCAGCTGCCTGGGGCCAATCCGCTCTCCTCCCGATAGTATCGTTGAGCATCCGCTTTCTCCAGAGCCTCAAGACGAAGATGGGCTCGACTCGCTGGGCCTTCAAAGCACTGGGAGCGATGCAACAACCTCCTACCAGTTCATCCCGTTCAAGCCCCTTCGGGCCGTCTTCAAGTCCAACCTCACGGCATCACTACGAGCGCTGCGATCGGCAGCCAAATCCTTTTCGAACCTCAACTTCCCAACTATTCCACCCGACGATCTCATTACCCGCTCCATTCTCACCATGGACCCCAAGGTGCCTTACGCTGACGAGCGCCGACCACCCGTGACGGAGGAGATCCCGTCTGCCGAGCTTCGCCGCTACCTGAACCCAACGACGAGGCTGTCGCGTGAGACGCAGTCTCGACCTCTGCAGCAGCCCGGCACCTTTGCCGCATCGATCCAGATGCAGACTTACAAGATTCAGCGCAGCCGACCCACAGACGCCGCGGCGCGCAATGCGTATCCATCTGCCTCACCGCTGTCTCCATCGTCTGCCGCGGGCCAACCTGCACCGACGCCGGCCCAGGATTCAATGCCGCCCCTGCCTGCAATGCGCCAGCGCGAGATGCGAGAGAACCCAGACTTCATTCGCATTGCCGTCATGGAGATGCTCATGCGCAGGCGGGGGAAGCTGGACAATAGCAAGCCTGGACGTGCGCGCTGGGCACTGCCACCCAGGAAGACATCGACTAAACCCTACGCGATTGGACCCGACGGTGTTCCAGAGCGATGGGTCCCTCTGTCGGCTGCTGCTTAGCTGGACTAAACGGATTCTGGATTCTTCGGCACATTCAGTCCCCTACACGGTTACGCCGAGGAAGAGCCTGTGAGACAAGGACGCGCCTTGACATGCTTCTATTGGGCTGTTCGACAACGGCCAACTCGTCGGCCAACCACGCACAATCCAAGTGATCCGAGACAGACCCTGATCTTCTTTCCTCTCACTCAAAAGTCGGCGACCGAATCCACCACGCAGTTTTCGGTGGGGAATCACACAGTGCCACTTACCAATGGCGAGCCGTCTATTCTCTGCCAGGGTGGCAATCAAGCTCCAGTGACACATGGCAGGTTCCGGCACTTGGACGGAGGTCAACAAACACGGAGCGCAAGCGCACACTCTGGACTCCACATGGAAGGGTTTTGGAAGCTTCAAAGCCCTGCGCCGCCGGAACACGAGTCGGGCGACATCCACTTGTGGCAGCAGGTCACGAACATGCCGAGGACAAGACAAACCAGCGGGATGCGTTTTTGGGCCGTCATACTTGTGCTCAAACAGCGGGCATTGGACCGATGGGTCATTACCGGCTTGTTGGGACCAGCTGGCATGCTTTGACTGGATGAAACACCAAGCGGAAAATTTTTTCAAGCATTCGCGACGCGACCCCAGAGCATTGCATGCGCGGTTTAAAGAAGAAAAAAAAAATCTTTCTCGTGGGGATGGTTTTCTGCTCATTGTCATTTCATCATCGATACCTCCACACCAGGTACCCTACAGATGATGGGTTACAGCAAAAGGTCGAGGTTCGAGGCAGCAAGCCGTTGCTCGATCTGGAAGGCAAGTAGATGACGCAGCGGCCTTGGATGTCCGAAATGGCAGCCAAGGAGGACTTTTGTCGTCGACCTGCTTCTTGGGCCTAACAGGCCACAGCAACCTAACGGCCGATGGGATCTAATCGGGACGCGCACCTTTGTCTGAACCTCGGCGACAATCGGAATCGGACTGGGATGCAACTCTTCTGGGATCAGCCATTGGGCTCAAATGCGAGGCAAGGGTAGAATGATCGCATTTGCGCCATTTCTCATAACCCTGCCGGTCTCAGGAGTCATTACTACTCTTCTTCATCTACCGTATAGGAGGACCATGCGTCCTGCTCTCGGACTAGCTGTTTCATACTTGGTCGACATTTTCTTACTACCTAGTAGTAGTACTGCTTTTTTTTCTCAACAGCTTGCGGCATCGCGACGGTGGAGTCATGCATCAACCTTTTTTTTCTTTTGGAGTATCAAGCATTGCGAATCGGCGGCGTTTGAATCGGAATACTATTCTGAGGTGCACATGGCGCTTGGTTTCCCTTTACATCATTTTCTGCTTCTTTCATTCTTCTCTCTTTCTTTTCTAGATTGACGTTGTATTATGAGAGAGGTTTCCACAAGATTGGGTATTCGAAACTCCATTTCTTGGCACAGCGAGACATCATTATCAGGAGAGGATGTTTCGGTTTTCTCGTGGGATAAAGATAAAGAGATGGGCTGGCAACGTCGCAAGGCGGACATGTAGCGGTCGATTGGTTTTCTTTGGGATTTCCTGCGGTGACAATTAGTGTACCTTTTCATATGGGTTCCTGATGGGTTCTAAGTAGAGGGGAACGTGGATTTGATCTGCTCTGATAATTAGCGAGATTGGAGATCTGCAAGCTTTGATTCCATTGCGATTAATGCAATTCTTATCTTTCAAAGTAGGTCCGTTTAGTTGCGTAAATCGGTGAAGCCCAGGGCATCTCATGGCAGATTCGCTTTAGATACGATCATTGATTCAACTGATGTCCGAATCCTTGTCCTCGTCTTCCCCCTCCATATCACGAAACGTCAAGCCATCAAGGTTGGAAAGAGAGAAGAAAGATGAGACGAATGTGGTGTGACCCTCTCTGATCATGGTGAATGACCAAAGTCGAGAGGGCGTGCGCATTACGATTGTATCTGTATCTGTGTGTCAGAGTGACTTTGGACGTTTCCCAAGAAAAGTCCCAGGCACTCTTATTCTGACGTGTCCCCGAACAATATGCCTCCTGTACGCCGATTCATGCGTCAAAATCCCGTCGTGATATGTATGTACTTGCTGTATGTGAAGTGTGAAAGTCGACTTGTCCAACCCAGCCTTGAATATAATTCAAACCCAAAGCACGCCCGCTTGCCCAGAACAGAGGAACCGGAAGATGAAGAACAAAAAAAGTGATGGAGAAGGAAAGCAGAGGGGGTAAAAAGATAAAAGAGGGAAAGAAAGAAAGAAAGAAAGGGGAATCACTTCTGAGCCCACCAGGATACAAAGTTTGCATAGCAATGCACCCTTCTATCCCACAGGGCCCTCCGCGCGGATGCGAGATAGACCTCGAGCTCGGTGTCGTCCCATCCCAGCGTTTTCAGAGGCTTAGCTGCCAGAGCGCCGACGAGTTCGTAGACGATGTCTCTGAACAGAATGCCGATTTCGCGCTGGCCCGGATCCTGTGAACACGAAAAGACAAAGAGCGACACGTCAGTTCACCATGATTCTGGTCGTCTTGAAAAGAAAAAGAAGAGCAAAACAAATGAATAGCAGAGCATCGTGGCTAACCCTAGGCCATGCGCCGATTGGCGTCTTCGTCACCCGGCATTGGATGTTCTGAAACCCCGCGGCCTTGAACTTGTCGTGCAGCTCGTTGATGACATAGGCGTTCATGCCGTACCCGCGAAGCGCGCGGTGCATCATCATGGCGACCTGCGCCGGCGGATGGTCCTCAGGCATCGTCCCGTCGTCGCATCGGAGGTAGCTGCAGTAGTCGGTAATCTCCAGCCAGCCGCCTTCCTTGAGGTGCGCGTGGCAGTTTGCGATCAGCTTGTCGACGTCCTTGAGGTAGATGCACGAGTGGCGCAGGTGGATCATGTCGTAGCCGCCGCGGTCCATCCACTCGTCCTCGACGTCGTCGATGAGGAAGCGCACGTTGGGGGGCACCATGAGCGGCTGGATGGGGCTGAGGTCGATGCCGACGATTTCGGCACTGGGGAACAGTTTCGCGACTGCGTTGCCGGCCCGTTAGCATTGCCGAATCGCTGAGGGACATCGTGTCAAATGCGCGGAAGAGTTGGGCGCAAGGAGCTTGCCTTCTATCGGCCATAGGCCGGTGCCGGTGCAGAGATCGAGGATTCGCTGGGGATTGGGCGCAATCGGGGCGTTGAAGAGCTTGCCGCCGGTGAGCTGCATGTGGATGACATGCTTCATGTACTCGCGCTCCTGTTCGATGTCGTCGTTTGGCAAGGGGTAGCGACCGTGTCGATAGTGGTGATACTAGGAGTAGACGAACAATGCCTCAGCAAGAGATGTCCCCTGTACGAAGCAGATTCCATGTCAGAGCCTGGGCATACGCACCCTTCGTCCACCCTCGTACTCGTGCTCCCATATGCTGCTGCGCACAGTCACGGACTCGGCAGAGTTGCCGTCTGTAGTCTCATCGTAGTCGTCGTCTTCGTCGACGTCAATGTCTTCGCTGTCAAGGGCGTCGAGGGGCGGATCCTGTTCCTCGATATTAGGCGGATCTTCTGAGACGACAATGGAGGGCTTTCGAGGCGCTCCAACCTTGGGCTCCGTGGGCTCTGCGTCTGTGGCCGGAGGATCGCCAGCACGCAAGCGAGCTGCGTTCCTCGAGGAGTCTCCCATGATGGGAGGATGCCGCTATGATGGTGATGGCGGTGGTGAGAGAGAGATATGAAATTTCGTGGTGGTAGTCGTAGTGGTAGTCGTGTTCGTATCTCGATAGCGCTATGGTCGAGGCGGCGGAGATGCGGATTTTGGAGCATGCTGGAGGATGCTGGGGGGGATCGAAACATGCGACTTCAGCCCTTTCTGGCCTAATAAGCGAGCACCGGCTGTCTATTCAGTCAAGCAAACGTGGATGACGACGCGATTTCGAGCTGTTGGGCATTTCTTCCAGGCTAGCAGTAGCAGCAGCAGCCACAATAGCTGTGGGCAATCCAAGATGGAGGTAGTTTGAGCTGTTCCCCAGTACAGGCCATCGATATGCCAGCGATTTGTGAACCCCCCGGTCAAATGTCGACGTCGAATCCGTCCGGCTGAAGAGATAATATCGGCGGTTTGGGACTGGACAGGCAATTCGTCAAGCAAGCAAGCAAGTCATCAATCAATCAATCAATCAATCTCAACGCAGTGCAGAGCCGATCGGGCGCCTGCAGTCAGCTGATTGGAGCAGCGCGGGACGGGGTACGGGGTACCTTGGCGATGCGTCCCGGGTACTCCACAGCGGCACGCAGCGAGCCAATGGGTGCAGGTAGCAGATGATGTATCGGGTACGAGGCACAGAGGAAGCGTTCCACAGGGGGGGAGGGCCTGGAATTGCGCTAAGAATCGACGGCGAGCAGCGGCCTCGGGGGCTAAAACGTGCTGTATTCTGATGAGATTTGGCGTTGACTATTATACTATCGGAAGACTACCTACCTGGTAATAGGGGATGGATGAGGACGGGAGCCTCATAAGGGGACTCAAGGGCGGGATTGGATCGATAAGGGCCGGCACGTGTTGAGTGACGAGATGCCTTAGGTACCTTAGTAACTGGGAGTGAAGAAGATTACCTAAGGCAGGTATCGACCGGATGCTACCCATTCAGATGGAAGGCATCAGACAGACGATCATGCAACTGTCAGACCATGGACGAATACAGGCGTCATCATCAACTCAGCATCGACATCATCGTCCCGATGCGGGCCATCATAGCAACATATCCCACAGTCGACCTGCCTTGCACGCCAATCTTCAAGAGGAGAAGTAATAGGTACCTAGTTACTCACATTTAGTGACAGACATTGATCTGGAGCCATGTGCAATCGGAGCTCGAGCCCATACTCATACTCATACCCATACTCATGCTCGCGCTTCAGCTGAGATATCCCCCTCCTATGACCCTGTTCAAACCGGTAATACGCTCGAATTCCGATGTCCCTTGATCCTCTTTTCGCGTCCCCATAACATCGCCCTTTGGTACCAAGGCGACGGCAACACAGCCCTCTTCTTACTCCTGCCCTGCCTCCACCACAGCCAGCCAAAGGACAACAAGACCACCGCCAGCGTCAACGGAATCGAAATGTACCACAGCAGGTAGAACAGCGGCGTTGCGCTGACCTCCCACGAGCCCTCTTCGTCTCTCTGCTCCGATAGCAGCAGTCGGGACCCCGCAATGGTCGCGACAGTGATTGTAGGCAAGAATATCAGGATGGAGGCTGCGATGAGCTTCATCGAAACGGGACCCTGTATCACTGCCGCTGACTGCTGTTGGGAGACCAGATGAGACGCCAGAGCAATGACGGCTTCGATCCGTCTCTGAAGCGCAGACACTCTCAGTTGTGTTGAGCGGAAGAGTGTTTGACGATACTCGAGGCATTCCTTCAGCTGCAGGTTGACAAGTGATCGGCGAGGGATGTTGGAATTGCTCGAGGACGAAGTGATATCGGCGCTGATTCTCATGATGAGGCTCTCGTTAATCATCAGTGCAGACTCGAGTGCTCTTGACAGCTCTGTCGTGTGCCTTGTAAGGGAATATGCCTCGCTGAGCGTTTCCCCGAGGCTTGAGTTCACCGCTTCCGAATCTGTCGACTGCTTGACGGACTGCTCCAGCGGCGCAAGCTCTTCCTCGAGCCTCCACGCAACATCATCGACTTCTTCAAACAGCCCCTCCAAGGCGATGTCGAACAGTATCTCTGGATTGACGCCAACGTCATTCCAGCCCCGGCTTTTGATCAAGTCCTTGATCCGTCGTCTCACTCCCAGTCCAGCGCCGAAACACAACAGAGTCACATTCGTCTCTCTTGAAGCCTGGAGGAAGAATGCCGTGTCTTGCACCGGGTACTTGTCCGGCAGCGATGCTCCAGCAGTGGCATCGTCTTTCCCATTTGGAGTTTCGTCCTCTGTCTCTCCGAGTAAAGAGGATATGCAAGAGAATCGGAACCAAGAGCTGAAGCCATCATCGTCGTTACTTCTCCGGCTCAAGCTATGGTTTGTAGATCTCGCCCTTTCTGCTGTAAAGTCGTGTGGTATGCCAAACTTGTGGAACAGCTCTACCATCAACCCTTGCGTTTCCCGCCGTGGTGTGTCCGCTGGCGCAAAGCTTTGATTTCAATGAGTGTCGGAAGTTTAAAGATCCATGATAGGGTATGTTGCACGGTCTACTTACACTATCCTCAGTCGAGGTTTGCCGCTGAGACGTCGCACAGTATTCTGGACATACTCGCGCAGCTGCCCGTCTAGAAGACCATCAGAGCTCTCATCCACGGACGCTAGGTTTGAATCTTTTCATTCTTACCCTGAGATATGTCATAGACCTCCAAACTCCATGGCTTCTCTGCCGTAACTGGTGGCTCGGCGGCAGCCTTCTCGGTAAAGTCCCTGTACAGCACCTCCTGTGACCGCTTCGTCCAAGACATGGCTTATTCCTGTTCTGGGAATCTGTCAATTTCGATTCTTCTGCCTGTTTCAGCAAGAAAGACAAAGACTAATGCGCTGTCTCAACAGGGCGGCGGGTCGCTCCTTTATGTACGGAGGTGAGGCCCTCTCATACATACCCCATACATGCACCCCACAGCCCACAACTGCGAGTCCAACTTTCGGTGTGGTGACACCAAGCTCTTGGCATCCGACAGCACGGTTCTCTCCTCCATCACGGCTCCAATATCGTCTATTTGCCTCCATCCTTGCCACAAGGTCAGGCCTGCCAATACATTGTCAGATCGCTTACCTAGCGTCAACCCCTTACAGCACGAGCATGGGGCCTCGATCACATCCGCCCCATGAAAACGAAGCAAAAAAACAACCGACACAAATCCAATGGAGAAGAAGTATTATAACACGCCCAACTCCTTTCCCACAGGTCCACGATTCACCGAGCATCCCCCCAAAAACTCATCCCTTGCCAAGCCAAGCCACCCCCAGCCAGGACTCCCCATTGCGAGCGCGTTGCTGCGCACGGCTGACGCAGCGGCTGAGATGGGAAAAGAGAGCGAATCTCTTTTTAAGCTTGTTTTTTGTGTTACCCGGTGGCGTATCCTTTGGTGGAATCGATACCCTTGATTCGTGCCCGCTGGTCAGATGAAGCTGTTCAGCTGGGGGGGGGGGGTAAACCCGCCCCCAATGGACGGGCGATCCAGCAATGAAGTGTAGCTTCATGCAAGGGAGGATTCTGAGCTGTGACTGCTGGTAACATGACACGGCACTTTTCGGGTTGTTTGAGGCAAGCTAATTATAAAATAGACAGTTGATCGAAGCAAAGAGAATAATACGGCTACGAAGTAAGTATGGAAAGAGTACGCGTAGCATTACCGAGGATATAGTATCAGGATGGCCACATGTAAGGTCACTGTGATCAGGACTTCCGAATGCAACGGAATCTTCCGTTGTCATCTTTGAGCTGCCCATGAAGGTTCCATGTAAATCATCGTCCACCTGGAAGATACTCCCCGGACTCCCGTCTCTTGTGTACATACAGCTGGAGCTTGGCTGCAAGCCCGATGTTGCACAAATGCGCCAAGGGCACTCAGGTCCATTTGCCGGGTCGACATGTGGCGTGACAATTGGTTCCATTGATCGAACGAGGAAGCTGGAGGCTGTTTGCTTATCTGATTCGTTCATATTGTTTGCTCCATACTTGATACCCAGTGTATCAAATCATGGAAGAGCGGACACTATTGGTAATTGGAGTTTTAAGGGCTGCTGCAACTTACAGAGACATGAAAGTCAGACTGCTATTGCTAATGCTAATCTCGTTTTCTCTTCCAGGTCGAAGTTCTCAGAATAGCCACGTCAAAGATGCCGTTTCATCTATGTTTTTGCTGGCCCATCGCTTGGTATGTCACTTGGTGATCGAATCCTCAAGTGTAGGCTTTGGAGAAGATTCCTCCGACTCCCAATTTTTGCGCGTCTCGGCCTCTGAAGTGGATTTTCACGAGGTGGTCAGCTTCGACCATTGGTTGAACCAAACATTATCCTCATCGTCCCTTTCATCATCGTAATCTGCGTCCTCATTATCCCCATTGTCCTCATCGCCGTCATCGAACCCTAGCATTCTTCACAATTAGGCAAGCTCAAGCCATTAAGTTCAGCAGAGGGTAGTACCTAACGTTCGAAATCCAGAGAACCTCTTGCATGTCTCGGAGCCGTCGCTGAGAAGCTTGAGCTTGGCTTCGAGCTTCTTGCGCTCCACGCGTATGCTCTCTTTTTCGCCAACAATGGCTTCCATTTCGTCATCTGTCATCTTGGCTACGGCCAGAGGGCTGAGGATCTCGCGAATCTCGGCGACTAATCCTGTTTCAATGACCTGGATCGAGATCTCGTCGATGAATCGCTTGAAGGCGATCTAAAGGTCGCAACAAATGGTTAGCAGCCGCTCCACGTAACCTTGGTCAACTATAAGGGTAAGAGTAGGCCATATACTTACTTCATAATAGGCCTCAGCACTGTCCAGTGCTTCGGCCGCACTCCAACGATATAAGTCTGGCTCGACACTTTGCACCAATTGCCGCCTCATGCTCTGGAAATTCACATACGTGTTGCTGCCCAGATGTACGCTGGTGCTCTCGAGAGAAGCATTGGGGAAGTGAGACTTCAGAATGCCGTCAAGCTTGTCGGAATGCCGCTCGAGACGAATCCTCTGGAGAGCCTCGGTGAAATCACTATTATATGTGATTGGATGATCTTTCCGATACAGCTGAAGCAGATTTGCCGTCTTCAGTTCAAGACTGGCCAGCACAGCCTCCATCTTGGGCTTCACAACAGCCGTCGTAATGGCCTCGTTTGTCTCCAGATCAGAGACGTGGGAGACCAAGTCGTCCACAAAGACTTGGGCCGCACTCCAGACCCGCTTCACATGACGCTTCACAATCGATTCCCACAGCTGTGACTGCTCCCGGAACAGATCCGTGACAATCGTCGGGCTGAAGGAATTGGGCAGCTCTCGGCCACGTCGATGGGCCATCATGTCGACGACTCTGGTGACAAATTCATCTTTCGTGAGCGAGATATGGCTGCTGGTTGTCTCGCTCTTCTTGGAGGAGTCCACGACCCTGTAGAATCGACCTCTTTCCGCCATTTCCTTGGCAAAGTCACGGCTGAGGTTTTGAATAATGGCACGGATGCGCTTGGGATAGCCAGCGTCGGACTCGGAGTCGCTAAAGAAGGGATCCGTATAGGTGCCGTCAACTGCGGCCTGCATCAGAGACTGAAACAACTGACTGATCTGAATCAGATAGAGTCGCTGCTCTTGGGGGCTTGTGCGAGGGTCGCCGAATTTCTTGAGCTCCGTCTCGCAAGAAGCAATCTCGCGAGAGATCTCGCTCATCAGGCTCGGCAGCTCAGACGCAATCTGATGCAACAGCAGTTTGCTCAGTCGACTTCGAAGAGACGCGATACCCAAGCTTGACTCGGGCAAGCTCGCCCAAGCGCTCTTGGAGAAGAAGTCTTTCTCCTGCGTGTCTCGCTGCGCCAGAGACCACGTGTCTGCGTCCGTATCTCTGTTCCTGAGGACATGCCATCCGAGCCGGAACACTACGTCCAGATTCTTGGCGAGGGAGATGTAGCTCTTCTCGCTCGAAGAATCAGGGGCGAGAGTGTCTGGCTTAGTGATGATGCCGAGCGTGCGAAGGCCTCGTGGGTCAGTGTCGCGGGCCAGCTTCAAGACGACCTGGTTGGCGTAGTCGTTCTTTGCGGATATGACCGCTAGGATGATGCTTCGTTTCTTTGACATGAAGTTCTTGACAATCTGGGTGATGAGATGAACATCCGAGGCCGACTGGTTCTTGGTCTCGGAGTGAATCAACCCCGGGAGGTCGACAATAGTGAGATGAGGACGATCCGGTCCGCTGATTTCAATGCGAAGGACATCGTTGGAGAATGCCTTGCCGAGGGTCTTGATTCCCATGTATGCCTTTGCATTTTCAATGAGCTCCGGCAGCTGCTGAACCGAGTCGAGCTGTTCGTGGAAATCGGTGGAAGGACTTTGCTTGTCTCTGCGAAGTGGATTGTGCGGGATGATGGAGACCTTGACCGAGATATGCGGTGCCGTTCGAAGGATGAGTTCCGTCGGGAAACGCGTACAGAGACCGGTACTGACGGGGAATGAGACACCCGATATGGCCTCGAGGACAGAACTCTTTCCAGACGACTGATCGCCGCACACAATGATTTGAGGCAGAGAGATGTAATGACTGATCCCTTGCGATCGCAGCGAATCAATCGTGTTGAGGAGCTCAAGCTGCTCCTTGGAGCAGAGGCCCTCGAGGTTTGCCGATGCAACTTGTGTCAGGACCATGGTGGACTGCTGGGCAACGAAACTCTGACTCTTGCGATGGTGTTGAGAGCAGACATTGCAATGCGTCTAGGGGCAGTATATATAAGACGCGTGGCTGGCTACTGCAGGGCCTCGTTCTCGTTGGCCATTGTTGTTGTAGGCCTCCCCGTCGGCCTCCCGAAGGGCATTCACGGCACTTTCGAGAGGGCGGAAACCTGCATCAGACACGTCACTTGCTGCTGTCTTGCAGCGGCAGATAATTGGCTGGATACGATGTTTTCCTTTGCCACTCTGCATATAGGAACTGGTGTCTACCATATCTCTGCTGCCGTGGACGCGTCCGAGGCCAGTCACTCACCTGCATCTATTGCCTTTTGACACATTAGGGAGGAGCAAGAGACATGGACCTGACGGGATATTGCATCTACCTCCATGGCATATCGAATAACATTGCAGTTTAGTTCATCTTTTGTCTTTTGTTTAAAACATGTAGAGACATGCATCCACCAGAACGCCTTAGATGGCTTTTCATAACGATGCTGAATATGGACTGTCAAGGGGTTCTTTCTTGAGATGCAAGCATCCGGTCTGACGCATTTGGATGTCAGAAGCACGAATCCGGCCCGAGGCAGATTTGCTCGGAGAGGTATTTTAGGCTATCTTCACTATCAAGAAGGCATATGCAGTGACTGAAAATTATCATTGGCTCAGTGAGCGTCAGCCACCACATGTGCATATGCGTGAGGCTGCGGCCTAGAAAGCCTTGCGGACTTGAGAAGAGGGGAAGGGAAACTGACGATATGCTAGATCCTCATCCATCATTACCTAGTAGTTGAGCAAGCATGAGGCGCGTTACTGAGGAACAACTCGTGATATATGGAAAGCATTACTCTGTTGGAAATAATTTCATATTCCGCCATGAAGATTGATGGGATTTTCTGCAGCACATCAGAGGCATGGCTAGACAACACCCCGACTTGCTGCATTGGGCATCATAATTCAACCGACCGTTGTAGCATAGTTGGTATCTCTATGTTTCTAACCAAGGACCTCATGATGGTGGCATTCGCTTGCATGCAGTCGATCCCATAGCTTTGTTATCTCTTTCGAAGATTTGATCCTGGGCCGCTCACAGCTCAGTTTTTCGATGACTGCCTCATGGAATCTTTCTTAATGATGATCTACATGTTGAGGATAGGGCTTAGCGATGGATGTGTCTAGAGAATTTGATTAGAGCCCTGATCATACGCTCCACCAAAAGATCGTCTGTGTTGCTGGAAGATGTGCTGCTGATTTGTTTCACAGGCAATGTCCGTCACTCACGTACCCGCCCCTTTCAAAGGCTAGCTGGAGCACTATGAGCCCAACTGGTTCTCAAGAGCTGTCTCGCTCGAGTCCCTCCACAATCCAAGAATCAGCATTGCTACACCCACTCCGCGTTCTTGACAACTCATTTGGCGAAGAAGCAAGTCCACACGAATCTGGGCATGCCAAAAGAGGGCAAATCAGGTTTAAAGCAGAGTGCAAGCACCATATATCAGTTTGCTACATCCCATCAGGCGTCATAGCTAGAAATCCTAATCAGTCAGAGTTACAAGAGGTCAAGGCTTTAGGTATTTCGTAGCTCACAAATTATGCAGAAAAGGCTACTTTCCGCGTTACCTGATATAATCACGGCCCTGAAGTAGTTTGATAATGACGGACAGGCTGTGACGATGTATAAAGAAGTGGGCATCCAAAATCAATATGAAAAGAAGGGGCTCACAAGATAGCATTCATGATGGATTTCTACTTTGACCAGCCTCTTAGCATGACATATAGGCTTTTACACAAAGCATCCAGAGTATTGGGCTGTTAATAGCTATTATAACATAACAGTAGAGTACATTCCAGGAGAAGATTGAAGCCCGAGGATAGATAAACACACGGCTCCCAAAGTCGGTATACCCTTTGAGCTTATGAAGCCTATAAAACCAGCAAATATCCTAGAGATATCTATTCAAGGGCTCAGAGGCATTCATCTTGGCACGTTTCTAGCAAATATGCTTTATACCAGGAACTAAGAGTGAAAAGGAGTCGCACTGGATGCCTGCAGTAGCTGATTAGCCTAGCGGTAGTAAATACGAATCAATCATTCAATTACCCGACCAGCAAGAGTACAGTAAGATTGGAGTCAGATAGCAAAGATGACATAATGTGAAGTGAACAAAGCCATTGACTTTTTCTGGCCCGGGAGCTAGAGAAGAGGGCCGCATATCCCTGGGCTATTATCAACGGTTGATGTCATGGGTGACATTCCGCGGTGAATCACTTCCGGCATACTATGTTTACAATCGTGATGGCATGGTGATGAGCAGCCATATAGTGGGAGAACTCCAAATATTGCCCGTCATCTGAAGTAGCGGTTGAAGCAGAAGTGAGATCATCACTTGTCGGACACCTGTCCGTAGCGTATCATCTTTCTGCTTGGCATATAAATTGAACGGCGATCTAAACGGCCAGTTAAACGGCGATATTTGGAAGGAATATCGATGTGCATCAGTAGATCAGATCCAAGGGGAACCTTGCCTCCTTTTGATCGTCAAGTTTCGAGGTATAAATAGAGCATTGACAACCCGCTCAGGTGGCTCGTGAGAGAGTATAGATCAATAGACTAGACGGCCGTCTCAACCCTACAAGTCGCCAAATCAACAATGTTCCATTGAACCAATCTACAACTTGGAGTTGACTACGAACGATTCCTTCTGAGACATGCAGAGCATTGCTTAGCAGTGCAAAGCACGGCACAGCGCGGCGCAGCACAACAACTACACCCCAGCGTAACAACTGGGTATCTCCCATATACTGCTGGACTGGAATATGATTCCCTCAACATCAAGCATGCGGCGATTCATGGAAGTATGAGGTATGTGGAAGCATTCGAATAGGATATCACACATTAGAGAAGAGATTCTGATAAGCATCTAGGAAGCGATGAACAAAAGCTAGATGAAGGCGCCTCCATCAATAGACGTATAGACATAGAAGGCTACACTTGGTGTTTTTCAAGAGTGCGAGCGCAAGCTAGATCAAAGTTCATAGACGCATAGAATTACACACGGAATCCCATTTCACTCATACTCAAAATATGCTATGCTATAAGTAGAATGCCCGTGACGCAGGGTCAAGTGAACCACATCTCACTGCTATCTCCTATTGATCAACTGCAACGCCACGTTCAGCGTATCGTTCTGCACCGACTCCAACGGCGGAACGACACTGATAATGGTAGCATCGTACTCGTCAATCCTCGGTCGTTCCAGCGCCTCAAACTGACTGTGCACGAGATTCGCCTTTGCAAAGTGGTTTTTCCTTGCTTCGGTCCTCCGCTTCAGCTCGGCTTCTGGCGCATCAAGAAAGAAGAAGTGGACGAGCGAATATCCGGCCTTGATACAGCTTTCTCGGAGGACATCTCTGTGAGCTCGCTTCAGGGCCGAGCAGGTGATGATGAGGTGGTGGTTTGGGGATTGCTCTTTGTTGAAGGCCGTAGCTTGCTCATTGATTGCTTCGAGCCAGCCCTGGCGGTCCTCGTCTGTCAATGCTTCGCCCCTGTGCATTTTGTCAATGTTGGTCTTCGGATGAAGCTGTTTTATATAGTTAGTCAGAGTATTGTATTCGGGGTTCTTCCGAAAGCACGCACATCATCGCCCTCAATAAATCGAGCTTTTAGATTTGAAGCGAGGAATTCCGCAACAGAGCTCTTGCCTGAACCGGTCGGGCCCGAGATGAAGAGGATCCATGATTGCTCTCCATTGGCGTTTGGAGGATTATTCTCGCCGTTCACGGATGGCATGTTGTTTGTTTGTTTGTATGTCTTGGTTAAGCCGCCATGAGTTTGACTTGATACTCACGTATACAGAGATGCGATGCTTGCACACACACACAGAGGGTGAGACACGATTTGAAGCCAAGTTTCTGCCTATTACCAGCTAACACGCTTATTCGTACTTCTCAATAAGCAACCACCAGCAGTCCTGTTGCGATGGAAACGCAGATTATCATCGGTGGGATTCCATTCTGCCTCAGCGTTGCATCGAGTCACGTAGCGATGGCGTAAATGTCAGGACCCCTGCTCCTCAGCGTGACGTCAAGACTGGGGCTGCCAGACAGGAGGACAAAGCTGATAATGGCTGCATCGCCAATGATTACGACAAGTTCCGGCTTTACAGTACAATTGAATGGATTCTATTCCTTCACTTGCAAAAGCCCGGGTTTTGCCACATTTCCGGATATTCTGCTCCAGGGTGAACTGTTTGGGTTGCCCAGTAGTTTGAGTCGAGGGTGGGTGTCGTGTTCTTATACAGTAGAGGGATATCCACCTTTTGACTCGGGGTTCTGCTCCTGTTGGTGTTGACAAGCCCATCAGAGCTACTGCAAGTAGGTTGCCATACCCGCCACTTTCTGGAGCTGCAGTCCAATGAGAACAATCCATGTCCTGATGTGGTGCTGCCATGTGCATCATTAGACCCGGCTGGGAATTCTAGTTGCTTCGGGAGGCTCTCCAACAGTGTCTCGATACTGTATCGTGCTCATTGACGGAGCCGGTTGATTGCCCTCAGAGCACGTCGCCACCAAGAGCCTCGTAATATGATTGGAGAGCTCAGATGATCGCGATCCCTGCTCCACACAGCGGGTATGTCTGTTGGACAGGCCGCTTTCCATTGTCCAAAGATTGTGTGATCTTGCAGTGTCAGAGAGGAAGTCATGTGCTGCCTCTATACGCATGCCAAGCTCATGCAGCATCTTTGCCTGTCCTTTATATGTACTCGGTTCCATCAGTCCATGTTGTACATGACATACTGTAGCCCTCCCATAACTGCCACTGTAACCACCACCAGAGGGGTTTCCATGGGACTTACAACCATACCTATATAGGCAGCCCAGTTAGTGCATTCAGTTCTGTACGGATGCTTGCCCGGACATATAGATGCGAGGGTTAGCCACTTACACATGGTCCCTGCTTGCTCAAAGATTTGCTTGGTGAATCATTACCTGTTACCCAAAGCAGTATATATCTACAAAGGGCGATCAGATCAATTAAGTTGGGGGGGCACGTTTCTATTAAGCCGACGAGCTTTTCTCATTGCCAAACATTACCCTATCATTTGCACCTTGGAAATGCACACAACCTGCCGAGGCCTGTCCAGCTGCACAATGTTCTCAATCAATTGTAGGGCCTGATCGATTTTGACGGGATAAGAAACGAACGGAATCATATGCTTGTTGGGACCGAACAAATGGCTCAGGATGCCCCGACGACATCGACGAGCCATCCTCCGCCGCCGCCGCCACTGGAAAGCATTGTCGACTCGCAACCACTTAGCACGCGTATCATTACGGACCCGAACACGAGCGACGCAGTAAGTCGCAAGAAGCTCAAGACCAGCAAGTCTGCTGAACAAAGCAATGCGGCAGGTCCTCGCGATCGGCCCTCACAACCTCTTACCCAGCCTGCTCCCTTAAGGAGAAGTGACCTACCGCCGCCGTCGCCGCCGTATAATATCGACCGGCGTCTACTCGGCCAGGGAGCCCCGGGCTTGGTGGGAGCCACTACTACTACTCTACCGAACAACAACGGGGGGATGCAACGGCAGCAGCAGCAGCAGCAGCAGCAGCAGCAGCAGCAGGAGCAGGCTGGGGGTCAGTCGTCGGATAGACGAGACTGGGCGCAGCCTGGCGTGGTGGGCAAGGACTCGCTGGGCCGTGGACCGTGGCTGGCCCCATCGACATCAGGAGGCATCGCACCGAGCGCGCCGCCGAAGCCTCCTCTCCTCACCCAGCACGCTCCCGGAGTGAAGACGGCAGTGGTGGACGATCAGAACATTACGTCCCTGACGAGGGACAAGGGCAGCATAAGGGGGATTAAGAGACGGCTATCTGTTGGCCAGGCGGAGGCCGAGTTTGATCAGAAGCGGTTACTGAACATAGTTCAAGACTTAGACAAGCTTGAAAAGGAGCAGAAAGACTTTGGACAGCAGCAGCTCCGGGCGATCAGGGAGACCTCCGTCTAGCGTCTACGTGATGAAGACCGTTGAACGGTTTCTACGCTTGAAAGCAGAATGCATTCATGTCTTTACTGTAGTAGTAACTGAAATAGCAATTACACGTCATATGTACTAGCAATTGGAATCAGCTATGCATGTGAGTCGACATGGGTGTTCCCATAGATGTTCCCGTGGGGACCAAGATCTCGTTTCGTTTACTTCGACAATGATATTATTTGGGGACGCTCCGTGCTTCCAATTGATATCCACCCATAAGGCTGATATTAAGGTTGAATCTATTTAATTACGAAATTGGAACGCTGGCATTCCAATGGCCAACATACTATGCATGTATCGTTCGACATTATGAGAGCGATCTACTACACGATCGAATAAAGTATTACTCGAAATGATCAAAACAGCAATCCCGACTCTCAAACCATGAGTAGCAGCAAACTAAGATGGAGGCAAAGACTCAATACATGGTTTGCAATGCCAATCAGGCTGCTCCCTGGACAGACGGGCGGTGATGATTCAACACTAGCATGTCGTTCACGTCAGTGGTTTATCACTACCGCAACGCCCGCCAAACCTTCACCTTGAGCTTTGCGTCATTAGCCGCTGAAGTCGACATCACCGTCTGACTGACTAATGAGCTGCAATGGATTGAGATGTTATATATGCAATGAAGCACATCCGGGAGCGCAGGGTTTTCGATCATTGCCCTTGAAAACCCATACTGTTAACAGACCTCCCGAAACCGATCCCTCCTGCAAAAGACTACGAATTTTCATAAATCTTCACAAAATGTCTCGACAAAGACTCGCAATGACGGCCATGGCTGGCGTCGGCGTTTTGGGCGCGACCATGTATGCCACCTCGAAAGGAGGATCCAAAACCGACGCCCAGGAGAGGAGAGACAAGGCCCAGGAAACTCGCGAGCTCGGCATGGGCAGCGCAGGCGTGGGAGGCAACAGAATGACCGGCGGCCCCAGCAACTCAGCAGCGCCATCAGGCTCCGAGCGAGATCCCAACAACCGCCAGGTCACCACGGCAGAAACCAGAGACAAGCTGCCGTCTGGTGGTGTCGGAGGCGGCGAGGCGGGAAGCAAGTCAGATCACTCTGGATGGCCAAACCCGGCCAATCTCTTGGGCAGCGTTCAGAAGACGGGCAGCAGGACTGGTAGCCGGAGTGATGCGGAGGGATATCACGATACAAAGGGCATCAGCAAGATGGGACCTGAAATAGAGACGAAGCGAGGACCTGCCGACACTACAAGACATTGATCGGATGGAGCTTTATCAGACATAGATATGGCTGCTTTGTATGCCGATGCCATTATTGGACGCTCCATCCGCATTATTCTTGGTTCGTTGCCAAGCTGGGAGGGAATTGATTGGACTCGGGCATGATTTATGTATACAAGGGGTTTCCAATACACGGAAACGACGCTGTACATAATGAAGCTATAATGAAGCTGTAAAAATCATCTATCTGGCCGATGATGCATTCTTCATTCGTTTCAAGGTTTCCCATGGCCCTTCATCAGCTCGGTGCATCGCTTATTGCTGGTTGCTTGCAGTGAACATGAAATCACCACTACTTGCCCCCCTGTCATATACTCCCGCTTCTGCTTCGCTGGGTAAAGGTAGAGCAGTCCACCATCCCAGCACAGGATATAATTTTGATTCTTGTAGATACTATTGCCAGATAATTGAATTTCAGATTGAACCTTCACCCTCGTTGCTACTGTCATCTTATGTGTATGCTTCCATGAGCTTCAATTACTGCTTGCACTTAGTTGAACCACTGGCAATCGTGTGGAGAATTAGTGCTGCCGATCACAGATTCTGACGACGTCATGATCACCAGCACATGATGGCTAGGCTTCTTCAAGAGATCCATTATGTCGGACAAAAGTCTGATGAGATTAGAGCTCAGAGCAACAGAAGGGATAACGCCTCGTTCACACAGCTATGATTGAACTAATACTCTACACAATGAGCCTAAGATTTGAATCTATCTGACCTGTCTCAACTGAATTATGTATGCTCACGATGGTGCTGTCGAGAGTTGCATCGCGAGGTCTGCAGAGGGTACCTTAGATATTTGATACAGTACAAATGACGTTGGACCAACGTCATGAAGTAGCCAATGGATCACATCGCCATTCACCCAGTTTTGGGACACTCCTGACAGAGCAATGTCGCCATTTGCCGAGTGATTCATATGGCAATGTACATAGATTCGCCTGCTGAGGCATATCCACCGCAGAGCCCGAAATGGACAAGGGGCAATAGAGCTGGGGTCGTGAATATCAACAGCCCAGCATCGTCGCCATCAGTCCAAGCAGCAAGCGTTTGTTCATTCTTTTTGTTTATATACATTTTGCATCTGTAAAGTGTCCATTTCCGTGTGTAAACTACGACAGAGACAAAAATGCCTGGAGAAGTCATTGATCAACCGAACCCCCCGCCGCTCACGAGCCATCTCCCGGATACGATAGAGGAGCTGGCTGTCAAGCCCTCAAAGGCACCGCTGAGCAACCTCGACTTGGTCTCGCTCAGAGAGTTCCAACGGGCAGCATGTTACATTGCGAGCGGTGGGTTTTATCTGGATCTTTAGAGGAAGATCATCGATACGAACATCATGATGCTAATTGTCAGCAGCCATGATATTCCTCAAGGACAATGTCCTTTTGGACCGCGAGCTACGGTTTGAAGATGTGAAACCCAGGCTTCTAGGTAACCATCTCACAAACACTTTGGCAGCATCGCACAAACACTGACCTGCTTTCATCAAGGCCACTGGGGTACCTGCCCTGGTCTCATCCTCATCTGGTCACATTTGAATCTCCTTATCCGCGACAGTTCCCAGGACATGCTCTTTGTCATTGGACCTGGTCATGGAGCCCCAGCTGCCTTGGCCTGCCTCTGGCTCGAAGGTTCACTTGAACGATTCTATCCAGACAAATACAGAACCGATAAAGAGGGACTGCATAACCTCATTACGAAATTCTCTGTTCCTACAGGGTTTCCAAGGTGTGTAGTACTACCATCACTTCGTTTTGAGGCGATGAAATGCTGACGCTCTTCAGCCACATCAACCCGGAGACTCCAGGTTGCATCCACGAGGGCGGAGAGCTGGGATATGCGTTGGCAGTGTCCTTTGGAGCAGTCATGGATAAGCCAGACCTCATTGTTCCATGTGTTGTCGGCGATGGCGAGGCCGAGACTGGCCCTACGGCAGCGTAAGCACAGGTTCACACCCCCTCTCCTGGCAATATCACTAACGAACGGGGCAGCGCATGGCATTCCATCAAGTACTTGGATCCCGCAGAGTCTGGAGCAGTCATCCCCATCCTGCACGTCAACGGCTTCAAGATCAGCGAGCGGACCATCTTCGGCTGCATGGACAACACAGAGCTCGTCCTGCTCTTCTCGGGCTACGGCTACGAGGTGTGCATCGTCGAGAACCTGGATGCCATAGACACCGAACTGCATACGGCACTATTCTGGGCCCTATCAGAAATCAAGAGGATCCAAGGAGCCGCGCGATCAGGAAACCCCATCACCAAGCCCCGGTGGCCCATGATCATCCTCCGAACGCCAAAGGGATGGACAGGACCCCGAACGGTCGACGACAAGATCATCGAGGGCTCATTCCACGCGCACCAGGTGCCGGTGACAAAGGCCAACAAAGACGAGGGCCATCTTCGCATCCTGCAAGACTGGCTCAAGAGCTACGACGTGCGCGGACTGCTCCCCGACGGCAAGCCTTCAGGCGACTTCCTCGACATTCTGCCGCCAGACCCTCACAAGAGGCTGGGTCAGTCCAAGCTTGCGTACGACTGCCATCAGCCCCTCGATCTGCCGGACTGGAGGCCGCATTCGGTGGACAAGTTTGAAGAAGCCAGCAGCATGCAGCAGTCGGGCAAGTTCCTCGACGTCGTGGCGAGGCAGAACATGAAGACGTTCCGCATCTTCTCCCCCGACGAGCTGGAGAGCAACAAGCTGAGCGCAGTCCTGGACCACTCGAGCCGAAACTTCCAATGGGACCAGTACTCCCGCGCGCAGGGCGGCCGCGTCATTGAGATCCTGTCCGAGCACTGCTGTCAGGGGTTCCTCCAGGGATACACCCTGACGGGGCGAACGGCCATCTTCCCCAGCTACGAGTCGTTCCTGGGCATCATCCACACCATGATGATTCAGTACTCCAAATTCTCCAAGATCAGCCGCAAGCTGCCCTGGCGAGGCGACCTGAGCTCCATCAACTACATCGAGACGAGCACCTGGGCGCGACAGGAGCACAACGGCTTCTCGCACCAGAACCCTTCCTTCATCGGCGCCGTCCTGAACCTCAAGGCCGAAATCGCACGGGTCTACCTGCCCCCTGACGCAAACTGCTTCCTCAGCACCCTTCACCACTGCCTCCAGTCCAAGAACTACGTCAACCTGATGATTGGCTCCAAGCAGCCCACGCCCGTCTACCTCTCTGCCGAAGACGCCCAGAGGCATTGTGAAGACGGCGCCTCCATCTGGAGATGGGCAAGCACCCACGACGGCGAGCACCCAGACGTGGTGCTCGTCGGAATCGGCGTCGAGGTGACCTTTGAAGTCATCAAAGCCGCCCAACTCCTCTCCAGGCTCGCACCGAATCTGCGCGTCCGCGTCGTCAACGTGACCGATCTCCTGGTCCTCCCCCACGAATCGCACCACCCTCACGCCCTCGACTCCAAGGCCTTTGAAGACATGTTCACGCTCGACAAGCCCGTGTGCTTCAACTACCACAGCTACGCGACGGAGCTGCAGGGGCTTCTGTTTGGCCGCCCGGCGCTGCATCGCATGAGCGTGGAGGGCTACAAGGAGGAGGGCAGCACGACGACGCCGTTTGACATGATGCTTGTGAATACCGTCAGCCGCTTCCATGTGGCGTCGAGGGCATTGAAAGCTGCGGCTGCGCAAAACGACGAGGTCAAGGAGAATCTGTCTGCCTTGTTGGCCAAGGTTGACGACGAGATGAAGAGCGTAAAGGACTATATCGAGCAGTGGGGGAAAGGTGAGTTTTTTTCTGTCAACATCAACGCCAGTTCCCCCATGTGACATGAAGATGCTGACTGCGAGTAGACCCAGATGATATTTACGAATTGGATTTCTTGAAGAAGGATTAGATATAGATTGTCGCCATGACTATAGACGAAATTTGCCTGCCTCAAGAGCGAGATGATTCCCCTGTACTCTGCAATGTCTGATCACACAATGTACAGTAGATCCCAATGAAATGATATACAATTCCTTGTCAATTATCAACATGCCTCAACGTCTCCGGGTTATGCGAAACCCCATGTCCATGCTGGTCCGTAAAGAGAACCTATATCAAAGTCGGTCAGCCATACTTCTCGTCACAAAAAAGCCTCGTGAGAAAAAGATGCGCTTCCTGTGGAAGAGACAGACAGTACCTTTGGTGGATTCTTGACACCCTCCGCTTTTGCTTCTTCCTCCGTCGTCACAATCTTTTCCACTTCCCCTTGATGCTTGCCGCCTCGGATGGGGGTAAACACCTCGTCGCCTTCTTGGATCGGCTTGCCGTCCTTGTCGTGGATTGTTTCCGCCATGATGATGTCGAATTGTATGTAGTCCATCAAAAGCATGGGTAGTCAATCAATAACTTTTGACCACCTGTTTTTTTGGTAAAGTCTGCACACGAATTTTATATGTTGAATTAGAGGAAGGGAAGTGTTATTCATCTGGTGATGTAAGAGCCATGTCATTCGCAGCGGCGTTGCACGGTTTGCAAATCATTCCCGCGGTTGGGAGTGAGCAACTACTAGTGGGAATAGCTAAATCATGACAACAATGACAGACACGGAGAATTTGCCGCTCAGCAATCGTCAGTGCGAAGAAGGATCCCAAATGCTGCAATTTGTATCATCTCGATGCCATCCTAGTCCAGACGGTTATGCTCTCTCTTCCTGGCGGCTCATGATCATCCTCAGGCCCCAAACAGAGAGCCCTTGCTTCTCAAATCACCGCATCATACAACCACCATGCCCTCACTGTCCCCCCTTCTTCCAAGCATAATCCGCATCTAAACCACCACAAGTTGTTAGCAAGACACTCAAAACTTTCAAGAACCAAACAAAAAGACATTCCACCAAAGCCACAAGCAACTCACCTTGATGAACCCTCGGCTCCTCGATATCCCTCCTCCCCTCCTTCTTCCTCTCAGAGCTCACCCCAAACCTCTCATCCCTCTCCTCCACCAGCCTCCAATCCAGCTGTCCGTCCGCAATGTAGCTCGTCATCAGCTGCGGCTCCCCCAGCGGCAGCTCGTCCCCCCTGTCCGTCTGCCAGAGATGATACGTCTTGCCGTACAGCGTCACGACCTTTTCCATCTCGCGCTTCTCCGCCAGCTCCCACGGCGCCTGCGGCACCAGCCGGTTCGGCATCACGAGCATCCCCGATTTCACCTCGTACACGTGCGAGTGCCAGAGGCGCCGCTCTTCCGCGGGCAGCGTCTCGTACTTTTCCGGGGTGATCATGTATTCGATGCCGATGATGCGGGCGTTTGGTTCGGGCGAGTCGTAGATGATGCATTGGCGGACGTCGTCACCTGCGCAATTTAATCTATCAGTGATTTACTGTCGGTTATACATGTGTGTGAATGCATTTTCTTGATTTACGAACTCAGATGCCCGCAGTAGTGGTTTGCCTCTACAGCTCGCTTGGGATCATTGGCGTATGCGTGGAACGCGTTCAGATGAGCGCAGACATTCTTTAGGGGCTTAAAGTCCTGTGTTTCTTCAGTTAGTCGTACTGCTTTCTCCCTGTAAAGCAAGATTGCTTGAGTGAAGAATACCTGTGAGAGCGCTGCTCCGGCCGAAAGCACGGTTTCCTCCTTGGGCAACATATCGCTCGGCGCTGATTCCATTGCAACGTCTGTAGGTATCTCAAGCTTCTTCAGTCGCTACCTTAGTGTTGACTGTGGTGTTTTCAGTGTATCAAATCACGAAAGAAACTGCCCTTTTGCAAACTCGACCCTTTGAAGATTATAAACAAGGTTATTTAGATTGACAAAGTACGAAGATCAAGCGAGGAATTCGGCAAAGGCTCAATGACGTTGGCGAATCATCATCATTATCCAGAGAGGGAGGGTTAGTGCGTGGCGATAGTATCACCAACCCTCGCCCTTTCCACATTTTGATCGAGTAGACTTGGCAACTTGGGCTGTAGCAAGTCGATCAATCCGCATCTCTAATGAATCGAACTTTCGGCAACCGTTAATCAAGAATAATACCTACCTTCAGGCTTCTCCGCAAGAGACAATTGTCAACAACGACGTCACACAGACAGATAAATTGCAATCATTTACAACTAACAACCCATCCCAGATATCAAATTCCAACACCATCAAATGCGAATGAAGGAGAAAGATGCAAGTAAATAAACAAATAAGCTATGTAACAATAAACGCTAAAGCCGTCCCTCCGTCCATCTCTCTCTCCCCTCTCCCCTCTCAGTTTTTGTATCCCGTAACATGATATATTCCTTCCAATACCTTTTGATAACACTTTCCAACACCGTTTAATCCTCTTGACAAAAGTACAGCCAAAAGAGAGAATAGAACAACCGCCCACGCCAAAACGAGGATTCCTCGAGCGCCTCGATACCAAAAGTCCCCCCCCCCCCCCCCTCCCCCCTCCGCCGGCGAGTATGTATGTGTACCTATGCCACAATCAAAACATTGGCTGCCTTCAATTACAATTACACCTTCTTCATACGCTTCGCATAACCCAAAAACTCCTCAAAACTCAGGCGTAAATGCAAATATGCAGCGGCCGTAGCATGGTCGCTCAACTAGTCGTCTTGGATCGTGACTGTGACCAGCTCATCCTCTTGGTCCTCGGCGGCCTTTCTTCGTTCATATCTACAGTTGTGGTGGGAGAAGCAGCGGCCTCCTCGTCGTTCATCGGCTCGGGCTCGTCAGTCTGCACGACGGCGGGGGTATCGCGGTCCCTCATTCGCTGCGTGAGAGCCGAGAGCTTGTCTCTGAAGCCAAAACTACTGCTGCTGCCATTGGTGCTCCCGTTTTTCTTGCGATCGGTCGTATCGAGATGGCCAGCACTGGTAGAAGGCCGCGAATCGCTGCCGCCCGACAGGGTCCTCATCAACCCACTGCGATGTGTTCCTAAGCCCTGGCTGGAGGACGGCCGGAGGAGCTCAATGGCCAGGTTGCTGTGGCCCTCACCTCGGCCAACAGCGTCCACCGGCGTAGGGGGCGTCATGGTAAGATACGACGGCACCTGTGGAAGGTTCTGCGTAGAGCCGCCTGTCAGGTGTGACCTGCTGCTGGCAATGCTACTGCTACGGCTCGCAGATCGAGGAGCCGGGATGCCACTGCGGATGCTGCTGCGAGTGGACCGCGGAGGCGAGCGCGAGTAGTCAACCGGCGATGTACCGTACATGCTGGCCGAGTCATCGCTGTCGTGGATGCTGGGCGCGTAATTCTGCGACAGGCTCGAGGCCATCGGGGAGATGAGAGCAGAGCTGCTCGCCAGCTCCCTCAGCCTGTTCCGCTGCTCCGCGTTGGGCTTGTGCTTTGAGAACTTGTTCCCGATAATGGCGCCCGTGTGCGAAATGAGGGCCCTCACGACAGCCTTCTTCAGCGCCAAGGCGAGATCCAGGTTGGACCACGTTTTGTTCTGCCACTCAATCGTCGGCAGACGGAAGACAAAGTTGTGCACGTCTTCGAAATTGCGCTGGTCTTTGCCCTTGTAGCTGAGACACAGCACAACCGACGGAATCTTGATGTGAGCAAAGGTGATGTAGTTGTTGGCCCGCTCAATCATCTTGGTGAGATCATCCGACATCTGCTTGTCTTCGGTGTTGTGCCTGCTTCTCAAGCCGAAGCGGGACGCCTTCTTGGAGTCCGAATCACGGCTATCTCTCGATGAGAACCCAGTCGATGACCGACCAATAACACCGGGTCGTGGAGTGGCCGTCATGGGTCGCAGCGATTCCACCGATGACTTCTTGGCCAGCGTTCGCGTGGTGCCGGAACGGAAGAGTCTGAAATGGCCGCCACCGCCGCCGCCGCCGCCGCCCTCAGCATTGTTAACGCTGAGGTTCCTCTTTGAAGAAGGTCTCTCTTCTGCAACGCTGGATGACAAAGTCGGCTTAAGCCGCAGCTCAAGCGATCCCGGACGCGTGGAGAAGGAAGGCGACTCCGGTCCAGGCGTGCTATGCCTGCTACTTGTGCTCTTGGGGGACTCGTTGCCTTCTTCATCTGCCTCTGTCGACGAGTCGCGCCGGACGACAATGGCAGGGTTCGTCTTGGCCTCCTCTTCCGCCTGCTCCATGTCCATCCCGGGGAAGATGTATTCAAACAGGCGTTTGCCGACCTCGCGTTCCAGCTGGATCTTGATGGGGTACAGCTCAATCTCGAACTTCTCCATCACGGGAATGCCCGCGATGGCTTCCAACATGTACCAGTAGACCCGAATCATATCGGAATCGTCACCATACCGAGTGCCCGGCCTCTCGCCGTCGTGGTAAGGAGCTATTATCTCCGGGTATGTCGCGTCGGGCAAGAGGTTGAGGCCAAGCAGCTTTCCAACACGAACCAGGTTCATGTGGGAGCCATCCGCGTTGTCGGTGCGGTCGTACTCGAGGTCCTTAAGCTGGAGCTCGACCAGCGGCTCGTTGGAGTCCTGCATGAGATGCCAGACGATATCTCGGACAGAAATGCTCCACTTCAACAGCGCGTTTGACTGCGTGTTCTTCTCAAACCTCCGCTGCGAGCTCATGATGGCCTTCATCATAAAGAAGAGCTCATCCTCGGACGCTGCCAGGTCGCGCTCGAGAGCCAAGCGATCTTCCCACCCCTTCTTGTCCAGAAACAAAGAATAGGTCTGGAAATGCGACTTGATCTCCTCCATCTGTCTGATCCGATCCTGCAGCTTCATCACCATCTCCGGTATCCCACTCAAGTCACTAAAGTCGGACCCGAGTATGATCTTCTCCAGTCGCTCGTTTCTCGTCTTTTCAAGGGGCTCGCTGTACATGAGCAGATCAAGCACAATGACATACATTGCGTAATACTGCGATGAGTTACAGAGAGCGCGAGCTTGAGGGAACTCTACCCAGAGATTGTCCACACGTCTCTCCGTGGGCTCCTGCGTAGTCTCGTCTGCGCCATCGGCATCGGCATTGACCTCGTCGTTGGACTTGAGACGGAGCGTGTTGTACTTGTCGTACCGAAGCATAGCGGAGGTTTTCTGCACAACGCGCTTGAAGCCAAACGGATCGGTGCGGAAGTCGAACATGACCTCCATGGGGACCCATGGTGGCCATGAGGAGCCGGTAGGCGTGCCATACTTGCTTCCCGCATACATGGATACCAAGTTGGTGGTGAACCATTTCTGGTGCGTGACGAAGAACTGCGTGCTGTCCATGTTGACCAAGAACCGGCGTTGGACGAGGCCGCTGACATTGTCTGCGATTCTCGACTTGTCCATGACCTCCACCACTTTGAGTTCCATTCCCTTTGAGGTGACCAGAACGACGTGCTTCTTGTTCTTCTCACTCTGCAGCTGGATCTGCGGAGCAATGAGTCGGACGTGATAGCTGCATTGCGGGTTATACTCGTCGGATATACCGCTCTCCAGGTCTTCCAGTGAGCCTTCTACGACGCCGTTGCTATTGATCGTAAAGCCCGTGCTGGAGCGTTTGCGTCCATCTCCAAGGATACCCTTGATGCGGTCTTCAAGATCCTTGGCGGCATCTCTTTCCAGGGGTGGAGCGTCGGGCGACGTGGGAGTTCCATTGGCTGCTGATGACGCCGGTTCCGAGCTCGTGGTGCGTTCGTTCTTGGCCTTGGTTTGCTCGTCCACCATGTCCAAGATGAACTTGACTGCTGGTCTGGACAGATAATATATAAAGCCACGCCGCTGGCTACTCTGGTGGACGTAGCGCAGCACAATGTTACGTAGCAGGTTGTTCCACTTCAGCTGCATGTTGTGTATCACGAAACGGTTCTCGTATTCGCTTTCAAACTCCGCGTTAGACGGGATCGAGGGCATGTCCATGTGTTCGCTGGGAGTGTCCACGGATGCGGCGTCAGATCGATGAATGCTCGCGGCTCCGTTGAACGGTTGACCGTTGGTCGGTACTCCGGCGTTCATCCGCTCTAGGGTGGTTTCCAAAAATGCCCTCTTGTCGCGAAGCACGTTGGAATGCTGACGGAGGACGTCAAAGTCCTCGAGAATCTCCTGATCCTTGGAGTCGGTGCGTATCACTTTCAGCTCAGCCTCACCCACGTGTCGAATGTGCGCCCGGATCTGCTCGTCCAGCTGTTCCAGGCGCTCCTTGATCAGCTGTGCCTGCACGCTCTTTGGATCATTCTCCTCGCTCATGATGCAGAAGTGCGTAGGCTCATCACCGAACGGGCTTGTTCTGGTAGGATCGCCGGCAATGATGCCCCCAATGTCGGTCTGGCGGAAGTATGTCAACCGAGGAACGTAGGCAAGAGGCAGGATCTTGGTTTCCGGATGGGCCTCGGTGGGAAGTATCCAATCCAACTCAACGAAATCGTCCATATCAATCCAGCTGTAGTCTCCGTCGGGTATGGTAAAGCGAGATACGTCCGGCTTATCGTCCTGATCAAGGGTAAGATGCGAAATTGATCCCTTCCTGATGGCCTCTGTCGTCGTGCCATACAAGCTAGCAGAGACGGCTCGAAGGTCTGCGCAAGCCAAGTCCAAGTGTGCTTCGTGAAGCTTGATCCCCGTGATTCGACTAGGCGAGTTCTTGGTCTTTGCAATGGTGTTGAACTCCTCTCGGCGCTGATGGAGGTCAAGCATGAAGCTGTCGAACCGAACCTTGAGACCCGTGGCGGACACGGCATTCTCTGAATAGTCTTCGGCATCTTTGTGCTTATAGATGTGACTCAGGAACAGCGGAGCAAAGAGGAGGTTATACTTGACAGTCGCCAGATGTCTCCCAAACTTCTTACTGTTCTTCTCTCGTCCGGGGAACAGGCTGCCCTGCCGAATGGGTAGCGACATGGGCCCGCTGAAGAGCCCCCACCAGGCGAAGAAGTGCGTGAAGAATCGAGGAGTCAGATGGATCGTATTATAGCTTCGTGAGGGTTCAAGACTCTGCGACATCCATTCGCGGTCAGCCGGAGCTCGGACAGCAATGGACAGGTGAATGTGACGACTCCTGAAGCCGCGCATGGCGTCATATGGCAATCCGTTCTCGTCGGGCTTAGCAAAAAGCGGGTTCTTGAGAACAACCTCGTAGTGAGGTTTGAAGTCAAAGCTTCGTTTGCCATCCTCGATTGCGCGCTCAAAGATGAGGCCGGCCAACCATTGCACTCTTCCAGACAGCTTCATGACGACTTTCTTAAATTGAGCCGGACCACACCGCATGTGGTCGTTCGCGAGACGACTACTATCGTCCTCTCGAAGTCGAGCGGCCTCTCGTACTTGCATGCTGTAGTCGGGAATGGCAAGGACGTATTCGCCACTGTCCACCGTCATGAACTTCTTGGGGTTGTCCTCCGCATTGATGTTCCATCTGATGTCGTTTCGCCAGCACATGAGGAAGCCCGCGCCATGTCCAGTGACCTGGTAAGGGTCGCGCGTGCCCTTCATCGCGAAGTGCATGTCGCCATCCTCTTTCCAGGCAACGTGAATGCGGGAATGGAAGTTGAGCCGAAGCTTATCCCAGAAACCGACACGCTCGGAGGGGTCGATCTGCGGCTTGGTGAAGGACTCAACGACCATCATCATGTCCTGGATTGCCGGCTGGTAACATGGACCCCAGGTGATCCTCGTGGGAAGGGCCGTATTGACATCCATGTAGACATCTGAAAACGATTTGACTGGGCCAAGGGTTCGCCTAACTTCAATGGCAAAGCATCCTTCCTTGGACGCAGAAGAACCCGTGCTCTTGGGTGGAATGATGTTGACGGGAACCCGCCGCGAGGATTCAAGGCCCCTGAATTCTTCGGCCAAGACAAAGTTCGTCTTCAGAGAGACGGCTTGCAGCCTGGAAGATTGTCCAGTCTTGAGTCCTGGAATATGTAGCAGCGGCAGAGGATAGTCACGGAGCGAGCAGCGAGCTTCGCCCATCTCGACGGAGATGTGCATGGGCACCAAGAGGCTGTACTGCATGTCCTTGGGCATACCTTTGCCGACCTTGTGTATGAAGTCGGGCAGGTCCTGGAGGGGAAACGTGGGCTTGTCAACGGCAATGTGAAGGTTGGAGATATAGGTAGCCATCAGTGCTGGTCTTGGGGGCACCTCCAAGATATTCTCCGTCTCCTCGACGTCGTTGGGCACCTCATTCTGCCCCCAAAACAGGCCGCGCAGCTCTTTGACACCGTCCCGGGATACCTGATAGGCTCGGTCAATTCTCTTCTTCCATGCCTGGGCGTTGAACATATCCAGGTGAAGGCGCGCCTCTTCCGCCGAGACTTTTGCGTTTCCACTTATGCCCAAGGTTTCATTTTCAGGGTCATATCTCGGCATATTGATGTGGCGACCCCCGCGACCTCGTTCGTCTGACTTTGCGGCATCGGAGCTTCGGCTTCGGAACCAAGCAGATGAGGAATCATTCGTTCTTCCACGAGAATAAGCAGATCGAGACCGGGTTTTGCCATTGTTGCCCCTCTTCAGCTCCTCCTCCCGCACTCGGTTCAGCTTGAGACGAAACGCCTCGTCTCTTGTCAGTCTCTGTATCTGCTCCATACGCCCGGCTCGGTAAATCATGCCCAACTTCCATTCGAACGCACCATCCTCCATCTCGAACAGGAAATTTCGCGATCGAACCGATACTCTGGGGACTGTCTTGGGCCCTTCGGGCTTCTTCTCCAAGATGTATTCGTTTGTTCCCGTCTTGAAGCGATGCTGTAGCTGCTGTACTGCTTTGATGACATTGATTATATTATCGGTGATCCGATGGACAATGACCTCGTGCGGTATGCCAATCCGGATCGCCTCAGCCGACACGTCTATGAGCTTCTCTTCGGTGTAGGCCCCTTGAGGAGACTTGTGCTTGGACTCTCGAAGGTCAAGGCGTCCAGACTTGATGCTAACCATGCGCGACCATATGTTGCGCATGCGAGGAGATGCGACGTAGAACCTAATGAGCTTGGATGTAAAGTACGGCGTAGACCATCGCTGACGGCCGGCATCCAGGCTATAGATATGAAGCATAACCATTGGGTCGTGAGGCATTTCCGCCTTGATCTGGACCAAGGCGACTTTGACATCGACGATAATGGAGTCTAAGATGGCAGAGCTTGAATCGGCGGATGAGAAGCCACTGGTAGGAGGGACAAGAAGATCTGGCTGCGATAGCCCCTGCTGCGAAGCTCTTGGCGCATCACCTGTGGTCTTCATGAATGCCTTTCTCAGAGTCTTCATGGCGACGCCCACAGCGTAGTGGCGATAGAGAGAGTATTGGACCATGATGGAACGGATCGAGGACTGGATATGGAACGCCGGGCCATGGTTGTCGCTGGACGCAGAGAGCGAGAACTCGAGACGAGGCACGTTGATGAAAGGCTCCAGCTCCAGCTGGTCGGCAGTCTCAATGATTTGAGCCTCGATGCCTTTGGCATTGAATACCAGGCGACGACCATCACCGATCGTCTGAGGAGGCTTCTTCGCTCTAGTAGGACTGGAAGACGCGAAATCCGAGTCTGACTGGGTGAGAGACCTACTGTGCGTCCGTCTCCTCAGCATCCGTCTTTGCAAGCCGTCCAAACGTTGAGCACGATACTCTGCTGACAAGCCGTCAATATGCAAGGACATGCCTTTGCTGTCGTCCGAAATTTCCTCATCCACGCCAGCAATCTCAATGTTGACATCATTGGCCGTGACTTGATAGCGGAAAAGCCATTCGGGGAGCGATCTGAGGAAGTTGGGGTGCCGTCTGGACTTGGGGGTGGCCCGCTTGGTTGGCTCAACATCGGTGCGCAGCTGGCGCACAATCTGGCGAATGCCGTCCGTGATCTCCGGCCGCACCATGCTGACTGAGAACGACTGGATATTGCTCGTAGCGTCGACGGAGACCTCGGGGTTGGCTGCCAAGTGAACTTTGAGGTCAAAGGACTCAGTTGTTATCAAGTCGAACCTCTCGCCGGAAACAGCTTGGTAGTATAGGTGGTGAGACTGCAGTCGCATTGCTCCGTCAAGAGAATAGTGCAAGTCGTCAAGGGGTGAGTGAGATGACTCGGCATCGAGGGAGACGGATGAGATGGAGGAGATGATGAGACCGTAATCATCTGGGTCCTCCGTCTTGCCAAGTGGAGTGAGCTTGATGCGGAGGACAGGCTCGTGCATAGTAAACTTGATGCTCGCCTTTGGAAGCAGTCGAGAAAACAGGTCTTTCCGCTGCTGCCTTTGTTCGGTTTTGGGGGGCTTTGGCCTGGATCGCATCATGGCGATCAGCAGAGGGAGATGCCGTGGGTCGAGGTCGATGGACGGGGAGGTGACGACCGAATTGGCGAAGAGAATGTTGGCGTTCTTTTCCTCGAAGCTGTCCACCTGAGAGAGCTGGATGGTCTTTGATGGCAAGGTGGTCCTGATTGTCGTGGTCGCCATTGGGATGTACACTATTCGCTCAGGCTTGCCGTGGCCATCGTCCATGCCCACCGAGATGGAGAGAGCAGCCACCAGGGCTTCGTGGGCGATATCTGTGGACGGGAAATACATGCGATGCGCGGGAGACTTTGGATCAAGGCGGTGCAGGTCGATGCCGACTTCCTTCATGGAAGCAGTGAGATGCACGGGTTTCGCCGCCGGGTTGACAGACTCGACCTTTTTAACGAGCCCGACAAAGCTGACGGCAAACTGCACTTCTTTGATACCGCGCAAAATGGAGCTGAAGAACTGCTTCGAGTCGGATACTGTCTTCATCAAGTGCTCGCTTGCATTGCCCAGGGACGCATCCTGTACTTTGCTAACGAATACGTCTACCGGATCTTCCACACTTGCCGCTTTGGACTTCTTCCGAGACAGCTTGAACTTGGTCGCGCAGTGGTGCAGCTCGTCGTAGGGGATCTGGACTCTGCCCAGCTTCAAGGCCACAGTCGCATCCCGAAGGCCTTCCTGCGTCGGATACAAGAATCCGTGCACGTTGAGCAAGGCATGGTCGAGGATCTGGAGCGACTCGTTGCCGTCGACAGCGAAGAAGACGCTGCGTACGGTCAAGATCCATTCGGCCTCGGCGTTTTCCTTTGTAGAGTCGGATCGGTGGAAGAAGAATCGAGCTCGATCGGCCATTTTGTGTCTCGTATCCACTGCAAGCGTCAAGCTGCCGACCTGAAGGCTCCCCACGTCGACCACGTTGATGACCGAGTTGGTCACCACCACATCCACCATGCGCAGCCACTTCACATTGTGGTGCAGCTTCTTGACCTTTTCCTTGAGCTTATGGAGCCGCGCCCAAGTCTCGGCCTCAGATCCAGAGGTGTCTTGAGCCGGAGGAGGCACCTCCAGCAGCGGGTCTACCTCCTCGTCCACCGCACTCTCTGTCTTGCGACTTGCATTTCGCTGCGGCCCGTTCGCGGCAGGCTTCCGCTCGTCGAGTTTCTTGAAGTCGGCGGTAACGGTCAGGTCGCTGAGGACGATGCTGAGCCACGTGGGTTGCGCAAAGGTCGGGCGGTGGACGTTGAGCCCCAGGCCACGGACCTCGATGCGGATTCCGTCTCTGGGCGTGTAGGCAATGCGGCGGAGGGAAAAGTAGCCTATCCGCTGGATCGAGACACCGGTGACGATTCGGAGCACGGCGAAGAGGACGAAGGAGGAGATGTAGAGCAGGACAAGGACTCCGATGACAAAGGTCGGGCTGAGAAGCGCCATGTCGGAGACGGCGCGCAATCAATTACCTGGCTGGGCAGGCGAGACAGCTTCACGTTAGACCAAGTGCCACGAGGCCATCCAGAGCATGCACCAGGAAGCTCGACGCTGCGAGCGAGGTCGTACTTACAGGACACAGGCAGCAGGCAGACCATTCTCTCCCGCAGGGCAAACAAGCAAATCAGTGGGAACAGGCGAGGGAGAGACGCGACATGACAATGAAGAGACCAGATGGAAGAAAAGAAGGAAAATGGAAGGCCGGGAGGGCCTCGACGAGGAGGGGCGCCGAAGCACCGGGACCTGGTAGGGGGGGCCTGGACTGTCGGGACGCCGGAACAAGCTCCTGAGATGCGCCCAGGAACAGCGCAGGCCAAGGCGTTTCCCGGCCCCGGCAACGACGATCGGGGGCGAGGATGTGCTGCGAGAGAGTCCGGCAGGCTGCGGATCACGCTCTGCGAGGCCGTGTCGCACGAGAGACGCGCAGGTTTTGCGATACGGAGACACGCTTGCAGGTGGTGGAAGGGCGAGGTCACTGCTGCGCTGCGATTGTGCACTGGCGAGGTAGGTACTGTTGAAGCACCTGGCGGAGCCGATACGGCAGATGGGGATGATGGTGCGAGATGAGGTACAGCGCAGGTACGAGCGCGGGTACCCGGTACTTTGGCGGGCCTTGACTGTGCCAGAGAAGCCACTGGGGGGGTCCAGGCTGGAATAGGTACCTTACGTGTGACGGCGAAAAGGGGGAGAATATAAGGGACTCGACGGGACTGTAAATTTGGTGGCAGAGTCGAGGCCAGGACCGCAGACGCCACTGTGATTTTACCTCTCTCAGTGCATGCCCCGTAAATGAATGCGCAATTTATCATGTACCTACCAGGCGTTCAATCGTGTGTCTTCCTTACTTACTGGGTGCAGGCCGCAGCTGGTGTGTCTAATAAGGCCTATCGGCATCTGCCTCTAAGTACCTACCTCCACTGCCTTAGGTACATATCAATCGCACAGACTCACTCGACCTGAAGCCAGCGGTCAAGTCTGGGTTAGGTAGACCGCCCTGCCAGAGGTACCTACTCGGTACGTCGAAAGCATGGGCGCTGTACTCTGGTCGCTGAGCAGCTAAGCTTGAAACGGCCCGGCAGTGCCGCAACTGCTACAGGTATGTATCCTTATCGCGATGCCTCGCCAACTAGCATGGCCGACTAGCATCCATGGCTAGCAAGCGGGCACAGCCGTTAATAGTAGGTATCAGTCATCAAGCTCGAAATAGGTATATTATACGGACGAGCTCTCCCAGTTCAGCTGACCTACCTCGTGTTGATGATAAGACGATTAGCCGGCCATGATAGTCTCTGCCAGCTGCGGATGGCATCAGAAAATGCACATTGCGGTGCACATTGCGGTCTTGCTGTATAAGGTGAGAGAAGTAGTGGAAGGCATGCCTCATGCGAGCAATAGGAGCACGCTGTAATTTGGATCTACACCAAGTGATTTGATTCCACACAAACATGCCCATTGCCTCACGCGTCAGCTCCCTACAACATCCTCGCAAAAGGAGACTCGATATGTATGTACATGGCAAAAAGACGCGCGGTCAGCCGACATTACTACCATTTACCCAGTTAGTTGTTGTAGACGGCATGCTCGGGACCTTAATCTTCGTTTGCAAGCATCTTTCGGCTCGGCCAGCCAATCTCTCGGAATAGCTTCGCGATGCCGCAGCCTCTTACTCGTGCTGTCTAGCGTGCCGCTTATTCCTGCTCCAGGGGCTCAGCGGGAGGGAGCTTCCGCAGCCTACGAGCTGGAGATTACATAGAAACGGCGCCCGCCAACCAGTGTGGATCTACAAGAACGTTTCAGGGCGCTTTGGCCCTTCCACCAGGCAGGGCTCGAAACATCAATCACACAGGACGTGTGTTCAATGTACCCGACGCTATAACCATAAATGCAAGCCTGATGACGACGTAAGATTTCTCGTACTCGCGGGACGACACCATCCATCATTACTCTAGGCTTGCTACTACACAGCTTGTCGACTCACTGGTCTCTGAGCAACTTGGCAAAGATTTGCATCAGAATGGACGTGACACTTGGGTGTCTTGTACAGACAGCAATTCCAGTCCCTGGTTTGTGTGAATTGATTTCGCAGACAGACCATGACTGCTCTGTGATGATATCAGCGTCGCGGTAGTGAGCGGACCGCCTCCGAGCCCAGCTAACCTACAAAGTTCGGCAGGGGTCACGAGCTATATGCTTTCTATCGAGCAATCGAGTAGATTGAGATATGATAGAGTATAAGAACACAAATTCCGCTCACTCCGTGATCATACAATGTCCTATCCCCCTTAACGCCGATATAATTGTCCTCAATGTTTTGGAGTCAAAACCCGTCAAACATACTTACCAGCCATATACACACCACAATGACTGAAGAAGCAAAAACAACGCAACGCTACCAGCTCTCATGTCCTGTTCTCGTCTTTGGCCCTTTGCTCAACAGACCTTAATTCGGCAATTCGGTCGTCAATGAGGGCGATGTCTGCGTCAACCCTCAAGATCTTCTCCTCCATCATGTCAATGTACTCCTGGTCTGTCAGCTTCTTCAAAGGGCTCCATTTCGATCGAAACCAGCTGTCGTTCTCGTCTTTGACCTTTGGCTTCCTGTTGCTCAGGCCGTTGGCGACCATCTGCCCGCCTGCGCCCAGCACTCCCCACATAACCATGGCAGGCAGAATCTTTCCGGGTCCGCCTTGTGAATTGTCAGAAGTTGACAAGCTCCGATGCCAGTAGTATCATGTCAAAAAATACTCACGTATCAGCCCGGCCACTGCACCCGCAGCTGAACCGCCGATGGTGCTGGCTATCGTTTTATCGACAGGCCTCAACTGCTCGTCACCCCCCATGGCCCTGACGGTGACAGATCGAGTGACTTGATGACGGCTTTAGTGACGAGTTTTATGAAGGCCAATGGCTCAAGGGAGGCTAAACGTACACCAGAAGCTTCCTCCTAGAGCAAACCATTGGAAGCCAGTTACAGCACCACTGGCCACGGGGCTGGTGTCTCTCGCAATGGCACCAGCGACACCGGCCATTACACCAACAGCACCTTGAACATGTTAGATCTGAGAACAATTGGTAGTATGTTATGGTGAATGGAAGCTAACCGGTCCATGTGCCAACTTTGACGGGAGCCACCATGAGGTCGATGATTTCCGGAGGCAAGATGCCTCGCCTCTTCCGCTGCTGCTGCTGCTGCTGCTGCACGGCGCCAGCTGAAGTGTCTGGTCGGTCGCCCATGATGACTTTTGTCTCGGTGATGACTGGCTTTGTTGAATGAGGAGAAGTCAAGTCGATAGATGTCAATTATGGTGACATGTTATGAAAAGAGTATAGTAGGTAGTAAGTAAATAAGGTACGGGGTGGTATGAATGAATGCAAGGCTGGGTATCATAACAAGGCTGATTAAGAAGTTCATCCTGTGTTATCACCGTCCAAGGTAATTCTCGCCTGTCGAGGTGGGGCCCCAGCCTGGCCGCGGATACGGTAAGATGCGATATGCACAAAACGGGTCGGCGGCTACCTACCTTACCTTACTGGCAGCGACTTCAAGGTACTTCGCCCGCGCAAGCCATCCGCAGGCACCACAGGCAATGCAGGCGCTCGGCTGCGAGTACAGGTACCTCGCAAGCGCAGCAGGTATCGGCAATGTCGCTGCGGGCTAGCCCCAACGCGGCCTAGCGCCTCCCACTCTTGGGCGGGCGAAAATTGGAAATGGAAAAGGCAGGCAGAGCCAGCCCTCTCTCACGACGCCGCATCTTTTTTTTCCTCGACGAGCAAATTTCACCTTGTCCCAACCCCAGACCCGGCATCTGGGACTCGATCACTCGCATCGTCCGATCCAACTCGCAGCCAATCTGCCCTCCGTGATTGGCCCCTGCTGCGTCGACTCTCTCGGCCACCGCCTCTTCGTCGTCCTCGCCCGCACCAGCTCGGCGTTCTGCCCTTTCGCGCATCGGTTGCTGATATCGTTGCGCGAGCTCGCCCTTGTCCCACCGCAATCATGCGTATGTCACCGAGTCCCAGGTTGCTGCCGCCTCGAGAGCGCCCTGCTGACAATGGCCCATAGCTCCCAAGAAGAAGGAACAGCAGAAGATGTCCCTCGGGGACTTTCTGGCTGACTCTGGTCCGTCACCCCTCCCTTGATACCCTCGTCGACCACTCCATACCAGGGTCGCATCGACACCCCGCCGGCTCCGTTAATGGAAAGTCCGATCATCGGCATGCTTGATGCTGACTCTCGACGCAGGTTTTGGTGGAGGCTCCGACTGGGCTGATGAGGTTGAGGAAACCTATGGTATGTTGTTGCTTGTTGGAGTTTCGTCTACTGCTCTCTCGCTAACCTAACTTGCAGTGTCTGGTAAGTCCTGCATGCCGTTTGGCAACCATCTACCCGGGCAACAAGGGAGAAGAAGAAGAAGAAGAAGAAGAAGAAGAAGAAAAGACGGAGGGATTGTCACTGGAAACGGATTGTGAAGAGAGAGAAACAGAGAAGGGAAGAGAGGCAGAGGAGCCAGACTATCGCATGCCAGTGTCATGACAGAGGGCAACCTGATATTGACCGGCTCCCACAGGTACCCAAGCCCTGCCCCCGGCCCGAGACACCGGCCGCTTCAATGCTACGTCTTCGTGGCAAGACCGAGGTATGCGCTCCAGAACCTTGACTGTTCTCTTCTCGTCGCCCGTGTTAACGCTCATCGAGGCTACTCCGTCCGCGAGTCCATCCCCTCCAAGCTTCCCGAGAAACCCCCGTATACCGCCCACCTGGGCAATCTGTCCTATGACGCCACCACCGAGTCTGTGACCGACTTCTTCACCGGCTGCGACGTTGTCAGCGTCCGAATCATCGAGGACCGTGAGATGCAGCGCCCCAAGGGCTTTGGATATGTTGAGTTCGGCAATCTCGAAGGCCTGAAGAAGGCCCTGACCCTTGATGGACAGTCCTTCGAGGGCCGCATGATCAGGATCAAGGTCGCTGATCCTCGTATGTCTCGTCCCTACAGGCTACGTCTGACTTTTCCTTTGCACTCGATTTGCTAATGGATAATGCAGCTCGTGGCGGTGAAGGCCGAGAGGGCCGTGGCGAGTCTGCCCGAGACTTGAGTGAGTGGACCCGCAAGGGCCCTCTGCCCGACCTCCCTTCGTCGAGGGGTCCCCGGAATGACTTTGGCGAGCGCCGCCCTCCTCGTGATTCCGCCTTTGAGAGCCGTGCCCCTCGAGAGATGACCTGGGAGCGACGCGGACCTCTGTCTCCTGTGTCTCCGCAGGAACCTGGATCTCGTGAAAGCAGCCGCGCGCGCGGACCTCAGGAGGGTTTGGGAGAGCGCAGCGATTCGTACCGCGGAGGCCGCCGGGAGCCCGCGGCCTGGGGTGAGGGACGACAAGAAGGCCGCTCTGCTCGGCAGTTCAGCGAGCGCCCCGAGCGCCCGGAGCGCACTGCCACTGCTGCTGAAAAGGACTTCCAATGGCGCGACCGCATGCGTCCCGATGCTGCCAACGCCCCCGCAGCCGAGACTCCGACCTCTCCCGGCGCCGCACCTGCGGCCCATGCCCAGGGTGGTCGTCCTCGCCTGAACCTCCAGAAGCGAACCGTTTCGGAAGCTGCCGACACTGCTTCCTCCAACACTTCGGACTCCAAGGCCAGCCCCTTTGGAGCTGCTCGACCCATCGACACCGCCGCAAGGGAGAAGGAGATTGAGGAAAAGAGACTGCAGGCGATCCAAGAGAAGCGGGAAGCAGACGAGAAGGCCAAGGAAGAGCGACGTCTGGCCAAGGAGGCTGCTGCTGCCAAGGCCGAGGCTGAGGCCGAGGCTGCAGCTAAGAAGGCCGCTGAGCCCGCCGCGACTGCAGAGGCCGCCGAGGCTAAGCCAGAGTCAAAGGCCGAGGGTGAGACGGCAGCCAAGCCTGAGGAAGAGCCCAAGGCCGAGCAGGAGAAGCAGAACGGCGCGGCGGAGCAAAAGGTGCCCATTCGGACGCGTGACCAGCCCAGGGATTTCAACCAGGGACAGAAATCAAGAGCTACCGAGTCTGGAAACTGGCGATCGGCTTCAAACGAACAGCGAATCCCCCGAGGAGGCGCATTCAGCCGCGGAGGCCGTGGTGGCCGCGGCGGTGACCGAGGAGACGTCCCTCCCCGAGGACCCCGCAACGACAACCGGGCGCCTCGTGCCAACGGCCAGCAGGCTACTGCTGCTGCTGCTGCTCCCACGGCTGAGGGCGACGCTCCGGCTCCGGCTCCGGCTGCTGATGAGGACGGCTGGACGACGGTCCCGGCTGGTAAGAAGGGACGAATTGGACGAGTGTAAAAACCAAAACGAAAACGAAAACGAGGGATCACGAAAAAGAGCGATTGTAAAAATTTGATGCCATTTCCTTTCGGTTTTCAATGACTAGAGATTGCCGTCGCAAGACCCCTGCCAGCGGATCCGGTCCTGCTATATCATGTGCACGTTGTCCCGATTCCCACCATTCTATCGATTTGCGGGCAGGCCCCCTTTCCCCCTACAGCCTGCAATCTCGCCCCGTCTCCGGCCGCAAACCGCTTGGATATGGCTCATGGCTCTCCGGCAAGGCTGGATGATGCCGTACGAATGCCAGGGGATGCCTAAGCATCTTGTGGCGCTCGGGGCATCAGCTGGCGTGGTCCATGACGACGGCTACTTTGTCCTACCATGTTTTGCCTGCTTCGGCTTCCAGAGGAGCCTATTTGCTTGCTATGTGGTGGACGGGATATAATGAAAGTTTGTCTAAAGTTGCATGTGGCCGCAACACTTGATCTTGATCTTTTCGTTTTCTCTTTTTTTTTTCCTTTTTCTCCTTCTTTTCTTTTTCCTTCTTTTTACTTTTTATCTTCAAATTACAACGGGGGCAGGGAGGGTTCAGGAACGGTCAAAACGATGCAAGTATGCTTTTCCAGTTATGATATGCACTCATGCGGGGGGGGGAACAGACCAGATTGAAAAGGAGGGCGAGATGATTTGCATGATGGACTTTCTAATGATGGCGACGATGCCCGACTCACGCTTTACTCTGAGGTGATGGGGAGAGCGGGTGTCATCTCTTCATCTGCGGAACGAAGGGGAACACAAAAAGGAGGGTTCCCTCTGCAGGCTGCCGCCTTGTTTGCTGTCTGAGCAAGAGGTGACCGACTGACGGCAGGCTTGACGTTTGCTGGTGAGAGGAATCGTAGCCCGTGGAGGCGCCTTGACTGGAGGTGAAAAATGTGAAGGCAGATGCAGGACAAGGCGACTCACAGGAGAGCAAAGAAACGGGACCTTGACACGGGCCGAATGTAGCCGCTTTGAAGCGCGTTCGATTGATAGAGGTAAAACAATATATTTACATAAAAAAAAGGGGGGGGGGGGATGGGATCGTTCGTGATGAGTGATCCGGCTGATGTTGGTGTGTGTCTGTGTCTCTGCCATATGAATTGTGTTGCCTATCACAGGCAGCAAAGATTGGCACGTCTAGGTAGAGAAGAGATGCTGCCTGGCTTGCCGTGTATTGAAGCGGGTGAACGATCCGGATATATTATAGTGCGGCCCCCCTTTGTCCACTTGTCGTGACTGTTCCTCAACCAGGCTATTCTCCTTCATCAACGTCGGCGATATAGACCCCTTATACACTCTGATTTCAAACAGCAGTCATAATTTCCAACAGTCTCTCTTGTACTTTGTTATCAACGAAATCAGAAATAACAGCCATAGACACCATCACCACCACAATGGCATCACAACCCTACCCCTACACTCACTCCCCCTCCCTCTCCCCCCTATCAACCCTCCCGCCGCAATCCCTCTCCACGACCAGCGACCCTCCCATCGCGCACCTCATGACCAGCGTCCTCATCCTCCGCCAACAACCTCATCAACCCCCTTCTCAATCTCACCCCCAACAAGGCACCACCACCACCACCACCACCACTCAGCCTCCAAGCCCTCCTCCTCCTCAGATCCTCCTCCTCCGCCGCTCCCCAACAGACTCATACCCACTGAAGTGGGAAACCCCCGGCGGCTCCGTCGACCCAACCGATCCATCCATCCTCTCCGCCGCCGCGCGCGAGCTCCACGAAGAAGCCTCCCTCTCGAACCCTCACTTCCACGCCACCGTCGGCATGGCCCGCTGCTGCTCCTCCTCCGTCAACACCCAAGAGGAAGCCGCTCAAATGGGCGGCGAATGGGGCATTCCCCCTGAAGAGGAAGACGCCAAGGACGTTGATGTGCAGGGCGTCATGGGCTTGCACAAGATGAAAGTGACGACGTTTCTGGAGACGCGCAACGTGTGGGGGAAAATAAACTTTATTGCTACCGTGGATGAGGGCGTGAGCGAGCGGGTTGTGACGGATCCCGAGGAGCATACTGAGTGGGGGTGGTTTACGGAGGACGAGGTCAGGAGGGGCCGCGCTTGGAGGAGGGTGGTGGATGATAAGCATGATGATGATGGGGAGGGGGAGGGGGAGATGAGGGAAAAGGTGCTCGAGTTTACGAGCCAGGCCGTCTGGGGGTCGATTCTGGAGAGCTTTAGGGTGGGGAGGGACTTGGGAATCATTGTGTGATGGATGATGATGATGATGATGGGTGGGTTTGGTGGTGGTGATGAGACTCAGGCATGATGGATTGTTTCCTGTTCGTCATGAGACATAGATGGATAGATATTTGCAGCCGTGGCAAAGGCGTTCATACAATAAATGGCCAATGATGGAGAGAGAAGCCTAGATCAAGACAAACAGCCTGTCCCTTTCGTGAAGCAGCAAAATCAAACGCCGCGCCAGCATAAAAGAAAAACAAACAAATAGTCATCAAACGTAAATCAAAAGGGGGCGCATCACGACCTTTTGGCCCCCATCTCCTCCATCCCATACCCGTCCAAATCCCAATCCACCTCGCTCCCACCTCCAATCTTGCCCCCCAACCAGATGCCCAGCGCCGTCACCACGCTTCCCACCAGGAACCAGCCCTCAAACCACCCGTCCACAAAGGCCGGCGTCAGCGCGCCCCTGAGCACGCCTCCCACCGCCGACCTCGCCTCGCTGGGCAGCTGGCTGCGCAGCAGCAGGCTCGCGGAAATGACATAGGTGGCCGCGACCTGGCCCACCGCCAGCGCGAGGTTCGCCTGCGCATGCCGCAGCAGGCCCGGCGTCCACTTGGCAAACAGGTGGAACGTCTGGATGGCGCTGTTGGCGCTCGCCACGAGGATCACGCCGCTCAGGGCGAAGCTGATGATGCGCGCCCACGCCATCTGGTCCAGCTTCGGGTCCCAGTGGCGCGCCAGCAGGCCCAGGAAGCGGTTGATGGGATCGCTCGACGCAAAGCTCGCCGACGGCGAAGACGCCCTCCGTATCGTCGTCAGCGCCGTCGCCAGGATGCGGTACACGCAGTAGGCGCTGAAGGCGTACGACGGCACCAGCAGGAGGCGGCCCAGCGTCGTGGAGGCCCGCGCCGACGCCGCGCGCTGGCTCTTCATCAGCGCCAGGTTCGACGACAGATTGGCCTCAATGGCTTCGAGCCCGGCAATCTCCATCCGCAGCGTCTGCATCTCCGCCTCCTCGCTCGACAGACCGCGCACCGACCCCATCACCAGCCCGACCAGCCCGCCGCCCCCCTTGCCCCCCTTGCCCGAGTCCTGCGCCGCCGCCGCCTTGCGCTGCAGCTGCTGCAGCCGGTGTCGCTTCGTCGCCAGCATCTCGCTCGTCGCATCCAGTCCCGTCTGCTTGCGGTTCAGATCCGCCTCTGTCAACGGCCTGCGCCGCCTCGCCTCTGCACGGCCAAACGTGTGCCACGGCGCCGACACGGACGCAAAGCCCGACAGCAGCGCCATGAGCGAGATGCCCACGACGCCGATGCGCTCCAGACACGCCCTCGTCAGGTCCTCGCCCGCACTGCCCAGCACAGCCCTCGTCTTGTCGCCTGCATGCTCAGCCGTCGGCGGCGGCACCGCGCGAAGGAGTATCTCGGCCCGCGGCACCACGCTGCCCATGGACCAGAAGACAAACAGCCAGCCGCCAAACAGCGCCGCCTGCAACCCCAGGGCAACCCGTGGCAGCCTGCCCTTGGCCGTGCGCTGGAAGCTCCAGCCGGCGCTGGCGACGAGGCTGCGGCACTCCAGCCAGGGGATCAGCACGACCAGCATGAAGAGCAGCGCCGGCACCGTGACGCTCAGCGCCAGGTTCCGCGCGGCCGCGTCCACGGCGCCAACGATCTCGGCCATGATGAGGGCCCCCAGCGTCGCCGCCAGCCCGACCGTGGTGCCAAATGCCCAGGCGGCGCCCCTCTGCCTCCAGCTCTTGCTGCCGTGCTCTGCGTGGGCCTGGCGCAGCGCGGCGGGCGCATGGGACGGCAGCACATGGTCCTCGCCGTCACGGGCGTCGTCGTGGGCGGCGCGGCTCAGCTTGGGGAAGACGTGGCGCACGGCGACGGCATTGGCGGCCAGGAAGACGCCGGCAAAGGGCAGCGCCGACAGCAGCGAGGCGGCCGTGAGAGCGTGCGGGTTGGGCGGAGCGCAGGCATCGTGGGCGCACGACGGGGGGGAGAATGGCCACATTTGCCTGTGTCGTCTTGCTTTTGGGTTGACGCTGGTCGGTCGCGGTGCTTGTTGTCGGTTGATAACGACGATAAGTCGTGCTCTCGAACTTGTTCTCGAATCGAAATATGACTGTCCCGTATCGAGGATATAACTTCAATCACAGTATTGTCGTCGGCGTCGTCGTCGTCGTCGCTGTCGTCGTCGCACTCGACCTCGTCGTCCAATATTCTGCCCCGCCAAATCCTCGTACCAGCTCCAAAGCAACGTAACTCAAGCCGCCACAGCAAACAAATCCGCCTATCTCTGTCCTTCTATGCTCCCTCTGGTCTCCAGACTGCCAAATGAAGAGACACCGATGCGATCAATACAAACGCAGACAAGTCAAACAGCCTGGAAAAAGCAACGAGTGTCGGCCAATGCAGCGCAAAGACGGGAGTGGTAGCAGGTATGAAAGAGCGACTGGAACTCCAAATGCAGGCTGCTAGTATTTGATCGCAAAGCCGCAAATTAGCAACCCCACGCTCATATCAAATTAGCCTGCCTGTCTGCCAAGGTAGAGTGAAAAAAATGGCGCGCAGATTCTGATTATCAGCTGTTCCGAAGAGAATAGTGGCATATATCGTGGATAAAACGTATCGAAGGGGCTCTGGTGTGAGGTGCAGCTTGTAGCCACTCCCACATATGTTTCAATGCAAGGTGGGCAACAGATGATGGGAAGGATAGTGACAAGTAGAGTGAGAATATTAGAAGAAAAGAGTCAAAGTAGAAGAGCAAGGCAAAGGAGTAATCACCGAGCCAGGGCCCAGCCAAAAGACATGGAGAAACCACAAGAATGACGACGATCCCTCCAACTTTCTGCATCCGGGGTCGTTTCGAATGGGACGCCCCACCAGGCCATTAAGCGGTTCATCCGGCCAATCAATTGCGCCCAATGGCATCGCATCTGCAAAAAGGCACAGGTACCACCAAAAGACTTCACACACACAACCACTCATCTATTTTCAGCAACACCAGGATAAGGCTGCAGCATAGACTTCGTATCATACATAAGATACCAACCAAGCTATCGTCACCTTCGTATTCCGCGGCACTACTACCACCACCACTGCTACCACTACCACTACTACCACTACCACTACTACCACTACCACTACAGCTACTACCTAAGCCCCATCGGTCGTCCATCGTTCTAGTACTTCATTTACAAGGCGTCGTCGTGCTACCTCCTCATATCAGCCAGCGTCTTGGCCTCCCATACTCGTATTAGTACCTCAAAGTCCCAGCTGCCTACAGCCTCCTCTTCCCCTCTCCCAAGCCGCGTCAACAACGACAGGGATCATCCATATGCACCCCGTTGCTTCGTCATCGTTTGCTTCACGGGTTTCACGGCACACTCCGGCCCGCATCCAATACTTAATCGCTTTCTTCATCTGGCTGCCGCGGAGCCAAACTAATACCTATGTACCTTGGTAGATGCCATGGTTGCTACCAACTTCGGGTCTCACTATCCTCAATCATCGCCCGACCCGCGCTATCATACATACACAATGTGATGCCAGCTGTTGATCCCGTGTCTCACCTCTCCATCCATTTCAAGGTGTTTCATCCAACCAACCGATCGCTCATCTACCCACGCTTGTTTGTGCCGTAAAGTCATCCTCCATCCAGTCAGATCTCGTAACCTTCGTAACCTTGCATAAACTATGATCAGGAATCCTTCCCCGTCACTCCCAAGGCGCTTGACCGCCTCAGATGAACCATCTTAGTCAGCTTCTTCTTCACGAACAAGTAGTAGCTCGGACTACCTGTATTGTCGGCTTCCGGGGGTGGATCTGCGTCTACTTCATCCTTGTCATGCGATACAACGGCAGTAACCACTCCTTCTGCTGCCGGCAGGCCAGATCCCGGGCGAGACCCTTCCGAAGACGGCAATGTCTGCATGGCAAGCTGTGCCTCAGCCCGGGAAGGCGCTCGCAAGCTAGCGTCCTGCTGCTCTTGCTGCAGCAGATGCTGCCCACGGCCAGTGTCAGACTGTCGCTGGGATCGACGCTGGGGGACTTGTTGCTGTATCTGCCGCTGGTGCAGGTAGCCCTGCTGCTGTGGCTGCCACTGATGATGCCACTGCTGCGGCCAGTGATGCTGGAAAGTCTGCTGCTGCAATTGCCGCTGGTGCGGGTAACCTTGCCGCTGTGGTGGCGGCAGTGGCCGATGCTGGTAGCCATTCCGCTGGAACTCCAACTGATGCTAAAAGGCTTGCTGCTCTGGCTGGATCTGATCCTGGGAGCCTTGTCGCTGTAGCTGCAACTGTTGCTGTGACTGTAACTGGAATTGATGCCGTTGGTTTTGCTGCGGGTAAGATACGCGATGAGGCGGATGAAGCAGCGTCTGCGCTTGAGACGGTCCGCGAGGCAAATGGACCAGCGCTTGTGACTGAGGCGCTCCAAGAGGCAGATGGTCCAACGTCTGTGGCTGGGACGCTTGGGGAGGCGATTCTACCGGCGTCGGTTGGCGAGCTTGAGTCTGGGACAACTGCAGCTGTGAGAGTTGCATCGCGATCAACTGTCGTTCCTGTTGTTCCGCGGTCTCTTGCTGCGGCTGTTGCGGGAAGGGGGGCCGGTGCGTGGAGTGAGAACGGCGCATCTCTTGAGGCGGGCAGTCCGCACGAGAAGGGGTTTGACGTTCAGACGCTGAACGGTGCAGACCACTGGAAAGGCCATACTGGGAGGAAGAGCGGCTCACAGCGGGATATTGATTCGTTGAAAGAGGGGGCTGCGATGCTCGTTCCCGTGTCCCGTCCTCCGACTTGGCGCGAAACCTTGCCTTGAGCACATCGATTTCCCTGACAAGGCACACCTTGTCCTCGTTTGGTGGCCGCACGTCCGAAGGACTGCATGCCTTCGTCTTCTGTTTGCCTGTCGAATACATGTTGGCAATATCACCTGCCCTCGAAGCTTCCGCCGCCCAGTGATTGAGTCGCCTGATCTCGGAATAAATGCCATGGCGGGCACCCTCGCTGTTATCCAGCAACAGTGGGGGCGGAGATCGAGCCCGTGGAGACGGAGTCATCTCCGACGCTGATGAGGATGTGGCTGACCATGAACGCCGTTCCTTTCGAAACTCGGTTGCAGAGAGCTCGGGCGATGAACCTCCGTCGACTGCCATTGGCCAGACTAACGGCGCATTGGGCCTGCGAGCCCTGGAACCCTCCTGTACAAGCTTGGCTCTGGAATTTGAGCCTCTTGCGGCTTGACCCCATGGTGATACGCCTCTGTGGGAGCTTGAGGATCCACGTCTTGACAATGTGGCCCTTGTAGGCGCATCGACGTCTGGCCCGTGGGAGGGTTCGAGAACCGGCGACAAGGTCAGTGAATATTCATGTACTGACCGTCTTCCCCGGCGCTTTCTCCCCCTCGAAGGACTATCCATAAAACCGTCCATCGTACAAGGGCTGAAAGGACTCCTTGCGAAATAATCGTCCAAAGGTGTGCCTTGGCTGGAGGGGCCAGCCGTAGAAGAAGAAGACGGACTCGGCGTAGAATAACCCATTGTAAATTGGGTATCAATCCCATAGCTTCGCGTAGGAGGATCGAATTCAAGGGGCTCGTCTGTGAAGGGGCTCGTCATGCAATGGCCGTCCAATGCTGGAAGGGCGCCAGTAGCACCGCCCGCGGGTGGTTGGCTTGTTAAAACCGACGCTCTCTAACCGCGGGGCCTCGACGCTGGCGGTGCCTGGGATGATGCCTGGAATGGTGCGTTGCCACCAGATGGCTGTCCCGATGCTGGTACTTCTCCGACCTCTGGTGCTGTTTCTGGTGTTTCCGAGGGCGTTGACCCTGCGGCAGAAGCCGATTGACCTGAACGACCGCCCCTTCTGCGATAGCGAGCATGATAGAAGCGGGATCCGTCTCCGTCTCCGTCTCCGCCCCCTCTCATCGTAACCTCCGGTTCAACCTCCCCTACGTCGCCTACTGCTGCCGCCGGAGTCACGGTGGGGGCATTAGGGGAGCCATCCGAACATTGAGCCTGGGAGGCACGATCTGGGCCGACGAGCATCTTCTAGGATGCGCCCCCAGAGTTCTGCGCCTGGGCTTCATCCGACTCGTCCTCCTCTTCCTCATTGATGCCCTGGCGAAGGGCGGCCGCCTCGCTGACCTCCATCTTGTGAAGCTGATCGAGCTTCTGCTGCTGATTTAGGGCGTCCATACCCGTCATGACTTCGAACTCCCCCTCCTCATCGTCTTCCTCATCCTCACTATTGGGGGCGCTGGGAGGCGAGGGGTCGGTGCTGACGCGGCGGGGCGCACTTGGTCGGGGGCCGGCCACGGTGTCGGGGGACTTTGACCTCATCAAGACTGACTCGTGCAGAGGCTTGATGGTGGGATCGAACTTGGCAGGCAGGCCCAGTACCTTTGCTACCTGGTGTGCCTCCTCCTCGCGCGGAATCTGCACCTCCAGCTCATAGGTGCTGCTGGCCTCGCTATCGGCCTCATGCTTGCCATTGGTAGCGGCCAGCATGCTAACATAGGTCTGTCGCGTGCTGTCGTTCGTTCGCTTCGCCTTCTTCTTATTACGTTTCTCGCTAGGCCTAACGACGACGACGGGTATGGGAGAGTACTGCAGACAGTACTTTGAAAACGAGTTGCGATTGTTGACAAGGCCCTGGATGCCTCCGAGGGACCGCCCTCTAGTGCCCACAATGAGCATGGCTGGCTGATATAGTTGAATCTGGCGTCCGGACATGTTAGTTTCAGCGCGGAGACGGTTTGGGGGAGCGGTGGAAGGAAAAGGCCATCATAGCCACCTACCAGGGACTGAAAGGTAGCATGTAGCTTGCCGACTGCATACTCAAGGACAAATGCGACGGCACGGTTCTCGGTGTTCTTCTCCAATATGCTCTTCATGACCTGCTGCGCGTCGCTGTGGTATGATTTGTCGCTGAGCCGCACGTCCTTTTCAATGACGCGTACGCAGATGATCTCGTCGCCGTCATCGACCAATTCGTCGAGCAGCCACTGAATGGCATAGTCTGAATACGAGTGCTCGTCAATGCCGACCATGAAGGTGCGCGATCGGCGGCGCGGCTGATACCCATCGTGTCTGACATTGAGCACGAGCGACGAGGGTACCTTCTTCGACGTCTCGCCACTGGGGACGTTGTCGAAGCCGACATGACGCTGGAATCTGTCGCCCGGTTGCGAGGTTAGCGCTGTCATTCCGTCGCACAATTCGAAGTAGCCTGGGTTGTGGAGGAGACGAGACGAGTGGGAATGCGCAGGTCAGGAGAGAGTCAGGAGATGAATGAGAAGCCAAAGATGCAAACGAGAGAACTCGAGTTGGCCCAGACGACAGAACAAGGAGAGGATTAGTGCGGCAAATAACACAAGTGCCAGGGAGGAGGAGGCATGTGAGAGCAAAATGACGGAGACTTTGCGACTGCGGCGAGTTGGAGCGTCGTCCGGCGAGTCGCACCGCAGGAAAGGGTGAAGCCGGCGGGGTAGGCAAGAGAAAAAATAGCCATAACGAGAAGCTCCCGGAGCGGTGGGGCCAATAGGCTGGTCTTCTAGAGCCAGGGATCATGGGAGAAGGGGTCTCGTCTGCTGGGGATTGGGGGAAGAGGCATCCAACCGGACCCCAGGCCGGGGGTTGGCGGCACGGCACTGGACGGAGCCTTCAGTCGCACTCTGTCCTCCAGCTCTGGCCACACGCTTCCGGCGCGTGCCCGCTCGAAACAGGCTGCATCCTCGGCCTCCCAAAGACCAGATGGCCGGACACGACAGATGGGATCCCGACGCTCAAGGTGCAGAATAAGGAGTGTCGCTAGCGTGGGGATCGAAGCCATCCCCGGCCCACATGGACTTGACACTATCGCAGCTCTACCGCTGTACCCGACGACTCGCTCGAGCAAGGACGAGAGCCATGTCGTGCTGGCAAACCGGACGGCGACGCAACAGACACGATACCAGCAAGCTCGAGAAATGCATTGCCCATGCCTGGCCGGCAATTTCGTGCCGAGACCACGCGGTTGGAAGGCCTGGAGAAGCACAAACTTGTCTCTTGCAGATTGGACACAGGGCCGTTTCCCGCCGAGCACAATGTCTTGGAGAGCCCTTGAATTTCCAAGACACCACTTGGTATTTGCCGTGTTGCCGTCCGGGGACACGCAGCATGAAACATGGGAACACAAGAGAGGACGCAAGGTCCAAGGTAACGGTTTAGGAGGGAAGGAACACAGCGAGACGAGTGTAGAGAAAGTATAGGGAGACAAAAGTTCAAAGGCTTACCTGCTATGGGGAGGAGATGGCGCTCGCCCTTTCGCGCCGTCTGAAGGCCGCTTCTGAACGCCGATGGCCTTGCGTTTGCCGGCAGACGAGGCCGATATGGTCTTACCTAACGGAGCCCCGTTGGGCTTCGCAAGTTCGGCAGCAAAGCTGATGCTCGAGTGCCGCCGGGAAGAAGTGTCGCTAGCATTCGAGGCCAGAGGCGCCGAGTTCTGGCTGCCACTAGCATCAGGGGTCGGGAAGTATCCTTCCTGAGCCCGCGGCGGCGGCGCTGTCGACGATGGAGAGATGTCCGAGTCGGAACCCTGGGGCGTCTTGAGAGACTGCATCGTGACTTGTGCAGGGCTGTCCATTCTTTAGACTGCTAGGTCTGCACCGGCTGGCAAGACTTGTTCGAGATCCTCAGCCGCTGTGTTCACAGGTAAATGAGCGTTTATAGCGAAAGTTGAGGCAAAAGCTAGACCGGGAGACGTCGTTCAGGTGAATATAAAGCCGACCAGGATGGGGCAAATGATCGAGGCGTGTTCGAGGATCCTGATCTTCGGCTGCTGAAACAAAAGAACGAAAGATGCGCGAGAGAGAGATGACGCGAAAGAAAGAAAGAAACTGTAGACAAGAGATAGAAAAACCATACAGCTCCAAGGTGGAAAGAAAAAAATGCTGCGTCTTTATGGATATCGCGTTTGCCGGCCAGGACGAGAAACGGTCCAAAACACACGATCCAGAGCCCGGCACCAAGATGCCGAGCTGGCGCGACACGGCAGACGGGCAGGTCGGGAAGGTGCAGGCAGACTCCGGTCTTCCGAGGCTGAGAGGCGAAGAGGAAGGTTCGAGAGATGAGGCGTGGGCGAGGCTTGCTGAAAGAGACAGGGGAAGAGGATTTTGCTGGAGAAATGAGGTGAAATGAGGTGGAATGAGGAGGAGAGAGAAGGAGGAGGAGGAAGGGAGGATGCGGTTGCGGAATAGGCAGAGCCGAGCAAGGGCCTCTTTCTGCGAGCCGCAAGGACTGACGAGTGCAGATGGAAAGATCTCGACAAGGAAAGGTTGCCGTAAGAGAAAATAAAGGTGAGAAAAGATGGAAACACAGAGAAAGATGACAGGTGTTCTTCCTGATGCGTGAGGTGCCTGGTTCTTCTTGAGAGAAGGCTCAACAGGAGGTCGAAATTCAAAAGGGGAAGCAGGCGTGAGGATGCTGCAGAGAGACAGAGAGAGTGTGTGAGAGAGAGTGAGAGAGAGACGAGGCTAGGAGACACAGACAGACTCGGCAGTGCTGGGCCAGCAGGCAAGGCACCCCGTGCCAGCAGTCCAGAAACGCCCGAGGAAAATCAATGCAACAGCTGGAAATGGCTGAGGTGCCGTCTCGCCTCCTCTTTGACCCCGGACTCGACTCGACAGTTCGTTCGTAGGAAAGGTACTTGTACTCGCTGTTCCCCGGCCTTGCCTCGCCCTGCCTGAACGGCCTTGTCCGCAGTCGAGCTCAGTTCGCCTTCCCCACAGACCAGAAAATGCACGGATCGTCGAGTTGTGTGCTGCTGCAGCCAAGAACAAGCATAAAAACAAGCAGCGGCCTCTAATTTTCTCGGTCGGGATCCCGCGTCTGTCCCTCTTTAGGGCTAGGGTGGTGTGTGTGCCTGTCTCTTTTTTTTGTTCCTTTGTCTTCTGTTTTCGCTTCTCCTGGGCCTGGTCCCTGTTCCGTTTCAGTTCCCGTTTTCCCCCTTGAGCTGCCTACCTAGCCGGACCTGGGTACCTATGAGAGGCGGTGCTTTTACTATCACACGCCTCTCCTTTGATTGTGAAGCAGGAGAAATTCGAATAAAAACCACCCCGCAGCTGCTGCCGGGATGGTGAAGAGCTGTGCGAAGCCACGAGGGGCCAGAGGTGGGAGTCGATTCGCTGATGGGCACTCGCCTGGACGGATGGGGAGTATTGCCGGTGATGATGCAAGAGATGATGCAGAATGTGGTGATTGCTGATGCAACGACCAGCGGTTCCTCAGCTACCTTGTCTCTCTTCGGATGAACCGACTGACTGACTGACTGACTGAATGACTTTGTTGATAAGAAAAGAAGCGAGAGGCTCGTGATGGCGCAGCCACAGTTTTGAGCTGACGGACGGGCTCAGGACCGAGGGCCTGGGTGCCGCACTGAGCAAGAGCTTGCAAGGGCTGATTCTAGCCTCCGCTCTGTGCTCCACCACGGGAGGATGATTTGGAGATGCTGGATCTCGCCTGGCTTGGCACTTGATCACGGTGAGCCTTTGCCGGTGGACTGAGTTCTGACTGCCGCCGAGGGAGGGATATTGTTTCGGCCGATGTCTTGCTCTACCTGCTCTGCTGATCTGGAAGAAGACTTTGTCAATGGACACAGGGCAGACAAGAGCAGACGAGAGCAGACGAGAGCCAGAGGCGGTTTCGGGCACAAGTCTCAGGCGCAAGAGGTCAATATCCGCCGGTTGTCCTTTCGGAGAGCCACTTTGGATCGAGCCAGCGCAATGGCGGTGTGAAGGAGAACGTCGAATCGAGACAGAAAGAGAGACTCTGTCAATGCAGAGCACTCGAGAGAACAGTTATGACTCGATACCGCCTGATTCTGCAAGCAGGGTAGGCAGCAGAACATGTGAGATGAGAGGAGTGCAGGCAGCAGTTGGTTGGTGGCGACACCGCTGCGGCCGCCAACCTCACGATGCAACGCAGCTATTGCTGCAACGCGATAAGTAGAAGAACAAACGGCTGTAGCCGCAGAAGAAGAAGCGTCAAGAAGCAGAGATGAATGACACAAAATCAGCTAGGGCCTGGTCTATCACGAGCAGGCAAAGATACAACAGCGCAGTTGCCGGAATACGATCTGATGGAGGAGCGGAGCCCTTCTCGACAACACACATGCAGTCACGCCGGCTTTTATGACAGGCACCGCTCCAGGCCTACGGAAAGCATCGACGACAACGAACCCAACCGCCCGACTGACATGTGGTCAGATGCTGCGGCGAAAGGCCCTAATTCCTCTTGAAGCTGCTTCTGCTGCTTGCTAGTTCCCTCCATCTGCCGGCATAGCTTACGTCTGCTAGCCCATATCAAGCTACTACGAACCATCGCGTCAAGATGACATGGGGAATCACCTCGATATCCTCCAGCTCTTCACGCCAGTCTCTCGACAGCAGCACAAACAGCAGACTGACACCTCTCAGTATGCTTTCTCTTCACGGATCAGCTCCGCGCAAATCGTGGGCCAGCGCATCCCGTTCGCCAAGAGCCTTGGCTTAGTCCTACCCGTGGCGCCCAACGGGTGTTGGAGCGTAAAGGGAAAACAAGGTGAGCGGTCATGATGCTTGTAAAAGCGGAACAATACTAGGTACTGAGGTAGGTAAGTGACGAGTGAGATGTGGTATGTACTACAAAAAGTGACATCTACTATCACGGGCATCGTCAGCAGCTCACATAATTGCACGGTTACATGAACGGACGCGTGCAGAGGCTGAGTCGTTTACGGTGCGACGATGCTACACCCATCTCGTTAGATGTCGACTTTTCTGCTCCTATCAACTGCAACCACACAACGGCTTGCTACCTCAGACCTTGCTCTGCAATGAACAGTTTTCTTGGATGATGGAAGCTAGCCAGCTCGATAACTAGGCAGGCTGGTCATCCTTGTCCCGTCGTGTCTTGGCAGCGTCGTCTGGCCACACAGCATAAACGGACAAGTTGGATGCGTGGCGTAACAGCACGAGCCAAGGGGGTGGTCCGCAAAGAGGCAGCTAATTCTCCGTCTTGTCTACTGTTGATATCATCTCGCATTGTGCAGCGCGGATAGACGCAGGCAGAGGCTGCAGAGTCTTATCAGGAATCTTGGTCGTTTCTAATAGGCCCATCGATATGCATCAGGCACACGCTGATGTCGCATTCTGTCAGCACGCGAGATGGTCAGATCGAGAGCTGGACAAATAAACAATTCGCCGGTAGTAGTATCTGCAGACTTTTCTGCTTCATGATTCCATACAGTGATCCAGAAAGACAGCGAGAGGCTGTGCACTGCAGCGTCGCACAGCCGCCTCCTCTTCGCGAAGCTAGCAGAATAGCAGGATCGCCAAGCAAATGTGGCCGCTTTCTCCTCTCCTCTTCCCGCCCGAAATGATTCGATTAGTCTCCGGTGTGGACTACCTATGAAACGCTGAGGAGGGGTCAATAAAGAGGGAAGAGAATCAGCATTGCAATCACATGCCTCCGTTGATCGGATACCAATCCGCAGAGTCGGCAACGATGTGCCCTTGCTTAGTCCAAGGATCACAGTTACATGAGTTGCTTTTACGTACAGCACAACCCCGACTCCGCAGATATCAACGCGAAAAGAGGCAGCCCGAGACAAACAGGCACTCACATACACTAGAGTATTTCTCAGGTACGCAACGAAAGCCAAGTCAACATGTCGTGTCATCAACCGTCCAAACTCATATCCACGAACAAAGAGGGAGAAATAGAGAGGGTTGGACCAATAGCTTGCCCTTGCGCGCCTGCTCACCTGACTCTTTTGTCTCTTGCCTCTTCTTTGTTTCTTGACAAAAGTCTCATTTCATGATGCTTACCCCGCCTCTTTGATAGGAGCCCTGAAACCCCCCAAAGTCTCGGCTGGTGTTGTATTATACTATCTCTCTAACCTACCTTACCTACTGGTACCTATAGTAAGGCGTATCTGTGCTGTGATGGGCTGCTGTTTTGATCACATCGCAGCCCTGGCCTAGCCCAAACCTTAATGGCCTGTGTCTCCCAACCTAAAATTGTCCCCCTCAACTTCCACCGAAGGAGGCATTCGCTACCGCCTCGCCTGTTCGGGGTCATATTACTGCTCGTGATGGTCTTTGAAGCTTCAGGCCAGCAGGTTGCTCCATTGTTGGCAATGGCGTCACCCTCTTATCTCTTTCGTTGCTGGTCCCCCAGCGGAAGAACAGACAACAGAATCGAGCAGGAAAACTCATCTTCAACACTCTTAAGGCTGTGTACATTAGCGCCCTCTGTGCTACCTCCCTCTCTCTGCATCGCTAGAAGCCCGTCCACTTGGTCGACGGCCTGTCGCGTCACGCCTCTCATCTCGTGTTGGCGTTAGTGGTCCTGCAATGTACACGCGCACCCTGGCATAGGCTGCAGGCTGTGCTGATGTGATGAGGCGAATCGCGTACTGACAAAGGTCGCATTGTCACGATGTGGATTGGTATCCCTCTTCTCCAGACCTCAGGTATCTTTCATCTCTCCTGCTCGGACCTCAGTCGGGATTCTCTGTACACCTCGGCTGGACCCCTTCATCATCTCTGATCAGACTGAAGAAAAATAAATCGCTCTTCTTTTTATTTATTTTCAAACGTAATCCACAGCTAACCATTATGAGCAGCTCTACTACAAAGATTCCTTTGTCCTCTAAAATAGAGATTTTTGTTTTGTATTTCCACACCCCCCAGGGCCACTACCGAGCAATCCTCGTGCCCTCATTCGAGTTCCAACCAACTCCGTGACGCCATAGCCATGCAACCGGCCAGTTTGATCCAGTATACCCGGCCCACCCCAGCTTACCCTCCGACATTATCCGTTTTTTCTTTTCTTGCCCACGCATGGGTCACGGACTTCCTATTTTCTGTGCCCGACATCTACCTGACATTCGGGCCAATAGGTAGTTTCCTCAACATGTGTCCTGTCTATGCCACCCCTAGTTGTAGGTGCGAGACAGGTTGCGAAGATACCAGTCTACCAGCTTTCGGCCGACCTTGGCCTCTGAGATGTGAATGAGGTCCTATAGCAGACAGCGTGTTAGCAAAAGAAAACCCGAGATTCAAGAACACCGCAGCTCTTCGTAGAGTAAGGGGGTGGGGAAGTGGGAAAACGTACTCCTTGCAGAGCATAGTCGAGGTCGCTGACGTTGACCAGCTCGCCGTCCAGGAGACCCTGGTCCTGCCATCGCAGCTGCTTGGTGCGCTGCTTGGTGACGAGGAGCCAGGATCGAAGCTCGTCGGGCTTCACCTCGAGGAAGCCGGCCAGCTTGGTCAGGTCCATGGTGGTGTAGAGGCGGAGGTACGACTTGATGGTCGGGCTGTACATGTTGGTCTTGACCTCGTCCATGAAGATGGACAGGTGGTGCTCCACGGGGTCAATGTTGGCCTCGGGGTTGTCAAAGTCCGGAGGGATGGGGGAGATGAACTTGGGGCAGGCGCTGCGGAAGAGCTCCTCGAAGATGGGCAGCGACTCGGGGCCGCCGCGCTGCATCTTAAGCAGCTGGTCGCCGTACTTCTCCCGCAGGGCGCTGTGGATGGTGTCGTCCAGCCTGGTGGGGTGGAAGGCCACGCAGATGGCAATCAGGGCGTACATCTGCTCGTTCTTCTTGGTGATGGAGTCGAACTGCGCGTTCTTCTGGAAGTTCTTGGTCCGCGACACGTAGATCAAGATGTGGCTGAACATGCGGATGGCATCGGCGTATCGGTGCATCATCATGTACGAGAAGCCGACGTAGTAGTACGTCGTGAAGTGGGCCGCCATGACGCGGGCAAACATGGCCTTCTTGTTGAGCTCAATGTCATCCAGCGTCTTGAGCGCCAGCGCAAAGTCGCCCAGCAGGCAGTGCACCCGCAGGAGGCCGATGATGGAGAAGTAGCCCAGCATGCGGTACAGATTCTTGGATCCGTACTCGCCGGCAACGGCCATGGGGTCCTCGTTGCGCTTCATGGCGCCCAGCTGCTCGGTGATCTGGGAGCGCTGGATGAGCGAGTAGAGCACGTTGAGCACGCTGTAGCAGCCCCACGTGTTGGGGTTTTCGCGCAGGATCTGGATCTCCTCCTCGTTGTTGGCCTGTCTCGCGATCCGGCTTCGGTAGGAGCTGAAGGAGTTGAACTGGTAAATGAACTCATCGATGACATCCCAAGCCCAGTAGTACTAGATACAACAGAAAAACAGCGTTAGCCTCGACATCTGCGAGCAATTTGAGCGAGCAAACAGCACAAGCAGTGCTATTTGCTCAGGGCCACACGCACAGAAGGGGGCTCGAGGTCGACAGGGCCGTCCGAGTTCAGGATGTAGTGGAACAAGCTGCAGTACGAGTCGTAGCTCTGGAACTTGACCTCGAGAGGCGCCGAGAAGTCGAGCGGCTGGGCGGCCGACAGAAGGCGGGACTGGATGTCGTCGGTCTGCTGGGCCATGTTGAGCGACGTCGTCTGGCTGAGCTCGTCGCCATCCTCGTACTGCACATGCTCCTTGTACTCGGCCACCAGGGCTTCCTCCTCGACGTCGCTGTCGTCGGCAATCGCGCGGGCCGGAGGCCCTCCGTTCTGGTACGTCGCCATCGTGTGTTGTTCTGACCGCCCGTTCCGTTGGGTGAGGGTGAGGTCTTGTCGCGGGCTGGGGGGGGGGAGGGGGGGCAGCGGATGATTTTTTTCGCCTTGCGGGGAGGGGCTTGAGGCTGTCACGAATTTTCCCCTTCGTGACTTGTTAGGGCTTGGTGCATCGCTATGTGCATGGGGGGGTTAAGCGATGGTGTGGATGCTGCCTTGGTGCATGATGCATGCAACTAAGCGAGAAATGCTCTGATAGGAGCGTAAGAGATTTCGAGGCGGGGCAGCTGGGTACAATGGAAGGTACTGCCGGGGACAGAGGAAGGAACCTTGCAGAAAGACGATGACATTGGAGGGGTCGAGACGATTGAGAGGGGCAGCAAAAACTTCACTGTAGAAAGCATCGACTAAGCTGTCAAATATATCCATATGATCTATCATCTTGAAGGCGAGAGCCTCAGCAGAAGAGCATAGTTCTACGATTTCGGAACTACCTTCAGCGTCAAAGTTGGATATCGTGGGAAAGCTACAGCCGCGATTAATAAGCAACTGTGGGCGTTGGTTAACTGCGACAGTAGCAGCCCTTGCCAGTCATCCCGAGAAGAGTCATAAGCAGGCGATGACCAACAGCTGAGCTTGGCGACGAATCAGACTCATTGCCCCTGAACTCTTCTCGTGTCATACTGTCTCCCTCTCTGGGATTTTGTCAAGAAAGGACGCCTCTACTAACGCTAGAAGCGTTGGCCTAGACGTGGCGTTTGTTACCTGATCCTTCTCTTATCCCTCTTATATAAGATTTAACGAGGGCCAGACGACGACCATCAACAAGCAGAGCTGAGCGTTGACATCTCTCGCTATCATTGTCCTCCATCTCTCACTCTCACCCATCCCTCATTCGCCTAAAACTCACAACCTGCCCAAAATGCCTCTCGTAACGCCAGAAAAGCTGGCCAGCTTGCAGAAGCAATCCCAAGATGTCCGGAATGTGAGTACACACGCACGCATCCGCCATCTCAAATCCAATCTCGCCCACTGACAAAGCCCTTCAGATCTGCATCTTGGCTCACGTCGATCACGGCAAAACCTCACTCACAGACGCCCTCCTGGCCACCAACGGCATCATCTCCCCCAAACTGGCCGGCAAAATCCGCTATCTCGACTCCAGGCCAGATGAGCAGACCCGAGGCATCACCATGGAGTCTTCCGCCATTTCACTCTACTTCTCCATGCTGAGACGATCCGCACCCGATGCTGCTCCCGAACCAAAGGAGTACCTCATCAACCTGATCGACTCACCGGGCCACATCGACTTCAGCAGCGAAGTGTCGACCGCTTCTCGACTGTGTGACGGCGCTGTTGTCTTGGTGGATGCCGTCGAGGGAGTTTGCAGTCAAACCGTGACTGTCCTGCGGCAGAGTTGGATCGAAAAGCTCAAGCCGCTGCTCGTCATCAACAAGATCGACAGGCTCATCACAGAGCTCAAGATGACTCCTCAGGAAGCATACGTCCATCTCAGCAAACTCCTTGAGCAGGTCAATGCCGTTCTGGGAAGCTTTTTCCAGGGCGAACGAATGGAGGAGGATCTCAACTGGCGAGTCAAGATGGAGGAGCGTGTCAATGCTTCCGCCGCAAGCAAGGCGTCCGTAAACGATACTACCTCGGAGGCGGGAGACTTGCAGTTCGAGGAGCTGGACGATGAGGATCTGTATTTTGCGCCCGAGAAGAACAATGTCATCTTCAGCAGCGCCATCGATGGCTGGGCGTTCACATGCAGGCAATTTGCGAGCCTTTACGAAAAGAAGCTGGGCATCAAGCGAGGCATCATGGAGCGGTGTCTGTGGGGGAACTTCTACTTGGACCCCAAAACGAAAAAGGTGCTTGGGCAGAAGCATCTCAAAGGTCGCAACCTCAAGCCGATGTTCGTCCAGCTAGTTCTCGAGCCTGTTTGGACCGTATACAGGGCTACTATTGGTGCTGATGTTGATGGAGGCAAAGGAGATCCAGCCCTTCTCGAAAAGGTCACAAAGTCGCTCAACGTCACCATTGCTCCTCACATTCTCCGAGCGAGAGATCCTCGGCTTCTCCTGACTACGGTGTTTGCTTCATGGCTGCCTCTGTCGACCGCTCTGCTCGTCTCTGTTATCGAGTCGTTACCATCGCCTCCGGTAGCACAGGCCGAGCGGCTACCCTCTGTCATCGACGAATCCCCAGACTCCAGCTTCGTGGACAGCTCCATCAGGGATGCCATAGTCTCCTTTAAGAAGGACAAGTCAGATCCCGTTGTCGCATACGTCAGCAAGATGGTATCCGTTCCCGAAAGCGAGCTTCCCGAAAATAAACGGCCCACTGGCCAAATGTCTGGAGAAGAGGCGAGAGAATTGGCCCGACAGAAGCGTGCAGCTGCCGCCGCATTGGCTGCCGCCAACAACAGTCAAGATGAAGTGGTCGGCTTGACCGATGCATTAGGGGCCGTTGACCTCGATGACGCAAAGCCTGCAGCCGAGGAGGAAAAGGTCGACCCAGAGCATTTGATTGGTTTTGCAAGAATCTTCTCAGGGACCCTCTCCGTGGGCGACACATTATATGTCATCCCTCCTAAGTGGTCACCGGCCAATCCTCACGCGGATCCCGAACCTCAGCAGATCACGGTTAAGTCACTATACATGTTCATGGGCCGCAGTCTCGAGGCACTCAACAGCGTGCCGGCTGGCGTTGTCTTTGGCATTGGAGGCTTAGACGGCAAGATTCTCAAATCGGGAACTCTCTGCAGCAAGCTTGAAGGCGCCGTCAACCTGGCAGGCATCAGCTTGGCAGGAAAGCCCATCGTTCGCGTTGCACTCGAGCCTGTCAACCCTGCGGACTTGGATAAGATGATTCAGGGATTGCATCTGCTTGTTCAGAGCGACCCGTGTGCGGAATACGAGCAATTCTCCAGTGGAGAACACGTCTTACTTACTGCTGGCGAGCTTCATCTCGAGAGATGTCTCTTGGATCTGAAGGAACGATTCGCGCGATGCGATATTCAGGCCGGCGCTCCCATCGTGCCGTATCGAGAGACAATCGTCAAGGCAGAAGAGATGCGCCCTCCCGCAAACAAGGAGCTCGGTCGTGGAACCGTCGTTACCACCACGAGCTCGAAGCAGGTCAACATGACCATCCGTGTGCAGCCATTGCCCGCGAATGTTACAGAATTTCTGCTCAAGAACAGTGACGCCATCAAGCGCTTGCACAACGTCCGCAAGGCGGCAGAGGAAGCACGTGGAGAGGAGAACGGAGAAGCCATAGAGGCCGACACGGAGCTTACTGCTGCCACGGCCTTATCTGCCGAAGAGCTCAAGACGCAGCTGCAGAAAGAGTTGGAGACTGGAAAGGGCCGCGAAGCGTGGAAGGGCGTGGTAGATCGAATCGCAGCGTTTGGGCCAAAACGAACAGGCCCCAATCTCCTGATTGATGCCACAAAGGAAGGCATCCTCCCCAAGATCTTCGCCGCGGCCAAGGCATCCGAGGCGGCATCTGCTGAGTCTGCCGAAAAGCTGCATCCCAGCCATCTCTCCGACAAGTTGACTTACGCTTTCCAGCTAGGGACGGCACAGGGTCCGCTGTGCAACGAACCCATGCAGGGAGTTGCCGTCTTCGTCGAGGACGTGTCGCTGAATCTTTCAGAGGACGACACGTCTGCTCGTGAAAAGCTGGGCAGGCTCACGGGAGAGGTCATCAAGGCATTCCAGTCTTCCATGCGCGCAGGCTTCCTTGACTGGTCTCCCAGACTCATGCTCGCCATGTACACGCTCGAGATCCAGACCTCTACCGAAGTCTTGGGCCGAGTGTACGACGTGCTGACCCGCCGCCGAGGCCGTGTGGTGGCTGAGGAGATGAAGGAGGGCACACCGTTTTTCACTATCCAAGCGATGCTGCCCGTGGCGGAGAGCTTTGGGTTCGCGGACGAGATGCGCAAGCGGACGAGCGGGGCGGCGCAGCCGCAGCTCATCTTTGCCGGGTTCGAAATCCTGGACGAAGATCCGTTCTGGGTGCCGTTTACCGAGGACGACTTGGAGGATCTCGGAGAACTGGCCGATAAGGAAAATGTAGCGAAGAGGTACATGGATGGCGTGCGAAAGAAGAAGGGTTTGCTGGTGGAGGGTAGGACTGTGGCCAGAGATGCGGAGAAGCAGAAGACTCTCAAGAGGTAGAGGAGCGAAGAGTGGCGCATCAGAGCCGGCAGGCAGCCATTTGCCGATGCCCGGTAGTCCGTACCTAGACAATCGAAAGAGCACTTGCGACAAGCGTAAAAACAAACTTGACTCCATCTCTCTCTGTGTGTCTTGTCACGGCTCACCTTGCATTGATCGATCTCGCCAGGAGACTCAGCTCGCACGACCGTCTCGACCTGGGGTTTCCTAGTCCAGCACTATTTCCCAGCTCCACAGCCACTAACACGGGGAGCGCCAGCGAGTGCCGATGAGCCTCTCAAGCCTGTCCCCTCTGTTGGAGCAAAAGTCATTGGACGCACAAAGACGATCTAGCATCCCACTGTCTTGGTAGCCGACTCCACCGTCCAGCGGATCTCGCCAGAAGGCCGCAGCCGATCGACGAACAACCAGGTGCCCTCCGGGTCTAGATCAGTCCTGTCCTGACCGTAAATGGTTTGCCACTCCTTCAATCGTAATCACGGGCTTTGCTCATCATGAGGAGAAGAGGGCCTCGGTGAACGGGAAGACAAATTTGATGGACCTCGAAGCTGCTGACTCTGGAGAACCCGGGATATCCCTGATGGCCAGGAATTGGAAGAGCCAATACCTTGGACCAGGTGAGGAGTTCTGGATCGATAGTGTGCTCTTCCGATACCCAGCCGGGAGTCATCTCTCCTCCTACATCGCATCGTTTGTGTTGATTGTGCTAGGGCGGGCTCAGGGCGTACGAGTAATTCGCCGAGCCGGGCAGCAGTGCCTCCGCTTGGCTTCAAGTTGGACATCTGGTCAGAGTCTCGAATCAGGTTTTGGGACCGACGGCAGGTCTGGTTGAGGCCGTGATGGCAGGCGTGATGGCGCGGACGCATTGTAATTTATCATGCATGTCCCAGATATTGCATGTGCCTGCTTGACTAATTTGACTGGTCGATTGGGTTGATGGGTCATTTGCGGTCATGCGGTTGGACTGCCTCGGGCCCTATCCTACCATGCCTTTTCCCTAGAACAAAGGGGCATGTTAGCATCCCAGATTTGCAGGTCTTGAGAGTGAATCCCCAGATGCTGAGGCCTCGATATGGTCTGTTGTTCTGAAAGCAGGTAGAAGTAGAAGCGCATACATCGATACTACCGTGTCGAAGGGATTCATTCTTCTAATGCTACCAGTACCTACATATCTGGTTGCAGTCACGGATAACCACAACTCGAAGTTGAAAGGCGTAGAGTTGCTTGGAAGCTGGTCGCTCCCTCAGATTGCCGTGATAATAGGTACGTAAGCTACCTACCTAGTTAGTTGGTAGGGCACTGTAGGTAGGCAGGTACTGGGTAGGTAAGGTAGGTAAGGTAGGTAGGGATACAGCACCTTCCAAATTAGCTGAACGAATCCTTCGGTCTTGCCTGCAGCAAAGCGCGAGACAACTACCTAAATCCAACAGCGGCAACAGCGGCCCGTGGTCCTTAGTCCAGCCACTCTTATCTACACCTATCACCAATTTTGTTTTGTTTTACTCCTGCATCTTCCTTCTACTCCTTTCAATCACCACTGTTTGTCTTCTCCCTTGCTTTTCGTTTCATAACATGTGTGACGAGGCCACATTGGCTCAATCTGATAAGCGACAGGAGCAGCGAATCGGATTGCAATCACATCTCCCGGAGCTTTTCCCATCCCTCCTTTGTTGGGGTATCGATCGATGAGGATGCAGGCGAGCTTCCGGTAACATCCTGTCCGCCAGACTCAGCGCTAGCCACTCCGGCTTCGTCCTTGATGATAGCGATATCCCCCGCATATCAACACGCAGCATGAGCCGAAAGCAGGGCCCGAAGCAAGGGCAGGCCTGGGCTTGTCTTCCGAGGATGGAGCCACGGAAAACGGAGCGCTACTAGGCCTTATCCACTCTTCAGCCCTGGACGAGGACCAGCCTGGACCAACCGCTTCGCCTGGGCGCTCGAGGTGGCGTGAGACAAACTACTAGCTGCTGTGCACTGACAGCTCCTTGCTTTGCCCCCCTCATGCACGCCACCTCAGCTCTTGTGCGCAGCTCAAACTGCCAGGTCTTGAGCAGAGAGCGCAAAGATGCGGAACCGAGGGCGTCAAGAGCAAAGAGGAGACGGGCGAGTCATGCGGCCTGCTGCCTCACGGGTCCTTGAGGCGGGGGAAACTGGGTGCAGGGTCCATTGGTTGGAACATGACCGCGGTTGCTTTTGCTGATGCCAATGGACTCGTCATTGCCGGCCATGCAGACGAGAGACATCAAGAGCTGGAGGGATCTGGGGTCAAGAGAGCCGCTGCTCTCCCTTGTTGTGGGTCGAGACAGAGTCGGGCAGAGTTGGGGAGAGCGGGCAGCTTGTCTTGTATATATATGTGGATGGCTTGATCTTTCGGCTTCATAACAGCTGAGGAGACCCCCTCATCCTCCGTTTGGTGGCAAATTGCTATTCCTACTTTCCATACCGAGTACAGCTGCTTTCTTCCCTTTTCTGGTGCAGACAGTTGATGGGAACGATGATAGCCAACGACAAGATTTTCGCCAGGAACCTTGAGCCTTTACCAATGGGCCGGCACGACGACATGGACAAAGCGGGAGCATTGACAATTCAAGCCTTTCTTCTTCTTGGCACTGCCCTGATTTCCATTGGCGGACGATTATACGTACGGTGCCGGCGATCAGGAGTGAAGAACCTCGGCCTTGACGACGGGCTTGCCGTTGCAGGAATGGTAAGTCTCACTTCATGCTGCTCTTTGCATTTGTTCATCTATATGCATAGCAAGTACTAATCATGGCTCTAGATCCTGTTTGTGCCCAATGTGGTATTATCACACCTTTTGAGCACGCAGACACAGTGGATGGGCAATCGCTCCGTCATAAACGGTCAAGCCGAGATACAGACGAGCGGCGTTGAATACTACTTGAGGTAATGAGAACCATTCCTTGACCGATCCGAGTCCTCGCGATTCTAACTGAGTGGCTTCAGAGAACTTGGGCCCGAGCTATATCTCTACTGCTGGCTATGCTATTCGGCCGCGTTATGGATGTTCAAGGCAGCCTTCCTGGCATTTATCCTACGTCGAACGGCTGAAGTTGCTAGACGACAAGTCCACCGTTATCTAGGCTTCAGCTTCTTGGTACTTACATATGGAGCAACGACAATAACTCTTCTACAGCATTGCAGGCCGCTGTCACGCTTTTGGCAAGCATACCCAGACTCTGGGCAGCACTGCCAGCCCGCTACCTCGCCGGTGCTAGTATGGGTGTATCTTGGCTTCGACATCATCACGAATTTCTACCTGGCATTTGCAGCTATATCTGTCGCTGCTAGGGAAGGCAAGCCCAGGAGGGACAAGCTTCAGTGGCTCGCAGCGCTGATGTGCGGTCTGTTTGCCATGGGCGCCGCAGTTGCACGGGCTGTCATTCTGTCATTGGTATTATATTTCCTTGCTTCCCCCCCCCCCCCCCCCCCCCCACACACACACACACTTGGTTTCTGTAAGAAATGTAAAACTGAATGTCGATTCATAGTACCACAACCTCGACGCAGAACATGATGCGGAGACTTTGGCGGTTTGGCAGATCTTCACGTTTGTTGCGGCCGCTGGGCTTACAGAGGCCTCCTACCAAGATTACTCTCTTATGAGAAATGCCGATGATGCTTGCTTTAAAGGCTATCCCTACTCGAGCGGTTTCTCCTCCAGACGACCCAGCCTCACCGAGTCGGGAGCGACCATTATTGCCACGCCTGGGCTGGGAGAACTTCACGAGAAACCGGCAGATCTGTCAGTCGAAGAGTTTCTGGTCGATGGGCGTCGTAACTCGGGTATCCAGCGTAAAGTGGAAATTTCGGTATTCCAGGAGAGCTTTACTGTAGCTCCAGAGGAGCCGTGCGACATCTGCGGAAACTACACAAAAAGCTGGGCCCACGACGAGGACGCAAACAAACCCGAGCAGCGAAGCACCTATTTTGGAGGCAACATTCATTTCCATGTGCCAAACTATGGCATCATCTACAAAGAACGGACATAAATCGCCGACTTGACTGCTCTTTAGGGATGCCCTCAGCATTGCATCGGAGTTTGCATACGTCACTTGGTTTATGGGGTAGCTCGGTGTATTGGGACTGGATAGGCTGTCATGGGATTGGTATTATTGGTTTTGGAAGGGTGTATCATATGTTTTACCTTGGCATTTCTACGTTGTTTGGACACAAGAATTCATCAAGGCGCTGCCTTTTGTCTAATCACCCCATGAAAGATGAGTACCCGAAGGCCGGATGAGATGCTGTTTCACCTGATGGTTTTGTCTTTTCCCCCCCACAGCTGATGCGGGTGTCCTTCTTTGGAGCAATCGTTCAAGGGGGTGCGCCGAAGAAGATGGAATACGGTGATGCTATGGAATCGAGTTGAGATGAAAGGCTTCCAGACCCATGCTTTATGCACGTCACGGAACGAAACAACGCTTCGCCCATGGGCTACTTATCGATGGCAGTAGGTATTTTGCGTTGATGATCGAGTATCAGACGCTCTTTCAAATGTATCGCACCACGGGACTCGGGTTAACACATCAATATTGCGGAACGTCTCGTCATTCGATTTACATCGCTCTCTTCACATGCCGCCTCAAAGTGGTTGATCCTTGGTAATTTAGCCACCCTCAATACACCGATCGCCTGTCCTCGGCAGACACCGTCATCAACGTTGACGCTTGTAGGGTATCAATGAACCACCTCATCACGACCGAATGATGGGAATCCAAAATCCGACCCCACGAATGGCACGTGCCCAGGCCGCGAATCGGAGGCGATTTATAGTGGAGCCTTCCTCCAAGAGACGGCCAGAATCTGCCCATTTCTGCGACTTGTGCCTGCCCTGTTTGCGTGTGTGCCTGCTCCTGCTCCTTCCCCCAGGCTGCAGCGCGCGGCCCACCCTCTAAAACACTAAAATATCCCGCTAGATTCCAAAGCAGGCAAGAACAGGACAATCTGAAAAGGCCGCGAGAGCCAGTAAGAACCATGGCCTGCGTTCCTTCCCACTGTCCGGTTCAGCTTTTCGGGGACTTGCCAAAAGTTGACATAAGCTTGCTTCTTGATTCCACTGCAGCCAGCGGCAGGCGCTTCCTCCCAGACCACCTGCCACTTCTTCAGTCACTGACTGACTGATCTTTTTGGGACCGTGGCTTGACGCGATCCGAAAATTTCCTCTCTTCTTCTCTCTCCGATCCGACGTTTTCTCTCACGGTCGAACTGACTCTGGTCAAGCAGCATTAGTTTCTTTATTCACGCTAATATTCTTCTGGATTCTTTCTCGACTCATTCTCTATTACATCGTCGAATTCTTCCTCTCACTCTCTCCAGCTCTTGTAATACTATCGTTTCCAACTGCCCGAGTCCGTCGTCTTCCAGCCTCTCACTCGAAGCACCGCCACTCATTTGTTCTATTTTCAATCCGCCTTGTTCACCCTCATTCAAACGGCTTTTCGCCTCCCCCGCCACCCGCTGCCGTCATCACCCTGTCGCGAACCCTGTCAAAGCGTCCCGTACTAAGCCCGTCGTCTCGCTCTGTCACTCTCTCGCATCGTCGCGTGCCCGCCCATTCGCCGACTTCTCAAGGCTCCAAGGCAGTCTCTCCACGAGAACCGACCGGCTAGGCAGAGAGCCCCTCGGCTGAAAAAGCGCACCCCTGAGCCGAGCGCCTGGTCTGATCTCTCCACCAGAGTCAGACATCGCCTTTTTTTTTCTTGCTTGTTTCATTACATACCTTCCTCACTCGAGTGTTTCGCCTGTTTGATGCCGCTACCATGCCTCTCCTCAGTGGAAAGGGCAACAAGTTCAAGGTCGACCCGCCCAAGATCCGCATCGAAAAGGTCACCATAGAGCGCCCTGCGCCACCGAAGCCGAAGCCGAAGCCCGCTGCTCGACCGTCACTCTCCTCCTCTGCGCGATCATCCCCCGCCCGCCGGCTCTCCCCCAAGGCTTCCTCAGCATCGGCGTTGTCATCAGCGTCGTCTCGAGCAAAGAGCAGCTCGCCGTACCCCTCCTCGGCGGACGAGAGGCGGCTCGACCTGCAGCGCAAACGCAAGGCCCTCAGCGCGTCACAACGCCGATCACCAGCTAGCGATCGCATCGAGTTTGACAAGGACAGCGACGCCGAAGATGATGGATGGATGGACTTGGATTCGCACAAGCGCCAGCGCAAGGCCACGAGCGAGAGCAAGTCGGTTGATTCGAACCGCAAGCTGAAAAGCGAGAAAGCGTTTGAGCGCAAGGATGAAAGGCTGCAGTTCATCCATGCTGTTGACGTCGCCTCGCTCGAGCACAAGTGCGTTCCTATCATGGGCGCGTCCAAAGAGGACGTGGCCATCGAGCTCCAGTATCCCACTCTGCAGCGCCGGGAAAAGTCAGTAAATGTTCCATGGAATCTCTTCCCAGTTTCTTCTCATCTCCGCTCGGCACCTCACCCCTCCTCTCGTTTCGATCTCTTTCGTGTTTCAGTCATCGGATAGGCATGTTCTTTCGCTAACAGGGCAACAGGTTCGAGCTCGTATGGGGCAAGGATAAGATCGACGCCGTGGAAGCGAGCATACGCATAGTACGCCTGGTTGCGGAGACGTATCTCACCGACGCCGAAGCAGAGCCCTTCACCAACCAGAACAACGGATTCATCCGACGACTCGAAAAGGCCTCGAATCGCAACATCCAGGATCTCATGGGCTTCAAGGCCGCACTACGCGAGTACAACGAAACGCTCCTCGCCTTGGTCGAGGACGGCGTCGTCTCCAAGAATCTGGATAACCTGCATGAATTGCCGCCGCACCTCGCTGCCTTCATCCTCGACCAAGTCTATGATCGTACAGTGGCTCCCAAGGTGGAATTACTCTCAAAGTACGAAAATGGAACAGACTATGTCTATGGCGAGCTTCTCCATCCCTTCATTACAAAGCTCCTTGTTGAGCAGACCAAGATGACGTCCGACCAGGTGTTTGTCGATCTGGGGTCGGGCGTAGGTAACGTCGTCCTGCAGGCGGCTCTTGAAATCGGCTGCGAGAGCTGGGGCTGCGAGATGATGGAGAACGCCTGCAACCTGGCGGAGGCTCAAGAGAAGGAGTTCCACGCCCGGTGCTTGCTTTGGGGTCTGGAACCCGGCGAGGTGCACCTTGAACGGGGCGACTTCCGCAAGAACTCTTCGATTCACGACGCTCTGAAGCGGGCTGATGTTGTGCTTGTCAACAACAAGGCCTTTACTTCGCAGCTCAACGACGACTTGATTCGCATGTTCCTTGACCTCAAGTCGGGATGCAAGATCATCTCGCTCAAATCCTTTGTGGCCGACTCCAAGAGCAGCCACAACATCAACGACGTCGGAAGCACCATCCTCGAGGTCGAGGAATGCACGTACCCCGAAGGCTACGTCAGCTGGACCAACGCCGGCGGGCAGTACTATATCTCCACGCGGAAATAGACTAATTAGAGCTTCATCAGCACTGCATAAACACGTCATGTTGAGTATTGTAGAATATAAATCATTGAGTACAAATTGGGAATATGGGTATCTTCTTTGCTTGGATTCTCTCTTCTTCCGATTCCCTTTTCGATCTTTCTGGCGATCTTTTTCTCCTGGGGCTGATTCTTGTTGAGTGAGCGATGTTGGAGGATAACGCTTGTATGAAGGAAATGCGATCATTTCGCAGCGAGACAAATGCTTTTGTAGATGACGAGATGAAACCAAGTTGACAGTACAAGGTGCATAAATAAGAAATGAGAACCATCCTTACCGCCACGAGGGAAGCCGCGTAATTGACTTGCACGTCTCTACTACCGCCCCTTCCCTGACGTCGGCTCGTTTGCGAGGTTCATGGCGTCGGCCTCTTGGGCCATGCGCTTCATCCACCGATCGATGAGCTCGTTGTTTTCCCGCTTAACCCGGTCCCTCTCCTTTTCAGCCATGGAGAGCTGTAGGTTCAGTGCAATCATTTCATCTTGGACTTGCTGTGCGTGCGTGTTAGTGAACTGGATACTGCCGAAAAAGGGAGGGTGGGAATCTCGTTGGAGCGTATGAGGCCAAATACCTCGACTAGTTTTCGTTTCTCTTTGAGCTCGTATTCCCGATCATGCACCTTGGTGGCGAGGAGTGACCTTTCAGCAGTGAGGTCCTTGATCGTCCGTGAGTCCTGCTTCGTTTTCAAGCGCAGCTTATCTAGTTCCTCCTCCGCGGCCCGTAGCCGCGCCTCGGCGACGCCTTTGGAGCGCAAGGCCTCGGCTAGGTCGAGCCTCAGCTGGGCGATGCCTGGGTCGTTGGCTGCCGCCTGGCTGGGCTGGAGGGAGGGTGATCTTGTCCGGCTGGTGCCTAGGCCGGCGAGTTGTGATTCCAGGGCGAGCTTCTCCGCTTCTAGGGATGAGATGCGGTCTGCCATTTGTGAGCCTGGGAGAGATGGTCAGCTTAATGGATTGTGGGAACAAGTGTGGGTGAGTGAGCGTTGGGGCGAACAGGCTTGGACGAGCTCCATGTTTACGGGGTTGTTGAGCTCTGATTCCCGGAGGGAAGAGAGATATTCGTCTCTCCAGTTTGGCATTGTTGAAGACAGACGATGTGAGAGACGATGTGAGGAGCTCTGACAGGAGGATGGCTATCAAAGAAGTTTGGGCTGTCTCTGGACGTCTCTGGATGGTGAAAGCTAAAGCTGTTTGTCGATGAGATGGTATCGTATGGAGGGAGCCTCTGGACGTTGATGAGCTTGGTGGGGGTTGTGATACTCTTTGTACCAACTAAGTTGACAAGCTGTAGCGGTCATTTGCGGGATGATGTGATGATGTAAGTGACGGGGTACGTACCCAGGAGAAGTCGGGGGCTGCCTTGTCCCCTGTTTAGCCGACGAGCGACCTGCTCTCTCATTGGATGAAGCTATGGCTAGGTAGCTCCGGTCTCTTGAACCTCCCAGCCCAGCAGCTTGTCACTCACATTCACCTCTCACTCTCAGCATCGCCAAATCGTCGGTTAGACCTTCAAATTCGCCGTCGCCGTCAGCAATGAGATGACATGAGATAGACAAGCAGCATGGACACGCTTCACGCAAGAGCCGACTGGGAACGCGTGGGCGACAAGTGGTTCCGCAAGACGGAGCAGTATACCGCCGTCTTCGGCCAGGACCTGGACCTCGATGGCTTCATCGTGACGGGCGCGCCATACGCCGGCGCTCTGGCGCTGTGGCGGGACGACACGAAGCTGCAGGCGCACAAGACGGGCCAGTCATCGAAGCCTGCCATCGACATCTACAGCCTGGCGGGCAAGAAGCTGCGGTCCATACCCTGGGACAGCGGCCCCATCAAGGGCCTGGGATGGTCCGAGGACGAGGCGCTGCTGGTGGTTGCGGCGGACGGCAACGTGCGGTGCTACGACTTGCAGGGCGACTTTAGCCACTTTTCGCTGGGCCATGGGGCGGATAACTTTGGGGTTGAGTCGTGCCGGTAAATCTGCCAAAGAAGCCCTTGGAGAGGGGCAGAGAAAGCAGAGTGGAGAGCTGAAACGGTGACTTTTCTAGGTTCTACGACACCGGAATGGTGGCCCTGCTGGGGAACAACACACTGGTGACGGTCTCATCGTATGCAGAGCCGCGGCCAAAGGCGCTTGCGTCCGTGCCGGCCGGCGAGATTCACTCGTGGGCCATCGTCTCGCCCAACCACACCCTGTCGCGCTCTGTCGAGGTTCTGCTCAGCATGGGGACGACTGTCTATGTGGTCGATGCCACTGATTGCGAGGACAGATTCCTTGACGTTGGGCCGTTTTCACATATTAGCGTTTCGCCAGACGGGCGGTTTGTCAACTTGTATGGCATGAACGGCAAGGCGCACGTCATATCAAGCAATTTCCAGGAGAGACTGTTTGAGCACAACTCGAACTCGCACACACCCCCCAAGTATGTCGAGTGGTGTGGAAGCGATGCCATCATTGCTTGGGAAGACGAGGTTCACATCATTGGACCTGGCGATGAGTCCTCATCCTACATCTACGACAGCACCCGGGTGCATGTTATCTCTGGTAGAGCAACCGGACAGTGTGTGAAGGGTGTTTTCGTGCTAACAAGAGAACAGAACATGATGGCGCTCGGCTAATCACAAACGACTTCTGCGAATTTCTCGAGAGGGTACCTGATGACACTCTTCAGGCATTTGGGGCCGCCTCAGAATCATCACCCGCGTCCATTCTGCTCGATGCTGTGCGGCAGCTGGAGCTACAATCTCCCAAAGCAGACGACTACATTCAACTCATTCGGCCCAACCTGACTGAAGCTGTCGACACGTGCGTTAATGCCGCCGGCCGAGAGTTCAACCCACAGTGGCAGAAGCGACTGCTCAAGGCTGCGTCCTTTGGCAAGTCGGTATTGGACATTTACAACAGCGACGAGTTTGTGGACATGTGCGAGACCTTGCGCGTTCTCAATGCCGTGCGGAGCTACGAGATTGGGATGCCGCTGTCATTTGAGCAGTACCAAAGGTTGACGCCTGAGCGACTCATCCAACGACTTATTCAGCGGCACGAATACTTGCTGGCACTCAAGATTGCTGGGTACCTGAAATTGCCGACGGACCGAATCTATGTCAGCTGGGCTTCTACAAAAGTCCGCGTTGGTGCTCAAGACGATGATACCATCTGTCGACTGGTCGTCGAGAGGCTCTCCGGCAAGCCCGGAATATCCTTTGAAGAGATTGCACGAGCTGCGTATCACGAAGGACGAAGCCGCTTGGCCACGGAGCTCTTGAATCACGAGCCCCGCGGAGGAAGGCAAGTGCCTCTTCTGCTAGACATGGAGGAAGACGAGCTCGCCCTGGACAAGGCCATCGAAAGCGGGGACACCGACCTCATTCTCTTTGTTCTCACGAAGCTCAAAAAGAAACTGCCGTTGGCGTCCTTCTTCCGGGTAATCAATGTCCGACCAACGGCAACGGCACTGGTGGAATCGGCGGCTCAGCGAGAAGGAGACAACACCCTGCTCAAAGACCTGTATTACCAAGACGATAGACGAGTTGACGGCGCCAACGTCTTCATCCGCGAGTCGCTGCGGCAGCCCGATGCTCGCACTGCGTCGGACAAACTGGCCCTCGCGGCCAAACTCCTCTCCGAGTCCAAGGAGCATGCAGCGGAAGTCCACGTGCTCAAGGAGACGACGCAGCTCCTTCGCGCACAGGAGGCGCTGGATCGCGACCTGACGGATTCCTTCTTGGGATTGAGTGTCAATGAGACAATCTTCAAGCTCATTCGACTGGGCTATTACGGAAAAGCCAAGAAGATTCAGAACGATTTCAAAGTGCCGGAAAAGGTCGGCTGGTGGATCAGGTAAGTCCTCCTCCCTTCTTTCGAACCCTTTTTCTTTTTTTTTCCCTATGCGATATACCGGCACAACGGGACATGGCGGCTGACTGGCGGCGGGCGGTGTGCCCCTTGCCGTGTCGATAGGCTTCGGGCGCTTGTCGCAAAGCGGGAATGGGGTGAGATTGAGGATATCGCAAAGGCTAAGAAGAGTCCGATCGGATGGGCGGTAAGTTTAAGGTTTCTCACTCGTCATATCTTACCGATCTGAACCACATGGGCGGGAATGTGAGATGCAGGGCGTATGGCGTATCAGTAAGGAGATGGTCGGCTAACGTGCGTGTTCATTTGGCAGCCCTTTTTCAACCTCACGCTGCAGGCGGGCAATCCGCGCTTGGCGGCAGTGTTTATACCCAAATGTACCGGCTTGGAGCCCGGGGAGACGATTACCATGTATGAGAAGTGCGGCATGCGAGTCAAGGCTGCCGAAGAGGCTGTCAAGTTGAAGGATGCAGCGGCATACGAGAGGTTGCTGGAGGCGGCGGGGAGAGATACGACAGAGGGGAAGGAGATTGAGAGGGTTGGCGGCGCGGTGTTTAAGAAGTAAAGAGGTGGTGGGACTGCCTCTCTTCTCTTGATTGCATTTTCGGAACTCGCTGGGAGCTTGCTGCATGGGCATGGCATGCGTATATGACTTTACGACTTGGCGATGGAGATTGCTGTTCTAGAGAGTACTGATAATATATTGCGCACCTATAAATCATTTGGTGTATTCCCAAGTATGACATATCTTCTCACCGAGCGGAACCTAGGAGGTGGTAGTGATTCTTCAATTTCTCGTCAGAGTTACTGCTTGTGCATCCATTTTTCACACATAAAGGTCAAGCGACACAAGTGATTGATCGATCCCACGTCGGCCTTTGTTGCAGGAGCCCGAAAAGTTCGAGGCAAGGCTCGGACGGACGTCTTGCAAGGATGATTCGAAGGATTTGGGATTCCTGGTGTGCCATGTTACGATCCGCTGGAAGGAAGATTGCAGGAATCTTGCGGGTCGATTGGGATGGGTTTCTAAGGGGTTGGAAGGCTTCGAGTTATTCGTAAGAGGTATGTGCTTTTGAGTGTTTTGTGCCGACGGTCTGTGATACATTGTGCCCTTTTTTTTTTTGCCTGAGGGGGTCGTGTCATGACTTGTGCCTGACTCTGAATTTCGCCCCCATTGCATCGAGCTGATGATATGGTAGAGCTGGGTCATTACAGGATGAATATACGCATGCTCGGATACGGGATGCCTCTATATGTGGACAAACTCGAAGGCAGAACCGTGAGGCGGACTGGGCTGCTATCTGGGCAGGTCGTCTGGTGTGAAAGGCACGACGCACAGAAAGCTTGAAAGTTTCAAGGAACGAATACTAGGAGCCTTTGCATGGATGGGACTTGGGGCCAACGTTGGGGGGAAGAGGATTGATTTTGTACACTGGGAGTCCAAGGGAAGAGTTTTGTATTAAGCCTTGCGTAAGTAGACTTACACCCCTGAGGGGGACTTAAGGGCTGGGCTAAGGCGAAGATTGATGAGATCAGAGAAGACAAGCAAGAGATGAGTTTGGCCGTGAAGGTTGTTCCTTGATTGAGTGGTACTACCTAGTAGTGTTGCAGTAGGAGTAGCAGGAATGAAGGAAGCACCGCCAACCTCGTATGTACTTCGTACAAGGATGCGAAATGGACACGGCTCTACGTCAGCCTCCGCGGTGATCCAGAGGGAGATTGGCGAAGAGATGCCTCTCCGGGGGTACGATGAGCTTGTGCTCGTATTCCTGCGTACCACTTTTGCTGGCGATTATGTCGGCCTTGGTCGGCTTACGGACATTTGAATTCTACGAAGCATCGTGATTCAAGAGGTGCTATACTTTGTATGTATTATTGTGCAGATGGATTGTGCAGGCATTTACGCGTTTATTTGTCTTGTTGGATTCACCCCATTTGACGTGAGTTATAGAGTAGCCTTACTGAAGCACTTCATCGTTGGGCTCATCTTGCCTCGTGGTGGTTGGGGCTCTTCATGAGACCTTTGATTCTACCAGGGTACTCTAGGGCATTGCTGCTTCTCTACCCCAGCGCGAGCTGCCAAATGTGTGAGCATGTCTCTTGTCTGGACTGTTTGTCACGTTTCTGCTTCACGGGATGCCTCGCACTTTGGTCGGTGTAGAGTACTATTGGATCTTGTTCTCGTCATGCGTTGGATATGGTAATCTGGGCGAATGACTCGTGAGGAGGGTGGATTCAAACGCTTCTCTCCCCCGCACGGAGAGGGAAGATGCCCCATTTACGTACATACATGCACATCACTGCCTGTAAGTAACAATCTTACCTGGATGTGTTACTGGGTAGTGTCGGGACGTGGTGACGGTGCCGACGAGGTAGGAATCAGGACTCTTCGTGAGTTACGTCTCGCGTGAGGAGGGGAGGGCAAGGATTTGGGAGGAGGAAGAAAACAAGGCCATGGCCATGGAGCGATTTGTATCGGATGATGCGAGTTGGAATCGACGCACCCCTGGTCTGGTGATGCGGAGGTGCGTGTAGATGGAGTGGGGGGACTACTGCTGTGGCTAGTAATATTGATACATAGTAGGAGGAGGGTTGTGTTGTGTGTATGCTAACAGAGTGATGGCTCTTCGACTGCCATCTCTTTTTGAGTGATGTATGATTCCTAAATCAGGAGATGAACAACTTTGTTTGCCCCATTCTGTAATGATGCAGAATGTAGATGGCATGAACTGAATAGAGTGATACACAAAGTCTTCATAGGTGTAAGTGTAGGTGCAGATGCACGCAAGCAGTACCAAATACTCGTAACCCAGACTCTGGAGGTAAAGTCGCAAAAATAGCGTGGCGTCTGATTGCACGCAGAGAAGCCATGTGATTGCCTCCCGCTCGATGGGGGATGAGATGGTGGCGATGTGGTTGGTTGGAGAAACGTTTCTAGTTGGTGTGTTCTTCCACTGCAGTAGTAGGTAGTTGGGGGCTGCGGGTCCGGGGGGGGAGGAGGAGGATGAGGAGGTCAGAGGGGATGGGGTTATGTGCCAAGTATCTGATCTCATGAGGAGTTTTTCTTGGACGTGTGACGGGAGACCGAGAACGAGAAGATGAAGATGAACTGGTCGCATGCATGTGTGCAGCGCACGAGTCAAGGCGAAAGGACAGGGGGGAGGAAATACATACTGATGTTATGTATCGTCTGGGCTGAAAAGTCGGGACCAGGGGGGTTGTGACTTTTCACATTCAGGCTGTCTAGCCTTCTTGATCCAAAGTGGTAGGGTAATATTGGTGATTCTGATGGGATTCAGACCAAAGCTGCTGTGACTTGCAATTTAGGTAGAGTATCCATTCTATGGCTTTTCGGATTTTCAATATGTAATTGCTGTGAATTTGACAGTTGAACCTCCCCCCTGTTGCAGGCGATACCATGTTGCACGCGGGGTGGGTTCGAGGCAGGGGAAACGACAAAAGGTCGACTATCGACGGAGCACTTTGTACGGGGAGAATCAAGATGGCCTGTTTTCCCGGTTGTGAGTTGAATTTGGCGGCCGAGGGTCAAAAAGGAATGGGTATTGTATGCTAGGAGAATGTGGTGGACAGTACGGCCTAGTATCATGCAGTCAGCTGCATTTGTCTACGTTGTGTGAAGAATACCTACCGCACGGATCGTGATAGCAGGGTTAGGATAAGGTACCAGGGGTTTCTTGTTGGGACAAATGCAGCTGCAGGAGTGAATTGAACTTTTGTATCAATAGTTTGGCTGCCAAAATGGAAGCACGAGCCATTGACGAATTGAATCCGTCTCGATAACATTATCTTTCTTTTTCCTTTCCTTTCCTTTTCTCCTTTGTAATCTATTTGTGGAATCCGCTCTCTATCTTATTGTCTCGGATCTCGCTGGCATGCCCGGCTCAATTTCGATGAGCTTCCAAATATAGATGTTCTGATCAGAGACATGAAAGGATTGTTGAGGCTAGTCCCCAGTGCTCGATGCTATCCCCTGAGAAAGAGGAGAAGAAAAGGAAAGTCGTTCTAGTAATTAGAAAAGCTTGGCTTCGATCTCCCGAGGCTTCGGATGGATTAGCATTGCAAGGTGGAAAGCCGTATACATGCATACCGACCAGCTTGTATAGGTAGCTAGGCTTGGTAGGCAATCCGCCGCAGTCAGACAGAAAAATCGCGATTCAGATGCTACTACGAAGCACGGCAATTGCGTTTTCGTAGCTTGTGTCTTTTGATGCGGAATGCAATGCCGTCAATCTCTTATGGTTCAGGGCTCAGGAGAGACAAGGGGAGGCAGAAAGGCAGCGAATGTCTCGCCGAAGGCCTTGTGCGACTATTTGTGTCATTCTCGGAGTGGCTGCATGCGTGGGGTTTAGTGCCGAAAGGGAGAGAAGAACACATGCTTGGTGAAAGAGAGAGGAAGAAGCTGAGGGCGTGCGTGTAAGAGCCTCGCAGTAGGGAATGTCTCAGAGGAAGCCAGTCGGAAAGCTGGGGTGAGCCAAGCGCCACGAGGGGGAGACGGACGGGCTGACGAGAGCAGCTTGGTGTTTAGATGAGGTGAATGTGGCAGCGTTATAGTACTCGCATGCAATTCTACCTATGTATGAGAACATGATGGACTGAACTGAGTGTATGAGCGTGCTTAATGGGTAAGGGGGGGGGGGGGGGGGGGGGGGAAACGCTTGCGATTCTTCAGCATCCGACGTTTCGTGGTGCAAGCAGTTGTGGTATGGCGCACAGCATGTTGGCTCGTGATGTAAGTCACACACGATGCCTGATGGTCTGCATCTGCTGGACCTGGTGGTGGTTCTTGGTCTTTTCTCTCATCCTGGCAGGGAAGAGATGCTCAGATGCTCTCTTGCCAGGACTGGGAAGCGAAACAGAGTGAGTGATATACTGGCCGGCTGCTACATACACTGGCGATGCTCGACTATAGGTGGCAGCACATGGTTGTGTCTGGTGATGGGCCGAGGCTGGATATTCCATGGTCTCTGCGGCGTCACGAGCTGGGCTGGAGCTGTCATGAAGGGACATGGTCGAGAATGGCCTGATTTCCGGAGCTGCTGGTCGATGATTGGTCGAGTTGCGCAGCTCCTGTCGAATAGATGATGAGTTGAGAGAGTTATAGCCTGTCAAGCCTGAGTCCTGAGAACCCAACAGGTTCGAGTAAAGCAATATCTACCTAGGTATGTTGTACATCCCGACGTCGACGTCGACGGCTTGTCAGCTGTATAATCAAATGAGAAGCCAAGATTCCAATTCGCGGCAAGGGGAGCGCCACAGAGGCAAAAAAGATGAAGGGACACTCGATTCGTGTCTGTGCTGATGGTCCAAGTCGCTGGGCTTGCTGGAACCGAGACTGGTCGAGGCCTGGCGGGGGCGTGGCGCTGGACAGGGTGGACTGCAGAGGTACCTGGACCGGGGGCAGACATTTGGCGGTGCGCGGGTGCAGAAGCTGCGTCTTGTGCGTGTAGAGGACGGGTACCGTGCGTCGTCGAGAGCCGGGGGGGCTGGCGCTGGGCAAACACAGCTTCGAGGCCTTTTGCAGCAGGACTAAGGCAGTAATGATACAGGTGACTTTTGCATTTGCGCTCGACTTTGACGAGTGCTAGATGATCAGATGCCTGTTTGACGACCTGTCCTGCGGTGACGCGAGGCTCTCTTGTCCAGCTTTCTGCCCACTCATTGTTGGAATTCCTCCCCCCCTTTTGCCCTTTTCATCCAATGTCATTCCCTCTAGTACAGTGCCTAGGTACGGTATACCAACCAAGGCCAACCTTGAAGCTCCCTCCAGTACCTGCATCCAAGCCGACATCACGCACACGTCACAAGCAGCTGAGCGTGCCGCTGACGGCTCCCAAGGCCTCTCTTCCTGTCTAGCCCGCCCTACTATCAATGTATTAGAGGGTGCTGATCACAGCGACAGCCAACCCCCCCTGCAGCCACCGCTAGCAGCCCAGCGCCGTTCGCTAGTCTTGACGCTGAACCAAACCGGAATCAGGGGACCTCAGACATGGATTTGATTATTGCCCGCGCACAGAGAGAGAGAGAGAGAGAGACAGAGAGAGACAGAGAGAGACAGAGAGAGACAGAGAGAGACAGAGAGAGACAGAGAGAGACAGAGAGGCATATACGCTCACCCCCCTTTGCCGCATTCTTCTGACTGGTGCTGAACCAGGTACCTACCTGCGAGTAAGTTGTTACTGAGTCTAGCAGGTACTGTACATAGGTAGGTTGTGAGAATGAACTTCAACAAGGAGGCAAAGAAGGAGGTTGAAAGAGGGAAAACAGGCACAGTCTGGCCCTCTTCGTCGTCGTCGTACATCCATGGATCTGATGGACCTTGAAGTTGCCTTGGCCCTGCAGCCCGTGCCGTCGCGGTGGATCTCGACACGGTACGGGGGAGGTACCTGGAGGTACGAAAGTGCCACGGCGTCGGGCTGAACCGACCCTGACGTTTGCGTGCTGCACGCGGCCTTTCCAGGTTTGGTCGGTTGATGGAATTGGCACCCTCGGATCGATGGGGTAGCGCCCCGTACCTGCTACTGTACTTACTGTACACCTCCAGCAGCTGGGGCTGCCATACAAACTGTAAATACCGCCATCCCCCTCGCGAGCATCATTCGACGTACATACGTCTGTGTACCGAATAGAACCACCTCCACCTGGCACGTATCCGATATTCCTCGCCATTCCGTCTTGTTGCGTCGCCAGCCCTTTTTTTTTCCCCTTCTTCTGCTGTTCTTCCGCTTCTGTTGCAATTTCTTTCTCCTCCTCCTGCACAGCTGCAATTAACGGCTAATCTCTCTTCCCCCACACCGGCATCACGATCGCCCAGCCGACTCTCGACACCATCGACCTGACCGGCCACCACCACTTTCAGATTTCGCCAACGCTCACGCGCCGCTTCTTCAGCCTCGTTCGGCCGTCACCCAACCTGTTGCGTGATGCGAACAAGACGCCGCCAGAGCACAACGAACAGGCAGTGAATTTGTTCAAAAAGAAAGCAGAGCTCAGCTCCCTCGCGAGTGCTTGCTTTATTACACTTCTCCTTCGCCTTCTCCGCCGCCTTTCGCCTCGTCGAGGTCACCTACCTAGGTACCTACCCATTGTTCGCCTCTCCGGTCCATTCCCTGTTCAGTAACAGGTGCAAAACTCGCCGTTTGCAAGGGTCCACGTCCTTTGTCCCGGACCTGTCTGTCTGTGCCTCTTGTCTGTTCACAACGGCGCGCCTCCCCCTCCACTAGGTATAATAATCCCGGGAGCCTACCCTACCAACCTTGCCTGCAGCGGCCTTGGCACCGTGCGACTCGTGCCATTATTTATTACGACGCTGCCTGGACAACTGATTTCCCCTCGTATGCGGAGAGCAAATAAAGGAGGAGACGCAGACACAATTTCCCAGCTTTTCCTCTCCTTTGCCTCGTTGGCCTGCGCGGCTTGCGACACTGGGCTTCTCTTCTCTTGATTCAGTCTGCTCTTATCTGCTTCGGGTTATCTTACCAAGAGGTCCTCTGGAGTGCTTGGCTCCATTGCCGTCTGAGGCCGTAGAGCTCTGACAGACCCCGAACCACCCCTGCTTACACTGGACACAGCTGCTGTCCAGCACCAGACCCCCGACTCATCAGCGCTCGATCCCCCAAATTTACAGCAGGCGCCTCCACTGAGGAGCCGCCTCCGAAGAGAGAAAAAAAAAAAAATCCAGCCCAGCAGACCGCGTCCAGCTGCAGCGGAAATGTTCTCGCAGCCAGTGGTCCCATCACCGCCGCCTGGGCTGACACCCTCGACGAGCCTGCCCTCGCCTTCTAGAACAAGCCGACTGCGAGGCCTCAGCATCTTGCGCAACTACACGCACAACCATCTGCTGTCGCGTGACAGCAGCCACCACGCCGTCGGCACCAGCAACAGCAACAGCACCGGCAACGGCAATAGCAATAGCAACAGCAACAGCAGCGGCGGCAGCTCGCCCTCAACCAGCCAGTCTGGTAACAGCCTCACGCGCTCCGTCAGCTACTCCCCCGGAGCCACGACGACGACAACCACGACAACGACAACCACGACAACGACGACAAACGCCTCGGCCTCAATCAACACCAACCGACTGACGCTGGTGGCCACATCTCCCGCCTTGGCCACTACGTCCCCGTCACGGGCCGCGGACGCTCTCGCCAGCTCTTCAGCCCAACCCGGCGCCTCCTCCTCCTCATCCTCCTCCTCCTCGGCCTCGTCGCCGGCTGTCGAGACGCCCTCCGGCACCGCCGAGCAGCCCGCCATGGCCCGAGCCAACGAGGGCTTCGGCTCGTCCGACAGCCAGCCGTCCATCCGCTTCTCCGCCTACTACGACCCCCGATCCACGCGGCCGTCGTTGTCCTTTCCGCCCATTTCAAGGACGCTGTCCAACGGCACCGAGGTCATCCGCGTCGGCCGATACTCTGAGCGCGACACCCAAGCCCTGGCCGGCGCGTCCGGCCATTCTGCCTCCGGGGCGCCCGTGGGCTTTAAGAGCAAAGTGGTCAGCCGTCGGCACTGCGAGTTCTGGTACGAGGACGGCAAGTGGTACATCAAGGACGTCAAGAGCTCGTCCGGCACATTCCTCAACCACATACGATTGAGCCCGCCCTCGCAGGAGAGCAAGGCCTTTCCCGTCAATGATGGCGACATTGTCCAGCTCGGCATTGACTTCAAGGGGGGAGAGGAGATGATTTTCCGCTGCGTCAAGATGAGGCTGGAGCTCAACCGCGGGTGGCAGAATAAGCCAAACACGTTCAAGTGAGTCCATCAGCGAAGAGCAGATGTGCTCTCCTTCCCATGGCATTATTCGGACTATTGGCTAACATCTCTGCTCAGCATGGCCGCTCATAAGAGGTTGCGTACCATGGCGACTAACGGAGGTGGCTCTGTTTCGAGTTCAAATTCCCAGGACTGCTCCATCTGTCTCAACTCCATTGCTGTAAGTGATGGCCTCTTCTGTTTTCCGTGCCTTTTGCGCTGCAACTTGTCCGTCCTGATAACTAACATGTCTTTCTTCTTCCAACAGCCGTGCCAATCGCTCTTCGTTGCTCCTTGCTCTCACACGTGGCACTTCAAGTGTGTACGCTCTTTGCTCACCTCGCCGCAATACCCCATCTTCATCTGTCCCAACTGCCGTGCTGGCGCCGACTTGGAAGCCGACGTCGAGGACGCTGGCGAGGAATGGCAAAATATCGACGAATTCACAGCCCCCAGCGACGCGGTGCCCCCTACCGTTGTTGAGACGCTCGCTCCGGAAGTTGTGCCGCCACTTGCCCCCCTGACCGAAGATCCGCCCGAGGCGACGGTACAAGAAACAGACGCCATGGATGTCACCGTCAACTTTGCTGCATCGGGCAGTCCGACGGCGCCGCACGCAACCTCAGACCCGTTGCCCATTAGAAGTCGGTCCTCGGGTGCCGGTCGTGCGAGTCATTTACGCGAGAACGGAACCCCCTCGCCACCTGGCAACGGGACTGAGGGGCTCATTACTCCGAGAAACAACGCAGGCCCCTGGGTCTTTGACGGTACGGCAGGCCGACGGCCAGCCAGCGACAACGGCGAGATGCCGAGCCTCGATTCTGCAGCAGACGCCGACACGACCACGCACGAGTCCAGCGACGACGCTGCCAGCCGGTAGCACCAGGTCGAGCAACCGATGAGCATTCTGATCGCGGTGATGCTGTTATACGCCGATATCGTCTTCCTACGGTGGTATCTAATACTGATGTATCGGTCTGCGTGTTTCCTCTTCAGATTCCCCATGACAGCCTGGGCATTGGCGCAAACGCCCGTCGCGTCAGTCTTGTTCGACTTGATCTGCGGCGGCGGTTTTGTGCTTCTCTTCATGCCCTAACTCTTCTACACCGCCTTGTCATTTATCTCCGTTTCTTTTTTTGTTCATATCTATATATGTCTTTCGTTGTCTGTCCACGTTTGGATTGCCGCGCGTCTCCATGAACCGCGAAACAGACTTTTGGCGTCTGGCGTCACGATATAGCATGGCTCATTCCAGCCGCAAATGGGAGGGTGGAAATCATCTTTAGCAACGGGCAAGCTAGCGGGTTATGGTTAGAAAGCTTCAATTTTGAATTTCCGCACCCGTTTCCTCACCCTCTCCCCTGTTTTCCGAGTGTATACCTACTTGTCTCACTCGGCGTTCTGCTTTGGGACTCTTGGCAAGGGGTGAGCGAGCTGGTCGCCGCTCTGGGTGCATCTTTGTTTAATCGAATGCTACGCAGTCATTGCACGGCATCTTGATGGGCGTTTGTGGAGTATGGCGACGGAGATGGCTACGGCTTCGACCCAAAGCACGCGAGTTGCAGAATCTGGGTGTGGCAACAACTTGGATGTACATATGGGAGAGGGCGGAGAGGGAAAGGAAGCCCAGTTCCTACCCTGCATATACAGAAAAGGCGCTCTGGAAGATACCTGGTTCGTTTGAGAGCCGTAATCAGACAGCCGAAGCTTCTGTTGACTCAAAATGATGTCAAAGTATGACGGTGCGGCAGCTAGAGACCATAAGCAAGAGCCGACAAGACGTGATCAAACAGGTGCTTGGATCGTCTTTGCCTTTTCTTGTTAAAGCTCTTGTTGATTTGGCAGTAGTCTCCTAGATAGTACCACTTGTCAACCATAAATACAAGTAGGTAGTGAACAACAAAAAAAAAATGATGTCTCATTCGGTGAGGTGAATTACACCGACGACATGGTCATGAATCTCCCCGAGATGCAGGCATTCCCAACTTGCCGTCGTTCCCGCCCGGTCGGAGCTCCGGCGCCGGGATGATCCGACCTATCGCCGAGATAAAGCGATAAGACTGAAATGTGACGGCACCACAATTTTCCCGCGCCGTCTTCAGTCAGTCATTCAACGCCGGACGAACTGCAAGCTGCTCGCCATCACTGCCATTTGCGCTTCACAAATCTTTTGTCTCTCACATTGCGAGAAATTCTGCCATTTATTGAGGGGACGGCAGAAGAGAAGGGAAAGACGAGGCTTCGACAATGTTGCGACAGGTTGCTGCTCGGCTGCAGCCGAGGGCGAGGGCCCAGGGCTCGAGGCTGCTGAGTACGCAGAGCAGGTTTGGAGCCGTCAAGCCGCTGGTGCCGAGGCGGACGATGGCGACGGTGCACATAGAGGGAATTCACAAGGTTAGTAACTTGGAGCACATCGTCTATCCGATTGGGGAGCGGAGGGCTAAATGATCATGACAGGAGCCTACCGAATTGGACGAAATCACAACACTGCCAAACGGCCTGCGAGTCGCCTCGGAAGCCCTCCCGGGCTCCTTCTCCGGCGTGGGCGTCTACGTCGAGGCCGGCTCCCGGTTCGAGAACGAATCCCTGCGCGGCGTGTCCCACATCATGGACCGGCTGGCGTTCAAGTCGACCTCGAAGCACTCCGCCGACGAAATGCTGCAGCGGGTCGAGACGCTTGGGGGCAACATTCAGTGCGCCTCGTCGCGCGAGAGCATGATGTACCAGGCCGCCACATTCAACAGCGCCGTGCCGGAGACGGTGGCCCTGCTGGCGGAGACGATCCGCGACCCGCGCATCACGGACGACGAGGTGGCCGAGCAGATCGAGACGGCGCGGTACGAGATTGCCGAGATCTGGAGCAAGCCCGAGCTGATCCTGCCGGAACTGGTGCACACGGCGGCGTTCAAGGACAACACGCTGGGCAACCCGCTGCTGTGTCCGGAGGATCGCCTGGGGAGCATCAACAGGGATACGGTACAGCTGTACAGGGACCTGTTTTACCGGCCGGAGAGGATAGTCCTGGCCTTTGCCGGGGTGGAACACGGCACCGCGGTTAAGCTGGCCGAGGAGTTCTTTGGCGACATGAAGGCGACGCTGCCGAGGACGGGTTCGGAATCGAGCCTCAGCTCTCTTGCTAGCGACGCCTCATCATCAGCATCATCCTCATCTTCCTCATCCAGCTCCACCTCTTCTTCATTAATGTCCAAGATTCCCCTCTTCAAGAACATCTCCACATCTGCATCCCGAAACGCTTCTCTTCTTGTTCCCCCCTCTGAAGAAGAAATTCGCCAGCCTTCTCGGTACACCGGCGGATTCCTCTCACTCCCCCCTCAGCCGCCATCACTCACGGGCACCAACTTTACACACATCCACCTCGCCTTTGAGGGACTACCCGTCGCTTCAGACGACATCTATGCGTTGGCGACGCTGCAGACGCTGCTCGGTGGAGGCGGATCGTTCTCTGCCGGCGGGCCGGGCAAGGGCATGTACTCTCGTCTGTACACCAACGTGCTCAACCAGCATGGCTGGGTTGAGTCATGCGTCGCCTTCAACCACTCGTACACGGACTCGGGCCTCTTTGGCATCTCCGCCTCTTGCCTGCCGGGCCACACGTCTGCCATGCTGGACGTCATGTGCCAGGAGCTGCGCGCGCTGACGCTGGAACGGGGCATCTCGAAGCTGCAGGAGGGCGAGGTGACGCGCGCCAAGAACCAGCTGCGGTCGTCTCTGCTGATGAACCTGGAGAGCCGGATGGTCGAGCTCGAGGACCTGGGCCGGTCGGTGCAGGTGCATGGGCGCAAGATCCCCGTGCGGGACATGTGCCGGCGGATCGAGGCGCTGACGGTGCGGGACCTGCAGCGGGTGGCGAGCATGGTGATGGGCGGCGCGGTCAAGAACCCCGGCAACGGGAGCGGCGCACCGACGGTGGTGGTGCAGGAGGCGCAGGCGTACGGGGTGACGAGCCATACGATGTCTTGGGATCAGATTCAGGATCGCATCGACGGGTGGAAGTTGGGGAGGAGGGCTTGAGGCTCACACAATCACGAGCTTGTCTAATGGCTATCTTGACGAGGTGATTTGAAAAGCAAACCAGAGGGGGATGATAACGATGATACTAGCATAAACATGGCATATATCGGCGCAGTGATAGGGGGGAGATGTACGTGTACAAATATAGGAAGGGAGGAGAGGATGATGATGATGTGTAAGAATAGTGATGGAGGCGCGCTACTATGTAACGTTATTGGGATACCATGTGCTCAATTATAGATTCTTGAAGTGATGCCTATACGCGAATGACTTTTGGTGTTGGTGAATTTCTGCAATGAAGATGATGGGTTGGCGAGACGGGTAAGCATATGTATATCAGCAGCGTTGGGGTAAGTAATGTAAGTAATCATCTTTTGCTAGATGGCCTCGATAATGGAGTCATATTCTAGTATTGTGTTTGAAGTCAGGTCAAGTAAGGAATAGCTTTGTAAAACTAACAAAGGGGGGTATCTGTAACATCTATCGCTAACAACTGTGTAAAGACAAACTACACTCTATCCCATCAAGACGCCTCCTCGTGCACGTCGTCGTCAGACACAGATGCCACCAGACTCTCCCTGGCGTCTCGAAGGATGGTCTTCATCCGCTCGTACAGCCCCTCATCTGGTTCTATCCATGGCCTGCCATCCGGGAACACGACTCGCCTCAGCCTGTTCACCCACGGCACCAGCGGTCGATAGGATGGAGTAACATGGTCCTCCATCATCCGGAGAAACACGCCCTCATTAGTGATGAACCCAGTCTTTAGGAGGGCAAGTTTAGAATCCTCCATGTAATTCCATTCTTCGTAGTACCGCGTTGCCCCTAAGGAGCTGCCCGGACCGGTATAGTGTACACATATCCAGTAGATGACCCAGAAGAAGGATTCAAGGTCATGCATGAAGGAGTGCTGGTCGCCTAGGAGCACTCCGATGGCCATGAACGCTCGCGTCCCGGTCTTCTTCTCCGCCCCTGAGGCGCTGGTCCGTGCTTCTTGTATGGCAAGGTCGAGGTCGATCAAGAAAGCGCGCCGTGAGGGCGCGTCTTCCTCCTCGTTGATCATGAGATTGTTGATGGAGATGTCTCGATGCAGGAGCCCGGCCTGGCGGCGTAGAGTCTCGTGTCCGTTGATGCAGCCTTCTAGACCAGCGAGTAATGCTCCAAGGGAACTAGCTTGGTAGATGGGCTTGCCGTAGCTCTGCGTGACCAGCCTTTGATGAACACGGTTCTCGGGTTCGATGTTGCGGGACGTCTGCGTGGACTGTGACGACCGCTTCTTCCGTGGTAACAGTGAATCGACCCGTGATATAGGGCGTTTTCGTCGATTTCTAGTATTGCTGCTCTGACCAACCCGACTCCCACCTGCTGGAGTTTCCCGTTGGCCGGGGATTGGATAATTCGAGCTCGATCCCTGCACTGACGTGGTTGGCGAAGACTTTTCTGAATCCGCCGGTAACGATACGACTGCTGCCGTTATGTCGAGGCCCCTCCGGACATTGCCGCGAATATCATCCAGAACGCTCCCTACTTTGACGGTTTCGTGATGATAGTAATCCGCCAAGTTTTCCACCCCTTTCATGCTTGCCTCCTTCAGCATCAGCCCTTCTTCTGTCCGTTCGGGGAAGTGCCAAGCATCCTTGATCACAAAGGTCCTTTTATCATCGCCCTCCTCTACAGCACGGTGTGCTTTCCAACAGGTGGTTGCTCGACCAGCAATGCACGCTTGGCGGAATATGACTTTATCAAGAATGAGTCGCTCTGGTCGGCCGTCCCGTTCTATCTCGATGTATCTTTGCGTCCCAGACCTGACAATGGTAGAGCCGTATCCCAGCTGCGCCTTGTTCATCATGAGGAACCCGAGAACAGTAGTTACCAGGTCGAGTGGATCGTCGTTCACATCGAACCGTTTCGAGGCGATACCACCGAGACGATCAAAGGCCCATAGCCTCATGAGAGAACCGCAGAGTGTGAATCCTAGAACAAACCGGCGGTCGTCTTGAGCGGCGAGTACTTCTCTAGCGTATCTCGCAACGTCAAGCCAGGATCCTGAACGGCTATCTTTATGCGGGCTTCTCTTGATTTCTCCCACTGTCCTGATATGGGACTATTGATAATGCTGGTCCGTCCTTCATCGTCCATGATGCCCACGCGAAAAGGAGGGGGGGAAGAGGTATAGGGGGGATTTGCATCTATATGACTGAAAAGAAATCAAGCATCAACATATAGCAAGACTGGAACAATATAGCGATAGTAGCACAGAGTATGTAGTGAACTTCTATTGACTTTCACTACTTGTACCTACCTACTTACAAAATTTATCGCGTCTAAGACCTACGTCTGCCTTACCCTCTATTCCTTGAGGAAAACATTAATCTACCTAGACAAAGATCAAAGTCTCACTGCTAGTGCAAACGCATAAGTACAATTGCCTTCGATCACATAATGTCACGAGAGCGTGCCGTCGGGATCTCTCTCTGTTAAACTTGCCACTACAGCAGAACTATTCTTTGTTTCACAACATGGCCGTGATATTCAGCTTAATCCTGTAGACCCTAGCAAAGAAATTCTGCAAAGCCATAACTATCCTAATATTCCAGGGATCACGATCCCACGCATGCTAGAGAATCTGAATTGTATCATCTATAAGCCGACTGAACGATTATGCTCTCTGCATACACAAAGGCTGTATCAAAAGGAAGGACGAATGGAAGATCAAGATTACAAAGGGCTAGATATGCTCGAAATTCTATCGTCTTATTCGTACCATCTCTCGCCAACGGGAACCGCCAGCAGTTGTCTCAACAAGATGCCAAACTCTCTCTGTCTCTATTGGGCGGTTACGGTCCTGGATCACTTTTGATTGATCATGTTTGTCAGACTCGACAAGACGACAGTTGCTTTGAACATTCTGGACAATGTTTGATTGATCCGGGCTTTGCAGAGAAGCATTCGACGTCACCTTAAGTTATACACTGCAGCTGGTCGTTCTTATGAAGATGACGAGGCCAACTTCTCCCTTTTCAGAGGAAAGCCTCGGAAAAGTCAAAAAGGCGATTGAAAAGGGGTACATTAGATTCCTATATCCATCTCTGTCAACAGACAACTTGAGTTTGCTTGATATCTGGACCTGAAGCACAACTTGTCCGTCTGCAGCATCCCGTTGACAATGAGCTGAGCAAAACGTCTACAATGTCTCATCCATGTTGCGCCAAGGCTGGTTTGGTCATTCTTGTTAGTCTTCTATCTTCTGTCCTATGAGCTTATGAGGAGTTGACTACCCCCCACCAGAGACCTGTCACTCGATGAGCAGTATGCAGGCGTGCCTAAAGGAGCCCAAGACATCTACCTGATCGAAAACGAAAGCACCGGTAACACCAGCTCCAAAGCGAATAACAACGACGAAAACAGCGACATCAGCATCTCAATGAACAATACTTCGGAGGCAACGAGGACCAGATCAAGAGCAAGTCCATCGCTTTCAACACCCTCCCACACGACACCCACGCGGGGCTGGTGGACTTCTGCCAGCCTGTGAAGGTGATCAGCACGTCTTCCAAGGCGCAGAAGCTGGCCGACAAGGCGACTGACGAGAACGCCCAAAAGTGCAACGAAAAAGGCTTCACTTTCGACAAGAGGACCATGTGGGCCAAGGACTCGAACATCGGCGCCAGGACTCGTGAGCCGAACTGGACCGACGAGCAGATTCAGACCATCAACGCGATGGCCAAGACCAAGCTGCCCCTGAAGGACGTGTCCGACACCAGACGCGTGGTTCCAGACCCCAACGGTACCTACGTGACGTACGACGATAGGGGCGCTGCGCTGATCAGGTCTCCAGCCTTCCTCAACAACATCGACCCGGAGAAGTACTGCATCGGGATGGGGAGGGCCAAGGGTGACCTGAAAACGGGGAACAACAGGCTCTATTCCGACGTTGTGATGAGGTCAAGGGACGGGACCTGGATCACCAACCAGTGGACGTGCAAGGGCATCGTCATCGAAGGCGTCCCGAGGAAGACCTTGGACAAACGGCCCCGGGTGATGCACGTCTCGGCCGGGACGGGCAAGGAGAGGCGCATCGGTCATGAGTTCGTCCGCATTGGCCTCCCCAGGATGTACTTTGCTCCTGTGTTCGAGACGCTGAAGTCCGAGTACCCCAGTCTGTTGGACAGGGTCGTGATCACCGTGGGGTACTACTGGCTGTACGCCTCCTGGGGCGTGACGGGGACTCCGGGCAAGTACAAGTACATGGCGGCCCCTGGCAAGTTGGCCGAGACCCAGGAGCTATCGAAGATTCTCTGGATGGCCAACGGCCAGAGCTGCCTCTGCCAGGCGACCATCGCCATCTCTACGGCGTTTCCTGGAAAGCTGTCAGGGAACATGATCGTCAGGGACGGAGACGGCTGCAGCCTGAGCATCAAGCTTCACAACGCCTTACACCTCAAGATGGTTGACTACAGGAGTCCTCCGCCCGTGGAAGAGGCCAGGACCGAGGCAAACAAGAGGAACAGCTCAAAGGTCATGCCTACGTCCAGCAACAGGGAGACGGTCCCCATGAAGGTGTGGTCCAAGGACTTCATCGTCAGTGAGAAAAGTGCCTTGTTCATACGCCCAGGACGTCCGACGGCACGCCCGCGTTCGTCAATTGCGACAAGGCCTACTGCAACTTCAATACTGGGGTGGGGGAATCAGAAGCCTGCACCTTGAGGTTGGGATTCAACAAGTGTATGGCTCACATGGAGATTGAGGATGTCGAGAAGCACGAGCCACAGGTCAAGAATCCCGGAAGACTCATCACAGTGTACTACGGCATTCAGCTCAGCAACGACGGGGAGGTTGAGCAGATCGGCGCCCGTACCAACGATGGCTACACGTTTAGCGGCATAATCAGGACCAGCGTCAGGACGAACAAGAGCCCCATCCTCAGGAAGTTCAGGGCCGACGTCTGGAACTTTCTGGCCTCGGATCCCAGGTCGGTGATGCAGTCTTTCGTCGATTGGATGGAGACGCTCCTCATCAACTCTGAGCAGGGATCGCCCAGGAACCTCAAGATCATGCTCATCGCGCACAACGGCGTGTTGTTCGACCACTTGCACTTGCTGAGGACCATGCTTAAGCACGGCATCGAGCCTCCGGACATACTCCTGTCAGACTCCATGGCCATCTTGAAGATCATGATAGGCAAGAACGAGACGACCGAGCTCGTAGACCTGGGGAACAAGTACGTCCCGTGGATCGACCACACACCACACGATGCAGATAGCGAGGCCCAGGTGCTCATGGCCGTGATGAAGCAGGTTTTCAGGAACCCCTCGTCACTCTACAACAGGTTCTCGATCCACTGCACGAAGTACATGGCGCTGGTGGGACTGATCATGTACCAAAAGACGATGAGCATGGATCAGAGGATCAGGGAGGCGATGGCGAGCTGATCCGGACGTCGGCCACTGACTCCAGGGTGTGAATCAGTCGCGATCTTGCTCTCATGCTTCATCTGCATAGTGTCGAGCATTTTGCTCATAATTCCCCTGTACTTCATCTTGTCGTATCCTATCTTCTCAAGTCCTCTTCACGAAGGAGACTATGCCCAGTCTTCATGGTTATAGGTCAATCACACACGGCAAGAGTTTTTCGAAGCACCAAGCCAACGACCTGAATTTCAATATCTCATTGCCCAACCATCTACTGTCATACCATGTGCTGCCTTTCTTACCGTTGGTGTGTGATGCATCTTTGACGTAGTTGGCGTGTCAGAAGACGAAGGTAGTGTGAGATATAACAAGGAGTGCGCGCGTATGTGCCAAGAAGACTAATATACTGATAGACGTCGTCTCACAATGCATATTTGTATATAAACAAACGGTACCGGCGCCAATGAAAGTCATGGTACGCCTCGGATAGACACTCATCAAGACCTTGGTATCTGACAAACCCTGACCTGCTATGACGCACTTCCTACCAGACATATTAAACATATCTTCAGCCGTCAAAGGTTCAACGCCACGCTCTGTGTGCACTCCGCCGCCACAGTCTGGTATATTGTCCCGCAGCCCGTTCGACAAGTCGGACACGGCGCCACGATGATCGGCGTCGTTGTCGGGCAATCACATGGCTTCGTAATGACTTTGAGCACATCGCAGTTCGGATGAGGGCCGCAGTGTTGGGCCGTAAGAGGGCGGCAGCGAGTTGGCGGGATGGCGACGGCGGGACAGCCTTCACGATAGGGCTCGGGGAGGACGACGAGGCTCGTATAGCTTTGACCTGAGGTCAGATAGGTAAGACCGTCAAGAGGCTCATATGGAGCTGACTTACAGTCCTGCGTGGAGCAGGGTGATGATGCCTAGGGTAGCTTGCAGAGATGCCTTCATGGTGGAAAGCCGGGGTGAGATGAATATGTAATAGTCTGTATATGTGACTATGTTGTATGTTTGAGCATATATAGGTGTGTCATGGGAAATGGCATCCATCAAGTACGCCTTGAGGTGAGATCCTTAGAGTCCGACGAGGAGTATCTGCTCGATATACAGAGATCACTGGATATGCCGCATTATCCGCTTAAGTCCCTTTCTCTACCTAGGACACAGCGGCAGTGAGACTGTCTCAAGCTGTCTCAGTAATACCCTACTGTTGAACGAAATCATTGGCCAGCTCTGGAATGTTAACGTGTCAACAAGACCACAGCCGTCGGTGTCTCAGTGATCCTCCCGATTATGCCTTCCTTACTATGCAAAGGATCACTTTTTTCATTAGTACTTCTATAGTCGCCTGCTTCATCACTGACAGTGGATTGGGGCCCCGGCGTTGGGCAGTCGCCTAATCATGGAACGACCAAATCCATCAACGACATCAAGCACTTACGGTAAGGAAGCGACAAGACCCTTTGTCGATAACCCCCATATACGTCGGCACATAGTATAGATGTGATCAAGCTTGCATGAAGCATTCATATTCTGCATTCATAACATAGGTACATTCATGTGTAGATAGGTACCATAACCGTCCAGAAAATCAATGCTCTATATCCCAGAGTTCAACCCTAATTCAAGTGCTTCGCTAACCCTCAAACCGATAATGTGCTGCATCTGCCACTTGCGTGGACAGCCTGTTGAAATGACATTAAACTCTTGGTATGAAATAAGCTCCAGAGAGCGTTAAAAGAAATGCCGTAAGAACGACGGTAAGTGGTGAACGAACGAGGGGCTTGATCATCTACACTCATAGTTTGGACCGAACGACCTCGAGACGGTACTTGACATCCTTAAGAGCTTTATTGGTTGGCTTCCAGTCGTCGAACTGCCGCAGCAACTCTTCAGTCTCGGCGCTGAGCTGCGTCTTGACAAAGTCCTCCTCCAAAAGGCCACGCATGATCCACGGCAATACGTATGGGTTCGAAGATGCCAAGGGTGTCGTCTCGCGCTTTGGAATCACGCAGGGCGTTGGCTGTGCTGTGTCAGTTGTCTCCAAGGCATGCATAACAGCAAGGTCATATACGGCAGAGTCGAAATATAGGCGTGAATGACCTTCGCCCGAGTAGAGGGATCCAGCGAGCGCCACGGATAGCTCACGGATGAGCCCATGATCTGATATACCCAGGTTGCGTAGTTTGAGCGCAAACCCGATAAGATGTGATATGAAATCCGGAGCATGTACCCGGCCATCAATAAACACGGCACGGTATATGTAAGGATGATTTGCAGGTGAGTACACAGCAGACTGTACAAGCGTTAGCATTCTTCTGTAACACAATCCAGCGAAGCGGCACTGCAGCTTACCTCCATCGGAACGAGCTGGTCATCGATGCTGCCCACAAATGTGATGCGGGCTCCGAAATCAACAACGCGCTTAAGGCATGCCTCGAACCGTTGCGAGTTGCTGCTCTGAGGATCTCCAAACTCCCACAGCTCCGCTACTGAGCCCATGAGTATGCTGGACTTGTAGTCGGGAAAAGGGCCCAGGGCAACGCCAGCCATGGCACAGACGCCAACTTTGGTGTTTGTCAGGACGCCGAGGTCAATCAATTTCTCCAAAAGCATGATGCTGACTGGCACTCCTTGAGAGTGACATGCTATGATCACCAAATCGGCCTGACGGATATGCTCAACCCAGTTGAGGAGAAGCTTCCACAGATTTGCGACTCTGTCGTTGATTCTGCCCTCTCCCTCCAGAGCCACCTTTTCAATCTCGCAATCGGGAGAGCCATGGTTATCGGCCCATTTGCGAATGGCATCAGCGCAAAGTCCCGCGAATCGCAAGGATGTACCGGTTGGTTGTCCTATCATTGGACGCAGGTAGGAGGCTGGGAAGAATCCATGAACTCCAATAGCAATGGCCTTGTGTATCTTGGGAGGATCCTTCACACGGAAGACGTGGTTGGGAGGCGGCTGCGAAGTCCTAAGCACGAGATTGGTGATTTGTCGAAGGATTGATGGATTTTCCTTCATTTGATACGTGCTAGCAAAGGATGGAAGGAGAAGGTTGGGCGGTTCCTTGACGGTTGATTCGCTTTCAGTGACCGCCTTCTTCGGTGCGGCAACTGGCTTCTTCTTCTTCTTAGAATCGGTCCTAGTGAGTGACTTCGAAGAGGGCAGCTCTTGTTCAGTGCCAGCTTGTGAAGACTGCGGCGTAGCGGATAGCCGGTCAAGTGGAGCTGACTTTGTACTGTCTGCCGACGGCGGACGCTGAGAATCGAGATTCAGCGATATGGGCCTGGTTCGCTTGCTTCTGCGCCACGAGAGTACGCCGGCAGGTGGTTCCGCTGGTACAGGATCATCTCTTGCCGTATCCTTTGCTGCCGTATCCTTTGCTGCCGTATCCTTTGCTGCCGTATCCTTTGCTGCCGTCTCAGAAAGTCTCCTTTCGGCCATGGGCGATGGCCGCGCCTCTGATCCTTCGCCCATAACTGCGATCTGTCCCGATTCCGGTGAGGTAGTCTTGCCTTTGCTCTTCGGGGTATCTCTTGACCAGAAAGCCCATGTAGAGCCAGCTTTAGGAGGGGGGCTCTGAGCTTCCACTTGCTCAGATGGAGAGACGGTCTTGGTTGATGCATCTTCGGGATTTGCCTTTGTCTCTCCCTTGGGATTGAGATTTGACGTTTTGCTGGAGGCTCGTGATACCGTAGCTGCTGAAGCTTTCGAGCGCTCATCATTCGAGTGAGCCGCTTCGCCTGGTGGACCGGGCTTCGCTTGTGAGTCTTGCTTTGAGGAAGTTTCGGCTGATGGGGGAGTTGGCTCTTTTGGGACCGCTGCTGACTTTGTCGGGGCCTTCGGCTGAGGGGTAGAATACCAGAACCCTAGCCAAGAGGTGCTTTGCGGAGCTTCCTCAGCAATGACCTCGGGGGCCGGGGGCTCGGACGGAGGCGCTTGCTCCTGGGGCGGCGCAGACTCGGCCGGTTCGACGACTTCGGGGGCCTTGGTGGCTTCTTCTTTCTTCGTCTCCTGAGGTTTCGCAGTCGAGTTGTCGGAAGGCTCAGCCGCTGCGGGTTTGGTCCACCAGCCGAACCATCCAGATGAGGCGACTTGTCTCTGTGAGGCATCTGATGCCTCACCGGCTCCATCGGCAGAAGCCTTTGACTCTGATGTGTCTTCTGGTAAAGGTCTAGAATCCGCGGCTTTCTGCTGCTGCTCTGTGGCCGGTTTTGCCTCGGGAACTGGCGGCATGGCTGGTGCGCGTCCTATTTCTGATGAATTTTGGTCCCCGCTTGATGACGGCGCTGGCGGTTTGTTCCCTTGGGATGGCTTGTCTGCACTCGGGGTGTTCGATGTGTTGTTGGTTATTGTAGGGGGTGGCGACACAGAATCGGCGTCGTCGGGCATGCTCGCGTCGTCTTCGCTTCGCTTCGTTTCAAATCGAGAAAAGTCTGGCGCAGCCCTGGACTTGACGGTGCCTCCGAGGATATTCTCGCGCGCGACTGATGTTGAGGGGGTTGCCTTCTGTGGCTTCGACCACGAAGCGTACCAGCTGTTGGTCTTCCGGATCTATTGCGACCCTGTGAGAATGCGACCGTCCAGGGGCTCGCGCGTCGATGACTCAACAGGGGGCATTCTCACCTCTTTCACTCGCTGTGATGCATCGGATGACTTGTGGTCGCTGTTGGATTCGGGTAGTGAAGGCTTTTTCTGGTGGTTAGCCTGCTGCGCCGAGGCAGATGAGGCTCGTGACAGTGACGTCTCAGGCGACAGAGCTGTGGTTGGCGAGCTCTGAGAGCTCAGTGCGGCGGGATTGGGGCGTTGCCTCTTGCGAGGAGGCATCATGAAAGCTGCAGGCGTGAGGGACGGGCCATAAGAGAGACGTGAGAGATGACGTGCAACTTTGAGGCGGCGGTGATGAAAGGACGGATGAGCAGGCAGGCAGGTTGGATGCTGGAAGGTTCAACTTGGTTCGGCTTCGGAGGACGCCGTAATAAGACGTTCAGCGAGGTGCTCACCAAGTCGATGACGACGGGAGCCTGAATGCGCCACAGGTGAATGACACGGGCGCTGTAGCGTCTCCTACGGGGCTCCTTGCAGGGGTCCCTTCAGGGCGTTTGTCCGCCAGCTGACAGCCCTGGAGCACCCTGGAGCCGAAGGAATGCGCTAGAGCTCCAACCGCGGCCTTTGTAGGTTGAGCTGTGGCTGGAGAGACCCGAGTGGAGCCGGATCAATTTCCAGGCCCACTCACCGCCTGCCTTATCGCGACGCTACTCTTATCAGCGTCCCGCCAGGAAAAAAAAAATTCGAGAGATGCAAGTCAGAGCTACAGGTCGGTTTTAGAAGCCAAAGTCGTCCATGTCAAAGGCTGCGATATTGCCTTTGCATCTTACGGCCGCACGACCACCATGAGCACCCTCAAGCGGAAGGATGCCCCTGGCGGCAATCCTCCGCCCAAGTCGGCAAAGAACACGAAAGAAGGTCGACCGTCGAAGAAAGAGGCACCAGCCAAGGATGCAAAGTCTCCCGCCAAGGCGCATCGCAAGTCAGAGAGCGCGACAGAAGAGCGCACGAAGCCCGCCGTTGTCTCTGTCTTGAAGGATGAAGAGCCAGTCTTCCCTCGTGGAGGTGGCAGTGTCCTCACGCCTCTCGAGCAGAAGAAGATCCAGATGGAAGCCAAAGCCGACGCCATTCGAGAAGAAGAATTCGAGACGGGCGCCAAATCACAAAAGAAGAAGGCGAAGAAGGCTGCGGTGAAGAGCGACAAGAAGACGGAGAAGAAAGCAGAGGAGGATAGCATCAGGATTGAGAGTTTGAACTTCAAGGTACACTTCTTTCCAATTGCACAATCAAGGCTGGGGAACAGGACAGGAACGTGTGCTAACGGGTGCAAACAGAGACTGGTCAGGGGATCGCTAGTACTCGGGCAGGTGATGCGAATCAACAAACTCAGCGTTGAGGTGTCACTACCCAACAACCTGATGGGACACGCCTCCATCGTCGCCATCTCGTCGCAATTGACCAGCAGGCTCGAGGGTGGTGCCACAGAGGAGGGCGACAGCGAGGAGGATGAATCGTCCGACGAAACCGACGTCAACCTCAAGTCCATGTTCAAGGTTGGACAGTATGTGCGAGCTTACGTGCTCTCGACTAAGGATACTGCTACCGGAGGAAAGGGGAAGCGAAGAATCGAGTTGTCTTTGCGACCTAACGAGGCCAACTCTGGGCTGGAAACGGACGATGTTGTACCCAACAGCACAGTCATGGCGTCCGTGGTTAGTGTCGAAGAACGTGGCTGCGTCATGGATCTCGGGATGCCAGGCCTGAACGGATTCCTTCCAAACGGCGAGATCGATCCCCTCATCGACCAGGAGAGGCTCCAGCCCGGCGCTGTTTTCCTATGCCAGGTCACAGGCAAGGGCTCCAACAAGATCGCCCAGCTCACCCTGAAGCAAGACAAAGTCGGAAGCACCAAGGCATTCCCCGCTGATGCCACGACGATCAACACATTCCTCCCCGGTACGCTCGTCAGCGTTCTTGTTTCGGACAACGAAGGCAGAGGACTGGCTGGCAAGATTATGGGAACCCTCGACGCCACAGCTGATTTGATCCACTCCGGCATTGGTCCCAACAACGTTGACCTCAAGTCCAAGTACAAGGTTGGGTCCAAGGTGAAGGCGAGAATCATCTGCAACTTTCCAACCGCCAAGGACCCCAAGGTGGGCGTTTCACTGTTGCCTCACATTTTGTCTTTGACACAGAAGCGACAAGACGCCGACACTGAAGTTACGAAGCGTCCGCTGGAGGTGCTACCCATCTCTTCGTTTGTCGAGAAATGCACAGTCCGCCATGTCGAGGCCGATATTGGTCTCTTTGTGGATACTGGCATTCCTGGTCTGGGCGGTTTTGTTCACATCTCCCGGGTCAAGGATGGGAAAGTCGACGCACTCTACGAATCAAGCGGGCCATACAAGGTTGGTACGGTGCACCGTGGTCGAGTTGTAGGCTATAACGAGATGGACGGTCTTTTCAGCATTTCATTTGAGAAGAGCCTCCTCGAACAGCAGTACATCCGCCTCGAAGACGTGCCCATCGGATCCGTGGTCAATGGTGAAATCGAGAAGCTGGTCATCAAGGAGCAAGGCGTCACAGGACTCATCATCAAGATTGCAGATGGCATGAGTGGCTTCGTATCCGAGAATCACATGTCGGATATCCGCCTTCAACACCCCGAAAAGAAGTTCCGCGAAGGTATGAAGGTCAAGGCTCGCGTGCTCTCTCTCAACTTCAGCAGGAGGCAATTGCGTCTCACGCTCAAGAAGACTCTGGTCAACTCGGAGGCGCCTGTTATCAAGTCCTACGACGACGTCAGCATCGGAATGAAGACGCTGGGCACCATAGTCAAAGTGCAACCGAATGGTGCCCATATCCAGTTCTACGGGCGTCTTCGAGGTTTTCTTCCTGTATCGGAGATGAGTGAAGCATACATTCGCGACCCTACGGAGCACTTCCGGGTTGGCCAAGTCGTGAGCGTGCATGCTCTCGAGGTTGACCCAGAGGCCAAGAGATTTATTGTTTCCTGCAAAGATCCGGGCGCGTTTGGACTGGAGAAGCAGACTGCTCTCAAGAACTTGAACGTCGGTGACATTGTCTCGGCCAAGGTGACACAGAAAACCGAGGATCAAATCTTTGTGGAGCTTGTCGACAGCCAGCTCAAAGCCATTCTACCGGTGGGCCACCTGACCGACAAATCCTCCTCAAAGAATCAGTATGCCTGGAAGAGGATTTCAGCCGGGCAGACCCTGTCGAACCTCATGGTTCTCGAGAAGTATGAGAATCGACGAGCCATCATCCTGTCCCAGAAGCCTAGCCTGGTCAAGGCTGCCCAGGATAAGACGCTCCTAAAGAGCTTTGAGGATGCCAAGGTGGGCGCCGTCGTCCAAGGCTTCGTACGGAACATCACGGTTACAGCCGTCTTTGTCCAGTTCGCCGCAAATCTCCATGCTCTGCTACCAAAGGGGCGCCTGCCGGCCGATGCTCAGTCACAGCCCGACTTTGGCCTGCGCAAATACGAATCCATCGAAGTGCGAATCATTTCGACGATCCCTGAAATGAAGCGTATCTTGGTTGCGCCCGCCGATGCACCCGTCGTTGAGCCCGAGAACAAGAAGAGCAAATCATCCACGAAGACCTCGGCCCCAGCCCCTGAAGACGGCCTCGCATTTGGCAGCACAGCCCAGGCAAAGATCACATCCATCAAGGACACTCAGCTGAACGTTCAACTCGTGGATAGCGACGTTCAGGGTCGCATTGATGTGTCCCAGATTTACGACAAGTGGGAAGACATTCCTGATCCCAAGGATCCTCTCGACAAGTTCAACAAGAAGCAGGTTCTTCGCGTCAAGGTTCTTGGTGTACACGATGCTAAGGACCACCGCTTTTTGCCATTTTCTCACCGATCCGCCCACTCAGTCCTGGAACTCACCTGTAAGCCCAGTCATCTGAGCAGCGATGCCCCAAAGCCAATCTCTCTCGAGGAACTAAAGGTTGGCGACACCCATATTGCCTTTGTCAACAACGTTACGTCTCAGTATCTATGGGTCAACCTTTCTCCCAACGTCCGTGGTCGCATCTCTATCATGGATGCCTCCGATGACCTGTCTCTGCTGAACGATCTGGAAGCCAACTTCCCCGTCGGCTCAGCCCTCAAAGCGAGGGTGACGGCGGTTGATCCTCAAAACAACCGACTCGACCTGTCAGCTCGATCGGCCAATGCTTCTGAAGCCATTACCTGGACCTCGCTGAAGCAGAATATGACCCTTCCTGGCAAGATCACCAAGGTCAATGAGAGACAGGTTCTCGTGAAGCTCAGTGAATCCGTCTCTGGCCCCGTCCATCTGCCCGACATGGCGGATGACTATAGCACCGTCGACACGTCAAAATACAAAAAGGGCGATATTGTTCGTGTTTCGATTGTTGACGTCGACCCCAGCAACAAGAGGATCCGCCTCTCCATGCGACCGTCACGAATCATGAGCTCGACCTCCCCGGTTGTGGACAAGGAAATCACGAAAATCACACAGCTTGCCACTGGCGACATTGTGCGAGGATTCGTCAAGAACGTCGCCGACAAGGGTCTCTTTGTTCTGCTGGGCGGCCAGGTGACTGCTTTCGTCAAGATTTCGAATCTCTCCGATCGATTCTTGAAGGAATGGAAAGACGGCTTCCAGATTGATCAGCTAGTCAAGGGCCGTGTCATTGCTCTTGACGCCGCAACCAACCAGCTTGAGCTCAGTCTGAAGTCATCAGTAGTCGATGAGGACTACACCCCTCCTCTCAGTTACAATGACATCAAGGAAGGTCAGATTGTCACTGGTGTTGTCCGCAAGGTTGAGGAATTTGGTGCTTTCATCCTGGTTGATAACTCGGCCAATGTGAGCGGCCTGTGCCACCGAAGCCAAATGGCCGACAACCCGGTGAAGGATGCTACCAAGCTGTACAAGGAAGGCGATAAGGTGAAGGCCAGGGTCTTGGAGGTGGATGCCACAAAGAGGAGGATCAACTTTGGCTTGAAGCCATCCTTCTTTGAGGATGAGGACACCGACATGGACTCTGGGTCTGAAGCTGGCGCCCTACTGGATGACGATGAGGATGACGATGGTGAGGGTATGGACTTGGATGAGGAGGCCTTGATCAAGATCCTCGGCACCGACAACCAGGGTGACTCTTCCGAAGAGGAAGAAGAGGAAGTTGACGACGATGAAGAAGGGGAGGGTGAGGAGGCAGAGGACGATAGCGACGAGGAGATGGAGGACAGCGCCGCCAAGAAGACAGGTGGCCTTGGTGTAGGCAAGAAGTCGGCATGGTCGACAGATCCGTTTGACGAGTCCGGCTCCGAGTCAGAAGACGATGCTCAGGCTGAGCAAGCCGACAAGAAGAAGAAGCGGAAGAAGAAGGGCGAGGCCCAGGTCGACCGAACAGCTGAGCTTGATGCCCATGGCCCTCAAACATCGAGCGACTACGAGCGACTCCTCCTGGGTCAGCCCGACTCGTCAGAGCTGTGGATCGCATACATGGCATTCCAGATGCAGGTGAGCGAGCTGCCCAAGGCGCGCGAGATTGCCGAGCGAGCCATCAAGAGCATCAACATCCGGGAAGAGACGGAGAAGCTCAACGTGTGGGTCGCGTATCTCAACTTGGAGGTGGCCTACGGCAGCAAGCAGACGGTGGAAGATGTTTTTAAGCGAGCTTGCCAGTACAATGACGAGCAAGAGGTGTACGAGCGACTGGCCAGCATCTACATCCAGTCGGAGAAGCTCAAGGTAAGGAGAAACAAGAAACAAGCAATGCTACACATTCACTGGCGTCGTCATATGCTAATGCTCTGCAACAGGAAGCGGATGAGCTGTTCGAGGCCATGCTGAAGAAGTTTGGCGCCAAGTCGCCCAGCGTCTGGACCAACTACGCACATTTCCTGCACGTCACCAAGAACGAGCCGGCCCGCGCCCGCGCCCTGCTGCCGAGGGCAACCCAGCAGCTGGACAGCCACAACGGCCAGAACATTGTCAGCCGGTTCGCCGCCCTCGAGTTCCGATCGCCCAACGGCGAGCCTGAGCGCGGCCGGACCATGTTCGAGGGTCTCCTCGCGGCTTGGCCGAAGAAGGGCGATCTCTGGAACCAGCTGCTCGACCTCGAGATTGGCATCGCGAGCTCTAGCGCTGATTACACTGCTGTGCGAGACGTGTTTGAGAGGAGGACGAGGGTCAAGGGCTTGAAGCCGCAACAGGCGGAGAAGTGGTTCCGCCGATGGGCCGCCTGGGAGGAGAAGCTGGATCCCAAGGGCAAGGACAAGGTCATGGCCAAGGCGCAGGAGTGGGCAGCTGCGTTCAAGTCGAGAAAGGAGGCCAAGGCTGCGGCTGCGGCGGCAGAGGACGAGGAGATGGAGGAGTAAATGATGGTGACCTAGACACGGGAGAAAAATCTCAGGTAATGCCAGGATCTCAAGTCAAAATGGGCAGCCTCTTACTGGGCTGGGCGTTGGTTCACATATTTTAGTAAAACTGCATATAACTCTTTTGTTCTTTGGTCGTGTAACGTTCTGGTTGTAGGTACCTTCGGATGTCGGTGTGATTGAAAGGAGCTTCGGTGGCCGCGTGGGCTCTGCCGGCTGCAAGTGGATCGCTGCCATGCAAATTACCGTGTGGAAATCAAGTCACGTATACTCAATTTGGTTCATTCTATACGTTCAAAGACCCTGTAACTTTTTTCTTTTTCTTTCTTCTGATTTATGGCTGATGGCTGGTGTGACGATAGGCAAGGTACGGCCATGTGTGGTGACGGACTATCGGCCGACAGGACCGAAAATGCGAGCTGGTTTCCGCCGAGGCTCCGGGCGAGCTGGCGGGCTGTCGGCGTGCTCTCGCCGTTGCTCTCGCCGGAGCTGTGCGTTCACCGACCCGTTTAGTTGAGCCTCTCTATGGTATGATTTTGTAAAAGAGTATTCTAAGACCCACCGATTTTGCTTCATACCTCCATTTGATGGAGAAACTCCTCAGCTCTCCTATCCTGAAAGGATCTCTCGTGCTACTCTCTTGTTACTCGGTCGACTCTTCCTACCTAGTCAACTTCCAGGTTCCCCAGCTTTCGAAGTAGTCGGTCATAGGGCTGAGCTTCAAACTGACCGGTCTGAATCCAAGGCTCTATTGTGGCACCGTTCCCTTAGGTAGAGGGACCCTCCTCATAGATGACACAATTGATAGGTCAGGTAAGAATGCGCTTGGGAATCCCGAGACATTGACCCAGCGACCTGCAATGAGACAAGGGTCTACGCTCAAGGATGACTTGAATGGAAGGCGGGCCATCCGGCAGTTGAACCATAATACTAGTCTGTGAGGTTACACAAGTGCCACGATGCTAAGAGCTCAAGGTTGCCAATTAGGGTTCGTACATGGGAGGCCATTCGCTAGATGCTCGAGATGGATGGAGGAGATGAGACTTGGCGATGTTGCATAAAATAGCATCAGCAACCTATGCGGACGTACTCTACAATGAATCATTTATCATCAAGGGCCCCATGTTCTTGCCTGAAGAATTGCCGAGTACTGTACCTAGAAAGCTGAAGCTGGAATAGATCTACGCTGCCTCACCTTCTATTGCCTGGATGTCTATGTATGTAGTATATACTGCCTGGCATTGACACCTGACAAGATCAACGGATCACCGGGGACTTTTCCGCCAAATGGGCAATCATATGCTTGTATGGTATCAACATGAGTCGGCCACACCGGCCAGCGCACGGTAGTAACAGTGAGTAATGGAAACACGCCGAGTGCTGACTTGACGCTGAACACCAACAACTGTCGCCATTTGAAGGAAGGGTGACGCGTTCGATGGCTGGCGGTTGATTCGGGGGACATGGCGCAAGCCTTATCGGACGGTAAGGTACCTAGGTAGGTAGGGAGGTAGTAGTAGGTGCTTGTGAGAAGCAAGAGCAGTCGCCGGAACGCCGGTGAAAAAAAAAAGTGTCGATAGGTGCCTTTTTGCACGATGCCTCGCACTTGGCGAAGGCTCACCGAGGGGCCGGAACACCTCTGATGCCCTGAGATACACCGGCCAAAGCATACTTTCCTCAACGCCTACAGTGGTTCCCCTCCCCTCGAGGCTGACTGAGGCATCTTGACAGCATCGCGCCCAGCCAGGCTCGACATGACGCGAGCTCACGTCCAGCAAGACGCAATTGCCCCCCAACCCGGGACGCGCACGAGACGATAACGACAGCCGGGCGATCGCGCAATTGGGCCATGGGCGGAAAACGTCTTGGAGGCGCCCGAGCACGTCACCGGCACTAGCGTCTATCGGTCCCTCGGGCAGGCCCATGGGCCAGAGTCTGGCTCCGGCTGGTCGCTGAAGATGCTGCTGCTGCTCCTTCTCGCAGGTCGATGTTGGAGTTTTTTTTTTTTTTTTTTCTTCATCTACTGGATCCTGGAAGCTTCATCTGGCATTTATGCTTGATTCTTGACGTGGATTCCGACACAATGGGCTGCCGAGTGTGCAGGGCGCGAAAGGTGAGTTTTTCCTTCTTCGCTTTTGGTACTACCACGACACACCCACTGCTATTGAGACGCTAGGTACTGCAGCCTGGTCTCCCTCTCTTCCACCCCAATCCAGCCTCTCGTTGTCCCCTTATCACTGCGAAACCATCTAACCCTCGGCTCTCGCACCCAACAGGTCAAATGCGACGGCAGGCCAAACGGATGTCGCAACTGCGAGCGCCTCCAGCTCGACTGCGTGGGCGACAACGGCCAGGCCGCCGGCCGCGCCACGCCCATGGCCCTGCGCAAGATCCGCACCTATCGCTCGTGTAAGAGCTGCCGCCTGTCCAAGACCAAGTGCAACGGCGACCGGCCGAAGTGCTCGCGATGCGCCGCCAAGAAGACCGAGTGCGTCTACGACGGCGGTTCGGCCCCGCGCTGGGCGCGCAACCTCGACCGCGCCTCCAGGACGGCCTCGACCGACGGCAGCCGCAGCAAGTCGCGCGAGCTGGCCATGGCCGGGCTCGAGGCCGGCGGCGACGACGTCGATGATCTTCTTGTCCAGCAGAGGCATCAGCAGCACCAGCAGCAGCACCAGCAGCTCGACACGCCGCTGACCAGCATCGGCTCGCAGACGACGGACGAGACGCCGGGGTCAAAGGCCTTTGGCAGCACCCGCAGCGTTGCGTCCATCGAGCCGTCGGGCTCGGACATCTTGTCGTGGTATGTACTAGGTATCTTGTCTTGCTGGTGGTCTGAATAGCCACAGTTCAGAGCTCGGCATACACCATGGGTTTCTTGGCATCCCGATGCACTTACTTACACGAGATCACTTTCCAGGCTCGTCTCGCCAAGTCTTCCCACCGGCCGCAACCTGCGCCGCGTCGTGGAGCAATACTTTGCCAACGTCCATCCCATCCGCTGCTTCGCCTTTGTTCACAAGCCGTCCTTTATGCGGCAGCTCGACAAGGGCTTCACCACGGACGATGAGTCGGCGCTGCTGCACATCATCTGTGCTCACGGAGCCAAGTGAGAAGACGATAACCTCCGACCTGTTACAGTGCTGCACTAACACTTGGGTGTAGGTTCTACGTCCTGAATCAGAACGAGCACGCTTCTCCGTCGGGCTTCATCCGGCTCGCTGGCAATGAGTGGGCCAAGAGAGCCGAGCTTCTCATACTGACCAATTTTGGCAAGATCTCTGTTCAGAGACTCATGGTAAGCCGCTCTAGGTCGTCAGACAGCCCTCGACAATGGTAACAGCAACTCACGATGCCCCAGGTTGCTATACTACTTCATGACTTCCACTTCCGGCTAGGGGAATACTCTCGCGCCTTGATGCTCAGTGGCCTCGCTGTTCGCATGGCTCATGCCTTGAAGATCAATGTCGAAGCGTCACCCGACGTCCTCTGCACCGAATCCAACGACTCCGCCCCGTCCGTCGTCACCAGGGAGAGCCGCCGAAGACTCATGTGGGCGTGCTATGTTCTCGATGCGTGGGCCGGCAGTGGCATCGACCAGTTGACTCTCCTTCGTGAGAATGACATCAAGATCCAGCTGCCCTGCAACGAGAGGAATTTTGGCCTGCGGATACCATCAGTGACGGAAACGCTCGGCGTCGGCCATGTCCTGCAGTTCTTGCCGCCGTCTGTGGTGCCGAGAAAACCATCGGCGAACATGGGTATCATGGCATACTACATTCGAGTAGTGGCCCTCTGGAAGCGGATTGTGAGGTATGGCTTGATTTCCAAAACAAAAGCCGTCAATCTGTCTGTTATAGGCTCTCTAACAGTCATTGCAGATACGTGAATCAGTTAGACTCCAGCCCTCCGCCCTGGCTGCCCGACTCGCCATTTGCCGCTCTCGACGCCGATCTCCGCCTGTGGCAGAGGGAACTCCCGGAATTTGTAGAATACTCCATGGAAACCATTTACGCGCGCCTAGACTCCAATCAACTGGGAGCACTCGTCCTGATACACTGCACCTATCATCACAACTACCTGGAGCTCTACAAGCTATCCATGCCAGATCTGTTCAAGCTTCCGAAGCCTCTGTCCGTCCCGCCGGAGCACCACGACTTTCTTCAATCCGCACAGGCCAGCTGCTACCATCATGCGCAGCAGATAGCCGACATCCTGGCCGAGGCGGCCGACCATGGGGCCCACCTGCTATCGGACAGCTTACTCCCATATTTTGTGTACGACAGCAGCAGAGTGATGCTGTACTATGTGGCCCGTTTGCTTGACCCAAACAGACCCGACGCCCAATCAAAGCTGGACGATGCCATCAACGCTGTTGAGAGCAACCGTCGGGTTCTCCGGATGATGTCTGCCTTGTTCCCGATCGCGCAATCCCTGGTAGGTTCTCCCCCGCATGAGTTTCGCTGACGCCATCACCCATGCTGACTTATCGCCAAAGTCGAATACGATTGATCGATGGCTTACCAAGATTCGGCAAAGCTCCAATCGGGATGACATGCTGAGCAGGATGCTCTCCGAAGCCCGGTCTGAAACCAATGATGTCGAACAGTCAGTATATCTCAGATCGTCGCTTCCTTGTATCATTGGCCCTCATGCTAACGACTTCCCCCCCAAAAGATCCAACCCTCCGTCTGTTAGCCCTGTCCAGGGCACGCCAGACTACATGCTCCCGTCAATTTCTCTTCACTCGCTCGCCCGGACTGGAATTGCAACGAGGCGGGCCGCTGATCGGGCAAGCGGCGTCCGCGGGCTGAGCTGGTCTGCCGAGAGCCCGGGCGGCGGTGCATGGGATCGCAACAACGCGGCGCAGCAGCTGGTTGGTCTGAGTCAAGACGGCTTGGCCTCGTCGCGATCCGGGCTCCAGCACGAGCAACCAGTGCCCACGGCCCTTCCGCAACCGCCCCCGGCTTACTCCAAATGGGGCGGCGGCCCGGTCCAGCCGATGTGTGAGGCGCTGGATCTGGATGACTTGCAAAACTTTTTATCGTGGGATATGTACGGGATCATGGATATGGGCGATCCGGTTCCGGACGATGGTGCGGATGACATGGCGATGCGGTCGTGGTCTGGGTCCAGCGATGCGATATAACGGCGTCGCGACAAACGTATATGTGGGCATGGGAGTTTCTTCTTTTACTTCTGTTTTTTCCTGCAGAAAGATACCTCTGGTCATTGTTTTGATGGGGCCAATAGTCGCTTTACAGATACTTACGTGGGACAAGGTGTACAAAGTCAAGGCCCTGGCGGAATTTGGCTTGGACCGCTTCGTCGCCAATGGCGCCGGCCCGTCGCTCGGGTGATCGGCCTCTTGTGCGAGAATCGCTATCCGTCTACGGGTTCGCCCGTCAGTTTGCCGTGAAAACGTAGTGATGATGGGCCGAGAATCACGGCCGTGAGCTGGCGGTGTGATATAGGCTGCTCCTACCGTACTTTTGTACTCTACGCAGACATCCGACGGCATCTACGGGGTCGGTACGGAGTAGGGTATAAGTCGGTTGATTTGCCGTGTAGATGCTAAATGCTAAAGTTGTGATACCCAACGAAGAATTGTCATTTGGGAGCCATGGCGGAGACTTGAAGGTGGTCCAGCTTGAGGGAACTTCATTGAGACCTCTTCCGGTGGCCTTTAACCTAAGGTACTTATCGAAGTTGGGGTTTACCGCAACACACGAACGCAGATGCTTTTTGCTGTTTGGCGAAGCTGGCTTGGATCGTCGTGTAGCAATTTGTTTCGGCGCGGCTGACACTTTACAGCTGCTGATTGCATCGTGTTTTCCAACAAGTTAATCCGATATGGTGTAGTGGCTAACATCGCTCGCTCTCATCAAGGTCCGAGCAGCCCTGGGTTCGATTCCCAGTATCGGAGTTGAACATTCTCTTTTTGCACTTTCCTTGCTTTTTGCTTAGCCTTTGCTCCACCACAACAACTTCAAGTTGCTCAATCCCCAGCCTATGTGCGAAATGCTTTATTTTCTTCTTGACCCGATGTCAGGGATGACAGGATGCTGCAGATGCGCGGCATGAGCACTAAGCGCTGACCAACTGCACTGGTGAGACCAATACTATCTATCTGCGGGTGCTCAGCAGCCTGTTTATTACTTAGTAGTACCTTGCAAAGCTCCATCCACTCGCAACACACCCACTCGTCTTACAAAAAGCCCCGGTAACACAGTCGCACCCGATCCACACCCGATGGTCAACAGCATCTTGCTCGGCATCGAAGAATCAACAACAGCGGCAGCAGGCGTCTTTCTCCCTCCCCCGCTTTGAAAGTTCGATCCGGGGCGACATGGGGCCATGTCAAGCCTGTTTCCGGGAGCGAGCCCCATGTCGAAGCGTGGCCGTGCCCAGTAAAGTGGTCGTATGCATGTAAACAAAGGCGATGTCGAGATGCTTTGCATGAGTCTAAATGCGGTAGCACGCGAGCTAGTAGTTTAGGATTCTCGCGAGGTGCTTTGCAGAAGTAAACATGGCGTGTGTGTTTTGTGTGTTGACGAGGGTTTGGGAGGAGAGGCTGGAGGGGTTTTGGGCCAAGCAAGTTCAAGACAGTCATTCTTTGTCTGTCGTCTGCTGTGTGTTGAGTGATGGAATTCCTCACGAGTTGTGACTAGTATGTACAGCTTCTCTGCATCCTTGACAGGATTCTCTGCAGCGAGCATTGACTCTACATCTATCATCAGAAAGGCCAACCTTGGTTTTCGAGGGTCTCAATACATGCACTCTCGTCAACATCTGTAACAGCTGATTCAACACGATCCAATGCCATCATCACACCTTAGTTGGCGGGGTGTCTGAAACACCCACTTGAAGCCGCAGCCGCCCAAAGCTGCAGGGCGCCTCAGAGACTTGACGGCAGCTCGCAGTCGCCATGGCAACGCAGTTAGCGGGTTCTAGCAGTGGAGTTGGCTCAGAGCGTAGCAGTAGATGGGCAATTGAAGCCTTTCTCTTGGCTGTTTTTTTCATGCAAAAAGCTGTCTCACGGCACTGCATGTCTTTTCTTGCCGTTCCATCACTTCTCCCTCTTCTTTTATCATTTCTCTTCTTCACTCTAACTTGTGCCTGTGCGCAGTTCAAGACTGAGGCGAGCTCCTTCTTCTTCTTCTTCTTCAAGCAGCGCCAACTTTCGTTTCGCCCTCAGTTATTTTCCCCCTTCTGCGCCCGTGCGTCAGTTGAAGAAGCTGATGTATTATCGTTTACCCTCTACCTGCTGTCGACAAACGAGATATCTATATCGGTTGCTGCCCGATGCTTTGACGAATCAAGTCCCCTCACCAGCGTGACCACCTCCTCTTCTTTCTTCTTTATTGGTAAACATCATCTTCACCAAATACCCAACTCTTCAGTCAGGGATACACAAGGAGAGCCGTACCCCTGCGCTGTCACAAGGAGAGCCCCGCGCATTTGTCTGTCCCTGGCCCTTCTTCACCAAACCTGTCCCGCCCGCCGCTGGCAAACGCACCTTTCTCTCGACACTCTCTACCAACGGAGCTTGAGGACTTCTCAGGCCGAAGCACGTGAAGAATTCAATCTTCAGCAGCGCATCCAGTCGCCTAGGGGTGGCTGAATCCCGTTCGCCATGGACACCAGCTACCTCTCCAAGCAGGTCAGCCACAGCATCGGCCAGCTGCACAGCCTGTTCGACGACATTGGCGTCCCGGATCATGAGCGCGAGGCGCGAGAGTCCGAGGTACGATGAAGCCTCCCCCTTTATACTATTCCACCTTTGCGGGATGACGAATGGGATGCTGACGTGGATGGGTGGTTCTATAGCTGTTTCAAGCTCTGTCGGAAGCGCTCAACAACCACCTGCGCTTGGTATCGTCAGAGAAGAAGGGCATGATTGACGAGGCCAAGAAGATTGTCACAGCCATCCGGCAAATGGAGTTGTCGATGAGTGACTCGAAGCAGCGAAGAAGAGGCTCCAACGAGGAGAGCATGAAGATCTCGTACCCTTTGATGCAGTGCCTGAAGACGCTCAGGGAGAAGCATGATCAGGTACAGCGGGTGCACAGCGAACGGGTTGAGCAAGTGCAGAGTGAGTTGTTACTTGCACAAGTTGGATGACGGAGTCGCTTGCTGACGCTTTGCTGCAGAGCTCGCCGAGGCCCTCGAGTCTTACTCGTCACACCTGGAGCCTTCGTTCGTCAAGATCGCCCTGCCGCCTACTGGACCCGACGCGTCCGTCCCCCTCACATTTGATTTATCGCCATCCTACGTGGACCGCCTCGATGCAGAGTTTACGCGAGTGTATGAAGAGTACAATCGCCGGCTCGCCGTGGTAGAAACACTGGGCGATGAGATTATCCAGCTCTGGGCCGAACTTGGCACGCCTCAAGCCCAGCAGGGCACCGCCATCATCAAGTACTACCGGGAGGCCCCTGAGCAGCTTGGCCTCCATCAAGAAGATATCCAGGGTCTTCAAGCCAAGCATGACAAGCTTGCGGAGGAAAAGAAGGGTCGCGAGAAGAAACTGAGCCAGCTCAGAGCCAGCGTCGAGACGCTGTGGGAAAAGCTTGGCATCGACGAACAGGAGACCAAGGCTTTCCTCAACGAGAACAGAGGCTGCGGTATCCGCCAGATCAACGAGTTTGAGGACGAACTCGAACGACTCAACGAGGCCAAGCGCCAAAACCTCCACATCTTTATCGAGGACGCGCGCGTCAGACTCCAGGAGCTCTGGGACGCCTTGTACTACTCCGAGGACGAGATGCTCGATTTTACGCCCGCCTTCTCCGACGTCTACAGCGATGCGCTACTCGAGGCTCACGAGCGCGAGGTTGCTCGTCTCGAGGCATTGAAGGAGCAACGCGCGCCGATTCTAAATCTGATTGAAAAGCACAAGGCCTTGATGAAGGACCGGGACGAACTTATTGCCGCCAGCCAAGATGCGTCCCGCCTTATGTTGCGTGGCCAGAAGGGCGAGAAGCGGGATCCTGGGAAGCTGCTTCGCGAGGAGAAGATGCGCAAGCGCATTGCCAAGGAGCTTCCCAGGGTGACGGTCGAAGTGCGCAAGGCACTCGAGCAATGGGAGGACGAATATGACCGGCCCTTTCTGGTGTACGGCGAGCGATACCTCGACGAGGTGGAGTCTGAAGATGTAAAGCAACCTCCCCAGCGATCCAGGACACCAGCCGGCCCTCCTCCTTCGGCTGCTAAAAGCCTGATGAAGTCGGCGTCATCCTCGGCAATGAAGCCCACCACTGCCAGCAAGGGCGCGATGCCTCCGCGCTCGGTCACAAAGACTCCCTCGGCCGGTGGCATATACTCCATGGGCAACAAATCCCAACCCTTGTTGTCACAGTCCGTCATGGACTCGGGCCGCGGCGGCAGTCCAACCAGACAAGCCACGGCAAGGGCTCCTCTGTCCAAGATGAAGGACGGCAACAACTCGCCAGAGCGACCCAAGGCGCAAATTCAGCGCGGCATGGACAAGCTGCGCACTGGCGGCTCCGTGCGACTCCCCCCGCCCAAAATGCGAGACCTAAGGTCGGTGGCCTCGCTGGAGGCGCCGTTGAACGCATACAAGTCGATGGGTTTAAACTCGAGCAGCATTGTCCGGGCGGTCGATCCCGAAGATGTCTACGATGACCAGTCGCAGCTGGGAAGGATAGGGCGGTCCAACTCCAACACGTCGAGCCATCGGCAGAACAGCTACTTGGAAGAGGAGTACGACGACGGCGACGACGACCACTACTCGTCTGTGCGAGGTGTGCCGCGGTACCCCCAGGCTCTGCAAGGCAGACACATCTCTCGCGCATCCACCACATCCACGGTCGTCACCGGCTCCGAGAACTGGGAGACGTACGACGACAATAGCGAGCCAGAGCCAGACGCGTCGGACGCATACTTTGCCAAGCTCCGCGCCGCCAGGGGCAAACGAGCAGAGCCCGAGCACGGCCACCGACCTACCAGCAGTTCGGCAAAGCGCACTCGCGGGGTGCCTGCGGCATATGGGCCTCCCGTCATGATTGATCAGGACGGCAACCGCATCGTCTCGGGAAGCGAATGGACAGACGAGGATGGCTTATAAGCTGCCTTGGTTCAACGTCAACCTTTTCTATCACAGTCTATGTGCTCTCACGGTCTTATGGCAAAGACAACGACGAAGACGAGATATATGTCATGTAACAACTTCTTCCGACGGCGAGACGACTTGAACAGCGCATGAGGATGGCGGGCCATCTACAAAAGGCGTTGTGCCGCTTTTCTGTCTGTTTCTGCGGACATGCAGAGGCGCAGCGCGCTGCTGCTTCATTTCAGGTGGAATCTCCTTGCTTTGGTTTCTATTATTTGTGCTATATGTGTTGTGCATCATGTATGTGCCTTTCTTCTTCCGTGGCGGAACGCTTCTCCCTGGTTTCCTTTGTCTTGTCTTGTTGGCTACCCAGGTATTCGTTCAAATCACGGACTTGCGTTTGGGAAAGGCTCTAAGCGGGGAGCAGACGGTGTGGCAAGGGTGTAAAAGGGAAGGGGCTGGCGTTTGCGTGTGTTTGTTTGCCTGTTGACGTTTGTTTACATGTGGCATTGGATGGATGGCTTTTGGTTTGGCTGGCCGAGAAAGGCCTTTTGTATTTTGCAGCATGAAACGTGATTTACTCTGTTGGGCTCTCGAGTGTCGTGTCAATGCCGTGCTATATTAAGGTAGGTACCTAAATTTGACCGGATTCATACATACATGTCGTCTATCTGGTAGCCATGACTTATCTGGTAGCGTAAGCGTTGGAAGCAGCACGAGACAGATCTCAGCTGATGCTCGTGGACAACGGCCGTGCTGGGCTTTGATACTTGTATACTGGGCTGAGGATGACCCTGCAGATGCGCACAAGAGATGACCCACGCGATCCATCAGTGCAGGCATCCAGGTCCACTATACAAGCACTCGCAGCAGACACGCATGTGCTGAAGACACGCTACAATAAGCGACAAGGTCGGGTGGTACAGGGCAGAGTCGGCAGCTGAGGACCGAAGTTCCGCCCTCATTGATGAAGAATTAGAGACAATGCGACGATACTAATAAGGCAGAAGCTATTCCAGGAGAGGGCAGAGATGGAGGGACCCTTGTCCGGGACTTGAAGGTCTTTCCCAGTCGTACTAAGGCTGACACGGTACCTTTATTTTCTGATTTTTTTTTTTTTTGTTGAGCTTCCCGGGATCCTTCCACGTATTCGCTTTCTTTTTTCCTCGTACCTGGAGTTGTTTCTTTTCTTACGGGCCGGTGTTTCGTTTCGACTCCTGATTACCTACCTACCTTGCCTGATGACTGTGTCGTTTTCTGTTCCTTTTCCTAGCTCATCTCTTTTCCGTTCGGACGATTCCGGTTCAGCCTACTCACCTAATGATCGACTTGTTGACGTCTGCTCCTATTTTACCTTTCCTACGAGTAGCATCGGAATGCCGCGTCGAAGATCCTAGCGATACGATACGAGTCGAGTGAAGAAAGAGACGGATTAGATGATCTCTAGATTACGAACCTTTACAACCGCGACGAATCACCAAAACGAGAAAGACAAGACTGGAACCTGCAAAGACCCATCCTCTACTCCGAATCCCTCAAGCTACATCTCTCTCTCCCTCTCTCTCTTATAATACTCCCTAGATTTACATGTCGTCGGCGCCGTCCGCCATCTCGGCAATGAAATGATGTCCGACAGCGCCGCCGCGGCTGCTGCGCTCAGGGGCGCCACGCTGGCCTTTCGCAGGGACAGGGTCGACGTCGAGCAGCAGCGGGCCGAGGGGGCCGGCAGCAGAAGGGCGATTATTGATAACGGGGCGTTTTCAGCTGCGACGCAGGCGGTTCGCGGGAGGGCTGAGGGGGCCAGAGGAGGAGCAGCAGCAGCAGCAGCAAGTGATGGGAGGGTGGTGCAGCTACAGCAGCTCCATCCACAGCAGCAGACCATCGACGGGATGGCGGGCGGCGGGGGTGGCGCCACGACGTCGTCGGCGGCGGCAGCGACCGTGTCTGGCGAGAATAAGACGGCTGCCAAGAAGCAGAGCCAGAGCCTGATTGCGGCGACGCTGGCCGCCAGTCGCAGCGCCAGTCCGACGACGGCGGCGGCAGCTGGGGGCAGGGCAGCAGCAGCAGCAGCAAGGACAGACGGTCTGGCGAGCAGCGGCGGGAGCGCAAATACTTCAGGCGGCCTGGGTGGTGATGCCGTGGACGCGGGTCCCTTGGCGTCGGCTGGGTCGCTGATTTCCATGTTTGAGAGGGCCAGGGGGAGGCCGTCGCCGCCCGAGTCTGTTGCGAGCAGCGCCGAGGAAAAGGTGGACAGGACGAGGCCCAAGGCGATGACGACAACAAGCACGACAACTGCCAAGGGCAAGGCGCCGGGCAAGGGAGAGGCGCCGCCGACGCCGCCGGCTGCAAGGACCAAGACGCGCCGAGACCCGGTGGCTGACGCAGGGCCCGAGGAGGAGGGGAGCAGCAGAGCTCCGGCTGGTGACGGGAAGGCCAGGCAAAGGGCCAAACCTCCTCCTCCTGCGGCGGCGGCGGAGTACTCGGACATTTCGGCTTATCCAATGCCAACTCTTACCTCACACAGACAACCACCAGCGCTACAGCAACTATATCAGCGTCCGACGATTTCGAAAGAGCACATCACGACAGTCACTTCTCCCCGGCTGCCATCTTCTTCTACTCCACGACCTATGACGCCAACACCCGCCTCAGCCATTCAACCATCAACACCAGCTTCCTCGTCAGATGCACAACCTCGTCCCAAGAGCTCGCGGACCACGACGGCACCGCAACCTGCGACACCTCCGCCGCTCAAACCTCTTATGAGCAGGCATGTCGCCGAGGTTGTTTCTCCCCAACCGAGGCGGATTTCGAGAACGCCGCTGAGCCCCGTCACTTCCCCTCACCTTGCGCTGAACCCGGGCATCAGCGCTGCGCTCGCGCCGCCTTCTCCCGATCCTCACAAGAAGAGTAGGGACGCTGCTGCGAAGCGACCGCCGACGCCGCCGAAGCCTCGAGGCAGTGGAAACAAATCACTGGATCAGGAACAGAGTCAAGATCAGGACAAGCCTGCGCTTCGAGACCGGTCGTATAGCAGTCACACAGATGGGTCGTCGTCTGGTGGCCAGACGCGGAGCTCTGGAGCTTCCTCAGCATCTCGGCCGGCCGGGCTGTCGACGCCGCTTTCCTTCCATCAGCATGGAGAGACTAATCCGTCCTCAATGGCCCTCGCTAGAAGAGGCTCAACGATGAGCGTCCCGTCAACTCCGTCAAGGGAGCTGGTCTCTCACCGACACACAGCCAGCGGTTCGCCAAATCGAACACAGCTCGACAACCTCACCGATGCAATTGTGGCCGGGTCACTGGCGTCCGCCCGATTGACGCCTCACAATACGGGGCCTACCTCGCTGGCTCCTCCTCCCTTACCGAAACGACAAAAGTCGCCTCGACTTTTGCACACGCTCCGACAGCCGCACAACGTGCTTGAAGATGAGGAAGATCACCACAAAAAGGGGCACAGAGCGCTGCTACGAAAGGGGAAACACGCACACCACGAGGGGTCAAGGAAGAAGTGGCGCGAAGAGATTCGGCCACGGGAGAGGAAGCGCTATGAGGCGCTGTGGGCGTCCAACCGCGGTATCCTGCTTACGGATACGCGGGTGATGAGCCCGGCTACGAGCCTGAGCAGCGACCTCGACCGAGACGTCTCGCAGTGCGTGGCCAATGTCGTGGTGAGAGAAGTGTGGAAACGGTCGAGGCTGCCCGATGACGAACTGGCCGAGATTTATGATCTGGTGGATCGAAGCAGGACGGGCATGTTGAGCAGGGCCGAGTTCGTGGTGGGAACGTGGCTCGTCGACCAGCGGCTCAAGGGGAGAAAGGTGCCGGCCAAGGTGACGGATAGTGTCTGGGGGAGTGCCAACGGCGTCAGGGTCAAGGGGCCGAATGGAAAGTAAGGATATGGCGGAGAGGGATTTGGGTGGGAAGAGCGTTGTTGATACCCTTTGTAAAATTAGAATAGCATGGCATGCGAGCATTTGGATGAACTATGAGATGGTATTTAGATATAATAGATTTACTGGCTTGGACTCTGGGTCCGATTGGTGGCAATTCGTCAAACATGTGTGCTAATAGTCGTGGGTTGTGTCAATCTGACCTAAGGTAAGTGTCCTTGATAAGGTACAACTTGCCATTGTAGAAGAAAGCACAGTTTTCACGATACAATCTGCGAGTTCTTTTGTGTGAGTCTAGGTAGGTACATCTCGAACCATATCGAAACCATGATTCATATCGGCGTCAATAAGTATATATCAAAACAGTAAAAGCAGGCCATCAAGTCCATCTATTGCCAAGCGCCATACAACATGCAATGCTTAATCGATCCAAGCCAAGATTTTACATCATCCCAAGGCAGCTCCCCACACGTTCAGTTTAGAAGGTGCTGGACTTGTAGGTGGAGGAGGTGGAGTCCCCGACGGTGATGGAGACGTTGAAGTTGGTGAGGGTCGGGCCGTAGACGGCGCCGTAGAGGCTGAAGACGCTGGCGCTGATGAGGGCCTCGCCCTTTTCGGCGGAGGCGGGGATGGTGAGATACTGGGTGATGTTGTTGACGGTGTTGGACAGGTCTGGCATCGTTTTATGTTAGTTGATCCATTCTGATGCAGAGATACTAGCAGTACAGTAGGTAGGCATGAAAGGGGGGGGAAAGGGACATACTGGGTCCGAGGTAGGATGAGTCGAGGACCTGGCCCAGAGACTGGGGGTATCCCTCGCCGTGGGCAAAGCCCCAGGCGACGGCCACGTCGTAGACGGTCTGGATGTAGTTTTCCGTGAGGATGAGGCCCTTGATGGTGGAGCCGGGGGCGACGGTCTCGGGGACGGCGATGCCGGCGATGCGGGCGCTGGCGACGGCCAGGAGGGAGGAGAAGGCGGCGGCTTTGAAGAGCATCTTGGAGGCTGTTGTTTTGGTTTCTTTGAGACGAAGGGCTTGTTGGGGAGCTGGGCTTGGTGTAGTAATATACTAGTATATAGTATATAGAGCCTGGGTAATGAAGTTGTTGTGGTCGGTTGAGTTGTGGGATTTGCTTTGATGATGAGAAGGGAAGGTGTCTGATGATCTTTGAGGGCGAAGATGGTTCTTTATATAATGGAGTCCCAGAGGGCCCAATGGGACTTTTTTACAGGACACACACGATCCGGTTCTATACGAGCTACGAGCGCGGACAGACGTAAGACTACACAGTCGGACGTTCTTCGTATTGGTTCCCCCCCTGAATGGAGATCGGACGTTAGTTTCAGCATGATCGCGTGGGCGGATTGAGGCGGTGGATCGGCGCCAACACGAGCTTCTTGGGCTCCCTTTGGTTTTTTTTTTTGTTCGGCGGCTTACAGCACCGGCAGCACGGCATACATGTAGCTATGAAGAGGCTTGGATTGCACTGCGCGATTGGAGGAGAGAGAGGGGGGGGGGGGGGGGGGGGGGGGGTAAGAGGAGGAGGGATTCTTGGCTGATTTCACACCCTTCTCTGTTGGTTTCTCCTTACACTGATTACTCTTCTACTTGTTTCTGTCGTTGCTGTTCTTGTGGCAATCGTCGATATATAGAATCCGTTGACTCCTGCAGGTGGTTTCTAGCGAGTACGGGGTTATTAGTGGGTGATGCTGTTTTGGTGGAATGTGGGACACAAAGAGCGGCATCCATAAAACCTACGAAGCTAACCTGTGCTTTTTGGAGCTGCGCAGTATCGATATTGGCTTTGTGCCTTGTTACCACCGTGAGTTGTACACACATGCCCCTACGGACTTTATCATCGGTAGTGTCCTTTGCCCTACTTCCGTTGTGGTATCAATGACTTATTAAAGGGAGAATAACGGCCACTGTAAAATGCCGAGTCAAGAGTTACGGCTCTATGACGCCTTTGCTGCGGCATCTAATACGAGAAGAGGAAGACCCTTGCTTTTTGACTAGGGCTGAGGGGGTCGTGCAGATCGGCAGAGAAAGAAGATGGTGGGCAGCGGGTGAGCTGTACATACATACGGTATGTTTTGTTCGTGTTTTTGTTTCCTCTCCATCATTTGCAGCCTTCACCTCGTCTTTGACCTGTTCTACGACATGAAAGTACTCGACACAGTATTTGACGTGGTAGTAGGAAGAAGGATTGTTGATTTGGCGCTGAGCTGAGAATTTGAAAAGGAATTGACGGGGGTCCTTTTTGAGGCTGAGTGGTGTAGCATAGCATACTTGTAGGACGTGCATATCATTCGCAATCGGGATATACAGCGTATTCAGTCCCTATCGGCATCACCATGCAATGGTCATGAACTCGCCTTCAGTACAATGAAGACGTCTTCAGGATTCTATAGGAAGATGTTGATGTCTCCTTTCTCGTCCTGAGTACACCGTCTCCGACCCGTGCGCACCATCAAAAGGAGAAGGAAGCCTGTAGAAGCAAAATAGGAGACGCTGCGCAGATACGAACGGTTGCGTGGCTGTGACTAGGGGGGTACAGTACGTAGGTTGGGCAGCGCTGTAAGGGGGCGTTGCTGGCAGAACTTGGCGAGCGACATGAGGTTCAACGATGGTGGGCAATCGGCTGTGAGTCGTTTGGAAATGGGGGACTCTTGGATTTTTTTTGCTGCAGACTGCTTCATCCAGTGTCATGAGTAACTTGTTTCCTAGCATAGACTTAAGTATCACCTTGAGGGCTACATAGCATCTTCCGATTCTACGGCAGGGGGGTTGCATTTTCTCTTAGTGTTGAGCCTAACAGGTGGAGGGCTGGGCTGCATTGCGAGATTAATCCCGAATAGCCAAGATCTGCGTCCGCTGTCGTCATTGCGTGACAGCTGGGCTAGAGAGAACAGCGGCCAGAGGCAGCCAGTAGGAACAGGTCAGGCGGCGGGAATGGCTGCAACGTTTTTGCGTTGGAAGGCTGTATGACTTCATATGCGTGAGAAAGGCGTATCGTATGAGTTGTAGAATACATAACCCCTTGGGAGAATACCGGCGTACTATCTTGTGTGTGAATGCACTGCTTTGTCCCGGATCAATGGATCGAATCGAGAGACGTTGCAACGGCCCACTTGGCCGGGAGATCCGGTGGGTTTTTCATCGGCAGTCAGGGTTTGACAGCGTTGGCGGCGTCTTGCTTTGGGGATGATGAAGATCGAGGACAAACGTAAAGGGAGCCATGGACGGCGTGATATCTGCAGATAACTTGATGAAAATTGGCGACAGCTTTGGCTAGTATCCGTGATACTCAAGATAAAGTGAGCTTGACAAGCGGCGGCTGCTTGCATGTTATGAGCCATAATCGTTGCCTTGAATAATGCAAGTTCTGCATCATATACGAGTTGAGTTACCCGGGAATCAAGCTTCGTTTCAAGCTGGTAAGGAGAGCAATCCGGCTTTCACGTAGCTAGAAATATGACAGGCACCAAACAGCTGATTTGCTCTTCTTCCTCGAGCCAACATGTATGTCGAGTTGCATTAACGCAAAAAGTACCTACAAAGAGTAGGCGCGTCGAGACACGAATCAACTATGTACGTGAACCTTGGCAATACCTTATGCAGGAGCGACAATAAAATTCTGTCTCGCGTGGGTTGAAGGGTACCTTTATATATTCAAATACGAAGAGCACCTTCAACTTGCTACAGTGGCTGCTCACAGCCAATCATCTTCCGTAGTATAGTGGTCAGTATGCAAGCTTGTCACGCTTGAGACCCGGGTTCAATTCCCGGCGGGAGAGACTCGCCAATCCTGAAAAAGGATGCCTTCTATTTTTTTTCTTTTTTCCCTTTTACTTTACTATGAACCTCACTGTACAGTTTTTTTCAAAGGCCAGAAACAGTCTATCTCATTTCTTGTCTTCGCTTTTTACTTCCCAGCCCTCGTCACCTCCTCCATACCCGTCGCGAGTGATAATGACTCCAGCCTTTTCATTTGGAAACGACCAATAGATAGGCGACTTGCCGCTCTCGCATCGCCACTCTCCCCGAACCCTCACCGAAAGAGCCAGCTGAACCCAATAAGACAGTCACTGCATATGCTTTGTCGTCCTAAGACCAATGAGAAGCACATCATTTATTGACTGCCACTGCTAACGTGTTTCCAATAGACTTCATCTTCAGGCATCAAACCGGACTGCCCAACTCCCATCTCAGCCTCCAAAGTGCTGCCTTCCACTCTCCTGCTTCCTCGAATCTAGTGATATATCTAGTTGAGCTGCTAGCAAAGATGACCATTGTCATTCATTTCTTGGTCATTAATTCTTATGACTTGCTTCATTCAGTAAGATGCTTTTCAGGGCCAAAAAACCACGATGGACCATCCATCTCCTCTTCTACTTGTTACCACTTGCCAAGGCTTACACGGTGTTCGAGACCAACTGTTCTGCTCCCGTCACCCGGGCAAACTATGTGTCGTCTCCTAACACTAGAGGCACTCTTGACATATTATGGAGTTCTTTGTTCACAATCCTCGCTTGCACATGGACACTTCAGCATCCCAATGTCCCCGAACAACGTGGCACTCGTGACCCCGGACGGCTGGGTGACATAAAATGGGCGCTGAAGGGTCTCTATAGAAGCACATTACGGTTCATTGTGACAATCATTGCTCCCGAACTGATAATATGTGCGGCATGTCTTGAGCTACTGGAGGCGCACCAAGATTACAGGTCAATGCAGGACATGGCCAAAGAAGACGATGTTGCTTGGAGCCTCAGCCATTCTTACTACGCAAACATGGGCGGTTTTGTCATACAGTCTGTACAGGGGAAGGACGACGGACATTATGGATTATACCATCTCAACTCGAAAGGGATCCATGAACTTCGAAGCAGAGGATACATCGACAAAATGCCTGACGTTGCGACTGGAGAAATCAAGGATAAGTCCAAAGGCGATATATTCGTCAAAGTGATCGCGCTCGGGCAAATTCTCTGGTCAGTCTTCCAGATCATTGCACGACTTGTGAGAGACCTTCCTATCTCGCCGCTCGAGGTTGCCGTCGTGGCCTTTGCTGTCTGCGCCGTCGTTATATACGGCCTCTACTGGGGCAAGCCACAGCGTGTCGGCGTTACCATCACTATTCTTACGTATGATGGAGTCATACCAAGCGATGTGCTCGCAGGGCTGAAAGAGGTACGGCCAGCTTGGCGATTGCCAACGCTCGGAGATGCTTTACCTGGTGCGCCAATCAGCGTTCAATGCACAAGATCCGTGGGTTATAGAGGCTTCGTCCTGACCAACGTCGTCACGACCCTGGGTGCGGCCGTATTTGGCGGAATCCACGTTATTGCCTGGAACTTTGCCTTCCCGTCAGCGATTGAGTTACTCTTGTGGAGATGCGCAAGCATTGCTACTTTTGCGGCTCCCCTCTGCGTCTGTCTTATATACCTCGCTATCTTCCATTTGATGCTAATGGGAAGATTAGAGGAAGATTCTATGTTAGCCATTGGCTTATTGTTATCGTTCACGCTCTTGTATGTTGCCGCGCGGCTTTTCATTCTTGTTGAAATGTTTCGGACGCTTTGCTTTTTGCCTCCTGGTTCCTATATTTCTACCTGGACCTCAAATATCCCACATGTTGCTTGACGTCGAGGTTACCTCGGATCCTGTATATGTAGACGTTCACAGGTTCACGGCGATCGGTTGAGGAATGGCTTCATGAATTGCTGCATGTGTTCCTGTAAGATAGCCATCCAGCCAATGGACTGATCAATACTATCTGGCTTCTTTGATAAAGTAAATGGGCACCTATTGTTCGCCACCCATGGGCCATACTGTATGTAGACGCAAGACTGTTGACGATGCCTATGTTGAGACAGCGGCCTTTCTCTCTCCCGTAGATACCATCGAATAGTAATAGATGCTCATCAACTTCAAACTGTACAGTATAGTAAACCAATCATGATAACCTCGGTTATGTAGAACAGCCAGAAAAATCAGGATCTCGACTTTGAAACTTCTCTCCCTCCGTCAACGGCCTCAGCACTTGCCCCGTCTAGTAGCGGCGGCGCATCTCCGCCTGCCGCCGTCGTCACAGTGCGTCTCGTCTAGGCAAATGGGGCGGTGATGTCACTTCTCGGGCGACAATACCGAAATTCCGAACACTGTGGAAGCGACGCCAATATCGCCCTGTCGCCCCTCCCTTGCCGCTTTCCCCCCGACTCATGCCTGGTTGTCTGGTAAAACAAGTTATCAGGGGACATTGTTTGACCCGGATTTCGCTGCGCTGACTCAACCAATCCCAGCCAATCGGCGCCATTCGCCGTGATGGCCTCACACAAAAAAGTTGTGTCTGCAACGTCTGGCGATGGCGTATCTAGAAGAGGAGACTATCTAGACTAGTAGTTCCACGAGGGACGATAAGAGTGGAGGTTGCCTGGCATCACTATTCACGCTTGCGTCAAGGCTGGACGTCGATTAATATACGTGTATAATCAATATATAAAGTAGATGCAGCACGCATCTGCATGTTTAGAAGCATCACCACGTTCCAGGGTCCGGGCCTCGTACATGACAATCTGACGGGCATAAACTCAAATGCAGCACTAACACTAATCATCCATCGCATAACCAGCCTCGTCCGCCCATCCTTACCTTACCTTACCTTACCTCAGGGCATCAAGGGTGTAGTACCTACCTATATAAAACAACCCCATGTATCGCCAGTCCCCATACGGCCAATCCAAACCGTCCTCTCGACACCCGCGAAATCTCCACCAAATCCTCGTCACCCAGCTCTGCCACCATGAAGCTGAGTCTCGGTCTCACGGATGCCCTCAAGGGCCCTTACCTTGCGCGGGACTTCGTAAGAGCATCGCTCGAAATACGAGGGCCTGCCTTTCAAAAATCGCCGCGCATCTCGGCGAAGCTCGCCGGCGCCATGATCGTGTCGTATCCCACGCAGATTAACGCCGCCAGCCCTGGCCAGATTACGAATGTGGTGAGTAGCAGCAGCCCACCCGCCTTGTCCATAGTTGGAAAAGAAACAAAATTCTGAACGTTCCCCATGCTGACTTCTTGTTTGGTTCCCAGCTGTTTGAGCAGTCCAAGACGATAGAGTACCGAGACTTGCAGTGCAAAGAGGATCCCTCCACTGGCGAGTCGATATACACCACGCCCGTCGAGTTTCAGTTCCCTGCCGGAGACTGCCACTGCGACAAGGCCAAGAAATGCCAGCTCCCGCCCACGATGGATGTTGTCGAGCAGGGCATGAGAGTCAGAGTAAAGTACACCTTGTCGGTGACCGTCGGCCGCAGCGTGCTTGGGCCAATGACAAAGTCCAAGAGCGTGGCGATGGAGGTTCCCTTCAGCTGCAACCCGTCCGTCTCCAAGCTTCCGCGATCGGCCTTTGTCTTGTCGGTGCCCATGGTCGAGAAGCCCGGCCACATTGCACAGCTGCACAGCTTGACGCAGGATCAAGAGCGCGCGGATGGCTCATGTCCCTTGTATAATCCGAAGTCCGTACCGTCCATCAAAATCGAGGTTATCCTCGCGCAACCGGCCGTTCTGATCCGAGGCCAGCCGACGCCTGTTCGGATCGTCATCCATACGCCCACGGACCTGATTGAGGCGGGCGACGTCTACCTCCGCAACATCTCGATGGACCTCAAGTCGTCCGTCACGACGTCCACCGGCGCGTTGCCGCGAACACTCACGCAGAGGAATCGCGGGCTCAGCATGGCCGGGGCCGTCAAGATTGACAGCGAGCTGTTTGAGCTCGATACGGGGGCGTGGGGCAACTTTTTCGTTTTGAATACCAAGCCGACGACGGAGTCTTGTGTGCTGAAGCTGAGCCATGTGATGGAGATTGTGGCGGGGATATCTGTTGGGCTCGGGAGCGATGTTAAGGTGAGTTTTGGATGCTTTTGATTGTGAAAACCAGGGAGAATTGAGGCTAACTCGTATGAATTACTAGTATGCTGGTGCGGCGTATGAGGTTATCGTGATGGAACCACCACCGGCGTATGAATCAACCACAAAAAGCGACTGCATTTCCAACGGCGAATAGAGGTGTTACGGTGGGCCATGTGCGATCTCTGTGTAACGGATGTAACCCATGTGGAGGAGGAGGATGATGATACCCGGCATTGGTGGCTCTGGCTGACGACTCACATGATGAACTTGACGGAGTGATGGCTAAATATTGTAAGCGATACTATAGACGAATAGACCGATCTTTTTACATTTATAGGAATCTCTGTCGCATTAAAAGAAATCTAAATGTCCATGAAATGGCGCAGTTTTGAATATCCTACGACAGCATCATCCGAAGCGGCGTCTCTCCCCTCGCCGTCCTCCACCGATTGGTCGACTCAATGAGCTCGCCACAGCCCTCAACGGCCCACGACCACTTCCTCAAGAACCCCGGCGTCACCTCCCAGCTATCCTTGTGAAAGGGCTCTCCCCACAAGATGAATCCCCTGCGGTCCACTGGAGCATCGTCACCTGCATCGCCATCATCCATATAGTTACCATCATTGTCAGCACAATCGTGTCCCTCATCACCATCCTGACGAGCGGCGTTCCGGCCCGCCCTGGCACGCAACAGGCGGCTGCCGCGACTTGTCCTTGGCGGCGGAGCGGTCATGCAGCTAATCAGGTTTCCCAGCAGGTCCGTCAGAAACTCCGCATGGCTGAAGTAGTTCTCCCATCGAATCAGGTTGTCCCTCATCTGCGGAAAGGGAAACACGTCGATCCAGTTGGAGTGGGGGCACGACAGCTGCAACCTCGTCGGCGCTAAGCTCTCGGGGAGGCACAGCAGTGGTGACGGGAAGGAGGAGGAGGTCATCTCGGGGAGATGGGGGAGGACACGCTTCAGCTGGGCCGAGGCGTTGCCGCTGCACTCGATCAGCGCGTTGGGCTTGACGACTCTCTTGTTGTACGAGAGGCCCCGGAGGACGTTGAAGTGGATCAGGTGCAGGAGGTGGTCTGAGAGGAGGCAGTAGCTGAAGCTCAGCCAGGGGGGAGCGGCGGCACGGGATGGAATCGACTTGGATGCGGAGGCTAGCGACGTACAATGCGGACGAGATTCCCCTTCAGGTTCCGGATGCTGCTCTGAATGGATAGAGACTGCCGATTGACTGGAAGACGTAGACTTGCCCTTTTGCACAGGAGCACCGGAGACAGAGCTACAGCCGTGGTTGTTACGCCTGGTTGGCCTGATGATGCGTGGCATGTCATCTCTCCCATCATCTAGCCGCCAGCGATGGACACGATAAGGTTGCGTCGAGCTGTTGATCCTTAGCTCCCGTGCTCTCGATCCTTTGTACCCAAGTTGCTGTTAGCCTCTTCTTCCCTTGCCTGCCCTCCCCTTCGAAAGAGATGGCCACTTCATCTATAACATGTTGTGTCATTGCTCTACGTACGATGTGCTCTCTGGTTCAACCGGTTCTGGATCCTTCTCCGCGCGTGACGTAGCTCGCTCGCTGCTGGGACAGCACCAGCTTTGGTACCAGCGTCGGCTCTGCAAGATGCTCGTGTGGGCGTACAATGGCTTGGCGTCATGGCAACGAGGACAATGGACGTGACAAGGTGGTACGAAGTATACTAGTGGTGTGGCAATAAGCGGCAATAACAACGTGAACGAGTGAACGGGCAACACTGCAAGCAGAGAGACTCAGGTACCCTGTATGCGCACGTTTTCTACGGAGCATATAAGTTTGAAAAACGATGGAATTAGAAGAAAGTAGTCGAGTCGAAAGAAGGCAGTTTCGGGATTGCTGGGCGGCTGCTAGGGGCCGGCGTTTAGATGCCACGCCGGCAAACTATCCCAGAAGAGGCAAAAAAGGTCATCTTCCAGGCGGCGGAACCGGCACCTGTGGGACTCGATGCGGCGTTTCCACAAGTCCGCCGGGGTGGAATCTGGCTGAGAGAGACTAGGCTGAAGGAGGGAAATAGCATCAGCGGGACCGGGGGCGAGGTGAAGCTATTCGCGGATCTAATTGCACGGAGGGAGGTTGAAGACGATGGAGGGTGATATGGATTTGCGAGGAGACTCCGGAATTGGGTTGATACCCAGTTGATAAGGGTTCAAATGAGCTGGATGGGACATATATAAGGTGAGTGACACGACTTGTCTGATTGCCGGATAGGTAGAAGAAGAACTCAGGTTGAACGCTTGGCACAGGATATCTCATCAGCACCACTTACACCATTCACATCGCTCACACATTGTTCATCATCCACACCACTTACACACGCGCCGCCATGTCTCGATACGCAGAGGCTCACGTCTCCCCCCAAGGCCCCGGCGATGCCCGTCCAACCGCCCTTCAGATCGTCAAGGACGAGCAAATGACGGACAAGCTCAAGGGCAAGACCATTGTCGTCACGGGCGTCTCCTCTGGCCTCGGCGTCGAGACGGTCCGCGCCCTGGCCGCCACAGGCGCCTCCTTCATCCTGACCGCCCGAGACGTGGAAAAGGCCAAGAGGGCCCTCGGCGACGTCTTGGAGCCGTCCCGCATGAAGCTCGTCGAGATGGACCAGGCGTCGCTCGACAGCGTCCGGCAGGCCGCAAAGACGATCCTCGCCAGCACGGACAAGATCAGCATCCTCACCAACAACGCCGGCATCATGGCTGTCCCCGACCTGCAGCTCACCAAGGACGGCCACGAGCTGCACTTTGGCGTCAACCACCTCTCGCACTTTCTCCTCTTCCAGCTGCTCAAGCCCGCGCTGCTCGCAGGGAGCACCCCGGAGTTTGCCTCGCGCGTCGTCAACGTCTCGTCCGCCTCGCACCGCCTCGCCGGGCTGCAGGACTCGGACAACTACAGCTTTCAGAAGGGAAACTACAACAAATGGGTGGCGTACGCCCAGTCGAAGACGGCCAACATCTATATGGCCAACGAGATTGAGCGCCGCTACGGCTCACGGGGTCTCCACGCCTTGAGTCTCCATCCCGGCGGCATCCACACGGGCCTGATGCGGTACGTTTCTGAGGAGGAGACCAAGGCCATGATGGCGCAGATCGGGCCCGAGATCCTGCTCAGCATGAAGAGTCCCGAGCAGGGCGCCGCGACGCAGGTCTGGGCCGCCATCGGCAGGGAGTGGGAGGGCAAGGGGGGCAAGTACCTGAGCGATGTTGCCGAGGCCAAGCCGGGGCCTGACGATCGGGATATGGCTGCCCCGACGACGGTGAGCCATACGTATAACGAGCAGGAGGAGGCCAGGCTTTGGAGGGACTCGCTCAAGCTTGTTGGGCTGGAGGATGACGAATAGTTGGATGGGACGGTTGCGCGGGAGGATCATGTCCAGTGGCAGAGTAATATCTGGAAGATGGACGAAGAAGCTGAACGAGCAAAAAACGTGCTAGTCTCAGTTCCCGGCATGCAGATGAAACACCTATTTGGAATTGTCTGGAGTGATAATCGAGGCGAGGGGGGCGATACCGACTTTTAGCAGGATTCGGAATATAATCTCCTCAACATCATGATCATCTCAAACAGCTATATTCAGCTCTCTTCAAGAGATCCAGTTTCACTAGGGCTGGCGAGATACGCGAGGGCAAGGGGAAGGTTTCAGGGGGACCGGTCAGCTGGTGACTAGCTGCCGCGTTTCCATAAGCCGTCCACTGACGTGACTGAACTCGTGATGATACATGTTGCTGTTCCGAGCACTATCACACCGTACCTAAGATACTGACGTCTTTGATAAGGCGAGGGAGTCCACCATGTCGTAATTCCTACACTGAAGGTTTTACACTGATCGCGGCGATTCCATGATGTATTCAGTTCTTTTTGTGTACTCCGATGTCTCAAACCGAATGATGAATTAACCAGCCTAATGAATATATCCTTACTTGGGCTTCATAACAAGGGTCTTTTCGACGAGTCACATGTATTCACGATGCCTCCCACGCTGAGCAGGATTGCGGCTGGCATCAATTGGACATTACATGCTCTATAGAAGGATATCTATATCGACAATAGTGCCTCAAAATAAATTAGAAGCGTACATTAAAGTCGGGGCCTGGGAAGCTCAAGGACGCCGGCAACAAACATGACGGTCAAATGAAGTCGGCCAGGGCTGTGACTGAGAATGGCTTCCACCGCTCCGAGCAATCGTAACCCCTAGTCCGCTGACAGTCATGCATGTCTCATATACTAGTTCCGCGGAGACTGGCGTTTCCTCTTACGCAGCCAAGCCCATAGGACACGAGTTGTACACGTTGTATTACTACCGATATTGGTACAAGGTGTGTATGTCGAGGCTCGGGTTGAACGACAGGGATGGTGCAGATGAGCAAGTGAGACATACACCCAATGTCGCCCCGGTGACCGGGTTCCTGATAAGAGCAGATTTGTCTGTGCTTGAGCTCCAGCCTTTGCTCATTTCATCTTTGAGTGTGCAGATCGAAATGTCTGCTCAGGTAAAGGCTGCTCGTCAATGGCTCGAGCAATGGAAGTAGAATCCAGGTTGTCTCAGTCTCAGCTTGTCCCGATAGCGATACCATCGCATTTCTTATCGAGTACAGATTGGGGATCGAGGGAGCGCTCAGCACACACGCATCAGGTGCACCACCTAGTCTCGACGATGACGTCGAAGTGTTCTAAAAGGCAATGAGGTGTGTACTCTGATCAACTGAGACTCTACGTCCCTGCGGAGTGAGAACAATAACATGTAGTGCATAAATTCTCGGGTACGCGAGGTTCTACAACAATAATCGTAGCTTATGAGAGAGATTGACTTGGTCTCTTCTTGGGCTTCCGTGCGGGACACGCAATTTCGAACGCCTTTGACGGGGCTTTCAGCCTAGACTTGAGACGTATGCTATCACGGCTGGTCGTCGTTCCAACCACTATCATTATTGCCCCATCATGAGTGGTGTATCAACACTTTCAGAAAGCTGATCTTCATCACTGTAAGCTCTCTCTCACGCTGAGACCCAGCCATCTGCCTTGTCTCACATTGTGTATACTAGAGACGTGACTCTCGTGACCTACCGAGACCAGAGAGTCATGTCGATCCGATCGACTCCAGTGGATAAAGGCAGAGCTCCAGAGGTTCCTTGCCGCGACTCTTACTCAGCCTCGACCCTCAACACCTTGAAAGCAGCAGTCATATCACCGGGGTCACCGGTAGGAGGGGTGTCCTCTCCCAGACATAAGCTTAACATTATCCATACTAAAGGTCGGCCGTGATCGACAGACAATCTTTCCCGTCTGGAAACCAATGCTCGCTCTTGGCAATCCTAAGAGCGGGCGCTCACCCGGCAATAAACGACGGATATGCTCTTGTCCTGATGGAATCTCAAGGAGGTTTTCGCAACTGTGTATGTATAACATATGAGGCGGACAATACTGCTATTGGTTTCTGCCACAGCCTGGGCCTGGTATTGGAAAGACCCGTGGTGAAGAGGTGAGAACTTTGGGCTTCAGTGTAGCATCGACACATCCGAGGACGCAAACTATTTCCAGCGCGTGAAAGCATTATCAAGCGTAATCGTGAAGCACAGATTGTAGAGTGTATCAAAATGTCTGACGAATATAATCCAGCATTTCTACGCACGAGACACATCGGAGCAGGGTGCAATGTCCACTTTCTGACCACCTTGAACCACATATATACAAGCAGGATGTACATGTGATGTAGTAAGATATGGGAGGACCATGTCTCTAGAAGAAGATTGAACCCTCGTCGTCTGGGCACCTTTCATCTCTCTTCTGCCGGACAGGTTGGAGGGTTACACTACAGCCCCCTCCACCCTTGCCCGGAGGTCGTCCTTACTCGAGAGTACGAGCTGTGACTGACCACCGTGGAACGGCAGCCATCCCTCATACAAGCATTACCGTAGTATCTCGCAGTAGCAGCGGTGGGTTTGATGGCCATACAACAGCACAAACAGACTCTGATCGTAGTTGTACTTCGTAGCCGCATTATGTCTCACCTAGATTGTGTTCACTTCTACAGGGACAGGCGGCTAAGCTCCGTCGAGTGCCGAGTTCCGCAGCCCATCATCTCCTTATGTCGGTACTTACATGTCGTACTAGAGCCAGAGAAATTGTCTGACCATGAATCCTCAGATACGGAAAGACAAATACCACCCTCGATGATGTGAACGCTTTGGGACTTACGATAGCAGTCCGTAGTGCTGCCCGTTTGGATGTGCGCTTGTTGCAGGCCCTACGTATTCCAATCAGCTGAGTGAGAGAGTCGATGGCAGCGTCAGGGTAATATTCATGATGCACACAGGCATATAAGTATCCCTACTCTTTCCTCATGGGACCGTTGAGGCTGATGCCTGTGGCCAAAAAGCATTTCCACGAGAGCAACACGGACGATCACTTACAATGAGGCCTTTCCCTGCATTGGCTACGGCCTTGCAAGTCTTGTGTTTTCCAAGGCTGTCGCATCACACTCGCCGGGCTGAAGATGGCGGTTTTCCTCCATTATTGGACGCTACTCTCGCTGACCTACGGCTCGGGTTGGACAGCGACCTGTTCTCCAGCGTTGACCTGGTCAACGCCTACATTGACAGGATCTTAGAGGTCAACGCAGTGCTCAAGGCTGTCACGGAGATCAACCCCGACGCGCTTCTGATCGCTTCGCAGCGAGATGCAGAAAGGAGGGCGGGCATAGACCCGGCCAAGCAGCCCCTCCATGGCATCCCCATCCTCCTCAAGAACAACATTGCCACCAACGACGAGATGAACAACACAGCGGGCTCGTACGCGCTGTTGGGAGCCAAGGTCCCGCAAGACAGCACCATTGCCGCCAAGCTGCGCAAGGCCGGAGCCATCATTCTCGGCAAGGCCAACATGTCACAATGGGCCGCTTCTCGAGAGCTAATCAATCACGAGGGCTGGTCGGCTCACGGCGGCCAAGCAGTCGGTGCGTACTTTCCACAGCAGAACCCTAGAGGGTCGTCTTCAGGAAGTGCCGTCTCTGCCTCTATCGGTCTCGCATGGGCTGCAGTCGGGACAGACACCGGGGGCTCGATCCTCTTGCCTGGGCATGCGAACAACGTCGTCGGATTCCGCCCCACGGTGGGCTTGACGTCGAGATACCTGGTGATTCCGTATTCAGAACGGCAAGACACTGTCGGGACTCTGACTCGGACGGTCAAAGACGCCGCATATCTCATGCAGGCCATGGCCGGGCCTGACAAGCGGGACAACTACACAAATGCGATACCCTTTGACGAGCCGCCGGATTATGTTGCCGCATGCACGGGTTCCGGCCTCAAGGGCAAGCGGCTCGGCGTGTCTCGCAACGCAATGGAGGCAGACCTTGATCCGACGGCCAAAACCGATCCGGAGGCATTCGAGAAAGCGCTGGACGTGCTTCGAGCAGCCGGTGCCGAGATTATCGACAATGTCGACCTGCCTTGCGCTCTGGCATTACCTGACGACCCCCAAAGCTCAGAGCCCTCGTTCTCGCTTGTTGCCGCCATCTTCTCCATTGTGGGAGCAGATTTCTTGTCTGACTTGCCGACAAAGTACCTCAACCTTCTCAAAGAGAACCCGAACAACATCAGCTCAGTCCAACAACTGCGTGAGTTCACGAGGGATAATCCTCGCGAGGGTTTCCCACGGTTCGACACCGGGTCATGGGACAACTTCCTCAGCTTTGGCATCAACAACACGGCGCCGAGTTATTGGTCCAACGTCACGGCGATTACCGAGTTTCTCGGGCCCTTGTGCTTCACGGGAGCGCTGGAGAAGCACAAGCTGGACGCAATGGTTCTGCCGACGCCACACTCGGTCATGATGGCTTCTGGCCTGGGACTGCCCGTTGTCAGCGTGCCCCTGGGACGCAGCCCGGACGATACTCCCGTCATCAAGTCGGACCAGGGGAATTTGATACTGTCGGCCCCCAACGGCCCATTCGGCATTGCGTTTTCGGGCCCTGCATTTAGCGAGGAGAAGCTGTTCGCCATGGCGCATGACTTTGAGCAGAGGATGAATGTGCGTCCGACCATCAAGCCTTTCATATCACCAAGAACGGAGCTGGCTCAAGTGGTGCGCAAGCGGTGCGTGGGAGACTCGAGAGATCCTTGTGGGAAGGCGTTCAAGTAAGTCAAGTGCCTCTAGGGTGGCCATGTTTGTGGAGAACGCGGCATGACTCGATATTACTCTCTTTGTTCTCAATTTCCAGCTGAACTCTACCTGAGTGCTAGTGGTCAGCTGTGGTTGTGTTTGATAGGTAGATAGATGCAACGAATATTTTGCACAAACAAGACAATGTGATCATGCAAGTCACAGTATTCTGATAGCGACTATATCGAGTACCCATAGAACGAGGTCGGATGACCCGAATGAATGCTTTCGGAAATCACACGAGTTTACTATGTGATGTTCACGGCAGATGAGTTGGCAGCAGATAATGCGCAACTCGTGTCAAAATGGCCATCTGGTGGCCTCTTGTCAAACAGCTCCAAGTCGGGCAGGAGATAAACACAATAAGGGGTCCAACCTGGCATTGTACAACCTTGCCATATGTCGTACTAGAGTGCTTTCACACCACATGTTTTGGCTTTCTGGCAGGTGATGGACAGACGCATCAGGGCACACAAAGAGTCGGGATGCGAGTTTTGTCTTGCATATCATGTCAGAGGCATCACACCCAAATGAGCGATCATCGCACGAAAAACGTCGTGTGCTCGGGCCATCGGCGAGATTCTGCTCGGGCCATCGACTCAGCCCGGTCCGCTGAAGAGACGTTGAGCTTCAAGGACTTCGGACATCGTTGTTGTCCCGGCGTGGATATCATCAGACAGGGTCAAGATTTGACGGGGTCGAATCGGACATGGCATTGCACAAGGTAGGGTAGGCAGTTGATCGCGGAGGATTATTCATCTGGTTCGGTGCTGACAGATGCGTGTGTCATCCTGTGGAGTCCTGTTCAAGAACGACTTGGCCAATCACAAGAAGCCTGGCTACTAGATCTATCAAGGCACGAGGTGCAGAAGATTCTGGTCAAGTATAAAAGATATTTCTGCCTTTTTCATCACACAGCAGCAAAGAAGAAGTAAATAATAGTACCTAAAGAGAGAGTGAGAAAGAGAAGGACTGTACTCTATAGGCAGTCAAAGACGAATGATCCTCACGAGGACCCAACCCAGAATCCTTCTGCTCAAGCAAGCTAGTGCAATTGTGACCGGGCGTGCCATTGCTGCTGCAACACCGAGAGGGACAAGACTTATATCATACTCGACTTCAGACAGATACGCAGTAAACATGTCTGGCGCTGGGGCTCAAGCTTCAAATGACAAGCAGGATGCCGGCTCTGCGAAAGAGGGGCTTCCTCCGCTTTCAGACCACGAGTTTAAGATCTACAACCGTCTGGCAGAGAGAATGGATTGGTTTGTAAGTCAAGCATATGACTGATACATCTTCGACGATCACATTCCTTCACCCATCACACCTGTTCACTTGCTCTCATCCCACTTGTATATCCACGTGCACATACACGTACACATACCTACACGTACACATAAGGTACACAAGGGGAGATTATGTACCTAGTTCTCACACTCGACTCACACAGCACAACAACTTCCGGCGATCCTGGAACATCCTCTGGCAAGCCTGCACCACAGGCCGCCGCCCTCAAGGCTTGTCCATCAAGCAGCTGCTCCAGATCGGCGCCGAGTTTGCCGAGCATCTCACCGTCCACCATTCCATCGAAGAGACGTACGTCTTCCCCCAGCTGGCGCGGCGGATGCCCGAGTTCGACCCCAAGAAAGGAGACCTGGTGAAGCAGCACGCGCAGATCCACGACGGGCTGGAGGAGTTTGAAAAGTACCTTGGGCAGGTCAAGAGCGGCGAGAGGGACTTTGAGCTGAGCGTCTTGAAGGAGAAGATGGAGAGCTGGGGAGGAGTGCTGTGGACGCACCTGGATGACGAGGTGAGGTCGCTAGGAGCGGAGAATATGAGAAAGTACTGGACGATACAGGAGATTCAGCGGCTGCAGATGTGACAGAGGTGGGTGGGCTTGTTTTCTTCTCTTTGTCGTTGGAATGTGTGTTTGAAAGCATAGGAAAGAAGTATAGACAGATCAATAATGGAATAAACGGAATGCATAAATTAGGAAGCGTAAATGGCTGGAGAGACATCGTGATGTTGACTGAAGCTGGTAATGTACCCAAACGACGCAAATACAGACAGAACAAAAAGCTCTACAGACCTATCCAAAATTCTACCATTGCCACATACTAGTAGTTCCTTGTGCTTCTGCGAGACTCAAGCGTCACGCAGTACTCCCGGTGAAAGATCCGGTCGTGTTGTTCATCTATATGCAACAACTCATGCTGAAACAGATGCCAAGAAAAGAGCGCGGAACATGATCAGGCACTGTCAGTCTTCCCTTCACGCCCCGTGTAACACAGCCGCCAAACAAGAAATTAACGAGCCAACAGGTGTCTCGGCCTGTGCTAAGAGAGACTCGACCCTCTCATGCAATCGCCGTCTCTCGCCAGAGATCAATCATCTGGCCCGTGGATGGGTACATGGCCAGCAGCGCCACCAGCGTCTCGGGCAGAGGCCCTCCACCAGCCATGCCCCAGTGGACAGTCAACGGGGCCCATGCCAGGTTGCGGAAGAAGCTCTTGTTCCAAGTACTCAGCCAAGCGGCGTCCTTGGCCTTTGCGCTCTTTCGCGTCCGCTCCAGCAGCAGTCTGCCGAGTTCCATAAAGGTATAGGTGCCCCAGCATCGCACGCTGAGGAGACCAAACCTGCCCATGGTGGCCGGCTTCAGGTCAATTGCCTTTTTGCTGCCCAGGAACGCGAGGTTCTCGAAGATCTGGTATAGAATGAGGATGACGATCTGGGCAACAGAAAAGACTCGATCGAATCGCGCCTCCACGACGGCATCCGAAGACTCATTGTCGGAATCTTGCTTCTTGGGGCGTGGCCTGGAGATGACCCTCTTGAGCGCAAAGTAGAGGCCCAGCAGGCCCCAGAGCCGATTGATCGTTCGCGCCTCGCTGAGCACGGCAGCAAAGGCCTTGAGCTTGTTCGCCAGGCTGAGCGCAAAGGCCGCTCCGGGAGGCGCCGGAGCCGACGAAAGAACCACCGTCGTCGCGGGTGGCAGCTGGAAGGCCATGGCCACCAGCTTCTGAGCGGACTGGCGCAGCGCGTTGCGGCTCAGCGTCTCGAGCACGGCGCCCGTCAGCTTGGACGAGTAGCAGAGGAACTGCAGGACGGCATCGGCGCCGGCGCGGGTCTGCAGGCACCGCAGCAGATGGCCAGCAAAGGCATCCGCATTCGAGGGCACGGCGGCGAGGACGGCGCCAATGGGGACCTTGGCCGGTGCGGTGATGGAGGGAGCAGGGTCGGCGACAGTCATGGCGGACGAGTCGATGGCGGCGGCTACTTCTGTCGGGGCTGAATCGACGGCGATCTCGGCCGCACCGGTGTCGACAGCCGTGTCGGTCATGATGGCGGCACGGCAGAGAGCAACAGACGCAGACAGAGACAGAGACAAGAGCCAGAGAGGCGCGAGGAGACGAGGGCAGAGAAGGGGACTGTGATGGCGATCAACGGCGGCTATCGATTAGAGCTAATCGTTCGGTGCCTTAGGTGGGTAAGGTACCTAGGTAGCTCGGAGGTAGTACCTGGAGTTCCTTGCAACGAACCGACGCTCGGAGGAACCGGCCGAGCCAAATCGTCAATTGTACAAGACTGAGCACAATTAAAGTCCTCCTTCACGGATGAAATTGATCAAGTACTAAGGCTAACGTTACAGATCTTGTTGGTTTTTCTGTTCTTTTTCTACTGTTGGCCCTCGACCTCTAATTCGCATATTAAACCATACCTACATACCTGGCCAGCCTCGCGTCCAAGCACTGCCGAGGTCCACCCCCACAAAACCTCGGATAAGGCGTGTGCGTGTGAGTGGGCGAGATCCGCTGTGCAGCTTCGACTGGCCGCGAATTGCTCCACGTTTACTACTGCCGTCGGCTCCGAGTTGTCGTGTGTCTCTTATTCGGACTTCGAATAAGAACGGGAGAAAAAAAACATGTACGGACTGGCGTACGCCCCTCTAGCGATTGTATGGTAGTAACACAAATAATCAAACTATGTGGAACGACTGGAGACTCTTCTGGATCCATTGAATGGTAGGAACATTTGTTCACATACTTTATGAGATCAATTTCTTCCAACGCTCGATCCCAATATCTTTTTTGCACTGCTCAATTCTAGTAGGTAGCCACCCGACACTAAAGACCATTGAGGTGAGGCTGGCACCGATATCCATACGGCAGATTTATATGATCAACTTGATCCGATGCCTCTCATGCATAGTATACATTGCGTCTGCATCCTTCCGTCTCCGTTACCCTAAATACGGCCTTGTCACTTACAGAGTTTTCACTCTAGCATGAGCATATGGCTCCTAATGATCACGGGATAATAGGCCCAACTTTGTTCAAACCTCCCACGCGAAATGATTCATGGGACAACATATCGGGGTTTGGGAGAGGCCAGCTTTCACCAAGCCAAAGTTCCTTGTGGGAAAGCGCTGGCGACATCAATCCTCCCGATCTCCACATAGGCAAATTGAAGCATGAAAGTCTCACGAGGGGGAAAAAAAAAGGTCAACATTCATTCTATGTTTTATGCATTCCCATTTTTGAAAAATTTCCAGTTCAACCCATCAAACAGAAGCGGCGAGTTCCCTCCGTTTCCTCGCCCGTCGTTCGGGACTTTTCTTCCATTACAAGAGAAATCCCTCCCTTATCCCATGCAAGCACACAAGAGAGAGAAAAGGGGGGATTCGAAAATACACCAAGGAAAAGTGTCAAAACTGACCAAATTCGGACGCCCTGCCAGCCACCCGTCTCATACCTAATTCACATGCTTCGACTCTTACCCTCTCACGGCAGCTCCCAGAGCTCCACCAGTGAACTGAGTGCCACCAGCCTGTCGCTGCGGGTTACCGCCGCCGCGAGGGCCTCCTCTGCCTCCACGCTGGCCACCCCGGTGGCCGCCCCTGCCCCTGCCGCCCTGTCTCTCAAAGGCACTTGAGGTGCCCTGGGTGCGCTGCTCCAGCGTCCGTTCGTTGGTCTCGATGAGCGCGCTGGCCTTGTCTGATAGGGCCAGGGCCAAGGACTGCAGTCTGCTGAGCTCAACGCCCTTGCGGAAGATGACGTTGTTGGTGACCTGGTCGAGAGAGGCTGCCAGTTCCTCGTGGCTGATCATCTTGCTGATGACGGCGGCCACCTTGGTGGCGTCAAGTTCGAACATGCTGCTCAGAGTCTCAATGGCGAGGGTGTCGTAAAAGGGGGCGTATGTGAAGAGGTAGGTCCGCAGGCCCTCCTCCTGGATCTGCTTGGACAGCATTTCCTTGATCTCATCCGTGTTGGGCATCAGGTCCCAGATCTTGATGCTGTGGATGTAGCTGATGGACTTCTTCCACTCGCCAGCAGCAAGAGCCTTGGAGGCTTGCATCACGTGGTCCCTGGTGTTTTCGGGAGGACCGGTGAAGATCTGTCTCTCGTGGTACTCCAGCATACGGCGGTAGGTCTTGCTGATGACGCGCTTCTTCACGTCGGGAGAAGAGCCAGTCTGGGCGAGGAGGGGAATCTCCAGAAGCATGCTGCAAGTGAGGTAGACGCACTCGAGCAGCTCCAGGTTGATGTGCATGTGGAAGGGCAGCTGTCTCTGCTTCTCGAGGCGCTCCTGCTCAGGAGAGACCTGGCTGTACCTCTGCATCATGACACCCTGAGCGAGCAGCTCCTTTTGGCGTCCACTGCCACAGATCTCCTGCAGGGTGTTCTGTGCGTCGTAGATCAGGCCCTTGCGGAAAGCACAGAGACCGACCTGGACCAGAGTGCGGTTGTACAGAATCTGGCTCTGGATGTCAAAACCAGTAACAGTCTCCTGCAAGTGCGACATGAGCATCATGTCGCGGGCCTTGTAGTACTCGTCGTGCAGAGCGAGGAAGTAGACTTGGCAGAGCAGCGCCCTGGCGCGAAGAATGCCCTCGCTGTTGGAGTAGAGGTAGGCGCAGAGAACGTTGACCAGGTTGGCGGGTTCCAGAGCTTGAGCACGAGGCGTGGTGGTAGAATCGACATCCTCGCCAACAGACTTCCAGCAGTTCTCTTCAAATGTCTTGACGACTTGGGCAGGCTACAAATCACGGTTAGCTCGGCGCGTCAGAGAAGACAACGGTTCGAAATGTTCTCACCTTGAAGTAGACGTGCTCCAGTCTTCGCATAACGATGCGGTTAACACTGTCCTGGGGGACATCTAGCGTCTCGTCCTTCTTCAAAGTCTCGTAGTACAGGAGGCCGCGGAAGATGACGTTGTACAGTGCACCCTCGTCCTGGAGGCGCTCAATGTACTCTGAGGTGTGGGGATCGATGCTCTGCAGGGATCGGTGCAGTTCATCGTCAAGTCGCTCAACGTAGGAGACGATGCTACCGGCAACCTTGATGTACTTCTCACCAGGCTGCAGAGTGGGGGGCTTCTCGTCGTCATCCCACTCTTCAACGTTCTCCAGAACGACGTATTCCTTTGACTCGGAGAGGATCGTGAGAAGCTGAGACAGTTCCTTCTCAGCAGCCTTCCAGTGGTCGAGGGGCATCACGTTGGTGGCTCCGGTGCCGAGGTCGAATCGGGCAGAGACCAGGGTCAGAAGAACGCGGATCTTCTGGTAGGGGGTGTTGGCGATCTCGTTGAGCTTCTCCATCACCTTGATCTGCTCGAGTCTGTCCGTGTTCTTCTTTCCACGAGTCTCCATGATGCCTCGCAGGTGCTTGAAGATGCTCTCGGGGGTGTACTGCAGGGTACGGCCGCCCTTTCCAACGGTGGCGAAACCATCATCGGCAACCTCCTCAGCACCAGCGGTCTCGTCAAACTTGACAGCCTTGGGGACCTTGGGCTGGGGAGCTTCCTCTTCCTCATCTGAGGACCACAAGTAGGTGTCCTTGTCCTCCCGGTAGACGGCGATCTCGGCCTGGTAATCCTTGTTGGTCTTCTTGACCTTTTGCTTGACGGCATTGAGGGCACGGGCCTGAGTGGCGTTCATCTTTTTCGGCGTGACCTTGGCCTTTGCAAGTGCCTCATTGACGGATTCCTCGATCTCGGCGATGATCTTGATGTAAGGCTTGGGTATTCTGCTGCCGGCAGGAAGCTTGGACACTTGGCGGTTGAGCTTGTCGAACTCTGTGTAGGGATAATAGATTAGTGCTGCTGCTGGATCATAGTTACGGTGTGATGGTTGCCATACCGGTGGAAATGAGGGCCCAGTCGCCATTCTTCTGGCCGTTCTCAATTTGCTTGATCGACGTCTCGAGCTCGTCCAGTCGCTTGACCTGTGCGCTCTTGACCTTGTCTCGGACCTCGTCATCGCTGCCTTCGCTATCGGACGCAACGTTGTCTCTCAAGAATCGAAAGGCGCCCTGTTTCTGATCGCCGCCGGCATCCTTGTCGGCGTCTTCACTTTCCTCGTCGGAGTTGTCGAACTCATCGGATTCTTCCTCGGACTGTTCCTGGTCGAGTTCCTGGTCCTCCTCTCCGGAGTAGAGCTCCTCCTCGTCGCTGGAGCTCTCGCTGGAGCTGTCGTCACCGCCGCTGCGGAAGAATCGAGACATTTTGGCGAACTTTGATCTCCCTTGTAGTCGTTCGCTATGGATTCCGTTCGATGCTGCTGCAAGGATTGAGAGCCAGGCCAAGGGTGTCGAGGACTCTCGTTCGAGGTGCGCGGGGTTGGTTCACAAGTCGAAAGGCGAAAATTCGACGAAATTTGGTGGGAGGTGGGGCGATGCCTTGGGGCTTAGCGAATGCGTTTTCCAACACTCTGCTGAGGTAAGGCTATCTGGCCACTGGCATGCGACCCAGCAGTGCGACCGGATATTTGCCGCGGACAACTCTCAGTGATCGATATGGCTGACATAATGTGCGGAATTAGACGGATATCTCCTCGACCTCTTCGGCAAAAATCAAGCTTGACACTCTTTGCCATCTGACAGGAGTTCGGAGAAAGAATCCGGTTCGACAGGGTACAATGCTATCCAGACGCTGCGCGGACGGCACATCTGCCGCAACATCCTTCATTCAGCTCGCCAAACGACGATACTCCGCGGCTCCCTTGCATGCACAGCAAACACCTCTGGAATTCCTCATACCGCGCAGAGCTTCCCAGGCTTCACGACTCCAAAGTGCCTGCTCTCCCACTCGACTCGGACAGCGCTTATTAATAACACAAGTCTCGAAAGCATCCTTTCTACCTATCGGCCTGAATTCACCCAGTCGACCGTTCACAGCCTCCACAGCCCGACTCGCCACAATATGCGTTCGAAATCCCGTCAAGGATGAAGAAGGCAAAGAAATGAAGTTGGAGATAACTCCACGGGCGGCTCAGGTATGTCATTTGATCAGTCGCGTGCGGTAGTTCCTTGCTCTGTTCCAGCAACATCTAATCAACTTTCTTATGTAGCGACTCTCCGAAATCATGGCGAAGGACAAAAATCCCAATCTGGCGTTGCGGATTCGAGTTGAGAGTGGAGGCTGCCACGGTTTCCAGTATCTCATGAGTCTCATTACGATGCCTACGGGAGAGGGACTCGAATCATCGACCATTCTGAATGAGGACGACAGCATCTTCCAATACGTCCCGGACGAAACGGAGTCTACTTCTCCGCCACCGAATAGCCCGAAGATCGTACTTGACGAGCCCTCACTGGAGCTGTTAACCGGCAGCAAGGTGGATTTCACGCAAGAGTTGATTGGGTCACAATTCAAAATTGTTGACAACCCATACGCTTCGAGCAGCTGTGGGTGCGGGACAAGTTTCGATATTAAGGCGTAGACCTCATTTGCATTTGTCAAATCTGCAAAACCGCGCTTAACTGAAGATACTGGCTGAAGATACCCACATTGTATGCTGCTCAAGGTGTCACGGGGACAATATACCATAGCAATGTCTTACAGGACCATACGACGAGATACGATCAATGGCACACCACAACTAGACGTCTTAGAGTTCAATTGATCATCACGCAGCATGGAAACTCGAGTGTCATTCATCGAAGAGTCAATTTAACAAAGGCCAAATCGTGATACCAACGCCGAGCAACCATGCTTAATATTTCCCTAAGGTATTCCCGCTACCGAAATCCGTGAACCCATTTTTTTGCTTTGATTAACTTAGTTCATCTGGCGGATGAGGGCGTTGATGGCCTCCTCGCGGTTGCCAAGGTCACCACCCTCGATGAAGTGCTTGAACTTGCGGGTGCGGAAACCACCAGTGGGGTTGCTCAGCTTGAAGGGCCACAGGAAGTTGGCAGCCTGCTTGAAGTTGGGGCCAACAGTGAAGATCTCGTGGACGAGATCCTCAATGCAGATGATGCCGTACTTGCCGAGGTTGGCCTCGATGATGGAGTTGTCGGTCAGAGCAACGCGCTGCTTGTCGACCTTGCCGTATCCACGCTTGTAGATGAGCTCCTTGACGGACTTCAGGTTGGGGTAACCGTAGGCGATCCAAGGCTCAACGATCTTGAGCATCTCAGTGATAGCCTTGGTGACCTTCAGGAAGACACCGTTGTTGATCTGGAGGAGACGGAGCAGCTGGAGGACCTTGCGGGGCTTGGGGGGCATCTTGTTGATACTGCAACGTTCGTTAGTCCACGTCGTCTACTATGCGCAGTCCTTCTTGTATTCACATACCCCTTGATACGGACGACGAAGATCAGCTTGGCCTCGGCCGGGATGTAGGCAGAGTCATCGGCCTTGGCGGCGCGGCGAAGACGGATCTTCTCACGCTCAGCGTTGCGGTACTCCTGAACGTACTTCTCGGCACGCTTGAAGATGACGCCACGCTTCTCCTTGTTGGCCTATTGAAAGTCGTGTTAATGCTTGATCCACAACTAGTATTCGCGACATGTTTCAAAGTGTTCCAAAGGAAAAAAATATCAGACCCGAAAGAAGGTTAACTATCAACGACATCGACACAAAGTGTCTAGTTGACGGTATGTTGTGCATCATGAAGACGTGAGAGGAAAGGGAGTAATACGTACAGCCTTGCGCTTCTCAACGACAGCAGCACGCTCAGCGCGAGCCTTCTCCTGGCTCTTGCGCTTCTTGAGCAGGGTCTCAGGGACCAGGATGTTGTCGTTGGTAGGGACGGAGCTATTTTCAACAATCAGATTAGTACGTAGTCCGCCATATTTTCATATGGAACAGAGCGCCGATGCAAGAACTGTAGCTGAAATGCGACATTCTCAACAGGCTGACTCGAGCTGAATTTGATCGGTGAGACAGGCGACAAGCGGCACGCATATTCCAGCAGTGCTCGGTTGAGGCCTTTGGAATGCTCATCCGACAACACCCCAGACAAGAGAAGAATCTTGCCCAAGACAGAGTATATCGCGGGCAATTGCAATCGGGTCATTTCAGACCCTGGCGAATCACCCTTGTGCGACAATGGATTTGAGAGAGAAGGCGCAATAAAATTGCCATTCTTCATCTCCAACACCCCATGGCGCCGTCTCTCAGCCCGCAAAATCCAATGCTCCCGGATTCTGAAAAACTGAGGGAGACGCCTCGGGAGGGATCGAGCTGGCAGATCGATCTTTTCATTGAGAAAAGGTTTTCATCGACTGCCCAGCGAGAGGACCACGACAATCTGCAAACAAATCGAGATCGGGCATCTGGCCCGTACCGCAAGGCGTTCAGGGAGGAGGCACATACGTAGACATTGTGGCGAGGGAGGCTGCTGGCGATGTCTGTCGGTATCGTCGAAGCTGTGCTTGGAGGAGGAGAAAAAGACAAAAAGAAACCAGATCTGAAGCAGAGAAAATTCCTAGGTGAGCGGAGCTCTCGTTGGTGGGTATTCCGAGTGTCCCCACTTTGGAGAAAAAATTTGGGTGCTAGGGCAGGGCTTGCAGCGAATTGTGCTTGAATTTTCCCATCGCTAATTTTGTGTGCGGAAAATATTCTGCCGCACCCCACCGCCTCTCCAATCGCTCTCTGCAGCCACCACCACTCAAGCAGATCACGACTCTCTCCTCTCTTGGTGACTCGACAGTTCTCAACAGCCCCGTGACGAAAAGCCAGACGTCAACGAAACTTCAAAATGCCCCCCAAGAAGGTCGCCGCTCCCAAGGAGAACATCTCCCTGGGCCCCTCTGCCCGCGATGGTATGTTGACCCTACGAAAGCGACAATTCCGTGTATCTGGGAGCCTCCGAACGCCTTGAGCCCTGTCACGATGCAAAAAAGATGGAGAGATCTGCGCAAGAGCAACAATGAATTGCCAAACTGACAATGGCGCTTTTAGGCGAGCTCGTCTTTGGCGTTGCCCGTATCTTCGCCTCCTTCAACGACACCTTCGTCCACGTCACCGATCTGTCCGGCCGTGAAACCATCACCCGTGTCACCGGTGGAATGAAGGTCAAGGCCGACCGTGACGAGTCCTCCCCCTACGCTGCCATGTTGGCTGCTCAGGACGTCGCCGCCCGCTGCAAGGAGCTTGGCATCAACGCTCTGCACATCAAGATCCGCGCCACCGGTGGTATGTTTGCACTTCTCGATGATGGGAACGGGTTGCGAGTCTCGAAAACTAACACAAATAAACTCTTGCAGGTAACGGTACCAAGACCCCCGGTCCCGGTGCCCAGTCTGCTCTCCGCGCCCTGGCCCGTGCCGGCATGAAGATCGGCCGCATTGAGGACGTTACTCCTACCCCCTCCGACTCTACTCGCAGAAAGGGTGGTCGCCGTGGTCGTCGTCTGTAAATATCGTATTTTTATTTCTACAAAACAAACGAAATGGAATACGGATTTACAGTGTCTGGCAACACTTTGGACTGGATTCAAGGCAGGAGTTTCGCTATCTGGTTCTTTCATGCGGCGCTGAGAAAAAACGAGGAGAACGGCCCTTGAAGCCTGGTCTCCAACTCTATTATGCTTTGCGCTGGGTTGCATCATTCTCCTCATACTAGGAGGAAGATGTGACTCAATGTCAATGCAGTAGACAGTTACGAATTCGCCCGAAGAAGGCTATGAAAAGTTGTCTCCCTGTCACAGTTATTCTTCCGTGAAATGTGCAACGTTCAAATCTCCCTTGATGCAAGTGCAAGAGAACAGTGGATGAAGTGTTGTATGCAGCGACTAGTTCCACCTGGTATATGATCTTTCTGTATCCCGGTTTATCCCCATTCCTGTAACCCCATCATTCCTGTGTCCCCAAACTCCTTGCAGATCATTCGAGAAAAATAGAGCATCGACGCTTCGGAGCGGCCCAAGTACACCCTTCTGACGAATCTGAATAGCTTATTGAAACCTGGGCTTCAACGACCACATGCCCCTGCCAGTACTGCTGACCCTGTTCAAAACGGCAACCGTTTCCAGCGCAGTCTTGAATTCGTCGGTCTGCTTCTTGCCAGGGCAGTAAGGGTTAAAGTGATCCACCAACATCTTGCTTGGGACTTTCCCTCCATGACGGCTGATGAACGTCTTGATCAGGGGAATGAAATCCTTGGCCTTCATGTTTCTGTCCGCTGCGGGTGTGCCGGACCGAGAGCTGCTACCGCTATCCAGTCCCTGGCGACCCGCGAGATTGCCCACGATACCCGCCGAACTTGGACCGCCACGACGGCGATTGCCGCCAGGTCGACCCGCCGTGCCAACTTCACCTGTCCAAGTGACCGTTCCAATTGGCACTCGACGGGCTTCCTCACCCGAGTGCCGGAGATGTGCAGCAGCCTCGCGGGCGACTCTGTTGGCCTCTTGGCGCAGAATGGCCAGGTCAGCCTTGACCTTCTGCGGCCCGTTGACGATCTGTTCGTGATCATAGGCACTGTTCACTGATCGCGCAAAGATGCCCTCCAGCATGCGCTTCTCTTCGTGAGAAGATGGATCTTCTTTGACATCCTCCATCGAAGCGACCATATCTAGGCTCTTCAGCTCCTTCTTTTCGCCCATGTCTCCAATGGGGATCAGGGCTTTTGCGTCCGTGTTGTCTCGGTTTTCACCCAGCTTGACTTCCGCACCCTTGAAGACTTCGCTTCTTGACGCAGCGGGGTCTGTGTTGCCGTCAAAAGTGAACAGATCATACAAGTCGGAGAGGTCGTAAGAGCTTCGCTGCTTTGGATCCTTGAGAACCTTGTTCGTCATGAACTGCTTGAAAATCTGGCGATGATAAATCTTTTCCTCAATTGTGCCCTCCGTCATAAGTCGGTAAATCTTGACGGGCTTGTTCTGACCAAGTCTCCATGCTCGCTCTCGCGCTTGCAGGTCGGTAGATGGATTCCAATCGGGATCGAAGATGATGATACGATCAGCGCCAGTGAGGTTTGTACCCAGTCCACCAGTCCTGGTCGTCATGATGAAGACGTGAATATCAGGATCAGAGTTGAACTTGTCGATCATGGGCTGTCGCTGGTCAATCGGAGTTTCTCCATCCATGCGAAGATAGGTAATTCCACAGTTTCTGATGCATTTTTCTATAATATTAAGCATTTGCTTCCCTTGTGAAAATAACAGTGTCTTGTGTCCATTCGGTATCATGACTTTCTGCAGAAGGTCTTTAGTGAGCTGAAGCTTTGCCGACATCTTGGGGTCGCCGAACTCGTAGCCCGCTTTTTGCGAGAGAGATTTGTCCAAAAGATCAGGATGGTTGCAAATCTTGCGGAGTATGTCAATACCATACAGTGATTGGCGTGTCTTATTGAGAATGGCAGAAACTTCGTCGGAGCGGAGGAACGTCTGATATGCGTTGCGTTGGCCTTCAGTCAATTTGCAAAACAGGACCTGCTCTGTCTTTTCCGGAAGGTCGGCAGCCACATCGACCTTCAATCGCTGAAGCAAGTATTCACTGATGGTTTCTTTCAAAGCTTCGGCGCATTTTTCAGCTGTCATGACTTGCAGGTTGGATGCATTTGCATAGCCGCCTTGGCGAATGGGGATCTCAAACTGTTGCTTGAAATTGACCAGAGTCCCCAAGCGCATCGGATAGATAAAGTCGAAGAGCGACCACAACTCGGTCAGGTTATTTTGAATTGGAGTTCCTGACAGAATGAGCCGATTTGGCGTGTTGAGCTCTTTGCATGTGACTGTGATTTCGGCATTTGGATTTCGGATTTTGTGGCCTTCGTCCAGCACCGCATAATCCCATTCAACGTTTAACAGCTCCTCGGCATATGTCTGAAGTCCAGTGTACGTGGTGATGAGGACGTGACCTTTCTGAACCACCCCTCGGACGATTCTCTTCGCCGCCTTGTTTGACCGGGTAGCCATTGGGCTAAAATGTTCTAGATCATACTCATCTTCAGCCGAAGGATTCAGCATCCCGCTGCCGGAAGAATGCAGGATAGAAACGCGCAGAGGTGGCCACCACCGATGGAATTCGCTCACCCACTGGCGAAGGAGCGTGGCAGGAGCAACCACAATGACTGGCTTCTTGAGCTTTTTGCTGTAGTGCAGAGCGGCGATGAAAGCAATCAGCTGCACTGTTTTCCCGAGACCCATTTCATCTCCAATGATTCCCCCAACACTTTGTTTGTAAAGCTCCGCAAGCCACTGGACGCCAGTTTTCTGATATCCGAATAGCGAGGGATATACATCTCCTGGTAGCTTGAGATCGTCGGTGAAATGGTGATCGGGAACACCTGGGGCAGGCTTAAACCACTCTTCCTCATTCTCGTCACTATCCTCAGGGTTTGCAAATGGGTCGCTCTGGCGTTTGGCTCGTCTTGCTCGACTCCTTCGATCGACCCAGTCCTTGAGCCGCCTCTTATAGTGAGCCTCGTTGCCATCATCAATCTTGCTAAGATCGATAGAATCTTGCTCCGCGGCCTGTTTCTTAGCTTTTGCCTTCCGTCGTTGTTGTCGAATGATGTCATCTTCGGTTGTCTGCTGCCAGACGGTAGAGTCGGTAGATTCTGGACTTGAAGGCGCCTCGGGCTCGAAGTCAGCCGACGGCTCGCGTTCTGCTCTTCGCGAGACTTTGATCTTCTTTCGTGGTCGAAGTGAGAATTCTGCCTCGGCCGAGGTCTTTTCACTCGGCGGGGACGGTGTGTTCTCTTCCGAGAATCCGGGACGACGAAGTAATTGATGCGACAGAGGACCCTCGAAGGACTCGTCCCCCAGTTGATTCGCAGTCGCTTCCTCCTCAGCATCCAAAATGGTGTCGGCAAGTTGGCCTTCGATACCGGCTGGACGAGTGCCTCCTAGTTTCGAGAATGGAGTGATCTTGCCGGTTCTGATGAGATAGTCGCGATGGCTTTCGCCAGGAAGTCTCTTCGACTTTGCCTGGGTCATGCTCTGTAGCGGATCTTCTTGGTGCCTCTTCTGGATACGCAGCTCGAAATCCCCGATGTCGAGAGTCGCTTGGTTGATATCTTGTTCGATTCTGGCGATCTCGTTTTGCAGGGCTCGCGACTGATGTGGGTTGCCCGCAACTCTATCCAACTTCCGTCTTTCCTTGTCAAGTTGGGTCTTGTAGCGATCACGAGTCAGCTCGAGTTTGGCAATCCTGGCACGGTCTTTCTTGTCCTCAGCCTCCATGATTGCCGCGTTAGCCTGCATGGTAATATCTCGTTCCAGCTCATCCTGATCTCGCACGGTCCCAGAGAGATTCCTCAGCGCATCATCTTCAGTCATTCCAGCGGCTGGTGGTGACTCGGCAATCGTCTCGGAAGTTGAGTCATGCTGAGCTGCAGCTATCGTTTCGTTGTGCAAGGCACTGCCGTTTTCGCCGACAGCCTTTTCCCTCGTGTCCCTTTCAGAGTCCATGTTGTCCAGTACGACCGGATGTACTTTGACGAAACAGTGGCCAAGTATCAGTGAGAGAAGGAGTGTTCGCGTTCCGAGAATTCGGGAGAGGATCAACACTCCCATGTAGGAGTAAGAAGAGCCGCCAACTCTGGATAACGATTGTGTTTCTTTATCTTGTGGTTGCGCTCGAGAATTTCCGAGGCAAAGAACGAACGATGCACGGCGGCGATCGAGGCAGCCTACTGACAAGTAAAAATGCGATGTCTGCGCATGCCGAGAACAGCCGCTGTCCCTTCAGTGGTGCATCATATTCTCGTTGGATCGCAATGCGAGGGGAAAAGAGCTTGTAGATCAGCGCCGGAACGATGGAAAATCGAGGATAAAATGACAGGCGAGAAGAGAAGAGTTTCCTTCAAGGTTGGATTCGATGATTCAATGGCGCACATGCCTCAGCCAGTGGCGAAGGAGGGAGAAGCTGATTGGTCATCACCCAAGGGTTCCACTACACAGGCAGACGCGGTGTCACGTGACTATGCAAGCACTTTACGTGTGTTCAGAGCAGGTACGTCATCAAGGAAGGTGCCGAGATCTTTCTGGTGATGCCACGTCAATAATCTCAATCTCAACTGCAGAAGTAGCTTTATGGTGACTGAAGGCTCCATAAGATATTCGTGCTTTACGTCGCGATCTTAATTCGGGGCATATCCAGGTGAAATTTTGAAGCTTACATGCACTCTGCGGGACTGCATTGAAAGAGCATTCAATCTACTAGAAACCAAGTCAGGGTGCTCGATACCTCGGCACTTCCTCTTTACCTACCTAGATTCACAAGGGCGACAGTCTCTCCTCGTATTGAACCAGTTCGCCCAGGAGATGCTGTCGATACCCAAAGCGCCTTTGGTACCTGCGGCTCTTGCATTATGCATCTATCCCCTAACGCAGTTTCGCTTATCCGAGTTCCGGACCTATTGTAAAAAGTGCCTACCCTGGCGTTGCTTCAATTCGAGCTCGCGATATTCATTCATGAAATCCATGATTAGTGAGATTGATTGCCTCGGACCAAGATCAAATCATCAGCTGGCCACATATCATGTTCTTACCAACGGCCTGATCCATACCCACAGACACACAGTTGTGCGCTGTAGCGCCATATTCCGAAACTGCCCCTCACACATCGCATCTTTGAATACCACCACACGATTCTCCCAACTTCCTCCTCCCAGCCAGTCACAGTGACCCTCTCCGTGAGTGAGGCTTCGATATGTCAAGCTGGACTAGGCTATTTGGTCGCCGCATTCCATGCTCATGCTTCGCCCGCCCTTATACACCAGATGTTCGCAGACTCACCAAACCCATGGCGGCTTATTCTACACAATCTCGCCAGCCCGCATGGCTCACATCGCTCTTGAGCAATACAAGCCCGGCCCCCAAATTGTACGCCTGGAGCCCAGACAATTTAAGGGGTAGCGTTCCAAGCAGTCTGAGTCCTAGTGCAGACCAGCCTGATCCTTCTGACCTGGATCGCCGAATCTTCATATTGGGGATTGGCAATCTGGGTCGCCTCTACGCTAGCTGTCTCTCCATGCACTCGCCTCGGCCTCCAATTACCCTCGTCGTACACAAACAGGAACTATTGGCCCAGTGGATCCATGGCCCAGGCCTCGAGATCACCAGATCAGGACGGCTTTATCGCGGAAAAGACGAGTTTCAGATCGAGTTGTGGACTGAGCAAGCACCTACACATGGCCCTGTCAGAGAAGTCGCTCACGCGAACAAAATCCGCAACCTCATCGTTGCAACTAAAGCCTCCGCAGCCATGACTGAAGCTGACAGACTACGACGCTATCTCGACAGCAGCAGCAGCGTGACGTTTCTTCAAAACGGCATGTCTAAACTGTGGCCGCCCTACGGACAGAAATACGTGGCCCAGCGGTACCCTGATAACGACGCGCCCAACTTTCTGGCTTGTGTTACGAATCACGGCGTCTTGTCGGAGGGGCCATTCAAGAGTCTTCACGCCTCACCTGCAGACAGTGCCGTTGGGCCTGTGTTGCTGAACAACACGGCTCGTCCTCTCGCACCGAGCGTAGCCTACTTGACAGACGCCATTGCCTCCGCTCCCTGTCTCAACTCAAGGTCCTTGACAAGAGCCGAACTCTGGGCATCGCAGCTTCAGAAGCTCGTTGTGAACTCTACCATAAACCCCCTTACTGCCGTCCTTCGCTGTAAGAATGGCGCCCTCTTCGAAAACTCCAATGGCATTGTAGCCAAAGTCATTGTCCGCCTTCTACATGAATCAAGCGCCATCCTGCAGACTCTCATCAATCATCCCATCGCCACCGAGATTCTCGCGGCGTCGTCAGATGTCAAGCCTGGCAAGTCTCTGGAAGCCGTGAGAGAAGAGCTCTCTTTGCGCTTTTCATTTGCTGAGCTTCACTCAATGCTTTACAACATCGGCCAAGTGGTAAAGGACAACACTAGCTCAATGCTTCAGGATGTTCGCGCAGGCAAACCAACGGAGATCCACGACTTCAATGGCTGGCTCGTCGAGACGGCTGATTTTCTGGAGCAAAGTAGCATCGGTCAGCCCCGTGAACTGGACGTGTCTTGTCATCGGACGTTAATTGCGATGGTTGAGTCGGGCACTATTGTGGACGACACCGAACTGGCCAAACAACTGCTACCCGGAATGTCTCATACATGGTAGAAAGACAAAACATTCATGCATGTGAAGCGAGAACATGGGGTATATATACTACATATCGATGACAGAAACACCAAGCAATAGTAGCAGAACGTGGCAATGGTTTACATAGACAGAACTGTTTGGATACTGGATAGCTATTCCGCCAACATGCCTTATCCGTGATTGATTAACATACAACACTCCCCGATATAATCCCAGGATGCTACTGATCATTTCATATATATATTGCTGTTCTCACTGTCATCTATCGCTCCGCGATATTGATATGCCACATTCAGCTCTCATGTGAAAAGGAAAATTGCGAGGCATCATCAAGATCATCGTTGAATAGCTCCCACACGCGATTGCAGCATCCCATTGGTGTGACACCATTCCCAACTCGCTGCGCAACAATGCGCCATTTCTCGTCCTCGTAGCTCTTCAAAGCGTCCAAGAGCCTTTCGTCCTGCGATAATCACTGGGTCAACTTTACTCCTGTAGAGTGCAGGGTACATTCTTAGCGAAATCAGGAAAAGGAATTACATACCATCTCTCTTGTCCACGATGTGCCCTCCGTCTTCAACCTCGTACAGTATCTCACCTGCAATGTGCCTGGATTACGTCCTGGGAAGAAGTCGGCAATTTGCTTCCACGTAAGATGCCTCTTTTCCTTTAGCTCAATCAGAAGCTCGTCTTCCTCCTTGCTAAACTTGACCCTAGGTCGCTGAGGCCGCCGCGCAGGAGAAGGCATCCCTTCTTGTCCAACAAGGTTATACGAATCTTGACCATGCTCTTCGAGCATCGAAGCTGATGAGCGACCCGTATCTGGTAGATGATGGTGATGGTGGGACGGCCGAGGCATGGATGACATGCTACTGTCCGGCACTCCATAGGGTCCGTATATGTAGGAAGTGGCAGCATCCGCGTGTGCAGTCCTGGAGCCGACATAGGACGAGTTTTGCGAGTAGGGATCATCGGAATAGCGTTTTTGATCGTCTGTTACTGAGTAGTAAGGACTATAAGATGGTGCTGTCATCGGAGTGAGATTTGTCTCGTGTAAATGCAACCTTTCGTTGTAGCTCATGTTTCTGAAATAAGAGGATGGGGTGTTCTGTAGCTTCAGTTGCAATGATGCAGTTACAGCGTCTGGCTCAGAAAAGCCACGTCGAGATAATGATCATGAGATGTCCTCATTTATAAACCAAAAGTTCACGGCATTTTGCCCAAGTCAAAATCAGCCATATCCCGTCTCTCCTGTTTCTCTCTTCCCCGCTCGGTTCTATCCCCTCTCCATGCGTCTTCCTTGTTCTCCTCTGCTTCCTCGATGTCCTTTACCTATCGATACAAGGAAATTCGCCTCCGCATAGGCACATGCCGTGAACTACAGCTTCATGCCGCGGTAGACAAAGAGTGCAAGTTCCGCGATATGGCAGGTATTGAAGAGACATGGTGTTGAGCACGGCTCACCGGAGCAGAGACAGCCCGGATTAAGGCTGGAGATGAGGTGCCCTCCATCACCCCGAAGTGGAAAGAGGATCTTGTGAAATTGTCCGATGTTGTAGATTCCGTCACCGAATCGAGTGTCTGTGGAGAACCTCCCTTTGGACAACGGACGTTGTCCCATCTCCTGCACGCAACGGGTCCAAGCACGATTTTTCCAAGAGCAGTTACCGATGGGCAGGATTGAGAGCTCGGACGCTGGTTGCGGCAAGGAATGGATCTGTTGCTGTTGATGGGATGCATTGGCCGCGGTGGACACAATGAGTTTATATCCGGACTGCCTCAACCATGTAAGCCCGGCCTTGATACGAGACAAAATGTTACGATGTGACCATGGATACGACGCGCTAACGCAGCTCACGGACACTTCAAGCGCGGACCGACGCACCGTCAACAAGGTGGTAGGCGATCCTAAGGTGGCAATATGAAATACCAGAACAGGTAGGTAAACCCAAGATCGATAGCAATGCAACGGCGATTCTACTGCGGCTCACGATTATCTAGTACCTGCATTTTAGGTTAAGGGGGTTTAACTAAAGGAACTATAGTAAGCCTTAGTTATAATAATATATAGCAGCAGCCTTTATATTATTATTATAATTAAAGTATTATAAAAGCTAAGTTTATAAAAAATTAAGTATTATTTTATATAACTAAGTTAGTATATATTTAATAAAGTATATAATACTATTAATAAATAATTTAAAAAATAAAAGAATTTTAATTTTACTTTAAAAAAATTATATTATTACTTAATTTAAATTATTTTAATTATTAAGTTTAAATATATATTTCTTATTTAAGTTATTTAAGTTATAACTAAGTATATAAATTAAAAATAAATAAATTAAATTACTTAAGTTAAAATTAAATACTTAGTAAAGCTAAGGCTTTAGCTTAATAATTATTTATTATTTAAGTTTATA